TTATTAATTATTAATATATTTTCGAAAATAATAAATTAAATTATTTTATTTTATATTTAAAAGTAAATTAAAAAATTTAAAATTAAATTAAATTATATTTAAAAATATAAAAATAAATTAATTAAATTAAGAAAAAAAAATAAAAGAAAAGGAAAATAAAATATATTTATTAAAAATAAACTTATTATTATTAAAATGTAAATAAAAGTTTAAAATAAAATAATTAAAAAAATTAAGGAAAATAATTAATTTTTTAATTAAGTCCGAAAAATAATAAAAATGATATTATAAATAATAACCGCGTTTATAATTAATTTTATGTTTTAAATAACGTTTATAATTTTTTATTATTTTTTTATATATTTTATAATATTTAATTTAAATATAATTATTTATATTTTTAATAAATAATCCCGATTCCGAAATTTCCGAAAAACGTTAAAAAAAAATATAATTATTATAAAAAATAATTAAATTAAAATTTTAAAATATAATAATATTAATATTCGTATTAAAAGTTTAAAAAATTATTAATATATACGATTATATAATATAATTTATTACGAAAATTTTACGTGTAATTTAATATTTTTTTAATTATTATAATAATAAAAATATTAATAAAATAATTAAAAAAATTAAATATATATTTATAAAATAAATAATTTTATATTATATAAAATATTTAACCGATATAATTAATTTATAATAAAAAATATACCATATAAAATAATAAAAAATTCATTTTATAATTAAATTAAAAAAATAAATTTTAAATTTAAACGAAATACGAAATAAAATAATATTATTAAATAATATAATTAATTAAAGTATTTTAATTTTTAAACATTAAAACATTTAATTAATAATTTTAAAAAAATAAAAATTATTAACTTAATTATTATTAAATATAATATATATAAAATATTAAAACTTAAATAATTAATCCGAAAAAAAAATTAATTAATTAAAAATAAACCCGGAATTTATTTAATTATTAATTTTCATTTTTTTAAAAAAAGTTTTAATAAATATAAAAATTTTATATTTATTATTAATAAATAATTAAATTATATTTAAAACTATTATTTATAAGAAAAATTAATAAAAAATATTAACACCGTTTTTAAATATTTATTAAAAATTTTTAAATAATAATATACATTTAAATTAAAAATAATTAAATGTAATAATAAATTAATATTTATTAAATTAAAAGTATAATAATTTTTTAAAGAAATATATATATAATTTAAACTTTTTATTTTATATATTTAAAAATAAAACGAAATAATAAAACGTTCGAAAAGTATAATTAAAATAAAAACGTAAATTATAAAATTAAAAATTAAATTATTAACATTTTTATAATTAAAAATATATTAATTTATAATATATTTTTATAATTATATTTTTAAATATATTTATAATTAAAAATTATTATATAAACGTTTTTATACGTTTATAATTAAACGTAATAATAATTTAATAACGAAATAAAAATTAAAATAAACTTATTTTAAAATATACGAATATAAAATATTTATAATAATATTAAATATTTAATTAAAACGGAATAAATTATAAAAATTAAATTTATAAATATAAATAAAATATTTAATTAATTATAATTTTATAAATATTTATTATATATAAAACTTAATAATTAATAAAATTATTATTATTCGCGATATTATATTTAATAAAAATAATTTATTTTTAAAAAATATAAATAATTTAAAAAATAATTTATTATAAATAAATAATAAAAATTATAAAATATAATTAAAAACCTTTTATAAATTTATAAATAATATATTATTTTTTTAAAAAAAAATAATAATTATAAAATTTATATTAAAAATAAAAAAATTTATAATATTAAAAACGTTAATATAATAACGGATAATGTAATAATTAAAATAAAAAAAAATAAAATAATTAAAGATTATAAAAGCGGACGTGAAATTTAAAAATAAAGGTTTAATTAATTATTTAATTTTAAAACACGAATAAATTTTTTTTTAATTTTTATTCTTTTTATTTTTACGAATTTCCAAAGTAAATTTATTTATATTATTATAATAATTATTTAAATTAATTATTTTTAACTTTATAAATTTTATTATAAATTAATTATTTAACTTTTTTTTTAACGTGTAACATTTAATATTAATAAATTAAAAAATAAAATAAATATATTAAACGGAAATAATATTAACCGAATAAAGTTTTTAAAATTATTAAAAAATCTTAAGAAATTATATTATAAATATTTACCACTTTTACTTAAATATTATACCGAAATTAAAAAATATTTTATAAAAGCTTTATTCGAAAAAACCGAATAATTATATTTAATAAATTATAAAAAAATAAATACATGGGAAAAAATTTTTAAATATAACTTAAAATATTAAAAATAATAAATTTTTAATTACATGTAAATATATATATATAAAATTAATAAATATAAAAAATTTATTAAATGTAAAATAAAGTTAATAATTAAAAAAAATTAATAATAAAAAATTAATAATAAAAAAACTTATATTTTAATATTAATTAAACGTTTTTTTTAAATATTAATAATTATTACGATATATTTTAATTTAAAATTAAAATAATTTAATATTATAAATATTTTTATAAATGCGTTAATTAATTATAATATTTTTATAAAAATGTTTTTTAATTATTATAAAAAAAATATTATATTTAAAATATTTAAAACTTTATATAAAATAAAAAAATTATTTTTATTATAATAAAAAAAATTTATTATAATATTAAAAAAAATAAAGTTTAAATTTATTCCATATAAATTATACATTTATTAAAAAAATAAAATCCTTGTATTTTTTTATATTAATAATATAATATTAATTTATTAATCCGAAAAAAAATTATAATAAATAAATTTATTATAAAAATAAAATAAAAATATTATTTAATTAAAAAAGGAAATTTTTAATAGTTTTTTAATATAATAATATTTTAAAATAAAAATAAAAATTTATTATAATTTAATTAAACGGATTATTTTAATAAAATTTTAAAGTTAATAAATAAAAGTATAAATAAAAAAATATTTTTTTATTTTATAATAAAAAAAAGTTATTTCCATTCGAAAGAAAAATAATATTTTAATTAATTAATTTTTATTAAAAAAAAATAAAATTTTTATTATATATAATAATTATAATAAAACTTAATATAATTTTTTTTTATTTAAAATTATTATAATTTTTAATTAATTTTAAACTTAAATATTATAAAATAATAAATTAAATTTTATTATATTTATATTATTATTAAATATTAAAATTATAATTAAATAAAAATAATATTTTTAAAATTTTAAATAATATATTATTTATTAATAATATTTAAAATAAAAAAAATTTATAAATATATATTATAAAATTATTTAAAAAAGTTATAAAATAAAAAGTTAATAAATAATTTATTATTATAATTTCCATAATTAAAATTAAATTTTTTATATTATTTTAAATTATTAAAAAAATTATATTTATTATTAAATTAATTAAAAAACTTAAAATAAAATTAAACGATTTAATTATTATTATTTATTATAATAATAATTAAATTATTAATTTAATTTAAAAAAATATTAAAAAATTTTAAATAAAATTAAAATATATTAATATTTATAATTATTAATTTTAATAAAAATATAATATAAAAAAAATTTAAATTATATATAAAAAATCTTTTAAAATAATTATTAATAAATTTATTAAAATATTAATAAATATATTATTCCGAAATTTTTTAAAATAATTAAATTTAATAAATATTAAAAATAAATTAACGGAATAAAAAAAAAAAAAATATAATATTTATAATATTTAAAAATAATAAAATTTTATAAATTTAATTTTTAATTAAATTTAAAAAAATATATTAAATATAATTTTATAATTTTAATATTATTAAATAATCCGTGTATTTTAATATTTTAATATTTTTAAATTTTTAATTTTCACGTAATTTTTTTTAAAACATAATATAAAAATTATTAAAAATTTTATAATTAATTTTAATTATAATTTTTTAAATAAAAAAAATAAAAAATTTTTTATATAATTAATTAAATTATTAAATTTCATGTTATTTTAATATTATTTTATATAATTTATATTTTAATTAATTAATTATTAAATTAATAAATTTTTCATATAAAATTTAACTCGTTTAAACTTTAAAGTTTATATGTTTACAAAAATAAATTCTTTAACAACGTTTTCTTAAGGGAAATCACGTGAAGGATCAAAAGTGGAAGATAAGTATTATTCAATACGCGAACCACATGACCTTAGATAAGACCTGATCAAGAAATAAAGCATATATTCATCACTTAACTAACCTGGAAATCGTACCTTCTGACAGGTCATTTATCCAAAACACTGTTAACGAACACCGCATATAGGATCCTTTCTTCGTTATTATATTCGTCGTAGGTAAGGAATAACATAACTCAAGCCTGAATGTCACGGTGCAACTATTCGCCCGCAGGGGAATTAGGACATAAGCACCTATCCAGTTTATATCCCTTTAGCTAGAATAAGACTAAGATTCCCACAAAACCACCTGGGCAGTAACTGTACATCGGCAATAGCGCATGCCTGTTAAAGCTGTAAGCGTTGAGGCTCTTAAAGTGATCTTCAGTGGCGTCTAACCAACTAGAAGTAAGCTTTTGTGGGTACTAGTGGAGCTCAGGGGCTGCTGGCGGTACAGCTACTAATCATGGTGGAGTTGTAGTCTTATGCCAACCAAAGGGATACCTGATTTTATATTACATACCTGCTGTCCTAGATATCACCTACCCCGCACCGGGAAGCCTGTAAGGCCGTAAGAATAGGTAAGGATTCATAGGTAAGCATGACCGGTGTGGCAGATATATTCCCGATGACGATCGTAGTTTCATGCTCGCAATATAGCTTACAAAAGAATTATTAACAACACCCCAGGAAGACTGTACCTTAACGATACTCCCTATGGCCGAGCATTACCAGCTTATCTATTATACGGGGGTTCCGGGGCGCGGTGAGCATATCCGGCTGGCCTTCGAGGAAGCCGGTGCTTCGTACGTAGACACTGCAGCTCTCCCTATCGAGAAATGCCGGGAGACCGTCACGGCTTATCTTAACGATAATTATCGAGGCGAGCAAGGCAACCCGCCTTATTACGCCCCTCCCCTCCTAAAGCACGGACACCTCGTCATCTCCCAAACAAGCAATATCCTCATGTACCTTGGCCCTAAACTCCGACTTGCCGGATCCCGAGAGAACGATATTTACCGGATCAATGCCCATGCTCTTACTGCATTAGACGGCTTGAGCAATGAAGTACACGACTGTCACCATCCCATTGGCGTCGAATTGTACTACGAAGAGCAGAGGGAGGAGAGCTTGAGGCGTAGTAAAGAATGGATCAAGAACCGCCTCCCTAAGCATCTTTCGTACTGGGAGAAGGTATTGAAGAGCGACGAGTGCGGCCAAGGCCCCTGGCTAATGGGAAGCACATTCACCTACGCAGACCTAGTCTTATTTCAGGCAAGCTCCCCTCTCCTCTCCCCCCTTTCAAGACAATCCCGTATCTGGCACCCCTACCTGATATCATTCTCCATATTGCAGCATATTTGTCGGAGATTTCTACTACTAGTTAGCTAATTTTCTGGAATAGTGTGTCGACGGCGTCCGATTCGCTTTTCCTAAAGCAATGAACCAGGCCAGGGAATCCGGCAAATACGATCGAGTCTTCGGGCTATGGGAGGCAGTCAAGGCCCGACCGAACGTAGCTGCCTATCTTTCTAGCGACAGGAGACAGAAATATGATTGGGGCATTTATCGGTATTACCCGGAGAATGATGTGGTTACCGAATAGCATTTGCGGGTACCTATGTTGTTGGAATATACAGAAAAATGATAAGTATCGCGAAAAAATAATATGACTAAAAAAGAAGGTAGGTATTCTCAAATAGATAGTAAACTTACAACAAGATTTTACTAATTTAGTGACTAACACATATAAGATCTCACATGCTTATTCTTCAACGGAACTCGGATTGAAAGGGTGGCTAGACGTTATGAAAGAGGTCGGCCTTGGATTGGCTCGTTGTTAGTAATAACAGTTCTATGTTACACTAGACGTGAGAATAAGGTATTAAACATCGGCAATACTATCTCGGAATTCCTAACTCGTGTTGTGGACGCGGGATAAGTTAGAGCTAACTGTTAGAGGATAAGTGGCCGCAGGTCTGGCCCATCGGAGGTTCAACCCCTTCTAAGGCTGCTGCAGCCTTATCCCAAGACGGTGTAGACAAACGGCAGTATACCGCGATCCCCCGTAGATAGGGCTACAGTTCTTCAACAACGTCGTTGTTACCTCTTCCCTCCCTAAGTGAGTCTACATTATCCTATAATGAGTACTATCAAAGCAACCATCCACTTACGCCTTTCCTTCTAAATGAAGGAGGTACCCAAGCCATGCAATCACCACGCATATTGCACCAACATCCCAGGTTGGGACTCGCTGAGAGGCATGCCAGGCTGACCCGCTGACTAATTGCCGCAGAGGATCGTCTCACGTCAGCCTCGTTGAAGTGGGAGACGGACGAGGCCATCGCCAATACACTGGAATGTGGGGGAGTGGTAGCAGTAGCTCTGGATATGTGAACTCTCACCTAGGTACCTATTTAGGCATACGCCCAGGTTATGTAATTTGATATAGCTAGTGGACCTTGATGTCAGTCGTTGATTCCAAGATCTTGGAAGCTATCACATTTTTGAGAAGGATTCATAGAGGGAGCATAGGTTGGATAACCCTTCCCTCCCTGAGATATCTCCCTATAGACACCCCCTTGGGTTCGACATCAAGTGTGAAACCTGCAGAAGAGATAAGTTAATAGGATATGCAAAATCATGTTGTGGTTCGATTTTCCTGAAGGTGGTTAGATGCGCGTGGTGTGTCAGATACTTGGCAATGATGAAATTCCTGATTGACGATGTGTCAGACTGTTCTTTGTGATATAAACAGCGAGAAACAGCAGCATACAAAGCTGGGCAGATCCGCCGGTTCATATCTACCAATTCACATAGATCAGCAACTTTCAACAACTCTCAGATCTTCCAGCGCCTACTCACTCTCAATGTGATTTCTTTTCGGTATAAAATCCTCAAAATGACACACTCCAAGCCCTTCCCCTCGCTATTAGTCTTTGGGCCCCAGGCTGGGTTCCCGTCACAGGAAGTCCTAGAAGACTTGCGTCAGGAGCTCATTGGCAACCCTCAGTTATCCGCCCTCGCCAGTGCAGCGGCAGAACTCCCCCAATTTTGGGAGACCCTTGTAGAATTCGATGACAGTCTACAGCTGCTGCCTGGCCCCAAGTACCTTAATGAACTCAAGCAGTGGGTCAAGGAAGGCGGCCCCTTTCCCAATCACAATATCTCACCAAACCTCTATGCTTTACCAGCCACTATCCTTCTCCAGATCAGCCAGTACGCGCGCTACCTTAGACAACTTGGTAATGGCTCTCATCATCAGGTCCTTGAAAGCGTCAGCGCTGCAGGAGTCCAAGGATTCTGTGTTGGCTTCATCAGTGCTACTATCGTGGCTAGTTCGAAAACTGAAGCTGATATTGGTCCCATTGCTGCCGCAGGGCTTCGTCTTGCCCTGTGCATAGGAGCATATGTTGACTTGGATCAAATCAACGAATATATTGACGGGTTTGCATGTGTCGCGATCCGTTGGAGGGAAGGCAATGCTGAAGAGAAAGCCAAGATCGATACCATCATACAATCATATCCTGAGGTAATTCCGTTCTGCTTCTTTACCTATTCGATCCTCGGGTTGGTTGTTGCTAACAGGTTTTTCATCAGGCTTATATATCAAGCATTACTGATACCACAAGCGTGAGCGTCACTCTCAAGACCGAAGATCTGGGTGATTTTATCCAACAGATCCGTAACCAGGGTCTCCGGGCGACGACGGTACCGGTGAACGGTCGTTTTCACACTTCTGTTCATTCAGATGCCTCGAACAAGATTGCAAAGCTAAGCTTGCGTACCGAAGCGCTCAGGTTCCCAGAGGCCGAGTCGCTCTATGCCCCTTTGCGGTCCACCATAGATGGTGAGATCATTCGCAAGGGCTCTTTGACGAAGCTTATAATCCACAACACGATGTTGAATACCGCAGACTGGTATACGACCATGAGAGAAGCTACTCTTCAATTACCACATTCGAACGAGACGGTTGCGTACGCCGGTTTCGGCAACAATATCCCATCATCTCTGGTCCAGGCCGCATCTTTCCAAGTCTTCAATCTAGGAGAACTGAAAGGTGGGACCGACACACAGTCTTATGGCCCATTATCAACTAATGGCCTTCCGAACGGATCAAAGCCGTTTGATGAATATCCTTCTCATTCCATCGCCATCGTCGGCATGTCTGGCAGATTCCCTGACGCGGACTCACTCGACGAGCTCTGGGAACTGATACTCGAAGGTAAATCAACGGCCAAGCCCGCGCCTGTTGAGCGACTCCAACTACCACAGACAGGGGATTACGCAAACACAAAGTGGTGGGGAAATTTCCTTCGAGATCCAGAAGCTTTCGACCACCGCTTCTTCAAGAAGTCATCCCGAGAGGCCGTTGCTTGGGATCCACAACAGAGAATCCTTCTCGAGGTCGTATACGAGGCATTAGAATCGGCAGGTTATTTCAGGCCGTCGCCTGAGACGGAGACTGATGACTATGGCTGTTACATGGGGGCGGTCATGAACAATTATTACGACAACATTTCTTGTCATCCAGCCACCGCATATGCCACACTTGGAACTTCGAGATGCTTCATAAGCGGTTGCATGAGCCATTATTTCGGGTGGACCGGTCCATCACTGACGATCGATACCGCCTGCTCATCGTCGCTCGTGGCCATCAACACAGCCTGTCGGGCCATATGGTCCGGCGAATGTTCTCGAGCTGTCGCCGGTGGTACCAACGTGATCTGCAGTCCATTCGATTACCAAAATTTACACGCAGCCGGATTTCTCAGTCCAACTGGGCAATGCAAACCATTTGACGCTGGCGCCGATGGGTATTGCCGAGGCGAAGGTGTCGGGGTAGTAGTTCTCAAACGGCTTTCTGATGCCATCAAAGAGAATGACAACATCCTTGGTGTTATCGTCGGATCCGCAGCGAATCAGAATCATAACGAAAGCCACATCACAGTGCCACACTCGGGTTCGCAGGTTGACTTGTATCAGAAAGTGATGCAGCTCGGTAATGTGAGACCAGAGTCCGTATCGTATGTCGAGACACACGGAACCGGAACCGGTGTTGGAGATCCAGTTGAGGTCCGCAGTGTCCGGGATGCCTTCGGTGGGCCTCATAGAGATTCTATCCTCCACTTTGCTTCCATTAAGGGGAACATTGGCCACACGGAAGCTACGGCCGGTGTCGCAGGTCTGATCAAAGTCCTCCTCATGATGAAGCATGGAAAGATACCCCAACAAGCCAGCCATAAGACGATAAACCCTAAGATTCCACCGTTCGATCAATATCAAATGGCTATACCCAAGAGTACTCTACCTTGGGATCCCCCGACACGTCTAGCGTTGGTAAACAGCTACGGTGCGGCTGGCAGCAACTCGGCTGTGATGATCCGTGAGTGGCAATCGCCAGATATTACCACCGCACCAGTACAACTATCGAGATATCCACTCTTCCTCTCCGCTGGATCCACCAACAGCCTCTCCATGTATAGCAAGAAGTTACTCGGTTGGCTGAAAGAAGCCAAGACCGGGAATGATAATCTCCTAGCGTCGCTTACATTCAATCTCGCTGATCGCGCAAACCACACTCTACCGTACAATCTTTCAACATCCGTATCCAGCATTCAGGATCTCGAGTCGAAGCTTGAAGCCGCATCGTCCGGCTCTGGCATAAATACGGCCGACAGCCCCAAGCCTGTGGTTCTTGTATTCGGGGGCCAAGAGAGCGAGTTTGTTGGCCTATCTCGAGACATATACGAGTCTTCCAAAGTGTTCCGTAATCATCTCGATCGTTGCGATGAAATTCTAGTCTCTAGGGGACTGGAGAGCCTGTACCCAGCCATATTCAGTCAAGAACCCATAGAGAGCCTTACCCTATTGCATTCTGCTCTTTTTGCTGTTCAATATGCGTCCGCCAAGGCGTGGATGGATTGCGGCCTGAAGGTCGGCGGAGTAATTGGGCATAGTTTTGGCCAGCTGACTGCGTTTTGTGTTGCTGGTTCGCTCTCTCTCCACGATGCATTGACGTTGGTGGTAGGGAGGGCGTCTCTGATGCAAAAGTACTGGGGTCCTGAACAGGGGTCCATGATATTTTTGCAGGCAGACCGCGCAACTGTAGACCAAGTTCTTCAGTTGCAGAAGGCTCAGAACAGCGACTTCTATGCTGAGATCGCATGTTATAACGGACCAAAGAGCCATGTGGTGGTTGGCTCTTCCGACGCAGTCAATTCCTTGGAGCAGTACATTGCTAATACACCATCCCTTCGCGATTCAGTACGCACCAAAAGACTAAAGGTCACGCATGGTTTCCACTCCAAATTCACCGAGCCCATGCTATCTCATCTCACGGCTCTGTCTAAGCAGTTAGATTGGAGACGTCCCACTTTGCACCTTGAAACCTGCACTGATGTTGAAAGCATCACCGAGCCTGACTTCAGTATCGTATCGGCGCATACGAGATTCCCTGTGTTCTTCCAACAAGCCGTCGAGAGACTCACCAAGAGATTCTCTCAGATCACCTGGCTCGAGGCCGGGCGTGGCTCTTCGGTGATTCAACTCACCAAGGGTTCAGTGCCAAATTCACAAGGACACACATTCGTGTCACCACAGCTCGCTTCTTCCAATGGACAAGGGTCTCTCACCGACGTGACCACTGATCTCTGGAAATCAGGGTACGATGTGCAGTACTGGGCTTTCCACCGGAGTCAAAAGTCAGCATACGAAAACCTGAGCCTGCCGCCGTATCAATTCGAGAAGACAAGACATTGGCTTCCATATATAGGCAGAGCACCTCAGGAGGAAGTGAAAAGAGAAGCAGTGGTGGAAGAGACACATGAACTTCTCTCTTTCATACGATTCAGTGACAAATCCGAAAAGGAAGCGTTATTTAAAATTGATCCTCATTCCGATCGTTTCCAGGCTATGCTCGGTGGTCACGTCATGGCTGATCAGGCACTTGCCCCGGCCTCTCTCTACTTCGAGGTGGTGGCTCGCGCAGCCTTATTCCTTCAGAAGGATACTGACGGAAAGGAATATGTGCCTACCGTGGACGACCTATTTATGAAAGCTCCAATCGGCCATGATACCTCGACGGAGATCACGCTCATATTAAGGCGTCTGGAAAAAGCGCATCCGTCATGGTCATTTTCCATCACTACCAAGTCTAGCACGCGTCAAAATGCAGGGCCACAGGAACAAACTACCGGGCAAGTATCTCTCAAGAAGCGTAGTGATGCGCAAGCAGCCCGCGAATTCAAGCGATTCGAATCGTTACTAGGTCGACGTCGATATCAGGAGATCATGAACCATCCCGATGCCGAGAAGATGAGAGGAAACCACATTTATCGTGCTTTTAGCACTGTTGTCCACTACGGCGAAGCGTTCAGCGGCATAAAGGAGGTTGCCTGTGTACGACATGAAGCCGCTGGGAAGGTAATTATTACTCCGGACGTGGCGGCTCCAGCGGACCAGCGCCTCTGCGATACTCCCATGACCGACAGCTTCATGCAATTTGCAGGGTTCCTGGTAAATTATTTCAACAATCCGAGTCTCGAAGACGTCTTCGTCTGCATGAAAATCGATCACATCGAGATGGGTGGAAACTTCAATCCCGACGCGAAAGAGTGGATACTTTGCTCCAACATGAGTGAGGGTGGCGAGACTGACATATCGTCGGATGTTTACGTCTTCGAGGCTGGAACTGGGAATATGGTCATGGCGACTTTTGGTCTCCGCTTCTCAAAAATGCCCCAGGCCCTACTTGCAAAGATATTGAAGAATGTCAACCAACCAGGGGCCTCAAGCGCGAAAGCTCATAAGCCAGCGACCCAGACTGTCGAAAAGGAGGGCCCTGTCGTCTCGGGCTTGCCATCCACATCGGCTCCAAAGCCGGCAAGTAAGCGACAGGAAGTCCTTCAAATCTTATCAGACATTACGGACTTTCCGCTCGAAGAGCTTAATGGGGATTCCACACTAGACGATCTCGGAATCGACTCGCTGATGGCAACCGAAGTTCTTAACGACATTCGGTCGATCTTAGGTCTAACGATTGATCTGACCACCTTCTTATTCTTCCCCAACATCCAAGCTCTCGTGACTCATGTCGACGACAATCTAGGAGTAGGTAGTGACGATGGCAACCTAGATACGCCACCTTCCCCATCTGTAGATCATGATACAGATGATGTAGGTGGTCCCAAGGAAGTTGAAGTCGTTGCACCAGAGCCTACGGAAAATGTCAATCGGCCTACCATCATTTCTGCCTTCAACGCTTTTGAGGAGGCGAGGCTTGGATACGATCAACTCGCAGAGGTTACCAAAGCTGTCGGTTTCTGGTCTGAAGCCTACCCGTCACAAGCCAGACTTGTACTGGCCTATGTGAGAGAGGCATTCGCCAAACTCGGGTGTGACTTGACCAAGATTCAGCCAGGCGACCCTGTCCCTCAGATTAAAGCGCTAGACAAGCACAAACAGCTGGTGCAACAATTCTACCGTGTTCTTGAGGACGGAAAACTTATTTCGTCGACGAACCGAGGTTTCGTTCGAAGTGATACTCCTGTTGACGAAACCCCTGCTGAATCCATCTATCAGCAGCTCATTGGTCTTCATCCTCAGCACGACGATGTCAATAAATTAGTTAGAGCAGTTGGATCTCAGATGGCTGCATGCTTGACTGGTGAACAAGATGGTTTACAGATTGTTTTCGGGAATAGAGAAACGAAAAAGACGTTGGAGGCCATGTATGAATTCTGGCCTCTCCTCCGAACACCCACTCTTGTCCTTGGCGATTTCTTGCTAAAAGCCTTGACCAACACCACCGGCGGCGGAAAAGTTCGCATCCTCGAAGTAGGCGCCGGGACTGGTGGGACAACTCGGTACATCGTCAACCATCTCAGGAATCACGGCATTCCTTTTGAATATGTCTTCACGGACATCTCGTCCTCACTCGTAGCGGCGGCGAAAAAACAGTTCAAAGGTGTTGACGGCATGTCCTTCGAAATTCTCGATATCGAGAAGCCAGTCAAACCGGAATACGAGGAAGCGTTCCACTGCATCATCGCGACTAACTGCATCCACGCAACAAGAAATCTTGACCTATCCCTCTCTCATCTACGCAAGATGATTCGCGAAGACGGAGCGTTGACCCTAGTTGAAATCACGCAGAATATGTTCTGGCTCGACATTGTGGTCGGCCTTTTCGAAGGCTGGTGGTTATTTGAAGACGGTCGCACGCACGCTTTGATCGACGAAAGGCGCTGGGAGCGTATTATGAAAAAGGCAGGATTTGCCGAGGTCCTATGGTCGGATGGTGATACGCCTGAGTCCAAAACAGTACGCGTTATTGGGGCGTTTCCACGCGGAGACCCAGCTCAGGTCAATGGCGTGGTGCCATTAAAGAAGGCCCCGAAAGCCTCTTTAGAGACGGTCGTCTATAAGAAGATAGGGAACCAAGAGATTCACGCCGATATATACTATCCTTTAGAAGGGGAGTATCCAAATAAGATTCCTGTCGGTACGTAATCAGCTCGAATTGTCCATTGGCACCTCGCTAATCTCTTCTAGCTTTGATGATTCACGGCGGCAGTCATATCATCTTCTCCAGGAAAGACATTCGACCGGCTCAGACTCGTCTCCTACTCGAGATGGGTTTCCTACCGGTGAGCTTAGATCATCGGCTTTGTCCCGAGGTGAGCCTTTCCGAGGGGCCGATGGTGGATGTCTGCGACGCCCTCGACTGGGCTCGTCATACATTGCCAAACATCAAGTCTCGCCGGCCGGGATTGGAGATCGACGGTGAAAGGGTTGTAGTGGTTGGATGGTCATCTGGAGGGCAGCTCGCCATGTCACTGGCGTGGACAGCCCCTCAAAGAGGGCTACGGCCTCCGGAAGCTATCCTCGCATTCTACTGTCCCACCCACTACGAGGACGAATGGTGGAGACACCCGATCCAGCCCATCGGCGCGGAAGACAAGGGTTTCGAGTACAACATACTCGACGCTATCCAAGACGAGCCCATAACCAACTACGGCGTGGTCGGCGCGTGGGAGCCGCTTTCCGATCCTCGCATCCTGACAGACCCTCGGTGTCGCATCGTGCTTCACATCAATTGGAAAGCGCAGACGCTTCCCGTCATCATCGGCGGGCTTCCTAGCAAGCGCAAAGCCGCTCAGTACCCTGATGTCAAGGACTGGAATAATCTTCCGCAGCCCAGCCTAGAGAAGATCGTGGCCGCCAGCCCCCGCGCGCAGATTCGCCAAGGCAACTATCGAACGCCCACTTTCCTGATTCACGGCACAGCCGATGATTTGATACCGTGGCAGCAGAGCCAGGGCACGTACGAAGCCTTGGTTGACAGAAACATCGAGACCGAGTTAGTTCTAGTCGAAGGGGCTCCACATATCTGCGATCTGAGCAGCGATCCTAACTCCGAGGGTTGGAAAGCCACTCTGAAGGGATACCAGTTCCTTAGCTCGTACGTGTTCTAGTTAAATGAGAAATGATTGTGAGAGCGAGCTCGAAGATAGGTGGACTTGGGAACAGTTTTGAATAGAATTTCAGAGGAATAATATGAATGAGTGCATCTACCCACTTCGATTTCTAGATGGACTATTATGTGAATGCAGAGCAAGCTTTTCAAGATGTTACAGTCCATGAGGTGTGTCAATTTCAAGTTCACTGTAGATTATCTCATCGCCCATAGATTTAAGATCGCGGGGATGTGGGGGGTTGCTGATGGTACGTAGAGGTACGACTCTGTTGTTGACCCGTGAATTTGAGACACGATGATGAGCCATTAAGGTTAGCGCGGAGGCATCATAAGTAAGCCCCTCGGAAGCCCCTTTTTCTTTTTCGGGGTACAGTAGTGGGGCAGTGCGCTCCAATAAAACGCAATCAATCAATCATTTTCACCCCCTAAATGACATGTCAATTCCCAAGCACATGAAAATATACCTAAAGCAGTGAATTTTGGGTGGACAACCCGTCGGGAACTTACATAGGTGCTACAATGAGATATCGTGACATGCGTCATCCTTGACTCTTCCAATCTCGTACAATAGTGCATCATGGAGACTATGATCATCAGCACAGGCCAGGAACTTCGCGACTGCTTCTTCCCCAGCACAGCAAGCCACACATGTTCCGAGCGATGCACACGGAATCTACCTAGGCACCATCCTACCTAGGAAGATTCTAGATACTTAATCTCGTGGCGTCGTTTACTCTGTCCACGACAAGTTTTAATACTAAGCATCAGAATAAAGCTTTGCTTTCTCCCAGATCATGGCCGCTACCGAAATTGACACATCCAACCGTGGAGTTGCTGGCAACGAGTCTGACCTTGTCGCTGGATCAGATAAAGTGGTAGACCAAGCAATATGCGATTACATTAAAAGAAGTGGTCAACTGGAGCACGATTTCAACGAAGATGACCCGTTTTTCATTGCCGACCTGGGACAAGTCCTTAGGCAACATAAAAAATGGCAGAAACATCTACCAACAGTTGAACCATTCTATGGTACTAAGAATCCCTTCCATGTTCATGCATACACTAATATTTAGTAGCAGTCAAGTGTAATCCAGACCCGTCTCTTCTGAGATACTTAGAGGCCCTCGGTACGGGCTTTGACTGCGCCTCGATAGAAGAGATCCGTTGCGTTCTTTCTTTAGGCGTTGAGCCTTCACGTATCATCTTTGCCAACCCGTGCAAAAGTCCATCTTCGGTTCGGTTCGCAAGGACTATTGGGGTCCACCGAACAACATGTGACAACATTGACGAACTGGAGAAAATACACTCCATCATGCCTGAGGCGATGGTGGTGTTACGCCTCTACGCTTCCGATCCAGGGGCTTTAACCGACCTCGGTGGAAAGTTTGGGGCTACCAAAGATGTCGCACTCAATCTTCTCGAGCGTGCTCGACAGTTAGGGGTCAAAGTTGAAGGAGTAAGCTTTCACGTAGGTTAGTTGACAAGGCACTAAGAACAATACATATTCATTATGTATTAACCACTGATCTTTGCTGAAGGATCCGGCGCCCGGAACCCTAGCGCCTTTGAGAAGGCTCTGCGAGAAAGAATGGAGGGAGCCGACACTGATTGAAACGAATAATCCTTCTGCGGAGTTGAAGGCATCCAGAAGAACACGTTGTAGACATGTATATCACATCTGGGGGCCCACGTGCGACTCAACAGACAGCGTAGTGCGAACGGCCGTCCTCGAATCAGAGGTTTACATTGGCGACTGGTTGAAATATAAAAATATGGGAGGTACGATCTCTTTCTTCAAATCTTTCACTACCATTTTCATCAGTCTAATTTACGCTATGCAGCCTACACTACATCAACTTCAACACGATTCAATGGCTTCAATAATCAGCACAAGATAATTTATGTTTCTAGCAAAGCCTAATATTTCCTAACCTACCTAGGTACCTAAGGACCTAGTAGCTATTACAATGATATGACTTATCACTTTTCCATCAGAGAAGAAAAATGTTGCTAGGTAGCTGATGTAAATGAAAGGATGGGTCGATGTTCACCTACTTCTTCTTTGCCATAGCCAATCACACATCACGATGTTACGCTGCATAATATGTGGGATCCTAGTTGCATTTCTTTATTTCTTTATGTTTCATCCTATTTTCCCATCTGGGCATCCTTACTTCAAGCTTACCAAAACATACATTTCTTCCCTGTCACAAATTCGCTGCATTGAAATAAAAGAATGATAAACTTTGATCCGGCTTCGTTTTCGCGACCAACCATCGATATCACACAATGACAGGCATTTGCAACTGCAGACATCCCGTTGTTCAGCACGTAGCGGAGAGCCTCTGGATGTGTACTGAGTGCGTGATAAAAGTTCCTGAAGACGAAGAGCTCGCGGACCCTCAGATTAGGACCGAAAGTAGCCAAAGGATAGTCAGACAATCATCTTTAAATCTCTCTTGGCCGAGGAGTGTGGATTACATCGACGATGATTCAATAGAAACAGCTGTCATTGAGAGACTAGAGAAGACAGAGTCTACCCCGTATTCAAATGAGCGAGAACCCCCCTTGAGTCAACTGCAGGCAGAAGACGAAAACGAATACGGTAATTCCTCGATCTCGCCTAAGGCAGAGGCCGCTGGAATAAAGTATTATCCGTACGAACCCTTAGATCCGACGCAATCTATGAACGCCGGAAATGATCCATCGATTAGGATATTCCGATTGTCTCGTGGGAATCATGAGGATCCACTACACGGCATATTGATACCTATGCCACTTAATGCATGTCCAAATTACGACGCAGTATCATATACATGGGCAGATGAGACGGGCGATAGTGTAAGAAGACGGCCTCTATACATCGGAAAATCATGGCACAGACTTGCTATCACAAGAAACTGCGAGGCAGCTCTTCGACGATTTCGCCAACGTGACCAAGCAATTGACTTGTGGGTCGACTCAATTTGTATTAACCAGGAGAATGCGGATGAGAGGCGCCAGCAGGTCAGGTTGATGCCTAATATCTACTTGACAGCGAACAGCGTCCTTGTTTACTTAGGGACAGGCTCACATTATACGAGCGACGCAATGTTCGTGCTAGGTATGCAGGAAAAGTCAGCCGAGATATATCTGCATGATCCTAAATACATTGAAGCCCTAAGATTCCTCTTTCGCCTTCCCTACTTTTCTCGCATCTGGATCATTCAGGAGCTAGCTCTCGCGAAGGAAGTACGTCTCTACCATGGGTACGATCGACAGTCAATTTACTTATTCCATGCTCGAAATAGAGTCCAGCAGATATTCAAGGCTACCGCCCCTGAAGACGTTATGCCTCTTTGGCTGCAACACTACGAAAAAAGGTCCAGTTCTTCCAGAGATATAGGAACTTTGATCTTCGACGGTATGTCCAGCAATGCATCTCTACCAGAAGATAAAGTGTTTGCCTTCTTTGGCATGATATATGGTGCGGATATGGAAGGATTGGTCGCAGATTACAATCTATCAGTGGAACAAGTCTATACCGGCATTGCCGCCTATTTAGTCTCTCGAGGCCATTTGCTAGATGTTCTAGTGCGATCAAGCTGCGGGAATTCGAAGAGAGAGATATCCGATAACTGCCGTCGCCTTAACCTCCCATCGTGGGTGCCCGATTTTCGTCGAGTGACTCCAGGAAGTAATGTTTACTGTAAGTCCGCACATGGACCTGTCCAGAATTTGCCCAAACACGAAATGGAACCACGACTCGCAGGAGTCCTACGGAAGACTGGATCTTTGGTTATCCGTGGATATCTGTTGAATATCCTTTTAAAAGGATCTGCACCAGATTACCAATATGAGGATCCCAGTTTCGGCGTCCATATCAATGTTGAATTCCAGAAGGAGTTGTTCAACCCGACGACAGACACTATCCTTCTGATATACTCCAAAGATCATGTATCATCTGTATTGCATCTTCGAAGAGCTAAGGCTCACGACCACCACAACATTTATACATGCGCCGGGTATTGTAGGGTCCGTTTCAAAGTTTTGCCTAAGATAATTCATCCCGGAGTGAAGGGTCTATCTCACAGGTCTACCAACAAATTCTCTAAAGATGACATGACAAGGCTTTTATTAATCAACAGGCCCTTGATAGACGACTTCTCTCACCTAGGCCAATTCGCATTTAACTACCTTTGGACTATCTATAAATTCCTAGGGAAGAATGCCCATATAGAAAGGATATTCGATCCGCGACCTTTCCCGTGTCCCCAGATAAGCGAGAATCCCTGGGAAGATTACCAGGTATTGGTTAGAGGCGCTTCGACCCACGCCTATCAACGCGACGAAGAAATGCCGAGTGTCCAAGTCCGACTTCTAGCCTTTGCCAAATTCTACGACTTTTGGGTATCAAAAGGGAACCAAAATGTTATAAACAGCCTCGCAATTATCATCGGAGGAGGTATTAGGAGTACACGGACCAACTATAATGATCTGTGGAATGAATGGCTCCAGGATTATGACATAGCCAGATCTGCTGCTGAGAGTCTCATCAGAGCAACCATCATGCCCACAACCATCGATCAAAATATGATAGATGAAATCCAAACGAAAATCGAGCATTGGAAAGACTCGACATTGAATTTGATGAATGGGCTCAGCTGGCCTTTGTTCTTCAGTCACAAGTTTGTGGTATTACAGGATGAAAATACGGGCGGTTGTATACTGGATTCGTTGAACCCACGTCATGTTAGAGAACTATTCGATGACCCCTTTTCAGGCATTGAAATGCGGATCAAATCTCTTGGCCAGGGATGTCTCGACCGTCTCAATGAAGGACCAAGCAATCCTTATGCGGAACAATGCACCGAGTACATCACAGAACGTTTGCCGTTTTTGATCGGGGATTGGTTCCATTTTATGGAAGTGCTGTCTTGGGTCCCCGAGGGAGACACGGCGACGGATGAAGTCAGAATCGCGTTTCAACACTTCCAGTCGCCCAGCGGTGATTTCGTGCATCCTTTACATCGGAGAGACAACCAGCCCACTACCCCCCTAATCAGGGCAGAAAGGGAGACGGTCATCATTATTTAATCAGACTAGGCACAAACCATTCAGCTATAAGGAGATTCGCTCGAAGATGAAGTCGGTTTCGAAGTTTGAGTCCTTTATAAAGTTGGGCTGAATATAGATTGAATGAATTAAAATAGTTCCCCCTTTTTACCAAGACCCCTTAGTCACGGATTATCTCCGGTATTTAAGGTTAACTCCGATACGGGGTGAATAGGGACCTAGCGGGCGGTGAAGGAGTTTCCCGGATTTCGTTAACATTAGCCTATAGATAAAGTTGCGAGATAGGAACTACCGCCAAAGAAAAAAAAAGTACGCCCTTGCTTTCAAGGCCTGACGACTCTTTCCTCCTCGTCAACTTCACTACCTACCCTCTACCCTTGAGCCTTCCAAGACAATTCCTCCAACTACTGCCTCAGATGGCAACAGCCAACTCGAGTGTGGCTCGGACCAGGAATCTTAACGCTATCATCTCGACAGCTCGTGGCAGCAGAAGTCAAGTCAATCGCCACCAACGTCATGGCTTCCACATCGCAGCAGGTAAATCAGATTTCTTACTAATTCCCCTTTCCCAAATATCTACCGAGGGTAAGGGGAAAATAAAATTCAAGCATCGGGAGCTCCCCACATTATTAAATCTTACTGTCCTCATTGTTCCCTGATTGCTCCTGATTACGTACGTAACGATATCAGGTGTTTGCTATATCGCCCGATGTTCGGCTCTCTTCCTAGTGGATAGTGGATGCACTCCCTTTTTCTCGGTTCTTCCAATTCTTCCAATAGCATCTTGGACCGTCAATACCTTTGCTGCGCGACAGTGGTATGATGTACCACGTCCCACACTTTTAAGGCGAACCAGCGACGCACGCGGTCAGGCGGTAAAAGATTTGGCGAGGGTAACTTGATCGATCGTCTGGATGAAAGACAAGTGCACGGGTTTCAATTTGATCTGCGTGGGTTTCCTAAACACAATGAAGTGCACATGTCCACATGCACAAAATTTCCAAGTTCCCCAGTTCCAAGATCCGATGTCCAAGAAGCTGAAGTTAGGCTTAATATCCTATTCGTCTTCTATTCGCCCTCTCTTCCTCTCACCGTCTAACCGATTAATCCCTGGTTGAAATTCCCTCATCATTCCAATCATTTTATGAATTAAAAGTCCCCTCGCCACTTTTTCCCCGTGTTTTTCCTAGTTAGTCTTTCTTTCCATCTGATAACTTTAAGCTGGAACCATTACTGAACCACGTTTTTGTTAGCAGGAGCGGTAGTACCGGTACCGAACCTAGCACGAGGATTAGCAGGAAAACGAGCAGTAGCAATACATACCCCGCTACCGCCATTTTCAGGGTCTTTTACCCCGCCATCTCCAAGCCCACTACACCCTCCAAAAAGGCTATTTCATCACCAAGCAGCGGCCATGACGAGACTTAACCTTGGGAACATTAACCCGCACATCGTCGAGGCCAAGTACGCTGTTCGCGGTGAACTCGCCGTCAAGTCCGAGGAATACCGCGCTAGGCTTCGGAAAGGAGATAAAACTCTACCGTTTGACGAGGTCATTAGCGCCAACATTGGCAACCCGCAGCAGCTCGACCAGAAGCCCATCACCTACTTCCGCCAGGTTTTGAGCTTACTCGAGAACCCGAAGCTATTGGAGCACAAGGATATCCTCCTCAACTCCCTAGATTACAAGACCGATGTGATAGAGCGAGCAGAATGGCTCTTGGACCACGCAGGCAGCGTTGGAGCATACAGCGCCAGCGCGGGTGTTCCCGTCATCAAAGAGAGTATTGCTAAATTCCTCGAGAGTACGTTAAAAGCAAATCGCGTAAGATTTCATCAAGTTAACCTTAAATTCTAGAACGAGATGGTTTCCCTGCTGATCCAGCACATATCTACCTGTCAGCCGGTGCCTCTTCCGGCGTCAACACCCTTTTGCACATAATCTGCGCCTCTCCCAGCACCGGTGTGCTCGTCCCCATTCCCCAATACCCACTCTATACCGCTTCGCTCTCCGTCCTAAATTCCACATGCGTACCTTACTATCTCGACGAAGCGGCTCAATGGGGCACGTCAGTCGCCACGATTAAGGAGGCGTACAACAAAGCCAAGGGTGATGGCATTGACGTCCGCGCCATCGTTATCATTAACCCTGGAAACCCTACAGGTGCCTCGCTTTCGGAGGACGACGTCCGACATGTCCTCGAGTTTGCTGCTGCGGAGCGACTCGTAGTCATGGCCGACGAGGTCTACCAGACTAATGTCTTCATCGGCAAGTTCCACAGCTTCCGGCAGACCCTTCTCACTCTACAAAAAGAGCACCCGGGCAAGTACGATAACGTCGAGCTTGCGTCCTTACACTCCATTTCCAAAGGCATGGTCGGCGAGTGCGGACACCGTGGCGGTTACTTCGACCTCATTGGCTTCAAGCCTGAGGTTGAGGAGCAGATCTACAAGTTCGTCTCCATCACGCTGTGCGCACCCGTCATTGGCCAATGCCTTGTCGAGCTTATGGTCAACCCACCTAAGCCCGGCGAGCCGTCCTACGAGCTTTACGACAAGGAATACAACAATATCTACAACAGCCTCAAGACACGTGCCTATGCGCTCTACGAAGCCTTCAAGGAGATGGAGGGCGTTGAGTGCGGCGAGCCTCAGGGCAGCATGTACCTCTTCCCCACCATCCGTGTCCCCCCTAAGGCCGTCGAGGCCGCCGAGAAGGAAAACCGCACCCCCGACGAGTTCTACTGCATGCGTCTGCTCGAGGCTACTGGCGTGTGCGTCGTCCCGGGAAGCGGCTTCGGTCAGGCCGAGGGAACTCTTCACCTTCGAACTACGTTCCTGGCCCCTGGCACGGAATGGGTTGGCAGCATTAAGAAGTTCCATAAGGAGTTTATGGAGACCTATCGTTAGAGATCATATATATCCACAGAAGAAAAATAGACTCTGCGTGTCGTGTGGACGAGGGATATTCGGGTTAGGGCTAAGGAGTGAGGGCTGGCTACCGGGTTAGACTTCGGATGATGGCTGGGTTCGAGATAGACCTTAGACGGCTGTCTTGAAAGAAATGAAACGAATTGAGCAAAAACCCTGTATGCCCTAGATACGTCCTTACAAGAATAAGGTTGGTTTTGCACATTCGGAATTTCGTAGCGATTGCTTTTCGTAAAGGGACTTCATCTTCATACGATGGAATAGAAACGGGACAAGAACTCAACTCAATACCTTGGTACTCACTCTCCACTACTCCATACACATCACCTAGAAATATAGACCTTTCAAAACAAGAAGACCAAGTCTACGATGCAATATGAAACCCACACAATGTGTCCACACTCTCAAAACGTGATCCAAAAAACATCAAGCGGCTTGCAGGCTCCGTCTATGTTACGTAGGTAGGCTGGTTATTTATTGGTACATTAATAAATTTTTCTATTGCAACAGCTGAGACTTCGCAATGCTGTCTTTCTTTCTTTCTTTCGTTCCGGATGCCCCATCCGTCCCTTCCTTCCTTCCTACCCTTTTCTGCGCGCCCTAAGCCTTTACGCCCTCTCGCTGCCCCGGAGCCGCACGGCCTGCCCGTACTTCTGGAGCTTGGTGATGAGCTGGTCGCCCTGCTTGACGACGTCCTGGTACTGCTTGTTCTTGTCGTCCGGGCGGTTCGTCTCGATCACACCCTTGCCGGTGACGCGGTCGATGGTGCAGGGGATGCGGCCGCCGGCGATGAATTTGGCTAGGTCGCTGTTCACGAGATTAGCATTGCTCAAACCTTACCCAATCTCGAAACTCGTAGAAATAATATAATATAATAGCGTGGTAAAAAGGGGGGAAGAAAGGAAGCGGTGAACGAGACAGACAACATACCGATCTAAGAAATCCACCGTAACACCAAAATCATTAGCCATGCTCTCGAGCCCGACGACGCGGTAGCTCTGCAACAGCTGCTGGTAAGCGCGGAGACGCATCTCGCGGATGAACCAGCCCTTGTGCTCGTGGAGGTAGCGGTCCTGGGTCAGGAACTGCTCCTCGACCTGGGCGAGGGCCTGGAAGAAGAGCTTGTAGTGGCCGTTGTACAGGCTGCTGACCAGCTGGGCCAGGGGCGAGAAGTCGACGGCCAGCTCGGTCTCGGGCTGGTCCGTGCTGGTGCCCAGGGTCGTCAGGTTCACGGCCATCGTGGTCTTGGTGGGCGCCACCGGCGTCGAGGACGACGCTTCCTTGGCGGCGGCGGCGTCGCGCATCTCAGAATCCTCGGCGCCGGGGCCCGCGGATATGGCGCCGGTCAGGGCGAGCAGCTTGTCGTCGCCGTCGGCGCCGAGGATGGCCTTGATCTCGGGGGCGTCGACGACCTTGCTCTTGAAGTCGACCCGCTTAAGGGAGACCGAGCCGGCGAGGACGGAGTAGACGACAAGGTTCGAGTACGTGCACAGCTCGTAGCTGGTGAAGGTCGACAGGGAGTCGAGGAGCAGCGGCGCGGCGAGGTTATACGACCGCACCGTCAGCAGGTGCAGGCCCTCGTAGGCCTTTAGCCGGTTGCGGCGGTCCCAGTCGCCACCGCTGTCGACGAGGGTCTTGGCGCGCGCGACATGTTTCTTGACCAGGGCCTTGTCGCCGTAGAAGAGCCCCATGCGGATTATGGCCAGCACCAGGTCAATCTTGGTGCCTAAGATGCCTGTCTTCTCGAAGACGTCTTCGTAGGTTGCTATCGCCTTGTCCTGTTGCGCGAAGCTGTCAGCTATGTTCACGCATTGGTACATATACCAGTAGAGGACCATGCGGTTAAAGATCAATATACCTTGTCCCCGATCTTAGCAAAGAAATCAGCACGCTTTCCCTTCGCAGCCATGATTTCCGTTTCGCCAGCCTGCTCGACAGCTTCATCCTCCTCCTTCTGGAACTCCTCCAGCTCCTTGTCGTTCTCCGTCTTTAGTTTATTGTATACCTCCTCGTCCCAAGGTAAGGTAGCGGCAGTGGTTTTGCTAGCAACCATGCCGGCTGCGCTTGGTTTCCGTCCGGGGGGTTTCTGGGGCGCCGATGCCGACGTGGTCTCACCGATGGTGTTCAGGATACCCTCTGTGGGATGGGCGAGGTACTTGTACAGAGGGGCCATCTTGTGTTCATTGATGCCATCTTGTAAACTCTTCAGGGCGGCCTGCTGGGCGGGTCGAGTGGCGTAGGGATTCGTGATGGTGAAGACGTGTTGGGCTAATGGTAGAGGAGGCCATTTCGCGTACTGGGGGTCGGAACCCATGATGAATTGGGCGACAGAAGAATCGACTTGAGCTGGGATAGAGTACCAGAGGATATGGTGAGTCACGGGACGAAGATGAATTACCGGAGTATCACAATAGTATCAAATATGTCGACGTTGTTGATTGATGAAGCTTCGTAAAAACAGTTTGATAACGGTAAAGTATCAGAGCTATGGTTTATGGTTTTGCCAGCGGTTGCAAGCAGCTGCAGGCGGCCATCGGCGGACGTAACTTTCACCAGGAAACTTAGCTCTGAACCAATCATATAGCATATGTGGGTCCTTTGAGAGCCTCAGTAGCAGGTACTACGGTACAAAACAAAAAGGAAAGGTGCGGATTACCCCGGTCCTAATAAGCTCAATGCCAAGACTTACATACATTTTCTACACCTTACGTCCTCCACATTTGGAACTCTCCGAGCTACACCATGTAATAACACACCACTTTCCTTCTTCAACCTGTTTTTTTCTCTCTTGAACTCCACGAACTGACTATGATGAAGTTGACATTTCATCTCATGTGAATAGGATAATATCGAACAATTATCCAATTACATATTCAAAAACAACTACAAAGACGCAGAAATTCACTCTTCGTCGCCCACAATGGCAGGAGACGATGGCCCTGAGGAGTTTCCTCAACCTTTCGACGCAAAGCGACTCGAACCCGCTAAGAAACGGAAGCATTCGCAATCTCCAACCCGAAACAAGAGTAAGCATCGCGACGATTCCGCGGACATGCCCTCAATCGACGAACTCCCTCAACCATTCGACGCCAAGAAGCTCGAACCGGCCAAGAAGCGCCAGCGCTCGAGATCACCGACAGGCGAGGCTCCTCGAAAGCTAAAACGGCCTGGTCGCGGCGCCCGATTCTCCCAAGCAGAGTCTTCATCTATCCGCCACCGCCACGAGCAACGCGAGCGCGAAGCCGCCGAGGCCGCTGTCACGCAGGCTGTGCTAGACCAGAGAGGCATCAACGACGTCGTGCGACAGCATTACAATGCCGTGCCGGAGAGAGGTCGAGACTGGCGGAAGACGGACAGCAGAATCAAGGGGCTGAGATCGTTCAACAACTGGGTCAAGAGCACGCTGATACAGAAATTCTCGCCGGACGAGGACTACACGCCCGGCGCCCATGAAAGAGGACACGATTTGGCTGGTGCTAGGGACCACCAGCTACTTGTCCTCGATATTGGATGTGGTAAGGGTGGTGATTTGGGCAAATGGCAACAGGCCCCTCAGAGGGTTGCGTTGTACGTTGGATTGGACCCTGCAGATGTCTCGATCGATCAGGCGCGAGAACGGTATCGTAACATGAGCCATCGTGGTGGAGGCGGTCGAGGTGGTAGGGGCGGTCATAGAGGTGGCCGCCACCAACATCTTTACGATGCGCGCTTCTTTGCGAAAGATTGCTACGGCGAATCTATCGGCGACATCGACATCATCCGGCAAGTCGGATTTGATCATTCACCCATGGGAAGAAGTGGGTTCGATATCGTCAGCATGATGTTCTGTATGCACTACGCTTTTGAAAGCGAAGAAAAGGCCCGGATGATGCTCCAAAATGTCTCCGGAGCCTTGAAGAAGGGCGGCCGTTTCATCGGCTGCATACCCAACTCGGACGTGATCGGCGAACGAGTTGTCAAGTTTAACGACTGGCTTGCGAAAAAGCAGAAGGCAGAGGCAGCCAAAGAGAAGGAAGCACCTCCCCCCAAGGACGAGGACAAGGAAGATGGAGAGGAAAAGGAAGAGGGGGAAGAGGGAGAGGCAGAGGAGACGGCGGAATGGGGCAACGATCTCTACCGAGTTAGATTCCCCGGTAAAACGCCCGCGGATGGAATATTCCGACCGCCGTTCGGCTGGAAATACAGCTTCTTCCTCGACGAGGCGGTAGAGGAAGTACCCGAGTACGTTGTGCCGTGGCCGGCATTCCGTGCTATAGCGGAGGACTACAACCTCGAGCTACAGTACCATCAAAAATTTGACGAAATCTGGGAAGCCGAAAAGGACGACCACATACTAGGACCCCTGAGCGAACGTATGGGCGTCCGTGAGAGAGGCAGGGGGCCGCTTCTAGTCTCCCCGGAAGAAATGGAGGTTGCAAGCTTCTACCTAGCGTTCTGCTTCTATAAAGTATAGTGGCATCTTTACGAGCGATAGGGCTTGGCTTATGTGGTTGGTTGCAAGGCAACACGACTACTGGATGGAGGCGTTGTTGACATTGTTTATTCAAGAACCTAATGCGTTTCTTGATAATCCTAAAAGGGTCCTTGAAGTCAACATCAGCCTTGAAATCCGGCTTATCCTAATGTGGATAGGATACCATATCAAATACAATACGCTACAAGGGCACCTGTTTACCGTTAGACCGATGCTATGATGGACTGACGACAACGTTGTAATCATCCATGACAAACATAACGTAACTACATAGTAAATGGTGATATGTTAATAACTCGCAATCCAAGCTTGATTCCTTGAGATAAGCCCTACTAAGTCGTAACTTCTAGGCTAACTACGCAGTCAACATTTCCACGCTGTCTTTGCGATTTTAGAATATTCACGTACCGAATCATAAATTCGGTGAAGAAATATCCTGAACATACGACTCGTGATTTTATCCCCACTTTCTGGTTTCGGCAATGCTGCTAATTTCCTATTGGTCGAGGTCATCGTGTGCATTATCCCATGTTGCTTGCTCCTTGCCTAAGGACCAAATTAGAGAAGACACGGTCCAAGATTGTACAAATTCTAAACAGTAGCAAATATTTTAATCGGTCAAGAAACGAAAGTATCCCATTGTCGTCTTCGCCGTCTAGCCAACCGCACATCCTACATGTGGATATAACCAGTACCTATACCTAGTTCCCCCTTTTTCCCAAGCTGTTTAACTTATCCCGCCAAGTATCGCTAGTCGCTCTCTAGAATATTGCTTCCCATGACCTCCTGTCTTAGAGGCCTATTCATACATGTAATCAGGTAGACAGGCAGGTAGACAGTAAAATAGGAAACCGCTGTTAGTTAGTAATAGATTCGTAAAAAATCATAAAGATCCCCAGCCTCGCGCTTGTTATCGTCGCGAGACGACGCATACCGGTACTGTTCTCCCGTTTGTTATTGTTGTTGTGTAGATGAGACATATATCACCCCTATCCAATACCTAGTCGCGCGATTGGTGTCGAAAAAAAGTAAAAAACAGCAACGGAAACAGAAACACGCAGATACGACAGCCAACCCCCCTTTTATACGAACCGAGTATTATTATACCGCCCCGAAATACCCAGCCCCTGTGTCCTAGGGGATCCATACCTTCCGTACCAAGATAGATAGATAAATATTTTTTATCCCCGTTTTGTATAACGATTTAACCAAGCCTTCGAACTGAATAAATAAAACCCCTTCTCTTTTCATTCGCACTCCATCTCCTAGACGCTTGGAAATAGTAGCGTTGTAGGTAGGTAGGTCGGTAGGTGAATACCCTTTCACGCCCACACCCCCCTCCTCAGTAAACCCCCGGTCCGTCGAGCACCTGGCTCACCGACGCGTCGTGGTATGTCGGCCCGTTGTAGTAGTTTCCCAAGCCGCTCCCGATATCCCAGTGTCGTAGTACTCCGCGTTCGACATCGAGGCGTATGGGTTATTGTTGTTGCTGTTGTTGTTTCCGCCGTTGTTTCCGTTGTCATTATCGTTGTTACCGCTATGTTCCATGTGACTCATGGGGTTATGGTGGTGGTGGTGGTTAGTATGGCCCATCGCCGCCATGTTAGGCACCGGTACCGGCGTCCCGTACCCGCCGAAGTACGTCGGCGGTGCCATGACCTCCGCACTACTGCTGTTGCCGCTATTGTGGCCGTGATTGTGGTGGTTGTTATGGGGAGTGAGGTTGTCGAAATCTTGTGACGTGGAATGGGAAGAATCACTGGGTCTCTTGGAATGAGGTGGAGGTGGTTGTGGTGCGGTGTCCCATGTATAGCTCATGTTATTGTTGCTGTCATTTCCGCCGCTAACTTGTGTCTGCGGTTGCGAAAGAATGGGCTTAGGTTTGGTGTCGTAGGACCTTAGGAGGTGTCAGTGTAGTAATAGGCCAAGTGTTTACTTGATGGAAAGGGAGAGTTTGGGATTAGGTGGCTAAAGTCGAGCATACTTCAGGGGGTGATACATCCGTGCTTGATGGTCATCAACTGGGTTGTACATAGGCTGTTGAAATAACTGGCGTGGCATAGCTAGATGGCCGCTGGAGCTCTGGGGAAATGTTGTTGCCACGTTGTTGGTCATCATAGAAGTCGACGTAGATTCTGAACCGCTCGTGAAACTGCCGTCATTGGCACTGCCGCCGGAATCCGATGAGGCACGTCTTCGACAGTTATACTTGCGGACACCCCAGCGGATCAGACGGCCTCTATACGCTCTAACACTATGATGGGAAAGCGCGTTTGTATTAGTGTTTATTTTTCTATGTTTCTATTTACAACGCGTTTGTAGCCTAAAATAAGGAAAAGGAAACAGATGACTATAGAATAGGAGATGACAACGGGAGTAGTAGGTCAACATAATTAAAGGAGAGATTAAGGAGGAGAGGAGAGGCAATTCTCACGAGGCTTTGAACCCATATTGATCGATCATGATCTGGCGCACCACAGAGAGCGTGTTCTCAGCGTAAAGGCTCTTTATGGTGGCCTCGTACATATCCCATTGCTTCGTCATATTCGTGGTAATAATAAGTCTACTTTTTTCTTATCGGAGACGAGGCCGAGTCGAAGTTGACTACTGGTTAGGTATGGATGGCAATACATGTGGAAGTTTAAAGTCGAACGAGTAGTAGTCGGGCCATCTGGGGCAAGCAAACCGGTCGTCATTTCATGTCACGCTTTTTTTCTACTCCTTCGGGGTCGCAAACGAAAGGGGGGGTGTAAGAGCCTCACCGGAATTCCCTGAGAAACTACACTGCGCTACACTATGTGCGGGGGAGCCTACCTAAGGATGATTTATTGATCTATTAGGGAAAGGGGGCCGGGCTTTGGTCGGTTAGGGAGGGCTAAACAGAGGCTGGTTTGACCGCGCGGCTCACAGTCCCTACCTAGGTAAGAGAAAGGACCAGCGCCGCGAAGCAGGCTACGGGGCTATCCTTCTCACTGCCTGTCTTCCCTTCACACATCCTCCCCGCTGGAATTCTGCAAGTTACCTTTCGTTACCTACCTACAGCGCCCTATCCTATCTGGGTAGGCTTGCATGAGGACGGGATTAAGGGGCGTTTTATGGCCCAGGTTTGCAGGAACCACTCTTGACCTAGAGCCTTACCGCTAAGCCGGGCTCGATCTGGGTAGGAAGGATAGTGGGAAGACCCCTACAAATATCCCGTGGCTTATGGGCTTTGGGGATTGTCCTTTGCAGATCTGGGGAAAGAATCAGCGAAAAGAAAAAAACAAAAGGACATCATTTTCCTGTCTAGGCCGCAGCCACAACCCGAAGCCTGCTTCTCTAGCGTTATCGACGCAGCTCATCGGAGAGATAATTCTGCTGCATATTACATATCTAGCAATATTAGGCAGTCCTGTGGGAAATCTACCTAATGATAGGGTATTTCGACATATATGTACGTTATAGCCTTATAGCCTTACATCCTATGCTAGTCATTATAGATGCAGAGGTCGTATAGTACTTATGAAGGCTCTGCACGGAATTTTACTTGCGTATGCTTTGTAACATGAGATGAACCGGTATGCAGAACGAGCTAGAACTGCCCCCACGATGAACATTGACTCACCTCACCTAGAAGCGACACCACCTTCACCTCGGGCTGAGGCTGACTGCTCCTCATTTACCGCGCTGTTGAAGATGCTGTAGAACCCGACCAATCGGATAGGGGCTGGGATCAATACATACCGATGGTCTGAGCGGTTTTTAGTCATCGTTAGACAATAATTACTAGGTACTATTAATAGGACTGAGGTTCTCCAACAGGTCGGCCGAGTTCGGGTCTAGAAGGCATGCAAAAAGTGAATGCCTAAACAACATGAAAGGCACAGTTATATTCCAAGGACGAAGATCTTAAACCATGACATAGCCTTCACTATATATGAGATAGTTCTAGAAAATTAGGGAAGATGAACTCCAACGTCAATGATCTCATTGGCATATTAAAAGGCGTATGGAGAAAATACAGTACCACCCCACCATTATGCGCTGCAGCCTCATTCCTTTTTGTTCTTGCTGACTGCCGCATACTGATTCAGTCATGTTTCTAGGAAAACCCCGCTTCCGGCCGCCTCGTTTGATCCTTCGGTTTATACATTAAGATAGCTGCGCCGCGCCCCAAGAAAACATTGCCAAGCCGGAGCCTAGATCGCTCGTACGAGTCCGGGCCAGCGTCCTCCTCGACCAAGCTGAATCATTATTCAAACCTAGCTCACTATAATCTCACCCAACCACCATCATAGACTCGGCCGCGAAAAGATCTTCTAGTTCTTCGAGCCTGGGACGGTGGGCAGACTACGTCTCTAAGCAGCCGCCGCCTTCTTCTCATCTGTAGCAGAACCACTCTTCATGGTATCTTGTTTAGCAATTGGTGAGATCTCTGTAGGACTGCTGACAGTTTCGGCACCAGTGATACCGGTATCCTGTTCCTTGTGAGCAGCCGTCGCGTCGATCTTTCCGAGACTCGGCTTCGTCTCGCTAACAGTACCACTAGGCGAAGACGACGGGCTCTCGTAAGCTGAGCCTGTTGCACCGGCAGCGGTCCTTATAGCTTCGAACCACTTCTGAGCCTCGGCAGCAGAGTGAGCCTTAAAACTGAGTTCCGACGTTCCTGCGATTTTGCTACTGATGCTCTTGCTCTTGTCCTTCCCCTTGACGGAGAATTTCTCGCCGCTAGGAGCACCGATGACAGCATCCGGGAGGTAGATAGAAAGCTCCGGCTTTGGATCGTATCGCAAGTTATCGTCGTCCTTGAACTCATGCAAGTATTTAGAGGGGGTGACGACATAATATCCGGATTGCGTACCCCATGATAGCTTATTGCGCGACTTGCGCTCCAGACTACCTTCGATGATCGGTTTGGTTGCACTATGGTTTTGATTGGGGAACACGAGTTCCTCGACAGTTCGCGGCGGATCATTCGGATCAACGAGGCGGTGACCTTCACGAGCGACGAATCCCTGCCATTCAAAGTCGCCCGGGATACGTTGTGCCGCGCCTAACATGTCGGTGTAGAGTGCTCTGGTCTTCTCAGCCTGCCCGCCAGCGACCTGGTTCAATGCATCCATCGCTTGTTGGACCGTTTCGACTACATGGGCCTCGAAGGCTTTAAAGCTGTCCTGGACATTGATAAGGTCATTTCGGTGGTTGTTCTCCTCGATGACCTGTTTGTTCAACCTATGGATGACGCCTCGTTGGATGACATAAGGGTCGTCGTTCGGGTTCATCTTACCCCCCGTTGACTCAAAGGCTGCGGTATGCTGTCCAAGAAGTTCAATGTGCTTCTGGGTGGTATTCCTAACCTTCTCGATTTCTTTCGCCCCCTTCTCAACTCCATGGGATACCTCCTTGACCTTCGCCTTAATCTCCTTGTGTAGTCGCTCAAGGATAGGTAGGACGGAGCCCTTGAGGGTTTTTTCCGTTTCGGCATTCGAATTGATCATTGCCTACATATGTTAAACACCGCAAAAATACAACACTATTTAAGATCAAGTATCTTCTTACCTGAGTGTTGACTCGCATATTTTCGAAGAAACCGGCGACTCCGCCAAGGCCTTGGTCAAAGTGCGCCCCCTCTTTGAGAGGATGAGAGATGGTCTTAAGCACCTTCTCATACTCTTTAGAATGCGCCTTGTGAACCTTCTCTACTGCTCCGACATAATCCTCTAAATATCCTACGGCATGTTTCCAAGCTTGAAGTCTCTCGGCAAGTAGACCGGCCGTCTAGAAATAACGCGGCATTGTCAGTGGCAGGATAGAAAGTAGAGATATTTGAGGGGGGCTTAAATTCGACTTACAGTAGTGGGATCGATGTCGGGTACGGCTTCCAAGTCGCTGATATTGGTCGCCTTCCGGACGGGAAGTGCTTGCGAATCGCCGCTCATCTTGTAATTTGCTGCTGTTAATTTGCAAGATGTTTTGCGACTTTCAGATCTTTGGATGTCTTGCTTTTGATGCGCCCGCTAGGCCGAAAATCACCCCGCACTGGGAACGATGGGATCTACTATGATCGATTGACGTCGATTGAAATTGAGTATCTATTCAAGAGAAGTCAATTCTTCTTTCGTAATGGGAGAAATGGTAATGATGTGCTTCGAGTCGGTGAGATAAAATATCTGAAACGGACCCCTAGGAATTATGAAGATTAAACATTAAACAAGCTTGAGCCAAGCAATCTCCCAATGTTAGGAACGCAACGACCGGGCAGTTATGTCTGGTGATGCGAATTGGTGGATATCAAATCCCTGTGTCGATCATCAAGCTTCGACCCCGGCTGGGAATGGTGGGATAGTATAACGCCGATTTATCGATTTATCGATGGTTGATATGAGACTATCCGTCCCATCTAGCTAGAACAGGTTAGGGATTCAGTCTACAGATGAATGCTAATAATACGCAGTTGGAATTCTAGGAAGATGGTGAAGTCATTAAAGAATCCGGTCGCACAGCTTTAACCAATTGAATATTGACAGCGGTAGTACTACATCGACTATAGTTGCGCTTTCTCCCACTGGGAAAGGTCTGATAGGAAGATGATGTCATTCACCCTCTAGATATGTACAAAATTGTACGTAAGCAGGTTTTTAACTTGGAAATATCGAGCTGAAGTATCCAAGTATTTGTACAAGAGATACCTTCGTATGATTCAATCTATCCCTGTGGTCATTTTTATTAATTATCACAATCTTCTCGACAACGTTGCATCATTCGACTGGACAAAGCACTGGTAGCTTATTAAGTTAGGTATCTATCCACGCACTCACAATTGATATAGTATTTCAATGGTGACAAATACCTGAAGTAAAGCAAGAATAGGTAACTACCCCTTACTGATCCTTGGAGGCCTCAATATAATTGTCTTGTGTTTTTTTCTTTAACAAAATTGACGGCAAATGATAATCGCTCAGCCGGCAGGGACCGGCTCCAGACTAAGAGCTTGGGTATTGCAAAGTGCGACAATTCCGCTTGCGGACACGCCGAAATCTCGGGAGGGCAAATGTCGTAATCCCACCGGTTTGACTCGCCAGGACCGACATACCTTACGCGAGACCCAAGTCCGTCGCAAGGTCGCAAGCGAGAAAAAACTTCTCGTTTCTTTCCTAGGTAGCTTAGGTAACTTGAATACAACAACAGTTCTAATGCAACACTCCATAACACATGCTACGCAAGAACACACAAGTACACAACCGTAATTATCCGTGCTGAGGTTGCAAATGAAAACTTTCTTTTTATTTCTTCTTTCTCCTCGGTAACTGATTTGCCGAGGGTGTCAGGAATGGATAGTGGTATCGCTTCCTGACATTGACTGTCTTGGTGTCTCTTGGTAGTCTAAATGCCAATGTGCCAATGGTGAACAAGAACATGATGGGGTATATAACAATTCTCAAATATGTCCATCCTTAACAAAACCAGCCAATTTGGTCGCCTGCTCGAATCCCGCAACCAAACACCATTTCGCCGCTCTCATGTAATGTAAACCTATGTATGTATGTGTGGCCCGTCCCGATGAAACCAACCCTCTTTACGAACCATGGCACATGTGAATGGCCCCCTGAACCACTAAAACGCCTAGCCAAGAAATGAATATACAACAAAATAAATCACTCCGATCACGTTGGTAACCCGTACAAAATCCTCGGTTGGGGAGCATTCCCAAATGGCAAAGTAACAGTAGTAGAGTCACAATCCTCCACAAAGGTGTCGTGGCAACTAACCAGTCCTGCCTTGGATGAGTCGTAGCCGTCGCTCGCCATCAGTCCCACTCACTGCAGCATGGCTGGGGAAGAAATTAAACCCTCCCATCGAATGCCGATTGGACGACCGGTTTGTTGACGTGCTTCTCGACCCGGTGGCCGAGGGCGTCCTGGAGCCCTCCGCGTGTGGGCCCTCTGTGATGGTTGCGAGAGGGTCCGTTAGCACGATGCGGGTAGGCGAATTCGGCGAGCTCATCGAATTCATGACCGTCTGATAATCCGGAAGTGCTACGGGACCTGTATAACTGTTCGACCTTGGTAGCGGTGCCCTAGTGGCCGTTGTATAACTCGGTACTTTGCTTAGCTGCTCCAGGTCCAAGAATTCATTGTGTTCCGGCGGTGTGTGATGACCCCCTGCATGATGTGGGTGATCCTCCTCGCTTGTCTGCCGCGACAACTGTGTCGAATGCGCTTGCGAAGATTCTCCTGTGTGCTCGCCATCCTGCGGATGGTGAAATGGAGTTGTAGAGCCCGATACAGATGTCACGGAAGTGTAGGATTCGTTCCTCCGAGATTCGTCAAGAGATACGTTCTGTAACCTGGAAGATAGAGCTGCGGGAGGAACAGCTATGGCATGGGCCATCGCCGCCAGGTTTTCCGTCGAGCCCGCCCGGGACTGTGCGTAGAATGGACTGTTCATGCCGCTCTGTACCGCAGGAGTCATGAGTCCATTTGGTTCCATGTCTTCATATAACTGGTCTAGGACGTGCATCCCATAGCCTGGAGGGGCCATGCTTGATGATTCGCTCTCGGCAGTTGCCTCGCCGGAGTTCTCAGGTGCCTGAGAGACTAGATTGCCTTCCTCGTCTAATGGCATATTGGGCGAAATGAAAATAGTAATTGGCAATGATGCGCGAAGCTATTCACGTAATTGTCAGCATATACGTATCCTGTAGACTTGGTTCGTGGTGTGAAATCATACCTCAGAAATGTGACCGTCGGGATTTTTCAACGCAACGGTGAGCTTGAGTTTATGCCTGATCTTGATACCGTGAACCGAGCAGTCCTGGATGCACTTGCTCAGTCTCTTGGGCAGTGGCAATTCCTTCAAAATTACCCATCCTTCCTGGCCAGTCTCTTCGATGTTGTCATGCCAGTTATTTTCGCGGTTGACTTCGAAATTCCACGAGGTAACGTCGCGGTCGTGCTTATACGACTTCGTTGGGTTCGGAAAACTCGACACACTGAACTCCTGGACCTCAATAAGTTTAACCGTGATAACACCCATATCCAAGCCTTTCAACAGCGGTGTAAATCGCATCTCCAGGGGAATGCTGCTACCAAATACCACAGCCTTCTGCGGAACGACCACAGAGTACTCAATCTTGTTAGGCCATATATTCTCTACACTCATCGCGTGGTTAAACTCGAGGGCTGCTGGTTCCAAAGTTCGAATAATCCGGAGTCGTTTGTAAGAATGAACATTCTTGGCTAACTTCCCCCTCGAGATGGTTGCTTTCAAGACATAGGTAATACCGGTTTGGTAAAGCCCCTCGACACTCTCAGCCGTATCTCCCGGCAACAGCAATTCGAATGGCCATTCATAGTTCCCCGGGGCTAAAGTGTTGTGATGCGTCGTTTCTCCCACGAAAGGAGGCCATGTATGTCTCAGAATGGTGATCGTCCTGTCGACTTTCTGGTTGTGAATACCTGACGGCGTTTGCCTCCCGTCAACCCACGCAACTCGGCAGCTACCCATAAGTCGTAGGTGAACATCTTCGACCTTTAAGGGTTCTCTTAGACACAAGACTAAGACGCCCTTCAACAGTTGGCCAGAAGCCTCATGCTCGTTTCCACGCAAAACGATGAAATCATTCTCGAGACTGTAGCCCATACTCAGTAAATTGTTGTTGGTTGCAGTTTTGGCTGTTAGTCAACCCCCACGGTTTAGCTTACCGTATCTCAAATAGGGTACAGGCAGTTCGGCCAGCAACCGAAGTGAAAGGATTAAAAGACGGCATTTTTAATTCAGCTGTTTCAACAGCGTGTACTATTGCTTTCGAGGTAGTTACGCCTGCACTCGGTTGAGAGCCGGCTTGCGAATGTCGCCCACGAAAAGTGAACGGTAGATGGTGAAGGTTGGTCATGAGTAAGGATAGGTAGTTGGGCGAGACAGAAGTATTAAAAGTAGTTAGAAGCAACGGATCCTAGTACAAAGACGTGGGACAGCTTTGCAAGGACATGTATGACACAAGATACGAAGGCCGACTCCTTAGCGGGTGGATACACGCTACTTTTTAGTATATCTCGTTCTCCCTTGACGTGGGAATAATTTTTTTATCTTCTGAGTTGGGCCATGCCGATTCAAATACATAGTACAATGGAGACTCTGGAAATTACCACGGCTTTAAATGACGGTAACCAGAAACAGTCATGAGCGAGTAGGTAAAGGACAGGCAAAGGATATTCCCGCCGCCGTGCTCGGGCAACTCGTCCCATTTTTCTAGGTCATGGTCAGTTTTCATCGTCAACCAGTCAAGAGACTTTGTAACGCACATAGCCAGTACGTACACATTCGATGGGATTGTATGGGATGTATGGACGAATGTAGAAGTGACAAGGGCTAGATTAAGGAACCTTCGATTGCCAGGCTGCCAGGGGCAAATTTGGAACTTGGCTGGACCTTGATCGGCTTGTTTAGATGGTCTAGCTGGTTAGAAACGGTGATAGCCGACCGGGATCTACGGTTCTGAGTAGATCGTCAAATCGTTAAATCGTGAAGAAAAGTACCCAGATACATGCATGCACCGTAATGGAGCATTTCGAGTGCACTGGATCAACGGAAGCGAGGGAATATCCACCTATCCACACCTGCGGCGACGGGCTGTGTATCATCGACATTGAGATTTTTTCTTATTTTCCCATTTTTTTCTCAAAGAGGGTAACATCCATTAGAAATTGATGTACTGGTGAGGGTTCAGGTGAGAAGCTCAGGTCTTGAATTCTCCTAGTCCGCTAGTCACACCCGGTCCTAGTCAGGTGGGGCTTAGAGGCCTGAATCGGACGGTCGCACCTACTGGTATTACTGGTGGTACACATCTACTGGCAGTTGGAAAGAACTACTTCGTATTTGGTAATGTGATGGCGTGCAAGTCATGCGGTAAAAGGTTTGATAGGGCATTAGCTCAAATGTTATCCGTCTTTGCTATCCCAGTTATCCCCAATCATTCCCGATTCTTCAACTCAGTCCATATCGTCGTCCGTTTCCGGGTTCTCAGTTGTTGTCGTTGTCGGCGTACAGCAGTTTCAATTCCATCCACCCGTCCGTCCACCCACCGGTCATCCACACCTCTAGAAGACGATGGACTGATCATCCCCTAACTACCAACTATACCATCACATGTGTTTCTGGTGTTGCAAGCGTTACAGTTCGCGCCGCGCAAGTATTTAAATCGCCCGTCCCTGCTGTTATGTTACCATTCCAGTCCTACGGGCAGCACGAATTATGGGACATGTTTCTTCCTCTCAGCCAGTCAGGCTGCCCGACTGGACCTTTGACTGTTCTGGGTTGTTCCTCATGTTGGGTCAAGTACTTTGTACATACTCTGCTTGAGATCTAAGGCTCGTTTAATCATCTAGAATCATCGCATCATGATGTGGCGTGTGGAGTTGGTTCGCTCTCCTGCGAAACCCGCATATTCATTCATATGATTTCTCCAGCTCAGCTTTCCACGTCTTCAATTGCGCATTGCAACAACCGGCATGAACCAGCAATGCAACATCCCCCAAACTTGTTTACATTACAGCGCAGACTCGCACTCACACTCACCATCGCAATCAGGGCGGAGCTGACCTACATGCTGCGGCACGGGGATTTATTGGTCTCATGATGTCGCTTAGTAGCAGATATCTGCAAAAGATCTTTTTCTTCGAAACGAACAAGAATGCATTGTCTTACGAAGGGCATTTCTCCCGAAATATCCACGAGCTTCCGTGGGGGGTTGGCCTGGACTCAATTCGGCATCTTACATCTGACAATGCCAATTTCCATTCTCCCTTAAGGGCTCAAGGCTCGGCGGTGAATACCGATGAAACGACACCGCCTTATGAACATCACGATCCGTCCATTTCCATTTCTCGATATATCTAGGTAGTACCGTCGGTACCGTCCTAATTACATCGTTCTAGTACGTATGATTGCAGGTGGCTTTATTTATGACATGATCCAAAGACTGCGGATCTATGCGCCAAGCTTGATTTGGCTCAAACAAACTGCGACCTTGTCTGCTTGTATGCATGCATGGTGCCTGGAGGCTGTTCGCCTTGTGTCTTTGGCCTTTTATCGCTCTCCTTTACTCATCCGGGTCTCACAACCTCACGCTCGGGCGAACAAACAACCGGATGAACCGAAGCAAACAGTAGAGTCTACCGAAATTGTCAATTATTGCCCCGGCTTTTGGCTCAGCCCTGCGGCAATATGAACCTACATCTCAATATGCGATTTACTTCTTATTGGTTGTAAATCGTCTCGCTAATAACTATATTTCTAGAACCTAATTTGCTATATTCACCGTAACCGGCGCAAGAAAAAGGTACCTGTCTGCATATGTAACTCATACCTAAGGCCTTTCTAAACATCAGCTCCCCTTTTCAGGAGAAACTTACTCTGCCGCTAGACAATGTTCAATTGTTGATGGAGCTCAATCCCTTTGTGCCTGTTCGTCCTGGCGCAGCTTGGAAGACTTTTCCATGTCTAGTGGCGGAAACTCGTCAACCCGTCTCGACAGCTCAGACTAAAAATTTTCGCTTAAAAGGCTGCGCCGGTGGCGCCCCGCCGCATAAAAAGATAAGGTCGCGTCATCACGACATCGACACGTTTGTATACATACTTGTTGGTAATGTCTCGCACTTGCATGTAGCGATATGGTATCGTCTCATCCCTTCTTTGGGACTCCACTCCTCCTAGTTAAATACATACGTGCTAGAACTGTATTAGAGCCTCAACTATATACGGTCGCATCAACTCTCAAGCGATAAGGGATGTCTGCTGATGACTACAGGAACCTCGCATCAGTTGATCCCCATCAACTTCCAAGTTAAACCTTCGCTGCGCATACTATTACGCGTCATGTGTTGCGCGGGATATGTGCGCATACTGCGTATTCCATATCTTCCGCTGAGTTCGTATCAAGAATTCCACTTAAGCGGAGCCGAATCTCTGTCGAACCTCGACGGCCCGAGCAACTCAGCGTCATAGATTATTGCTAAGTCCGGAAGAGGTTGAATCTCTGAGGCTATTTTGAGCACGGTGATCTGTTTATTGGACGTTGTTGGGTTCCATCATTTAAGCGTCGGTCCTATCCCGTCCACCTGGGCCCGCGAAAGTTCGAAGCGGTTTTTCCCGAGATAGCACTATGAGACCCTTTCAGTTGCGGACGAGGCCTCTTACAAGTGCCTGGCATGAAATCCGTTTTAAAGCGCCCAGGCGGGCCAAGCTAGCGCTGAGCCCTGAGATTGCTAAGTGGACCTTAGTGTCGTCGGTGGAGCGGCTAACGGTGCTTGAAAAAAAGATCGTAGGTTTTCCATATCTATGCCACGTGGGGGGCACACAGGTGTATCCTACAAAAACCTGACAGTGCCTGACGATCCTGCGAGCTCGTACGTGAGGGGATTAAAGAAAGGGATTTCACACCGACCGCTCCCTGTGCATGCGCACCTACATCCGTCCATCCGTCAACTGATACCTACCTACCTTCCTATGTATGTCGGTGGTTATTAGGCTTGAGACTTGACTAGCTGCATCGACCGAACGGATTACCTTTTTCAGAGCCGTCATCCTATGATTCCTATTCCATGCCTATTTTGTTTCTGGTTCTAAGCTTGCTAACAGGGTAGCTAGCCTTACCAGCAGATAGGGTCCATAAGGGGACCACTCAGTTTCACGGCTTGCTGGGATCTGAAGGGCCGACTAAAAAATCGAGTCGAATCGAGTCAAGTCGGGAAAAAAGGCCACTTAACTAGCATTTAGTATGTACCTAATAACCTAGTTGAGGCTCTCTTCCCTAGGCGCGTTCTAGACGCGGGCGCCTCGCAGAGACGGTCCCGGTGCCGGCCGCCGACGGATCAGCCAACCAGCCTCCTCCCTTACCTGAATGCAGGTAAGCTGTCGTTGGAACGTATGGATAATAGCTGTAGCTAGCTACAGCTAGCTAGAGTTGGGTTTATTGGTCAGAGGAGGGGGGACCGAAGATAAGGGAATGATAGCTACGTATTTTAATCAGAAAATAAATCTGATATAATCCATCTATCCCCATATAATGGTGACGGGTCCTTCACATGCTTACGGTGGACGTTTTACGGTCTCGTTTCCGCTCCCGCGCAATTTCTATGTTCCTTGCGCACGTAACGTAGGAGCCTCATACATATGTAATCTGTGTGCGTGCGTTCCTGTCATTATCAGTGATGAGATGAGACGAGACGCGCATCGGCTTCCCTTATCCAGCCATCCCGTCATAGATCTAGGTTCTTCGCGTATCGACTCGCGCATGCGCGGAATATGACAAAAATCCAATTACCATAATAGCGAGTGATACGGTATCGCACGGTAAGAACCAGAAAAAAAGGGAATAAGAATAATTAAACGAAAAAACAAAGAAAGCCAAAATGAGGACAACACAGACCTCCGTTTTGAAATTCCTGTTTTAGATATATTATTATCTCCAGGAGCATCAGACGAAACGACTCGTCGAAATTCCTGCGTTGCTATCACAGGATCACACAGAGACTCCGTAACCCTAAGCTCCTTAACCTGATTCGTTCCTCGCGCAAGATCCAAAAAATGGGTAATGGATAATAAAATACAACCCATTCTTGCCCTATCCACCAAAAACTCTGCAGGCTCGACCGGGGCCCTGTCAGAGAAAACTACCGGGGTCCCGCACTTACACCGAAAAGCCACCGGGCCAGCCTCCCGGGCGGCGAGCGGCAACAGACGGGCGAGCTAGGGGAACCCAACAGGAAAACGATTTTCGTTGGATGGGGCTCCCGTCGTAGTATCCCGGAGATTTATGTCCTTGTTGATATGCAAAATCGCGCTTTAGCTGGTGACTAACGGCAATGCGCCTAAAAATGCCCTGTTCTAGCTTCAGAGCCTGCCATTCGCGCATGGGATCCACAGAGTCATTTGATTTGATGGATACGGTCGTTCGACTTTGGTTGAGCATCGCGATCGAACCGATTTAGAGCGGCACGCCTGTTTCTCTATGAGTCTGCTTGCGCTGGGGGCTCCGACGGCCGGTTCCAAGTTCTGATGTGACCTAGGATGAACTCTCTTAGTATCGTCAACAATATCCGAGTTTTGTGCGTGTTTGTACTCACCCGTCTTACAACTCACAATAATAGCATCTTCAGTGAACTCGATCCAGCTAAGTGGGTGCTTATCCGCCACCTTAGTCAACACTGGCGGTAATATCGCCGTTCTCGATCGCGGCTCTACAGGATGGTTAATTGCATTTTCTTCCGCATCTAGCAACGCCGAAACAACAGAGTCCGACCGCATCCTATCGGTAGCAACACTCTGAGTTTCGGCGCGTTGAGACGCGGGAAGTCGAGAAGAGATAGAGCCGCGCTGCCGACTTGATGTCTGTCGAGTCATGTCAGTCATGTCAGCAACTTGGCTGGTAGCGGCTCAAAACGACATACTACTTTGGGTTTATGCAACATGCCGACGTTGAAGTCCCATAGGCATAGGCGGCAGTCTTCACCCACACTACCAAAGCGATAGTTTCTCTCATCGCATCTCCAGGGGTCGAACGCAACAGACGTGACCCATGACTGATGACCTTGACATCGCGCTATGAGTGTCGTTTCTGACGGACACCAAATAGAGATCAAGTCGTCTTGTCCTCCGGTTAGGACGTATTTGCCGTCCGGAGACCAACATACGCATGTGAATCCGCCGTAATAGGCATTGTATACCCCAAGAAGTCTACAGTACCGTTAGAAGTCATTCTCATTAAATTCTTAGGGTCGGCACTTTCGGCACTTACTCTTCTTTAAGATAATCAATAATTCGCATAGTGCCATCTTCAGAAACCACCGCAAGATGACGATTGTCAGGCGAGAATTCGAAAGCGTTGATCCGCTGATTTGACAATTTCCATACAGCCACGGGATTGCTTTTCTGATTCCTAGAGTGTACAGATTTCAACACATTAATCTCTTTATAGTGGTCGACGCATTTGGGAGCAGAAACGTCTCCGTTTGACTGAGTCCCTTCCTCCTCGGCATTAAAGATCGCATCTTCCTTCTCCTTATCATAGACAACTAAGGAGCCGTCCATATGCCCTGCAAGAAATAGGTTTTCTGCTCCTGGTATCCATCGGATTTGGGATACAGGCGTCTTGTTAATTACACCCTAGCAACGATTAATAAAACCCCTTTTTGAAGATACTGGAAATCTCACATTCTTATTCAGTCTAGTATATCGTTGGGACATGGGCTCCCACCATATGATCTCACCTGTGGAGAAGCCCATGATAATATCAATATGGCTCGAACTCTTGGTGACTAAGTTGACATCGTGGCTTAAGCAATGCGCTTTTGTAAACAGAATCTTAGTTAGGTAATCAGCCTTCGTGGGAGACGAGAGGTCTAGCCATTGAAAAGCACGGTTAATGTTCGCAAAGGCAAAAAGCCCGTCACTTGGTCGATCGGCAAGCTTTTTAGAGAAAGCCTCATTAATAATGACCCTTGAAATAAAGGACGAATTACTCTTGGTCATATTATTTTTCGGTTTGCGTCGCTTGTTGGGGTCTTTGGTTTTCTCCGGTGCAAGCAAAGCATTGCCATCCCCAAAAGCCGGCGCCGAGATGGCAGTAGCAGATGTCGACGGCCCGCCATCACTAAAGGATGTGCCTCTTCCTTCTCCGTCACTGCTCAGCTTGGCATCGTTGGAGTAACGTCCCTCACTTGGATGTTCGGCGATACTCGGCGATAGTGTTGTGGTCGTTGGGGTAAGTTTAAAGAGAGCTGGAGGTGGTGGCCTCGTTTCTAGGCTGATGATTGATATCTTGGTTCCGACTGTAGCTGGTTGCGGTGTGGTCGCTAGAGGATTGGGGTTGAGAACCGGTGCCTCGGAAGGATGAGGCGGCGGTGTCGCAAGGAGCAGATCTTCTTTAAGCACATATGTTCCTATATTGCAGTCTCAGCGCGAGTCCTGAGCAATCGTCATTCCTCCTCCATTCTAGAATCATACCCTCTCCAGCTAAGAATTGGTCTTCGGGGTGCGACAATATGTTATTGGTCTCGATCATAGGCGTGGCATGGCCAGCGGCGACAGCGGCATTATACGCTGCCTGCGTAGGGTACCTCGGCGGAGGTGGCAGTACACTAAGTGCGCGAGACAACTTGGCGTTAGCCGTCTGGGCACGATCATAGTCGTGGAACACAGCATGTTCCGCAGGGACAAAGTAGCCTTACAACATCATGAGTCTCTCTTAGACCGCAACGGAGAACCCCCCTAACCGGTTGAAAAGACGTCGTGTAATTCTAGGCATGTAGATCGTACAATTCGAATTGCCCGAGGCAATTGGACGTGGTTTAGAAAAGAGTACAGCAAAGAAAATAGAGACAACCAAGCTTGCTAAGCGTCTACGTCAGCTTATAACGATAACGCCAATGGGTATAGTATAGAATTGCAACTTGGTTCAAAAAGGATATATGTTGTTGTGGAAGAAACTTGGAGAAAGAAGCCAAGGAAGAGGTTGGAGAGTAATGTCGCGCATTGTTGAAATCGACAGGAACGACTCCCATGTCAAGATACTTTCAAGGTCGGGGTTATTCCAAGTGAACGATAAACAGGGGTATAGAGACTCTCGGGATGATGATGTGGGGTAACTCAACTATTTGAAGGCGTGGGGATCCATCTTGGATGAGGGGAAGAACAATCGTTAACAGCCAGGCTACTAGCCAAGCCGCACCTACCTGCTAGGTACTCTACACAATAGATGGAGGTAGGTACACTACGTAGGTACATACATAGACATGTAACCTTGGAGATCATACATATACCTAGCTAATATGGCGTAAATATGTACATTAACATGGTTGATGAATGACGATAGATGTTCATCCAATGATTCGGGAATCTGATCTTAATGGAGGGACTTGCAGGTAGTGCTCAGGGCTGCATCCCACCTGTAATAGATGCACTCTTATAGGTGGTATATAAATGTAGCATCAAGGTCCTCGCTTATCAAATCGAGGACTACGTACGTATTTATGTTGATAATGTATAATGTTGAAATATAACTTCAACCGGTTATAATGCTATATAATTGGATAGAAAAGGTTGGCTTAATTTACACAAGTATATACCTAACCTATCAATATCATTAATTTAAGTGTTTCGTTGTCATATTAAGCCTGAAAAAATCAATACACGCATGGATGTATTTCAATATCGATGTTGATATTTCAAACATTGATGTTCAATTCCATATACGTAGGTACTTAGGGGGTACATGTGTAGGTACCTAGTCGGATAATCACAAGGTTGGCCCGAACAACATTATCGAATATCGATATGTAACTTCCGGGATATTGGATTTCGTCGACCCATTTACCATCCAATACATCCAGCAGGTTCATCCAGCTCCAATCAACTTCAACATCTGATGCATCTGATGCTCGCGAAGCGGAGAACGAATCAACGCCGCTCAACCGTCAACTACGCAAGCGATTAACGTGATCTTCCAAGCTTCAATCCATCGCTTGCTGTCTGCGCTCCCACTCAACCGGCTTTTGGACTCCATAGGCGCCTCGCAATTATCTACACAGCTTTAGAATAAATGGCATTGTATTGAAGAAGCTCCGTATTGTTGGATTTTACCAATATGGCAACAGGTACATGACCCTACGTTTCGTCCTATCCGTCGCAACATGAGTTTTAAACGATTAACGACTTCGATTTGTGCAGTACGAGTTTGTGTTTGCGGAGACGAAGGCACCGGGAAATCTAGTCTCATCGCATCCCTTGTCAAGGATGTATTCGTTAGCAACAAGATCCAACCCGTTCTACCACAAATAACTATTCCTCCAAGTATTGGGACTCCCGAAAATGTCACCACAACTATTGTCGATACGTCTGCGCGTCCGCAAGACCGGACCACTCTACGCAAGGAAATCCGAAAGTCCAACGTCATCCTCCTAGTCTATTCAGACCACTACAGTTATGAACGAGTGGCCCTCTTCTGGATGCCCTATTTCCGCTCCCTCGGCGTAAACGTCCCCGTAGTCCTATGCGCCAACAAGTCCGATCTAACCGATAACACCACTCCGCAAGTTGTCGAAGATGAGATGCTACCCGTCATGAACGAGTTCAGGGAAATTGATTCTTGTATAAGAGCAAGCGCCAGAGAACACCAGAATGTGAACGAGACCTTCTTTCTCTGTCAGAAAGCTGTCACACACCCCATCGCGCCGCTCTTCGACTACAAGGAGGGAAATCTAAAGCCAGTCTGTGTGTCGGCTCTAAAGAGGATATTCTACCTTTGCGATAAAGATCAAGACGGATACTTAAATGATGACGAGATCCAAGAATTTCAATTCAAATGTTTCGAGAAACCCTTGTCCCCCGAAGACCTTGATAACATCAAGTTATCAATAGCGAAATCTGTGCCTGGGTCTGATACTACCAAAGGTGTTGACATGCGAGGTTTTCTTCAGCTGAATAAGATATATGCCGAGAAAGGTCGACATGAAACCATTTGGATCATCCTACGTAAATACCACTATACCGATAGCTTGAGTCTGGAAGACAATTTCATTCACCCGAAATTCGATGTTCCGGAATACGCCTCCGCCGAGCTGAGCCCGGCTGGATATCGATTCTTCATGGACCTCTTCCTACTGTTCGATAAGGATAATGATGGCGGCTTGAACAATCAAGAACTACGCGCCTTGTTCGCTCCCACCCCTGGCCTACCTCTCTCCTGGGTAGAATCGTCATTCCCCTCTACGACCGTTCGCAACGAAGCTGGTTACATCACACTGCAAGGATGGCTTGCCCAATGGAGTATGACAACATTCCTTGAACCGAAAACTACTCTAGAGTATCTCGCGTACCTAGGTTTCGAGCCTCCGAATGCTAGAGAATCTCTGACGTCAGCTTTGAAAGTAACAAAATCTCGAAAAAGAAGAAGACGTCCTGGCCGAGTCGAACGAAACGTTGTGCTGTGTTACATCATTGGCGGATCGGGAGCTGGCAAATCGTCTCTTTTAGATGCATTCCTCAACCGACCGTTCGACGGCCTGTATAACCCAACTATTAAGCCTAGAAGGGCGGTCAATAGCGTCGAGCTTCAGGGTGGCAAGCAATGCTACCTCATCCTAGAAGAACTCGGGGAACTTGAGCCAGCGATACTGGAAAACCAAGTCAGACTAGATTCCTGCGATCTCATTTGTTATGCGTATGATTCGTCAGACCCAGACTCATTCTCTCATATTGTCGATCTTCGAAAGCGATACCCGCAGCTCGATGATCTACCCTCAATCTACACGGCCTTGAAGGCCGACAAAGACAAGACTACTCAACGAAGCGAATTACAACCGGACCAATATACGTCGAGCTTGATGATGAGTACGCCGGTTCACGTAAGTGTGACATGGAATAGTATCGGTGAACTATTCGTCGCTTTAGCTGAGGCTGCCACTAATCCAAGCACGGCATTCCCCAAGAGCGAAGAACCACCACCAGACCGGACAAGCCTATATCTTGCTCTAGGAGCAACTGCATGTGCTGCGGCAGCGGCATTTATGATTTGGAGAAGATCCACGAATTCTATCTAGTGTGTTAAGCATTCACTAAAGCCTACCCCTTTTCATATATACACTTAATTCTATTGGCTAGGCATTCGTCAGGCGTACGACTTTTCAACTTCATGGATTGCGTGGTTGGCATCTAATTCTTTACGAACCCCTTCCCACTGGTTTTTCTTATACATGATACCCGTCTCTACTACAGTCGTTGAACACATTGGTGTTAGAGAAACACGTAAACACACTTAGTACTTAATGAATACAATTATCAGAAATCGACTTGAAATGTCTCGCTGTACGATGCCATATTTAGTGTATGGGATACCCATTTTTAGGATGAACTTGTGTCAAGTATTGGTCACTGGATTTGTGAGGATGATACGCTGATATTTCACTGATATTTATGTTTGTTTAGTTAACCGCATTGTATCGTTAGCCTCCCCGTCGTCTTTCCCAAAACCCACCATATTAATATGCAGCATACTACTAAGGCAGCATACTACTAAGGCAGCATAGGAACTAGCACGCCGAACGAACTCCGGAGTTTCTTGCTAGAACCCAATGTCGACGAGTAATAATAATGGTAATCAGTAACAACGGCAAAAAGAAGTGGACCGCGGCGAGATAACGCTTTACGCGATCAGTCATAGCGCAGCCGAGGTTCTCGGGAGCAATTCGCCGAGTTTTCTCGATTTCGCCATCGCTTTCGCTGGATATAGCTTCATCTAATTTCCCCCCCTCCTTCTCTCGTTTCTCTCCTTCGGTGGCACATAGTGGCAGGTTCTAACGACTCGATAGCCTGCTCGCAAGGGAATAGAAACAGTCAATCGTTTTCATTACGTCTTCAGATCTTCGTATACTCAAGCCAAGAAGACCTCGAACTTGAACTCGAACTCGAATTTCGATACCCCTACCAAAAACCACATCATAGGTCAGACAAGCCACAGCGAAACCAGCCCTCACAACCTAAACACCACACCACACCACCGCCATGCCACAAACCACGCAACCCATGCCCGCGCAGCTCGAGGCCGTAAAAACCGCGATCCGCGCGCTGCTGCACCAGCCCTCGTACGATGACGGCTCCGCGGGGCCCGTGCTAGTGCGCCTCGCGTGGCACGCGTCGGGCACGTACGACGCGGCCTCGGGCACAGGCGGATCGCAGGGCGCGGGTATGCGGTGGGAGGCCGAGGGCGGGGACCCTGCGAACGCGGGGCTACAGCACGCGCGCGCGTTCCTCGAGCCCGTCAAACACGAGTTCCCGTGGATCACATACGCGGACCTGTGGACGCTCGCGGGCGCCGTGGCGATTTCCGCGATGGGCGGGCCGGAAATCGAGTGGCGAGGGGGCCGGTCCGATTTCGAGGACGAGAAGGATGAGAGGGTGCCGCCTAGAGGACGGTTGCCGGATGGCGCGTTGGGAGCGGACCATTTGAGAAGTGTGTTTTATAGGATGGGGTTTGATGATCGGGAGATTGTTGCGCTGAGCGGGGCGCATAGTTTGGGGAGGTGTCATATAGATAGGAGTGGGTTCGAGGGCAAGTGGGTTAATAACCCGACGAGGTTCTCTAATCAGTATTTTAGGTTGTTGCTTGCGAATGAGAAGGAGTGGAAGAGGAAGACTTTGGCGAATGGTGTTGAGCAGTTTGTCTATACGGAGGAGGTGGATGCGGAGGCGGATGGTGAGGACGGGGAGAAGGTGGAGGAGCTGATGATGTTGCCGACGGATATGTCGCTGCTTAGCGACCCGGAGTTCCGACCGTGGGTGGAGCGGTACGCGGAGGATAAGGAGTTGTTCTTCGAGCACTTCGCGAAGGTGTTTGCGAAACTGCTGGAGCTGGGGATTAAGAGGGATGCAAGTGGAAACGTCGTTAACGAGAATACTGAGGGGTATAAGAGCGCGCCGAAGAAGAGTGATACGGCTACGGCGGTAAAGGAGGATGAGAAGAACCAGAGGAGAAAGGAGGGTGCGAAGTTATAGATAACGGGTATAGATCGTAGAATGGGTGTGTTGGACATTTGATAGACGGCTAGATAGTTAGACTAGTATACCTAGGTAGATTAGAGTCGTAGACGTAGAGTTGGTACGATACCACGTAGAACCTATAGACTGGATGGACTGGACTAGATCATAAAGTTCATAATTCGTCGTTATCATATCATCATGTATATTGTTAGCTGAAGCCATCTCGGGTCTTACCAGCCATTTGATGAACTCGTCAAAAGGGGACAAGGACTAAAATAGCTATTCGTCCTCTTCTTCCTCTTCTTCATCGGAATCTTCATCTTCGATGTCCTCGACCTGTCGACGTCCTCTACCCGTATTTCCCCGTTCCTTCTTGACACTACGATCTTGAGTTATCCGCATAGATGAGTCACCGTCGGCATCGACAGAGTCGCTCTCACCATCATCATCATCCTCATCCTCATCCTCATCCTCGCGTTCTGACGCCAATCGACGTTGAATGAGGCGAAGTCTAACCGGGTCAGCATGGAAATCCTTGATAGATACTTCCTATAGTCAAATTAGCCTTTCTCGCTATACCGATCATATGGGTTTTTACGATTCCACACACCTTGTTGCATCCCGTCTGCGGACACCGTGCCCGTCTGCCCGGTTGAGAATTAAGGAATTGGGTAATGGAGTCCTTCTCAAAGGTATGCTTGCACACCGAACTCGTATACGGATCTCTCATGACGGCCATGGATAAGGGGCAGTGGATATCCAACTGCTCGCCGGCAATCACTAGGTCCTCGTCGTCGTCTTCCTCGTCCTCACCCCCATTATAGCCAAACCACTTCGACGCATCCGGCAACGGCTTCCCATCATCGCCGTGTACGGCATCATGCCACAGGCGCTTGAATCCGATATAATCGTTATTCAGGCCATACTTCTCATGCAAGGTCTTCGACGCATACTCCTCCGCCGCCCGCTCTTTCGCCTCCTGCAACACACTAGTCGGCTCCTTCCACGAATCCTCCATCTCCGCATCCTCGCCATCGCCCCCGCCCCCACCACGGGCCCCACGCTTGCGCACCTCATCCTCGAACATAACCGCCATCGCAGCAAGCGCTGCGTTCCCATCCTCGAGCTCCACGCGCGCGTCAATCACACTTCTTACCGCATGATCGCACTCCGCCGTCAGCGCGGGCACATCGTTCCTCAACGCCAGCACGGCCTTCTCCTCCGCGCGCTCGCGGTCGTTCTTCTCACCACCATTCTCGGCCCTTTTTTCTTGCAACCGCTTTAGGCTGCTCTGCCGCTCCGCGTACCGGTCGTTGATGTCGCGGACCGCGGCGCTGAGGAGCTCGACGCTCTTCTTTAGGTGCGTCTCGTAGCCCCGCGTGTCCTTGCCGTTCGCGAGCTGGGAGAGCTCGCGTGCGGCGCTGGCGTTGAGGGGCCGGGAGAGCGGTTCGTAGGCTGGGAGGGGGGTGGGGGCGTGGGTGTGTGAAGAGGAAGTGCTGGGGCGCGGGCGCCCGGTTTGGAGGCGGCGTTTGCCTGGGAGGTTGGACATGGTTGTTTGGTTTCGTGTTTACTAAGATTACGATTGAGTATGGAGGCGAATTGAGCGGTCAATTAGTTGGGTTATAGCACATTAGTTGTCATGTGTAGAGTTGTTTGGTAGTTGTTGATCGTGCCATGGATGATGGTAAGGCTTGGAGAAAATACTAGAATATTGACTATACTTTGTACGCGTCGAGGCGCGCCTTCCCGCTAAAGTGCCTTAGTTAATCCATTATGCCGGCATCCATCCTAGTAGAAAGCGTTATCTAAGGTTATCATAGTGGGGAAGTCCCCTAGGAATGGCGGGGCAAGAACCCCTCGGTGGTCCGTATCGATGTTATTATATTAATTCGCATAATCTCGTATAACTTCGCATAACTTTCATCGTACATGGCCGAGAATCTGGTCCTTTCCCCATCTCCTAGACCAATCCGGCTTTTCTAGTCCAATCTAATACAACTTTTGATATCTCGAAGCTTTAATGAGTATCACGTCATTACAAATGGTATAATTCTAGGGAACCCCAAAACGTTCAACAAAGGGGAATCTCAGGCTCTCAATCGCCGTAATCACTCTCACTCTCATGTCCGTCGCCCCCAGTCATCTTATCATGGACGGAATATAATGCCCTAATCCACGTATCGAGCATGGCGCTTAAAGAATGTTCTTGGTCACGATCTAGCCGCATGTCGTAGACCTTGTCCCGTAGTCTCTCGTAAGCTTCGATCATGACCCACACCTGCAGCGCTGATGTCTCCGCTGACGGGCGAAGAGACGAGCCACTCGCTGCCGAGGATAGTTCGCGCCCGAGCAGGTCGAAGCAGATCTGTAAGCTGTGGCTTCCGGGTGATGCTCGTCTCGGCGGAGGAATTGATAGCCTATGCGGGTGAATATCCCGTGGCGAAGGAGGTTCGGGCGAGACTGAAACTGGCTTGAATGAGACAGTGTCCTCCTCAAAGGCTACTAATGTTCCGTCATCTGAGTGAGGCGATCCCGTTGCGGATGAAGTATCGGGAATTTCATGAATGGTGTCTTCTCGGACGCCGTACTTATTCACGCTAGCGTGGTAGGGTTCCTCATGGCGCGACGGCGAAGACGGTTCATTTAATATGGCGCAGCTCGATTCTAGCAAGGCCCTATACGATTCCGCTATCATCTCGACGCTCGACACTCTATGAGCTGCGAGTTCGTTCTTTCGCTTTGTGGGGTTTTCTAATTGCCCGATGTGGTGCACGGGCGTCTTTGCGTACCGTCTCGATAGCGAGGCTGTAGAAGGTGGAATAGCACAAGATGCCCTCTTGTCTAGCTGCCTTCCCGGTTTCGTTTCGGGGATACTGAGATGCGCGAGCTCGGGAATCACTTGCATAGAGTGCCGGTGAGGCTTATGGCTTGGTTGCACGAGAGGCTGTGTGCGACAGAGATATCCGCTCTTGCGGAGCTGTTCGAGCCATTTGCCATCGTTAGGGTCAGGTGTTTCCGGAAATGCCCTAGGATCGGGACGAGGAATAGGTTTCGAGATCGCTTTTGCTTCAGTATTTGGGTTGGCGTTGGTGTTTTCGGCCTTCTTGACGTCGTTGCTTTCGCTGGACTTATGCCAGCGCTGCTGAGTACCGATCTTTTGGAGCTTCCGCCTTAGCTTCTTACCGGTGCTCTCCGGCTTCACGACAGCAGGCTGCTCTGTTATTATCGTCGAACTTCTATACCAATTCATCTTGAACTAAAAGATTACATTACTAGAGAAAGACGTTGAGATGCAGCAATACGAAGTGTGCGGGAATGCAGTGCTATAAGACAATACGAAGCGCAGACGTTTTTTTTAGTGATTTCATTGCCTACCTACCCAGAGTTACATCAAGCAACTTTTCGCACGATGACGTTGGCGTATCGTGGGATTGTCTGTGTGTCCACCGCATCTAGTAGAACCAATACGAAAACCGGATTTGCATAGCCCCTGAACACCAAGTCACATTGGTGGGTTGGTTAGCCTGGCTGACCTGCATATGCAATCGTGATGGCCTTGTCGCTCTGCAACCCGCCAACTTGGGAGCCTGGGAGCCTGCTTTTTGCCCGGCTCTGCGAACTAGCTGAAGCCGGACTAGAGGGAAAAGTTTAGTGTTCCCGTCAGCGGTGATGAAATCGAAGCACCAGAGCCTTTCCTCTTCACTCGAGCGGAGGGACATTTTGGCTATTGGATGCTCGATGAGGGGATACTCGCCCGAGTTCGCTTAAACTGACAGATAATTCAACATCCAACCGTATTTCCATCCGAGGTGATAGTAAAAAGGACTCGTCTACGAGCTAGATAATTGATAGCCAATAGTTCTAGTTCCATCTCATCGTATGAACCTGTCTTGGCATGGAATGCCCCATCGTTCGATTGCTCGATAGCGGGCTGTAGGCGTGTCGTGCAGGGAATCATGCAGGGTATTACTATGCAGTGAGACTATTTACTGCCGATACGAGCTGGTCGAGGCCTACAGCTCTGCTTTGGGGGTTCGGCGAAACGCCTCGCAAGCCAACCAACACCAAAAAGGTAAGAATTTTTTCCCGTTACAGCTCGTAACCCAAGGCTGCATATCGATAGATTGCGCTGGTGTTGTCGGTTTCGTCTATATTACTTATTTCCGTAGGGTTAGTTGTAAGGCAGCTTGTAGGGTAGCACCGTGGTGTCGCTGCGCTACTTACCGAAACAAACCGGCGATGAGACCTGCTGAAGAAAGGGAAAGAATAGGGTAAGACCTGCAGATAAGGCTGCTTATAATAGAAGCAACACCACGCGAGAAGACGGCACGGTGGGGGATAACGACACCGCTATTCCTCCGCATGTAGGTGTGAACCATTGACGCTGCCACGCTCTGTAGATAAGATTCTGGCGCAGTTCGTCCTACCCCAACGTTTCTATTCCGGCCTCCATGCAGCGGTTAATAGTGCCGATCCGAGAGCCTTCCCGGATCTCTCGGGCCCGGGTGCGACCGAGTGTTGGCACTTTCTGTGGTCATGCTTTCCGAGAAGATATGTTGTGGTTCGTTTCAAAAGTTGCGATACTTTATCGACATCACAGATCGCCATTTCTTGAAAGAACTTGAAGCCAGTACCTATGTTGGTAAGATGCCTAAACTTATTCCCCGCTGTGAACTCACTAAATCTAGGAACGTCTCACTAGGGCAACCTATCATCCAGTCCATTCAGCTTCAACCTCACTCATCTAACTACTGCTAGTACCTCCATATCCCATAGCAATCGCCTCAATGGTGATGTTGATGCGCTGACAGGTAGGATTCGTCGGCAGCCGCCCGAGATTGGCGCCCAAGACCCACGATATCAGTAACTCAGGCGCGAGGCCCTCCTCCAACTGGACATTGCACAAGTACCAATTATTATAATATCGATACGGCTGGCTCAGTGTGATACTATTTCCACTATTACTACTGTTGCTCATCGTAGTGTCGTCGATACCAGTCATCATCAAATTACCGCTGGTAGAATCGAAGCCGAGTACCTCGGCGCTTCCGGTCTGGTTAAAGATCGGAACCGCGACGTTAGTCCCGGGATCATATACCAGACCCACAGGACCGTACATTGCGATCCCATTTTTGCCGACTGCGCCATTGTCCGCCCAATGCCACGAGAGATACCCTGTCGTGTAGTCGGCCTGGGCGCGCGACGTGAAGTAAACTCCGGCACCCTTTGAGGGTAGTGTCATGACCCCTTGCTCGTAACAGAGGCCTAGTGTATCTAGGCACGGATATGCATGGCCTACATATCACAGAGTCTATTAGCGCTAGACTGAGTCCGACGAAGGAAACCAGTGTGAGGTGACCTGGAGATGTTACCGTCGATAGAAGTGTTGGCGACACTGCCAACATGTAACTGAAAGGGGCCATTGGCGAAGACCTGGGCTAGAGTATTGTAAGCTTTTGCTAATGCCAATAATAACGATATCCTTCGAAGGGTCATGTTGCATGGCCTAAGATATTGTCCCTCTTCACCCTACAAATATTCTTAGGAAGCCTAACGCTTCTAATGTAGCCCTTCCGTTCATTCTATTATTATACCTAATGAAGTTATCTTTACGTAGGACCATCTCAAAGGACACCTTGATCTCATCGTGATTACAAGCTGTTCTTGCGAAGAAGCAATTTCTCAGGCCGCCAATCTGTGATATACCTTTTAATGAGGCTGACTCAGATAGACCGAGACAGATTCACGATGGTGTTTGAAGGCTGTATCGTGCCTTTTTTAGTACTACTAGCGAGGCTAGGTGTTCTACTCCTACATAGGTATTTCAAAAGGTAGGGCTGCCTTGTTGCGAGTCTAGGTACCTAAGTACATTCATATGTACCTACATTATCTATGCCTATTTGAAGATTGATTGTAGAAATTTGTCAACAACCAGGCTGTCTCGGATAATCGCGCTACGTCCAAATCTACGACTACCGTGAAGCGAAGGTAAATATGCGACTATATGGCACGGCAAGCAAGGAATACATCTTTAAATTACAATGGCACATGTCTCAATAAGGGGGGGTCATCGGAATCCTGCTTTGACAGCTGTGAAATTTGTGCAACGTCTATGTCCGTCGTAGCGGTTCGCACGTGGGCGTTCTAGGTTGGAGATAGGCATGCTGTGTGACCCATCGCGAGCTGCACGTTTCGGGCATTGGACGGGAAATGGAAACCGGTGAGATGATCCTGGGTATAGTACCGTCCAGGATATAAATTAGATGACGTCCTAAAAGGGCTGGCGATTCAACAGCCTCGACCTGGCAAAATTTTCGAGACGCATAGGATTGCTTCGTTTAAGACGTGAAAACATCACCCCTTTTGAACTGATAGTAGAACCATATGGTACGAAGTGGATGAAGCATATAGTTGATAGGGACTAATGAGGTTACAATAGTTGCCTGGTCAGGGCTGCAACAGTACAAAGAAGGATGTGTTGTACAGCTTGCCGAGTGATCACAAAATGTTCCTCGAATGTCGGGTAACCTTAGTCAGGTATTGTGCTGCTCATCTGGGGCAATTACCTAGTAGCTATGGCTCAAGGGGATGAAGAGTCGAGATACACTATGAGACCGATGGAGGCCCAAGGTACCGTCACATTATGTAAGATACTGGTGCAAACAAAGGGGCTGACCAATAGTAGATGTCTGAATTGCAATCCGACCAGGCCGACCGGTTGGTTTGAAGATGCCTAGTGCTTGATCAGACCATTGAAGTGGTAAGGTTATAAAATTTGAGGCTGAATAAATCAGCAGATGGTCCAGATCTACCTAGCACGGACTATTAGACCTTGCTAGACCCAACCAGGGTTCAGTCGAAGTAATCACAACTGCCATGATTGGCCAACTTCAAACTATCAAAGAGGCCTCTGACCAATAAGCGTCAACATGATTACCATTCCCTTTGACTAGACGCAAACAGTGATGTCAGTCATAGACTTACATTGGTAGCAATAGCCCATCCTCCATTGGTCAAGAGGCGATGGACTTATAGCTACAAATAGCTGTGTATTCCTTCCTCTCTGGTTGCTCAAGACATCAGACAAACCATAGCTCTCTCATCCACGACAACTGCAAACATCAAGCTACAATTCACCTGTCACAATAGCCCTTTAACTCTTAACCTATCTACATCGAAACCTTTCACAATGGCAACCGAAGTCTTGAAGGCAACCCCCACTTGCTGTGGCAAGAGTGCTGGAGGCGAATGTGTCTGCGGTAAGTCCAAATATCTACCTAGGCTATATCCGGCTGAAGGCGGCAAACTGACTCTTCTCCCCTTTCACAGCCAAGCAAGCCAAATGCTCTTGCGGACAGAAGTCGGCCCTCGAGTGTACTTGTGAGAAGGCACCCCTAGAGAACACCGTGAGCGGGGCTCGATGCTCATGCCGCGCCCGCCCTGCTGGCCAATGTACCTGCGAGAACTCGGCGACCGAGAACGTCCCTGTCGCCGGCAGCGCCTGTGCGTGCGGTGCCCGTCCTGCTGGCTCGTGTACTTGCGAGCTTGCCGGTTCGAATCCCAACCCGAACGAGACCGACTTTACCACACAGAAGTAGGGGGCTCCTGACGTGGTGTTACGACATATGATATTCTGGGCGGCGGTGACGGCGACGGCACTTTCCTTGCTTGGGGAAATCTGTTAGGGGTTCTATCAAATTGCGACGGTCGGAGTCTGGAGTTCGGTCGATGGTAACAAAAGTATTATTAATGCTACGGCATTTCCCTCGAGTTCCTCTAGAGTATGCGACTGTCTGCTGAGAGGTCGTTTACAAGTATCTGGTTTCTTTTCTCATTTTCAAAATACGATGAGGAATGCATTTGTAATTCGACACTCAAGATTTTGATCGTGTAAATGGGGCTCTAACGAAGTTAGGATTGGTAATATTTGCACGTACTCGATGGACTGATGGTATGGATGTATTTAGGTACTAGGAAAGGAATGCTACACCTGACAGACCTGAGCAGATGCCACTTATTCTTGATTATATAATATCGATCATATTTGGAAGCTAAACCATTTTTGAATCCTTGATCCTGGGTACGTAGGTACATGTACACAATTAGGACAAATTCATCCTTGATCCTTTCCGCAGAAAAATATTCTATTGGCTGATCAAGCTTGAAGTACCTAAGTACTGGATAAATTCAATTGATTCAATTGAGTTCATGACCGCTTTTCCCCTTTGGGATTTCTGCCGGCCAGAAATTCCTAAATTGACAAGGTTCATAGGAGCTTGGGCGCTGCAAGGTACCTTGTACACGAAATAAAGATCGGGTTAATGCTAGGCGGTGAGCTAGCTACTTACTGATCTGTGATCCGATTAGGCCTGGCGGACCCCACTAGAGCTGCGGTAAAAAAGCTATAGTGGGGCTCAAGATCGCGTTAGCCATTGTTTTGGTACTAAAATTTCGTGCTACGTTTGTACTGAAGTACAATATTTTGATGCTACAAGCGGCCTTGGGCAGTTAAGGTACCCGGTATAACAACTCAAGCAAAAATTTCCACCTTCGCGTTTTTTTTGTTCCTACAACCAAACTTTCATCAACGAAAACACTTCTTTTTTTCTCGAGCAACCAGTTGTCAATTGTTCTCGAACGTAACAGAGAAGAGTTTTCTCGCTTTGGTTTTCCGCAGCATAACTTCATCTTACGATCTCGTCTCACTCCAAGACACTCCCAAGTAATTGTCGAGTGTTGCAAATCAGGTCACGCCTCTTGTAGAAAGACGCGATTTTGCATTACATTGCAGACCATTATCAGCACATAACTTAAGTCACGCACAATTCATCCACCTCTTACTCATTAACAATACTTCCCATCTTTTACCATCATCTTCCATCCGCTACCATACCACCATCCACCATCATCCGCTACCATCTGCTATCATCAATTGTCATCTTCCACCGTCGCACATATACTATTCACCCATCCATCCATCAAACCTTTATCAATCAACCAATTCTAAGGGTTCGCTAGAGATCCCTCTTGAGATCCACCGCGTTCCTTCTACTTCTATTCATTACTTTACGCTGGTACCTACGGGTCATCTTCGTACACGATGCCTCCTCGTAGTCGCAAGCCCACCGGCGCAGCAGACGCAAAGTCTGCCCCAGCAGCTAAGAAGTCCACCGCCAAAGCCCCGACTACCAAGAGCAAAATCACCAAGCCCGCCCCAGCTCCGAAACGCGCCTCCGCTCGCGCGCCGTTAGAACATGACGATGAGAGTCTGCCTGAAGGTGAGACTGGCGTGAACGGACGCGCCAAAGGCGCTACACGAGGCGCCGGAAAGTCCGCAGCCAAGCGATCTAGCGGAACGGCCGCGGACGCGTATCTACAAGAAGCTATCGGTGCCGAAGAAGCCGAACTGAACGGCGACAGCAGTGATGGATCAAAGGGTTCATCGAAGCGTAAGAGAGAAGACGAAGATGATCAGGATCAAGAAGAAGAACCTGAGACCGCACCTCGAACGAAGAGAGCTAAGAAAGCACATGCTGGTGAGGCTCAACCTAAGCAGCCTACCAAGGCGGCACGAGCAAAGACTACAAAGGCTGCGAAGACCACGAAGGCCGCTGCCACCACGAAGAAGCCCCGCGCTCCTCGAAGCAAACCTAAGGCTGAAGAAGTCGAGGATGATGAAGTTGCTGAAGATGAGGAGCCGGAGGAAGCACCTCCCGTGAAGAAGAGCCGCACTACCAAACCGGCAGCGAAATCAGCCGCTGAACCCAAGCCCGCTAAACCGGCTGCTCGCACTCGAGGTCTCGGTGCCAGAGGCGTTGCAATCAACGACGTTCCATCCAAGCCATTCGATGTCTTCGTCTTTGGTGAAGGATCCTCTGGTGAACTCGGTCTTGGTAGCAAGAAGTATGAGGGCAAGAAGCCCATTGACGTAAAGCGTCCTCGAATTAACCACAATCTGAAGGGTGTGGTTGATATCGCTTGTGGTGGCATGCATTGCATTGCCCTAACCAATGAGCAAGTTGTTTTTACTTGGGGTGTCAATGACGATCGCGCATTAGGCCGTGATACTTACTGGGAAGGCGGCACTCGTGACGTTGACGACGAATCCGACTCTGATGATGATTCGGATGACACTGGTGTGAACCCGAACGAAAGCACTCCTGGCCGTGTCGACCTTAGTGTCCTCCCAGAAGGCACAAAGATCTCCCAAGTGGCTGCTACGGACTCGGCCTCGTTCATCCTTACCGACGATGGTTGGGTCTATGGTTGGGGAACCTTTAGAGGTTCTGACGGAATCATCGGATTCAGCGATGGCGTGCGAACCCAGTCTACTCCCGTCATCATTCCTGGATTGAAGAACATTAGCCGCCTAGCATGTGGATCCAACCACGTCCTTGCACTTGATCTGACTGGCAAGGTCTTTACATGGGGCAGCGGAGGCCAATTCCAGCTTGGCCGAAAGCCGCTTAGCCGTCTCGGAGGCCCAAGTGCCGGCCTGAGCCCTCAGCCTTGTGGAAAATTCTCAAAGAAGCATCGCGCAGTCAAAGTTGGTGCTGGTTCGTACCATAGCTTCTACATCGACGACAACGATCAGGTCTGGGCCTGGGGTCTGAACAACTACGCACAGACTGGCCTCAACGAGAACACTGGCGAAGATGATGCAATGGTTCTTCAGCCACAGATTGTCAAGTCACTTGAAGACCAGAAGGTCTCCCAGATTGTTGGTGGCGAGCACCATTCCGTCGCTTGCACGGCAGACGGAAAGCTGCTTACATGGGGCCGCGTAGACGGTCACCAAGTTGGCCAACCATCCAGTATCTACAACGAGGACAATGCCTTATTCGATAGCAATGGCAAGCCTCGGATTCTTTTGACGCCCACCCTTGTTGATGGTATGTCTTATGTTTACCCTACTGTCCTATATGATGAACGCAGCGTGCTAACAAACTCAACAGGTATTAAGACTACCTACGTCGCAGCTGGTACGGATACCAGCTTCGCCATTGACGAAGCCGGCAAGGTCTATTCCTGGGGTTTCTCCGCAAACTACCAGACGGGACAAGGAACTATTGATGATATTGAAGTTCCCACTGTCATCGACAACACTGCCATCCGTGACCGCAAGATTATTTGGGCTGGTGCTGGCGGTCAATTCTCGATGGTTGCAGCTGCCGCCGATGAGGATCTGCCTAACGGCCATTAGGTGGTATTGTAAGTTGGGATAACCGGGAGGTTTAAGGTGCATTGAAAAGGATTGGTGTACTCGGGAGGGCGTGTTTATACCAGTACCTATACAACATTTTGCATTTCAGGTTCCAGGCTCAAAAGGTGATATGAGCCTGAGGGGACATCTCAGCAGAGCACGAAGTTTTGCGGGTATGAGGGAATTGCCTTGAAAGATGTCCCAGATTTTGCAGCGAACGCATGGAGGCTAATGAAGAGCCCGATATTAGGAGACCTCATGTACATTATAATTGCAGATAATGGCTAGCGCTGCTTTCTCCCCGCTTGTACATATATTCGATATGGGCTTTTATGGCCATCGAACTGGGAATTTTGCTCGATTATATTTGTTTTTTTATTACGTGACTTCTCGGCTATAAGAACTACTAACTGCTAATAGGTATCCGAACAATAGTTGTAGTATCAACCTGATTACACTGCCTAATTAAAGCGAAGCACCGACATCCCGTGGCAAGCCTGGTCAGCTTATTTAATCACGGGCATTTGCAGGCATCGAATGAGCGCCTGTAATATTTCCCCAGATAGGTATCCCCTAATTTCGGGCAGCTCGCGGCTAACGACGCCTGCAACGGTGCGGTCGTGCTACCGTCACTGACAGCTACCAATGCATAATATAAGCGGCTGCGGGCGCCTACATATACCTGACACCTGAAGCTGCTCAGTACTGCCTGGATAATTTATATAAGACATCGATTAACATACGTTCTTCGTCCTCGGAAATTGGAACATCAAAACGGCGGCATATTCTCTTGGATATTTGGCTACGGATATAATAACGTACCGGCCTATACGCATAATTCACGAGACAGTACGGTACTTCCATTTAGGTCAGAAAATATGGGATTGCTAGGCCGTCTGCTCTTAACCATCGACGCTGCGGGCTTGGCCGTCGGGGCGGTCGTTGCTGATTGCCTCAACGAGACGCATATGTTCAACCCGCGATGGCGACCGCACGCCAAGTGAGTTTTGTTTTATGCTTATACCTATTCATTCCCCTTCCCCCTCCCCCTTTATAGCCTTGATCATCTTCCTCACTTCTCAAATCATACTTAACTACAACATTCACTCCACCAACTCCCCTTTACCTCCCCCCCCTAAACACCTACCTACCTCACCACCTACTGACCTACCTAAGCTAACGCAACCCCACAAGATTCCACAACGCCCAAACCGTAGCCCTCGCAATAATCCTCGCAGCCCTGACACTGTACTACTCCTGGCGACCGGCCCGGACGCCGGAGCTGCGCCGCGAGTTCGTCTTCGCGAGCGCCGTCGCGGGCTCCATATACTGGGTCGCGGGCCTGCTCGCCATCCTGGCGCCCGGCACGATGGGCGTTGACCCGGAGTTCGGGGGGGCCGGGGTTCCCGCAGGGTAAGGTGTTCGTTGGGTTCATGAGCGCTGGGGTTTTGGGGGCTTGGTTGGAGTGGTGTTAGCTAGGTGCCTAGGTGAGTGATAGGGCGGGTTGGGTTGTTAAGAGAGGAGGGGAAGGGGGCACGGGGGGAGAGGAGTGGGTGTTGCTAGGAAACCTGAGGCATATGTCCGGGGATTTGACAAATCGAGAAATGATGGTATTGTATTGTACTGTATAAGTTGTCAGGAGCCGTGAGGTTGTAAGAAAGATATGGAAAATCTCGACTATACATAATGGACTTAAACTACCCAAGTCGAGGAGCGAGGGGTGACCTCATTGGAGATTTGACGTGAATACACATAAGTATGCGCTTTGCTGATCAATAGTCCTAGCGTAGCATAGGTTTTGAAAACTACCTAGGTACGCAGTCATACTCGCTCTGGTCCAGTTATAGCCGCTTTATTTGATAGGACGTATAATGCCCCCAAATAATAACCATACGAATACCTGGTTATAGAATAGGTAAAAAGATGGACGGGTCGATTAGAAGATTGGCACAATAAGGCTGACGTTCTAGGACATCTCTTGCTTTTCTATCGGGCCTTTGTGCCGCGTGAAACGGTAAGCCGCCATGTCTTATAATCCGCCTACTTTGCCGTTTCATGTCCTAACATCTTTGTATTAGACGTGTGTGGTTATGGGTGTATTGCTCGGGCGGGAGTGCTTGTCAAACGATGTTATGGCCTTTAAGAGCTACCCATTTATCGAGATCTAATTTCTGGTATGGTTGGTAAGGCTTGGAGTCTCACTGGGATGTCATTCATTAGTCGTATTTCTCCATTTGGGCCGTATTCTGACGATTCTTGGCATACTTTTGGTATGCTGCGTAATTCGACCAAGTGAATTATTGTAGGCGAATCATACTGGAACATCTAGAGAGGCGTCGAGGCTGTTTGACCGGACTTCCGATGCACGGCGGCGCCACTACTTGGGCTATGTCATATGTCAAGTTCTAGGCATGTAAGATTAACAATGCGTCATATTAGCATTCATATTCCGCTACTTTATACGTTAGATTCGTCGCTGCTCGTCAACGACCATGCTTGTACTTCATTTCAACGGCCTCATTTATCCTATCACTGTTCAGTTGTCAGTTTTTTGCAACCTTCTACGGAAAATGTCTAAACAGATACAGTACTACCAGAAACCTGTACATGTTGTCGGCACGTGTATATTTTTGTCGGTGGTGGACATAATAGTGGTAGGGCTGAGATTCAAGGTGCGGAAACTCCAGAAGTTGCCCGTAGGGCCAGATGACTGGATCATAATACCGGCTTTGGTATGCTCCCTAATGGACCGTGGACCCGGCCTTGGTCTGATTGATTGACTGATGAAACTACACAGCTTATGACAGTGCTTATGGCAGTCGACATAGTGTACGGGGTTTTTCAAAAAGCGCTTGCGTGCCAAACTGAAGTACCACCTGGATCTACTACCGACCTCACATTCGACATCATCACGAATCAAATTCTATTATCTTTTAAGGTACGAAACTCAATCTGTCGAAACACTAAGTTCCTAGCATTAACTGATAGAATGTCAGATTGGATACATGTTTAATATAGCGTTTGTCTTAGCAATTGGTCTCATCAAAGCCAGTGTGCTCCTCTTTTACCTTCGAATATTTTCTATTATGAAAAGCAAAGTCCGCGCGGTCCTCATTACGTTAATCACCATTGTTGCTATGTGGGTAATAGCCTGGCTTTTTGAGTCGATCTTTAACTGCAAGCTGAATTTCTGGGCCGTTTGGGGGACATCTCAAGACCTTAAAACGAAGTGTGTGAACTTCTTTGGTGCCGATCTAGCACTCTGTGTCACGGACTTCATCATAGATATCGTGATAATCGCTTTCCCTATTCCACTTGTACGTAATGTCATGTTCGAACCCTTTCTCATGCTACATCATGAAGTTCCTAGAGCATTTCACATCCCTGACCGTACTACAGATATGGCACTTAAATGTATCAACTCGTAGAAAAGTCGCGACGAGTGGCATATTCCTGCTGGGAATTGCGTAAGTTATGACACCTTTATAGTCGATAATTGAATACTAATGTTCTTAGTACGATTATAACCTCACTGATTCGGGTTATTATGTCGGCTCGAATCGTTGCAATTGGCTTAGCCACCGATTCAGACCAAGTTCGTAAGTAATTTCATTCCAGCCTATGGAAGGCTTAGACAGCATCTAATAATCTAGTCACGATTACCGTTTATCTCTACTGGGGGATGGTTGAATGCGGCATTGGTGTAGTTGTCGCTTGCCTTCCGACATTAGCTTTCCTCTTCAAGGACTTTACCTGGAGATCTATCAGGGTCACCATGAGACGCCCCTTTACTAGGACCCCTCAAAGTTCAACAAGCCTAGACCATGATTCTATTTATGTACAGGGTTTGACACATGATATCTACAAGAGAGCGACCAGCTCATCTAACGGGTCAAATTCAAGCTCAAGACCACGACTGTCGAATATTGGCGACGATCCTATACATGACCCAGAATTCTATTCTATGAAGGACATCATCAGGGCCAGAGAGTCCGTATAAGCCTAGGTAGTGGACTTGGACCATTTTGATTCTAAGGAATCTATTATTATCACATGTCTGAGAGTCCTAGCGCATTCCCGAAGCCTTTAAGGTATGATTAAATGAAGCATATATTGAAACCATTACTAGCGTTAATCTCATCGTCAAACTCATCTAGTCATACCAGCATGATAAAAAAACCCGCTATGATCCAACCGCCCGTGAAAATGAATACATGGTATCATAGGGTTGAACGAATGACTCCCCAGGTGCTTACCAACTCCCAACCACGCTCGGACCCCTGAAAATACAAAAACTACGACATTAAGCGGCTTTCTGAGACTCGCTCTCAAGCTTTTCAACCAATTTATCTGTCACCAGTCCCCCAAGCTGGATCAACGTCCCGCTTCCAACAATCTCCAATACACTTATCGCGAGGCCAAAGGCGCCCTTAAACCAGCGTCTCAGCTCGATCGCCATAAGCGAGTCAAGACCCATCTGGGCAAGCGTCAAGCTTACATCGACCTCCTCGTCGGGTCGGAGCAAGAAATCATAAATCTTCCTGCCGATCTCGCGAGCTAGGAAGTCGAGGCTCTTCTCTTCCTTCAGGAGCGCCTTTCCGCCCTCCCCGGCGACCTGTGCTAAGAACTCCTGCAGGGCGTCGCTTTCGCCCGTCTTAGCTGCGCTTTCGATGCGCACGTTGTGGTACAGACCCATACGTCGGTCGCGTCGCCACATCGTTCGCGTGTTCGGGTCGTCGAGGTCTTGTTCTGACCGAAGGCCCATTATCACTTGCGTGCTATTATACCACGGTTTCGGCGGTACCGTAAGAGGTGCGGCGACCGCGGATTCCGCGGGGTGGCTGTCTAAGAGACTTAGTTCGAAAAAGTCTAGGAACTCGCGCTCACTGAGCAGAGGTAGTCCCTGTGCCTTGATGTTTTGCATGGCATGGGCGTTCTCGGCGACGAACCCGACGTCTCGGATGGGACCGATGTTGAGAACTGAAGCTGGTAGGCCTAGAGAGTGGCGGTACCGACAGAAGGCTTCGACGAACATGCTAGCCGCGACGTAGTTACCCTGCCCAACGGAGTCGGCGACGGATACGAGCGAGCTGGCCAGGAAGAAGAAATCTAGCTTCTTTGATTCGAATGCCCGGTGGAGATTCCAGGTACCGGCGACCTTAGGCGCGAGTGCGTCTTGCCATTGAGACCATTCCATATCTAACATCGGCGTATCCTATGAGACTTCGTTAGTACTGGCCGTAAAACCTCGATACCGAAAAGGAAATCTTACCTTGAGGACCATAGCCAACTGTATCACTCCCTTGATAGGAGACCTCGATCGGTGTATTGCTCCTTGCACGTCGTCTATATTGTCAACACGCCCAGCAACAGCAGTCACAAAACATCCCATAGATTCCAACTCTGTGAACAAGGCCGTGCTAACTTCGCTAAGGCCGGCGCTGCGCGAGAGGAACGTCAGACTGCGCGCGCCTCGCTCTACCATCCACGTCGCGATAGATCTACCCAGGCCACCGACACCGCCTACGAGAAGATAAGTAGCAGCAGGGTCGAACTTGATGTTGCGGCGCTGGGGTACTGACTCAATCGGTGAGCCAGAGTCAGGAGAGAAAGATACTGTGATTTTGCCGAGATGGTCACCATCTTCTAGGTGACGGAATGCCCTCGAAATTTGCTTCGCGTCGAAGATCGCAACAGGATCAATCGGCTGGAGCAATCCTTGCTTGTAAAAATTGACGAACGTATTCAATAACCTGGTAATTAACCGTAAGCAACAAAACGATAATGACAAGCGAACATTCCGCATCACTGAGAGAAAACTTACCTCCTTAGCCACTTAGGCCGCTCCCTGAACTCGGACAGGTTGACGCCGTGGTACGAACGGTTTTCGGAAAACGGCAACATATTCAAGCTACCGGAACCCTTCGAGTCTCGCAAACCGAGCTCGACCATGATACCGAACTTGGCGACGCAGCGCCACGACTCGTGCAGCAACTCGCCGGACAGCGAGTTAAGCACCACATCAACACCGCGACCATCCGTCTCACGCATGATCCCCTCAGCGAACGTCGCATCACGCGAGTTAAAGATGCGGGACCGCGGGATCCCAAACTTGTCCATCAGATACTTAACCTTCTTCTCGCTGCCAACAGTCGCGTATATCTCAGCGCCCAGCATCCTGCTGACCTGCAGCGCGGCCAAACCGACACCGCCACACGCGGAGTGGATCAGCACGCTCTGTCCGCGCTCGAGGCGGCCGACGTCGACGAGCCCGTAGATCACGGTGCCGAAGCACACGGGGATCGAGGCGGCGGCCGCGTGGGACAGGCCGTCGGGGATCCTGATCACGATCTCGGCGGGCGCCACGTTCCGCGTCGCGAGGCAGCCGTTGCACAGCGCCATCACCCTGTCGCCCGGGACCAGGTCGTGAACCGCGGCCCCGACTTTGGTCACCACGCCCGAGAGCTCGTAGCCGAGCGGGATGCGGCCCGGGGTCGCGGCTTGGATTATGCCGCGCGCGAGCACGACGTCGCGGAAGTTCAGGCCCACGGCTCGTGTTTCGATCTCGACGTGGTCGGCGGGGAGGTCGGCGGGGAGAGGTTCGTCGATCCAGTGTAGCGTCTCCATCGAGCCTACCTTTCCGACGTTCAGAGCGGTCCTGGTGTTCTCGGCTGCCGATTTCTTGCCGTTCCCTTCCTTCAGCCTGTCTGTTAGCGAAAAGGGGTGGTACCGCGGAATGCAGATTTGCGAATTTTCGACGGCGAATTCTCGGTCGGGGCCTAGTGTACCGACGTCCTCTTGCGCGCGGACCTTGTTGAATACTTGGAGGACTAGATCCGCGAACTGCGGCTCGTCGGCGTTGATTTCGAGGGTGCAGAGCCCGGGTACGGCTTCGGCGCGCAGACTGCGGGCGGCGCCGATGAAGGTTGCTGGTCGAGGATCGTTACATCGGATCTGGACCGGCTGTGCGAGCCAGAGGACCGTCTGCTGTTCAACGGCTTTCGCGAATTTCTGCAAGCTAGCGAAATTCTCCTTGGTTAGGTTGACGAACCAGTCGCTCTCGAGGTTGAGGCACGAGATGATGTCTTGCTCGGCCGGGGGCGTTGACGTCAGGCGACAAGGGGTAACTTCCCATCCGGAGTTACGGAGACGAGATCTTAGAGCACTCGACACGCTTGATTCCTCGTTTTCGCATAGGAGAGTAACGCGCTTGGGTGCGGGCGAGCTGTTAGGTTGCGGTCGAGACACGATAGTGACAATTTGGTTGTAAGGTGCTTCGTCATCAGAGACGAACGAATCCACGCCAGCGAATCCAGCGCTTTTTAATTCTTTATCCCAACGCTCAACAGGTATCAGGGGATTAGCCGGTCTGGCGTCGGCCTCGCCTAGCCACCACCCTGCGAAGTGGCCGAACATATAATTCGCCGTCCGCAGCGTCGGCAAGAGCTCCGTTAAGACTAGCATCCCATCAGGCTTCAGTAACGATTTTATGTTCCCGAGCGTCTCTGTAATAAAAGGCGTCGCGTGGACGACGTTTGCGGCTAGGATCAAATCATACGTATCCTTTTCTCCGAACTTGAAGCCCTGTTCGGCAGGCGACTTGCTGATATCAAGGACCTTGTACTCCATATTAGGGGCATACGAGAATCGCTCTCGAGCCTTGACCAGGAAACCGGACGAGACATCTGTAAACGTATACACCGAATAAATAGGGAACCCGCCCTCGTCGACGAGCCCGCGCAGGATGAGCTCCGTCGTGCCTCCCGTGCCGGCGCCGACTTCGAGAATGCGCAGGTTCGGCCGCGTGTTGGAGAGCAGGCGCACGAAGTCGCCGTATCCGAAGCTGGTGTGGTTGTAGATCTCAGCGAGGAGATTGCCCTGCATCAGGACATCGAGGGTCTCGCGCGTGCCCGCGAAGATCTCAGCCGCTTGGTCCAAAACGCGCTTAAGCCCGACCGAGAGCGCGCTGTGATAGCCCTTCTCCAGGATCGCTAGATGCGAGTCTATCGTCTTCTGCTGCTCGTCGGAGCTCAGCTCTAGGAGGCGCGCCGGGTTGTCGACGAGTGGGAATGAGCTCTTCCCGACGGCGGCGTCTTGGATTTCTTTCTTCATCCAGTCGCGCAGCTTGGCGAAGTGAGGCTGGCATGGCGTCAGCCCTTCTACTGCTTTATATTCCTGGACCATGCATAGGAAAGCGAGCTCCTGTTGCATGCTGAGATGCGCCCGGTGCGGCTTGGGCGCGGCGAATAGTGATCTGTGGTCCACGAAATCGAAGTCGGGGAGCCATTGGACGTGTGCTGCGGCGTGCTTGTCGATGGATTCGGTAACCACCTCGTCGTCCCCTTCTAGTGGTGTCAATTGTAGACCGCGCATCTTTAGTGCTACATGTCCGTCCGCGACGCACTCAACTTCGCCGAGTCGGAGGTCGCCTTTCTTAGTCCAGGCGCGGGCATGCATTTCTGCTGCGCCCCGAGATATGATGAGATCCTCGATCGAGGTCGGAACTGCAAGGCCATCGAAGTTGCGGCACAGTCCTTGCGCTGTTGCGATCATGAGAAGCTGCAAGCAACCGTCAATTGCGACAGGGTGGAGAGAAAACGGCTCGGATACATGGTCGTGCTTGTCGACCAATTTTGCTTCGGCGACCTGCTCTGTGGTGGACGTGGCGATATCTGTGAGAGATTGAAATTCGGGACCGTAAATGAAGCCATTGCGTTCCATCGTCTCGTAGAACGTTGGGCTCGACAGCTTGCGAGGTAGTCCCTCAGGAGTCCAAGAAGAACTGCTAGGACCCTCGACATGCTTGATCTCTCCCGTGCAGTGCTTTATCCAAGCGGAGCCGCTATACGATGTGATATTAAACTCATACCATTGGGACTCATCATTGTCCGTGAGGCGTTTCTGGCGCAGTGTTGTCACAATCTCTGCAGGCTTGGAATCAGTCAGGACGAGAGCCGTGCGGACTACCAAATGGCGAATATGGTAACTCGACCCCGGATCAGCGCCAGCCACCTGTCGGATGGCCTCGCCGGCTGTGGCAACATACCCGGCGAAGGGGAAGACGATATCCTGCGATACCTTGTGGTCGACTAGCCAAGGGGCGTCGTCGAGATGCAGGACATTCCTCCAAAGCGGTTCGGCATCCGGCGATTGTGGGTCCCTGACACCAAGCACGCAATGGTGAGGGTACTTGCGGTGCCGCCATGCTGTAGACAGCCGGCTTTCGTTCCAGAACGACTGTCCGCTGCGGTCCCATGCATACGACGGGAGTCCCGGAACGACGCGGCCACCCGCGAATAGAGGGGCAAAATCGATGGTCACATTCTCCTGGAAAAGTCTTCCTAAAGCAGCTAGCAGAGAGACGGCGCTGTCGCTACCCCGGTTTTGGGCAGCTACATAATTGCACTGCCACGAACCCGCATTGCAGATCTGGCGTAGGGGTCCAGCTAGGGCGCCATGAGGCCCAATCTCCAATAGGACGTCGGAATCGCCTCGTAGCTCAAATAGGTTCTTAACAGCTGTCCTAAAGCGAACTGGCGAGACTAGGTTGGCGACCCAGTACTCCGGGCCTAGATCTGTCGGGTTGTCAATCACCTTGGCGGACACGCTCGACATGAATATTGATCGCCGACGAAGCCCCGCCCCGCTATCGGTCGGACTCTTTTCCTGCCGAAGCATGTGCAAGTAGTCCTTAGCTAAGGGATCCATGTGATCTGTAGAAGCGTGGTGGTTAGCTGAAATCGACGTATTCGGGTGAGAAGCTCAGAGCTGAATTCCACTTACGGGAATGATATGCCATGTCCACCTTCAACATCCGAGCGAAGGTGTCCGGCTTAACCGCTTTGATCGTAGACACCGTTTGCTCCACCAGCGCGCGATCTCCTGATATTGTCGTGCTATGAGGACTATTTTCGCATGCGACGACGACCCCTTCCGGCAGTAGTCTCGCCACTTCTTTAGCTCCGAGCCCGATCGCTGCCATAGAGCCATTCCTAGTCGTGCTCTTCGAGGACACTAAACCACGATAGTATGCGGCCTTGACGGCGAACTCGAGCGAAATCAGTCCAGCAGCATACGCAGCGGCGATTTCACCGCTCGAATGTCCCACAACCGCAGTCGGTATAACCCCAAGACGCTTTAGCTGCCTGAAGATTGCTATTTGAAGCGCAGTACACATGGGCTGCGCTAACTCAGCTCTGTTGATCCCGCTGATTTCAATGGGCTTGAGTATCTCCGCTAGATAGGGGTAAGAGAAAGCCGTGTTAGCGCACCACTTTACAATACTCTTTAAGGCCTTGAGGAGACTCACCTTCGATTGTCCATCTTGGAGGCCTGGCAGAGTGTCTCAAGACATCGTCCATTATGTGGATATCCTCTCGGAACTCCGAACTGGTTATGAACAAACCCTTTCCCATTTCGGCCCATTGGCTCCCCTGCCCGGTGAAAACCATGGTGACCTTGCGGCGAGATAACTTTCCCGGTGTTTTCACCATGCTGGAAGTTTCTAACAGCTTGTCGCCGGACATTACCATATATGCCCGGTGCGGTAACCGTTCTCGGCGGAGAGCTAACGTGTATGCAATATCCCGTATGGCGGAGGGGTGCTGGGAGACATATTCCTGGTACAGCTCTATTTGGCTCTTTAGTGAATTATGGCTATTAGCTGATAGCATAAGAAGTTCTGGTCTTTTGGTCGACTGTGAGAGACCTGTTGATACTTTCGTATCTGGGAACGATTCAAGGATGACCTCCAGTTATGTTAGCAAGTGCAAATCCATAGTAGAGACGAGATCAATGTGCTCACATGTGCATTTGAACCTCCGATGCCAAAGGAGTTCACACTAATTCTTTCGGCTTTATGAGCGGGGAATGGTGTCGGTTTAGTTGGCACCGTAAGCCTCTTTTCTCTGAATGGGACTTCAAGTTGGATCATTAGTATGGGAGATTCTCCTTGCCTACGGATACTCTGGAGACTCTAGACTTACTCTTAGGGTTAGGTGTGCTGAATTTGATATTAGGGGGTATCGTTCTATTCTCTAAAGCTAAGACTGCTTTTATTAAACTGGCGAGACCGGCAGATCCCTCACAGTGGCCTACGTTGGGCTTCACAGAACCAATGTATACTCCCTCGTTACCGAAAACCTCTCCAACCGCAGAAGTTTCGATGGGGTCGCCAACAGAGGTTCCAGTGCCATGACACTATAGAGTTATCAGCATACTGAATAGGAAAAAAAGAGGGCGGTTGAACACGTACTTCGACGAACGCAGTCTCAGCCGGATTTAATCCTGCGTCAGCGTATATCTTTTTCATAAGTGCTTCGAGGGCCTCCCCTCGCGGGACAAGCATTCCTTGACTTTTACCATCGCTGTTAGCTGCGGTGCCCCGGATAACCGCTCTGATAGGGTTGCCATCGCGAATTGCATCAGTAAGCTTCTTCACATATATGGCAGTGATTCCTTCAGCTCTCGCATAGCCGTTGGCCGAGGCATCGAAACTTTTACATGACCCGTCTGGAGATAGGACCCCTTCCGAAGTCATAAGCATAGTGAGGGAAGGCCCCAGAATCAGATTTGTGCCGGCAACAACTGCGGCCGAGGCATCCCCGAATTGGACGGCTCTGCAAGCCTCGTGTAAGGCTATCAGCGACGCCGAGCAGGCTGTCCTAATGACCATGCTATGACGTTTCGGTTAGCTGCAGGTAAGGGGCTAAGCGAAATGATAACTCACCTCGGTCCGCTAAGATTATACTCATAAGATACCCGATTGGCAAGCATCCAATCCCCAGAACCTGTAACGAGATGGCTACCAACTTGTTGGGCATCCTTGTCTCGCATATGCTGCCACTCTTCACCAAACGTGCCTACGTAGCAGCCAATCGGTTTGCCACGATAATTGGTTTCGCCTGCATCTTCGAGGCACTCTCGGGTAACCTCCAATAACAGTCTCTGTTGAGGGTCACATCTCTCTAACTCCTTTTGTGTCATAGAAAAGAGAGAAGGGTCGAAGCGTGATAGATCATCTTCTAGGTAGTAACCGAATTTGGTTTCTATGCGTTCTTTGCCCCCAAGAGAACCATCGAACCCGGAAACATTATACCGGCTACTCGGAACTGGCCCGCGGGCATCCCGGCCGTTCACTAGAAGATTCCAGAAGTCGTCGGCGTTCCGGATGCCCCCGGAAAGTCTCACGCCAAGGCCGCAGATCGCGATCGGGACCGATCCTGGGGTTGTCGCATCTTTGATCTCCTCGAAGCTCGAAGACGCGGAGGAGTACGAGGTAGAGTGGCCACTGCTTCCGCTCATCGTGATAGACGTGAGGCGGGAGGCCGGAAGTGCGCTCCCGCGGCAATAGTCAAGGATTATCCCCAAAAGCTAACGTAGGTTGCGCCTTGACGTGCCAGGATAAGGGGCGGCGGCTGTGGGAGATTTGATGGTGGGGAATGCTTTTCGAAACGGAAGCGCCAACTTCGCCGCAGCTCGCGGGACACACCCGTTCTTATCACAAACTTCGAGCCGGTCCGTTTGAGCTTTGGAAATCTCGGTCTTAACGGACAAGTGCGAGAAACTGAGATGAGGTCGTCTGACCTTTGCCTCCCTGGATAGAGTATAGTGGAACTCGGTGGTGATGGCCCAATATGGCAGATACCGCCCTATATAAGGTAAGGATAAGTAGGGCAAACCGTCATCGCATCGTCTCTGGGACTATTGACCAAGATGGTAACCTTGATAAGCACTCTAAACTAAAGTAAACATATAAGACGCTATAATCATCAGCTCCGCATCGTCTCAACGCTATTTCGCCCAGTCCTGCATTCGTCTCAAAACTATTTCGACCCGGTTTTGAAACTGCTATCCTATAGCATCTACGAAATAAATGGCTGAAAAGTTATTTGCATGTCTTGGAACCAACGGGGCCAATGGGGACACCGCGTTTTCGGTAAGTCAAATATCCAACGGGACGGAATCATATGTAGGTTTGCTGTGTCGCTATGGACGTGTACGGCACGGATCCATCGTCGAAAGCTCTAAAAGAACAACGCCAATGGCTTAAGCGTCATTTCAAGGTAGCTTATGGGTTAGATTCCATGCAGGCTGGATTCGTTGTTGTCTAAGAAGGGTTTGGTCTGCTGCAACGGATACACAAAAGGGCATAGCAGAAGTGGTAACCCGCAGGACACATTACCAGGCTTACCGTCGAAGGATGAAGCCGGAAGCTGGACCAGCTCGCCTGCAAGGGGTTAGGTTACATCAAAATCGCACGATAAATTGTGAACCGCATGAACCACCCCGTTGGGATCATTCTGACGTGTCAAATCGCTCGACCACGTTCCCTTTGCAGCGCAGAGGAACGCAAAATATGCAGTCTTTGCAGCAACGCGCCGGCTAGTGTTGGGCGGCTTGCGACCATGATAGGCGACTGTCGAAGGGGAACCCGTAGAAGTGCGGCCCGCCCTTTTTCGAAGCCAACCGATCCAACCGCCACGTGCTATCAGTTATAAATGAGGTATAATTGAATTCTTATTAATAATATAAGTACGCCATTCACGCATATAACTGCCGTTCGGATGGCCAATGATAAATCTGGGGGTGAGACTCTGAGGTAGGCTCACTGGCTCAGTTCTACAATTGCTTACTGACACCGAACACTAGTCCTCCCTTTCGCTCCTCCGGTACTACCGTGGTAGTATTACATACTATATTACATAGTAGATTACATAGTAGTGTAATTCGTAAGACATTCCATTTTCACCGCCAATCCGTACTGCCGAGGACTACGGTCACCTCGAGGCTGGTTGTTGGTCCTAACGAAAAAGCAAGAGAAAATTTCTTCACGTGCAGCACTAGGACTAGGTATTTACTGGACTACAGAATACATTGCAGAACCCGAGAACGATTGTGCCCGGCCCGGACTGTTTCAACTTTACGTACTTACCTGCTACGCTTGATAAGCGCCCTCCGCAGTCCGTACCTTAGGTAGGAAAGCCGCAAGGGCTTACAAAGCTAAGCCGGATGTGATATGGTACCTATCGTATGGTTGGCGCGCGATTCCTAGGTATAGACCTAAGCGTAGCATTTGAACGTGAGCATTGATCAGCCATTGACCAACCAACCAACGGCAAAACCAGGCTGGAGATCTTCCGTGAGACAATTTGGTCATAGATTCCCGCTACAGATAACATTTATGCTTAATATATTAATTGTGCAATTTTTGTTGTTTTTGTTGTCAAAGCTGAGAAAATGGCGTGGAATGATAGGGCAGAATAGGGGCTCGAAGAAACATTGCGCCGTTGACACTATTGACTTTTTCGGGTTAATAAAATAGGTAGTAATAACTCCTCCCCCTTTCCCCTCTGTTGTTGCCTTTCCACCCCACGCAACCATTCACAGCCATACACGGCCGAGAGGATGAAGATGGGTGGAGTGAGAATAAGATGATCTTCTTTTCCCCAATCCGTCAGCAAGCTCAGCTCTATGGGCCTTATTGAGTGCCCAGAATGCCTAGGGTAGGTACTATGTATGTACTATGTATGTATATACGTACGTGCTCTCCACATGATATGCATATCATTCTTGGCTACCCTGTCAGCGTCCTGTCCGTTTCTGGTAAAGAGTATTGAGCTCTCGCCTGCGAGGGTCAACACTAGTTCGCATCCCAGGAGGTCGTTCGACCTATGGATTATAGCGGATAAGCGGAGCTCGAGTAATAGTCCACTTTTATGGACAAGGGACTTTGTAGCAATAGGATGCTTATGGTAAAAGGAATAGGCAGGTAAAGTGAGAAAAGAGAGAAAAAGATCACTGTAATAATAAAATCTCATCTCCAGATTGACACATATTCCCACGCGAATTACATGTTACTGTTCCCTCCGCCCTCCATCCCGTTCGTGCCTCCTGTCTGTCATCATCCCTCCATCAATGAAGTGACTATTCGATTGCATGTGCTGCTAGCTTACTTAATGTAAGTTGGTTCCATTCTCGCCTTTTTCTCTCTCTCGGTCATCAACCTACATGAAGTTTGAGACCTCAAAGTTTCATCCAAACTCCGGCGTAAATGCCTCGGGAGCGAACCTGAATTTCCAACTACGGGAGCGGCCCGAAGCTAGCGCTGAGCTCTTGATCCGTTAGCCACGATCAACCAAATTCCTGTCCATCTCCATATACCTAGGTTACTTAATACTTGAAATAAGACCCGACTGACCGGATGGAGGCGACCAACGTCACCTCGAAATCACCAAAAGAACGAGGGAGACATAGGTTATTGGCTGTGAGACCCTCGACGGCTAGTAGTAGAGCCACTTCGGGTTCCTCTGGCCATCACCGTACCCCGCTTCCACATAGCCCTCGTTCCCCATTATACACCGACACTTTCACCTTGGCCGCACACCCCCCTGGGACCTATCACTCGTCTAGTCCGCCAGCACCGTCTTTCATGTCAACGACCAGCGGTAGCACAGATCGACCGCCGTCGCCATCGCCATCTGCCGCCGAAGCTGCCGGCCATCTCCAGTATGCGTTAAGCTCGGCGGAGGGCCTATCATCAAGCTTACATGTGAGTACGACGCTACGCTAATGCTGTTTACTACCCCTTTCGGCCATTGATCATTTTTCCGATCTATCACATTTTCGTCACATAGACAAAAAAGAAACCCCAAAACCCCAAAAACCGAAACACAACGCCGTTCCCTTACATAGGCAATTAACGGATGGCTAATATGTAATATCGATAGTTCAACCAGGCATTAGAGCAAGGGTGGCCGCGGCTTGACCCTGACGGTGCAGGTGATGGCGCCGGTGTTGATGAGGAAGACGATCATGAGCCAAATGAAGGTCTTTCCCTCTCCCCCCGCCAGACTCACAGGAGGTAAGTAAAAATGGGCCAAGTTCTCTCTGTTTAGCATAGCTCTTTGCCTGAGAACCGAAGTGAAACTGACTATGGACCCTATCTCTTCCTCCAGGGATTCTACGAAGGCGGCTAGTAGCTCGAGCTCTTCGAGATTCTTTCGCTCGATAGTATACAAGTTTGGCCGCACGTTCAATAGGAGTGCGTGCTCCGTGTAACCCCATCCCTAAAGGGCTATAGTACTAACGTGTAATATAACAAAAGACTACTTCCTCCCTTCGGATAAGGTACGCCCGACTAACTAGGAGCCGCTACAATGATTGATGGGCTAATTAAAACGCACGGTTTAGCAAGAACAAGAGCGCATGAGTAGGACATCCCTTTGCTTGCTAGGCATTGCGCCTATTTCGAAGCTAATATGCTGAACAAACAACAGACCTTCAACATGACATAAGCGTTGAAGTTCACGATGGCGACCTCCATCTCTGCCCGGTAATAAAACCGAGAAGAGTACTCGATGTCGGCACGGGTACAGGCATATGGGCCGTCGAATTCGGCACGTCCCACATCGATCCTTAGCGTTACATCCATGCATGAATGCTAACATCTAATGCAGCCCGAAAGAACCCAGACAGCGAAGTGCTCGGGATAGATCTAAATCCAGTACCGCCGCCGCCTTTCATCGTACCAAACTGCCATTTTGGCATTGCGGACGTGTACGACGACTGGAAGTATGGCGGCCCGTTTGATTTCATCCACGTGCGAAGCTTAGGCGAGCCTACCGACAAGCGCAAGCTGTTCAAGCAGATCTACGATAATCTTGCGCCCGGCGGCTGGGTCGAGTTCCAGGAGTGGATTCTTCACGTTCAGTCCCCGGACCGATCTCTCGATGGCACGGCGTTCCAGAAATGGAACAAACTCATGTCGGAGGGCAAGTCCTTTCGAAAACTGTGTTTTCTCTGTTATTTTTTCTTATGTTTCCTTGAAACTAACTACTAATTTAGGCATGAAACATTTAGGGAAGTCCCTGTTCTACGTCCTCGATTACAAGCGTTCCCTTGAACAAACGGGTTTCGAGAGCATCGTCGAGCGGAAATACGCAGTTCCTACCAACACATGGCCCCCCGGAAAGCAAAGCCAGAAGATTGGCACCATGCAGAGAATCAACTCGCTACAGATCATTGATGTATTCTCGTGGCCCGTATTTTCAAACGGTTTAGGTTGGTCCAAGGATGCGCTCGATAGGCTACTCATCGAAGTGCGAAAGGATATTGAGAACACGCGTATCCATTCATATTCTACCCTGTAAGTTACATGCCGGGTTTTCTAGAGAGCTTCCACTGATATTTCCCAGAATGACGGTATACTGCAGGAAGCCCCACTCGTCTTCTGCATCGTCGTTTGCCACAACGGAAACGCCCCCCAGGCTGCAGCGGCCGTCTATGTCATAAACACAAAAGAAGTAATTCGGCCTACTTCGAATGTAACCTTGAGATCCCAGGCAAGGGATAGTGTAATGGATGTAAGGATATAGGCATGGACAGACTGCGGCGACGGGCACGGATTTGGACGCAGGTCAGCGTCGGCGTTTGGGGACGGTCGAATGGGAAGCCCATCGGTAATGGAGTACGTAAAGAGTGTGTTCCATAATAGGTTACTCCTAGGTAATCTTGACAAAAAGAAATGTTTCAGATGACTAGTATTTTTCAGACGGACAACCACGTCGATCGTGCATCTGGATCTTTCCGAGTGGACTTACAGCCACTATAGCTGTGAATGGACTACACCGCTCTAACAAGTCTACCTAAGTCCCTAGCAAACTTAAGCGCTGTAGCGGTACAACAAGCAAGTCTGACAGAAAGTCTATACCAGGTGCTCTGCTCATAGCTTCATGATAGGCACATCGCCGAAAATGGAAGTGGCTAACGTTGCGGCCTACGAACAGATACGGGTGTCGTTGTAATAGACTATCTCTACCTGCCGTACTAAGCAGGTACCTACTTAGGTAACCGCATTGCAACGTGACGCGGAGTCTGGAACGGGGTGACATTGCTTTCAGCCCCTTTCCATAATTGTCTCATAATCTATGACAACTACTATATGATTATACCATACCTACTCACGTTATATTGAAATGCACAAGTTAAAGGAATTTTCCGAATATCATTTCCAATGGATTACTGGCACTGGCTCGAAAGCCATTGGGGTATATGCTCACGGGGTCATCACACCACGGCACGCCGAGGTCGTTGTGCAACGCCGGCGCAAAGAGCGGGAACGCGCCGCCGAAGCAGATAAATCCAAGTGTGAGTTGCGTTTCCGGATTGGGCCGTTCGACCACATATGAGAGCGCAAATTAATCATCAGTCGATTAGGACAATCGCATTCTTAAATGAAAGTCGTCCCACGTTATATATTGTTACCATTCACTAGATTGGCTTGGTGGCCAATAGGACTATTTACGTTTTATTCTCCGATGGAAATGGGATGATGACTATCATCTCAAACTCCACGCGTCAACAACAACTTACGCTTCCGCGATCCATCTCGAATCAATATCACGGCTCTCATATTTGGCCGGCTCTCAACCGTATATTAAGTGCGTTCGGCGCGAGCAAGACTTTCATCATACGTCGCTGTCACAGCGAAGAAATTGTGGAACCCATGCGCTGTATTGGCAGGCCTTCGCGGTTTATATCCAGTCAAGACAACCCCAAGTGATAGAAACCCCAACGAAAGGCGCTAGTATTGAGACATGGTCCTGTCGATGATGAAGATAGTCTCAAGTTTCCGCGCTAAAGATATTGGAAGTGGAAGGCCGCATGAAAGGCCACTGCTAAAATTGAGCTAAAATGGAGGTCCTCACGACTAGTCCCTTTGGAACATGGTTGGAAAATGAGGTGCTCTTTGATGAATTGTAAATCGCCGATCATATTTCATAGGGCCGGAACAAAGGGAAGGTCCAAGTCAGAAGACAGACGTTAGTCGGCGACGTGCTGTACTCTTCGTCAAGAGTATTACTTGACCCGCTTACCAAGAAAACTCCTACATTGACTATGAGCGGTATGAACTTAGGAACTTTTGATATAGAGCCACTCTGCTCCCCTAAATTCTCCGCGAAGCATTGCTGGGGTTATTTTCATAGTGTGCTTGCTTGATGGTTCGGATATCGGGTCCGTGATCCTAGTGACTAGTACCTACCTTAGGTACTTTGGCAGTAAGAGGTTGTTCTGATTTTCTGTTTCAAAAAGGGGGTTAAAAGATTCCCAACCTTTGCAATACTCGCTATCATGAGAGGTCACTCTTTCTAATAACGGCAGCGATATAGTTACTTATCTAAGATCATGAATCTGAATATCATCAATTCTTATATCATATTACAAGGCAATTCTGCATCCTTGATCACCACGGTTCTATAATTCATGCACAACTAGTTAATTTCTACACTATCTGGACTACGGCTACTAAATGTAAAACGAATATATCGCAAATCAGGGAGTCAAATCAAACGTAGTAGGACAAACCCATTCTTTTCAAGAAAAAATAACGTTAGGGTGACCTGTAATTTTTAACATTTCATTCATCCCGTCTCAATATTTCCTGAAAGACTGTTTCCATGTCATTTTCCAGGTGGCTACTCAGAGGATAGTGATTCGAGCTAGAATGCAGAACTATGGATGATGGGAACGTGCCTTACAGAAGCTGAACTTATTGAGATCTGCTCGAGTAGAATAAATCTGTGTTGCTGCCATTGGGAAGACGTGTCAAGAGGTACGGAAGCTAAGCCGTTTAATAGGTGCGCAGAGCTACAATGGCTTTCAAAGTAGATACCCGGACTAGAGGTTAAAGACATACAGCAAGTAAAGAATAAGGATACAGATTTGTTACCTACCAAAGCGTGAACAAAATACCGCAGAAAGCATGATATAACATCATCATTCGTATTTATCGAGCAAACTCTGGCACGAGTAGCCTGGGCTTCAAGGCTCAACCCTAGTAGGACGATACTGTTGAATACCCATGAGAGCCCAATTATTATCCCCGAACCAGGAGCCTGAACCGCTAGAATAATGGACGTTATTCGTATCGTAGAGGGACGTTTGATCGAATAGACGGATGTGAGTGTTGATGTCGCCCAAGAAACTTTCGACAAAGAATCAACTAAGGATCAATTCTAAGTCATAATAGGCTTTATTGATCGCTTAGCACAACTAGTTGCTAGCAACGTGGGAAAAGGAGCCCGTTAAGTTGTCACTACAGGGCAGCTTGCAATGTCGGGTCTTTGCCGATAGCTTTCATACCAGCATTTGTCCTTATGTTCCGCGAATATTTGAATTTGTTGGTTTGACAGAGGCCATATTAAAGCCAGGGCCGTGGGATAGGAGTATATTCGCTCTCCATCATACTCCAACCCGACAACGTCGTGAAAAGAACCTTCATCGACAACCAGCACATATAATTCTCGCTAGGGTCTTCTTGAATGGCATCATGATCGACGAAACTTGACGTCTGTACCGGTTGGGGAAGAAAAGGGGTATGAGAACTGGGCGTCGGAGGCGCGCGGGTTCGAGCAACGATTTGTGAAGCGAGCTGGGATAGGGTGTGAGAGTCTAGTCTACATCGTCGAGGAGCTCCAAAGCGCTAAAGAAATCGCCCCGGCTACTAAATGAGTATACTGTTAGAATATTATGTATACCTTAGGTAGGTAGGTAGGTAGGTACCAATTCTGTCTTGGGGTTTGAAGAAAGGCTCACGAGAAGGACTCACAGTTACTTAGTATGATTCACGCGCTTGGAAATACTGGAGGAAGCGCCGGGGACGCCGGGTTTACGGTAATTGGAGCATCCATGTCGAAGTTTATGGCACCGAACCATACGGGACCGACACTGATGGCATGCTGCTGGTGGTCTATCGGCATAACGTGATCATGACCATTTGCGCTTTTCGGACAACGTGTTACTTGGATGAATTGTTGTCGTCCATCATCAAGGGAGGGTTTTTCGGTTACATTTGCGATTAGCCCCTAAACCCTTGCTTGACCCGATACGTTATGGGGAATCCTAGGCCGTTCCCCATTTATCACGTAGGGGTCAATTAACGGCCCCTATCCGCCCTCCCGCCCCCTGTTTGCCCCACGTAGTCTATCGTAGTCAATGGAAAGGCAAACATTTTCTATGAATTACTGGTATTGACATATTATCTGAAGATTGTTAATATCGTGATGGTTCGTAGCTATCTAGCTCCAGGGCGCATCCACGTTGAACAACGTGTAGGTATTATGCTGACAATATTCCCAGGTATTCTTGAAAACACCACATACCACTTACATAGTACTAGGTACCGCAGGTAGGTACATAAGTGAGTACTCAACGATAAGACCAAAGGCCTAGATCCTCACCTATATGTACTAAGACAGTAATTATATAACCTGACGTCCCATATGCATACAAGGCACATCTTTTTAATTATATTTGGACCCTGCAAGACCCCTATCGGTAGTATCAAAGTATAAATTCAGTACATGGTTAATTATACGCGTCTAGATAGGGGATGTAGTCAAAAAGGCGAACACCTAGGTACCCGCCCACTTATCTAGTACCTCATTGATACAGCCTGGTATCTTATTCGCCGGTCCAGACTTCTATAGAGGAGTCCCTTGAAAGAGATCTAGATCTATTTTGTAGCGTGATACTCTACCATGGAGCCTTTGATTGGCCAACATCCGTGGGAGTCATGGAATAATTCCCTTGTTACATGAATGGAGCTTGGATATATTTATTAACGAGGTCAACGTAACGAAATGAACTGCTTATTAGCGACTATTACCTCCGCGACTTGTGCTCAGCGTTTGATAAAGGTGTTACTATATTTTCTTGGCGATTGAGTAGGTAGGTACCTCCTACCTAGCAAGGCAGGTAGTATGTATAATGGCATACTTGAGATAGCATGATAGTGATAGAGGAGCAGGAGAGACGGTTAATAACAGTATTTATGAACAAGTTAGGACCTTCTATCTGGCTTTCTTGGTAGGATATTCGTGATCGCCTTGAAAAAGCGAATAAGCAATACATCACTAGCACTTCAAGTTTCACCTACTCCGGGTAGCTTGGGTCTATACTAATATGTGGGAACTCGGAGTTTTGATATCGTTCGCTGTATATGGCGTGTTCGCCAAACAGAACTGCCCCTTATACGGGTTAGGGTATCCCAAGCCGACAAACCTCCCCGAGCAGCCAGACATCAAGAAAGCGGCAACAGCTTTGAATTTGATGTTCTCGGAATACATCGACCATTCCAAACAAACTCTATCTGGCAATTTCTCATACTCAGTCGAAGTATTTTCCGCTGACGATGAGGAACCTTTATGGTCTCATCATTGGACCACGCCTAACTTAAAGGCTCTTAACTCCACAGGCGTCACTAAAGTCGATGGAAATACGGTCTACCGGCTTGCGAGCGTCACGAAAGTGCTGACAATCTTGACCTTCCTTGCGGAAGTTGGTGATTCACTATGGAACGAACCTATCATCAAATACATCCCAGAACTTGCGGCTCTGGTTGTCGATGGTGCGGATAATTCCCATTCAATCTCAAGTACAGACTGGCAATCCATCACCCTCGGTTCGCTGGCAAGTCAAATGTCTGGTCTCCAGCGAGACTGTAAGTAGCGGTTCTCCCTCAAACGTTTCGTTCAAAGAAGACTTGCTCAAGTTGTACACAGATGCTCTAGAAGGGGAGCTCACGCAAGGATTAACCACAGCTGAAGTGGCAGGTTATGGATTTCCTATCATAGGAGAAGAGGAAATACCACCTTGCGGTAACAATCCAGTCTGCAATAGAACTCGTATGTCTGCCCATCTACTCTTCAAGCATTGATTTCCAATAAAATAAGATTTCTAAATGTTAATCAGTACCTATGTAGAGTTCTTCGAGGGTCTAAAGAAGTTACCTCCCTCGTTTTCACCATATGTCACACCGGCTTACTCGAATATCGGCTTCACTCTCCTTGGCTATGCTCTAGAGCAAATGACAGGGAAATCCTTCCCCGATATGTTACAAGATAGAGTTATCGGGCCTCTCAACTTGACTCGCACATTCTACAGCGCCCCCAATGACTCCCTAGGAATCATACCAGGCGACCGCAATGAAACCAATTGGGCTCTTGACCTGGGTAAAGAATCTCCGTGAGCAACTTACTATCGCCTGCGAATTTTTTTGTTTATCTTACTTACTAGGGGATAGTACTGGCAACATGTATATGTCGTCTTCAGATCTATCCCGACTTGGTCGAGCAATCTTGAGATCGACGTTGTTGCCCCCGACTATGACTCGAAGATGGCTCAAGCCTGTGGTCTTCAGCTCTGATCCAAAATCAGGCATTGGTATGCCATGGGGCGTGCGACAGCTACCCCTTTCAGCAGGTATGTAGAATGGCCCTGGTCGAGACTCGGTGGCTGACTGATCTTGAACAGATATGCCGTACCAGTTCGCAACCACATTCAACAAAGCTGGGACACTGGGAAAATATAACGCGTTGCTAGCTGTTATTCCCGACTTTAATATCGGCTTCTCCGTCTTAGTAGCAGGCGGTGGTCTCAACGGAACAGCACTGGATATAGCGGACATGTTGTCGAACGTTTACCTCCCAGCCCTGGTGAGCACAGCACGTACCCAGGCCAACCATATGTATGGCGGTACGTATATAAGCCCGGACCCTAGGATAAACTCAATTCTCAGGGTTGTGGCAGATGGCCAGACCCCTGGTCTAAGCTTAAGCTATTGGATAAGCAATGGGACGGATCTGGCGTGGTTGGCAGTAGGTTTGAGCCAAAGCGTGGAAGAGGAAGATTGGTACAAAATTCAGCCGAGCGTTCGACTTTATCCCACAGGCCTGTGGGATGCGGCCCCAGACGGTGGGAAGAGGGTCGCATTCAAGGCCGTATTCGAAGACCTGAGCTCACCTAGCATGTCAAATCCATTTACAACGGATTGTGGCACCTGGGTCACCGGGTCGGGTATCCTATACGGGTCTAAGCCGTTGGATCAATTCATCTTCAATGTCAACGCTGCGGGAAAAGTAACAAGTGTGGAGAACAGTGCGTTAAGAAATAAGTTAGTCAAGGTGTAATTATTGTTTAGACAGATAATGGAGTCGGCCGGATTCGCCGACTTTCCTCTCGGTGTCGCGCTTACGTACTCTCCGTCCCCCTATCCTATTGCGCTCGCCACGGAGCTCTCCAAAGTTTTTCCCGAATTACCCAACCCCGTGTGGTGTTGGGCCTGCGGCTTTAACACGGCCACAGTTTCGACGGGACTCGAGACGAGCGGGGCTCCCTTTTTGGAGTCGTGACCGGTGACGTCGTAGTAGAGTGGGCGATCCTACGGCAGTAAATGCTGGTCAGGGATTCGGTCCTCAGGTGAAAGTTTACTTAAGCCCGATTATATTAACATTCGTTAGCATGCAGTCATGAGAAAATATTTCAACTATGTTGTCGAAAGCCGCTACAGCAAGGCTTATGCAGTGTCCTTAGTAACGAGGCTCAATTAAACCGTACAGCACTTGAATTCCTATTGGACTTTTGACGCCACGGGGATCCTTTGAATGATGAACAGGGAGTTCATGCGTTTGTAATAGAGCATAATCAGGGAATACTTACTCATCGTGCTCCGTGGCGTCGGTGGGCCGAAAGGAAGCATTATCCATCACGACAGTTAAGTTGATTATAGGTAAGGCCTTACAAAGTAATGACTAAGGATCATGAAATGAATCCGCTCATGTATCATTATTTCCCCGCTGCTACCGCTCCTCTCTCATTTTGTGCCTAGCTCTAGCCATATATATCATAAGGCGCGATGCTACACCACAACCAGTATTCTTTGTTGCGGCACAAGAACCACAGACTCATGATCGTGGAACCATACACTTTTGACCATATACCTAGACACTTACGTACCTAACCCTCACTGTTCTCTCATCGGACATTTTTTGCTATCAACCAACGCACCATGTCAGACTCAAAACCATTCAACGTCGCTATTGTCGGAGGAGGTATTAGCGGAATCTCACTGGCTATCGGTCTCTACAAGAAGAATGTGCCCTTCACGGTCTACGAGTCGGCATCGAAATTTGGGGAGATCGGCGCCGGCTTGGGTTTCGGGCCAAACGCTGTTAAAGCCATGGGGCTCATCTCCCCAGACATCGTCGAAGGGTACGAGCGGTGCGTGACACACGGGTGGAAGTCCAAGGAGAGAGACTGGTTTACGATCCGCGTCGGCGACGAACGCAAGGCCGGCCCGGATGGAATTCTGAAGCAGAAGGAGAAGGAGGGATTGAAAGTCGGAGATCCCCTCTTCGATGTTCGCTACACTAATGATGGCCTTGCTGGTGGTGTGCACCGCGCCCATTTCTTGGACGAGATGCTCAAGTTGATACCCAGCTCCGTGTCGAAGTTTGGGAAGAGGTTGGTAAACATCACGACCGCTACCGACGGGTCTCAAGACGCTGTACTGCATTTCGCGGATGGGACAACGGCACAGCATAGCGCTGTAATTGGTTGTGATGGAATAAAATCCAAGACTAGGGAGATTTTATTGGGAGAAAATGAAGGAAAGGCTTTGTTTTCTGGAAAATACGCGTATAGGGGATTGGTACCCATGGAAAAAGCTGTCGAGTTGCTCGGTGAGGAATTAGCTTGGAACTGTCAGCTTTTCATGGGTTACCACGGCCACCTGCTTACCTTCCCAATCGAAAAGGGAAAGACAATGAATGGTGAGTAAAGTCGAAGGACTCTATCTTCATACACTGAAAAGAAATACCTAACTAATGGATAAAAAGTTGTCGCTTTCAGCTCTTGCGATACTTGGACCGATCCCCAGTGGGTGGTAAAGACGACAAAGGAGAAAATGCTTGAAGACTTCAGTACATGGGGCCCTATGGTGGTCAAGATTGTCGAAGCTATGGGGAAACGAGATATCTGGGCTTTGTTCAACGACCCTCCTGCGTCAACCTACTACAGTACAAGTCCGCGCATCTGCCTCCTCGGCGACGCCGCGCATGCAACAACTCCGCACCAGGGGTCTGGAGCAGGCATGTGCATCGAAGACAGTTACATCCTCAGCAGCTTAATTGGAGAAGCCGGAAGCATACAAGACCTCGACAGGGCTTTCAAGGCATACGATGAGGTGAGACGACCCAGGACTCAGAAGTTAGTCGAAACAAGTAGAGAGGCGGGTATGCTGTATGACTTCGAACTCGAAGGTGATGACCTTGATGCGATTGAGAAGAACCTCAAAGCCCGGATGAGCTGGATTTGGGATGTGGATTTGCAGCAAGAGCTAGGCAAGGCTCTTTCGATCTTTATAGCTTAATTGGGGGTGCATGAATGTAGAAGGTTGCATATGAGGTTAGATTATTAACTATCTACCCAAGTAGTACACCTATGAAGAATAGTAGCTCGAATAAAAAGGTTCCAGGTTATCCGATCCTAACCATATATGTAGCCGTCTACCCAGCTCAAGCAGGTGGGCAGGTTTATTAAACTCATCCTCATCTCTTTGATATTTGTCCATCTGCATGAATTCTGTAGGTAAAATACCTACTTACAACTCATAGGTACGGAAGGGAATGATACTGTCAACAGTGTGAGCGGCAAATAGTAGACACGGTAATAATAATTGCGGGATTTGAGCTGGTGGGAAGTACCTGTAGTCTAAGTGTATGGTGAGTTCCTGGCGTGGGTATGAAGATCTGATAGGATAGAGAGTCGCCTATCTCTGAACAAACACTTATTTGTAGTTTCTGATTTCGTCCTCGATACTCCCTAGCAGAGCAACCATTTGTTGGAGCTGAGGAAATCCATAAGTATACATGTTACTATTGACGAGAGCTAGCTGCTTGTAACCAGCAGGCGGTGACTTGATAGTATTGAGCTCGTCATGAAGATAATAAAGAAGGCTTTCAAGAAGCTCCTTGTTTACTATTCCACTTGACGTCGTTCCGGGCCCGCAAAACGATAGACTTGCAAAAGCCGCTGTAAGCGCTATGATAATATCGGGACGTTTATCGTGGGATGGGCGGAAAAGACTCGCCAGTTTCTTCGCCGTGGTCACTCTGTTATCCACGTTTTCAAATATAGGTCGTGAAAATGAATGGATCTGATATGAGTGCCCGGCAACGCTATGATAACCGTTGTTAATGATATCTCGATATGAAACACAGTGTAACGCAGGTCCATTGATAGGGCCGTATGCTAAATATTCATGGAAACCGCGACAGCATCTCTTAGGACCAATGTTTTCGAAGAGATCTGGGACGTGATAAATTTTGACATGTGGAGCTAACAATGTCCGATCAATAATTGCGACGTACTCCTTGCATGTTCCGTAGTTCACTGTAAAGACTGTTATTGTTTGTTGCTAGCTGGAACAACTGAGGAAAATACAAATTGTAACTTAAAAGACAGGAGACAAGGGAAAGGGGAGTGATGGTTCAAGGTAAAACATACTAGCAATAGTGATACAGGCTGCCCACGAACTAAATTCAGTATTGTAACGACGCCCCCCTTGATAATGATTACAGATCATTCCATGGAGATACGGAATATCGTATATATTGGTAGGTTTCTTGCCTTTAAGGAACCCGCGGGGGACAATCCCGGTTACTTTATTGAGACGAGCGTTGCCGCCAGACTTCCGACCAAAAGCGCGAAAGAGAAATCGTGGCAGCTTCTCTTGGGAAGCTATTAATGAATTAGAATAAACCTTCATATTCAATACTCCATGGACACATATGTGGTCTACGAACCTTCTAGGGCCTTCCAATCTTCCTTTGATAGGCCATTCATAGCGAGGTTTGATGGTGGTTTGGGCTTAAGAGGTTCCGTCCTCGTATCCTTATCTAAACCATCAGTAGCTTCCTCTATATGGTATTTCTTCTTCAGAAGGTTAGTGTAGGCTTCTTATGTAGATAACTTCGGGTATTTTGAGTTGATGGGTACCTTTCTCTTCCTCCTTGAGGTCTCATCAGAGGGGAAGTGGCCGAAACGTCGTTTATGAGACATTGTTGTAATGTTATTAGTTAATATGCGTGGTATCGATTTTGTATAGCAACTTCGCGGTAGAAACTAACCAGTAAATGGAGACATATATATACTATCTTGCATGTCTTTTATTTAACATAAGCCTGAGGCAATTTTTCCTATCCCTGGGTGAGAAATTATGTGAATCATAGAATTATATCAAACCTTCTAGCACCTGGCAAATACCTGACTACCTACTGATTATAGTAGGCGATGGATTGAAGTTTCATGAACTGCTTCGAATCGTAGGAGGGCGTCTGGTGGGAGATTGGTCCCTGGGTAGTATTTCAACTACTATCATCATAATGTGAAGACTCGACCTATGATCTTACTTGTGAACCATCCCGTCGAGTCTGGGTGTGTCTCAGTAATTCTGCATAGTTCCAGATAGTATCTTCAGGAAACAACAATGAGCACTCATTGTATCAAGACTTTTCCATTGTTCCTTGAAATCCCGATACTTATAGGGAGAAATAAATAGAAATGGTTTGGCAATATAACGAATCTGGTATTAGCCTTATTATAAAGATGTCAATGATATTATCCGGCCACACAGTGATCTTATTTTTGATTTTGAGTTGATCATTTAAAGATGTTCATCCGAAGAACTATAGTAGTTGACTGCCGTGCTAACTACAACAGGTTTTTTTTTAAAAAAAAATTGTTACTTGAAAGGATGGCATTCAAATGGCTATTACGATCCATGTGGGCACCTTGAGACTGAAATGGCCGTAGATAGTATAGGAACGTAGTAGAGCGAGTGCGTTTCCAGCACGTATATCGCAACCCCAGGCAAAGGAAAATTTGGAGCTCCTCATAAAACAGCACCGTCCGCACTTCCTAGGTCGGCATCGTATCAATTGATTAGGATGCCGAAATTTTAGATTAATAAACTAGAATATCGTAAACTCCTCCTCCCAAGCCCGTAATCTAAGCGCCTCCCCATCCATCATCCCCACGACGAAACAAGGTCCAATAATGCGCCAGAATAATGCAGTGCGACGGAGTACCATAGGAATCGATAACCCATATAGAACCACGACTATATCCCCGCTACGAATACACATGTCGCCAAGCCCAAGATAACCGTGCGCGGTCCAAAAGAGAGATGCATGGCCCAAACGCAAGAAAAGGTCGACGAACTCAGACCTCACCTCCTCGACACTAGGCGGATCAGCGCCCGCCGCGACGTCGAACACAGGCCAATGGAAAACAGAACCGGTCCGCCGCAACTTCAGCCCGGGGCACAGGCCTAGAGATAGGAGCTGGTCTGCAGCTTCCGAAAGTTGGATATACCTGTGATAATTCCGATCGCCTTCTCCTTTCGAGATAAATTTTGCTATGCTCCGAAACCAGACCTGGAACTTAGGCTGCCAGTATTCGATGTCGAACGAACTCTCGTGTTCGTTGGGACATGTTAAACCTTGGTGCGTGGTGACTATCGGATCAACTCTTACACCGCGGACTTTCACCAACATCCGGTTATCGATGGAGATATGTGGTGGCTTTGACCCGCTTGCGTCAAACAGCCCCTGGCTGCGGAATATCTCGAAGGGTTGTACCAGATGCGTGAAGTTTGGTATCCAACTCTGGCTAGACGCAGGCACGCTGCTGGCATTGCAAAGTAGAAATAGCCGAAGGTCTTGCTCCCTTTCGAGGATAAAGGTACACGCGTCTCTATAAGATTCCTCGACAGCCTTCCCATCGCATACCCTAAAGGGCAAACGCCCGCGGATATCCCGGTAGATTGGAAAGAGGGCATAGATTTTATCGCGTGGATCAGTAGCCTGCAAGTCTCGTGTTGCGAATAGCATACTCATTAATGAGTCCCAGTCTGCACTACCCCCTAAGGGAGGGTCGTTCGCGAATTCTTCTGTACTAGCATAGCTTGACCTGATCCGTGCAAGTTCGTACATGGCTTGAAGCTTCGGTACCCACGGGATCAGTTTGGTAACACGATAGCTATTCAGCATCATTGTTCGAACGGCGTCATTCGCGACAAATGCATCCTCGAGAGCTATTTGCTTATCGCCGCATATTATGTAGCTGGGAGTATTTGGGGTCGATGCTTCCTGCCACACCCAAACTCGGTGCCAATAATTGCGAAGGGCGAGGTTATCAAGAGCTCTCGTCTCTCGTATAGACAGATCAGCTGGCTTGATCAATCCGCCTTGTCGGACTTTATCAACAAGTCGCAGCCAGCAGTCAATTGCGACGGCGCTATCATGACTATCCTCCCCGAGCCAAAGACCGATGTGGTTCGCCCTTTTATATATTTCGCCCATCAATGTCAATTGCAGACTTTTTTCATGTTTGTCTAATTGGTTGATACATATTGCATCGACCCAAAGGTATGTTTCATCGAGGTTAGATTGAGGTAAAGAATTGTAATGTCGTCGAAGAAAGGCATGAAGATTATTTTGAACAGGGGTATTGTGTCCATCTATAATAATATTCTGGTTCGGATTCTCTGCTCCCCATGTATATGAAAGTGCCATGTAGCTGGGACACGACTCGAGGGGGAAGCTGACCAGCTCATAGTTGAGAATCCCATTAATATCATGATCGCACGGAGGCCTGCGAACTAATCGCATAAGCCGGATGTGAGTTGTCGGTATTTTCTGATAAGGATAAATTGACATCGAAGTAGGAATTGTTAAATTTCGATTAGATGGATCAAATGGACAATGACGGGGAGATATCAAAGAATAAGCAAGTACTTACATGTACGGATCCATCGTCAATGCCCTCTTTGCTTAGCGTATTCACCATGGAGTATGCAAGTAGCCGCTACTGTCTGGTAGTACTACAGTACACAGCCACGTCCTCCGTGCACTAATATTGCAGAATATGGGCAAGTAACAAAAGGTAACACTATGTACACCGCCACTACACAGCCGAAACCAAATAGATTACTAGTAGCTTGGCATAGATCTTACCGGCTGTTTGCGGCTGGCTGTCACTTGCCAAGGTAGCTCCTGCTGCCCCTATTACCCCTATTTCATGAGAATGAGAGTTAGCCCTTGATCGCGACAAGTAGTTTCTCAACTTTCTTTAAGGACACGCAATCTGCAAATAATAAATTCAGCATAATCGATACTGTGATAAAAAAAACCTAAGAGTTAACCTAGGTATAATTAAAATAAGGAATGTAGCGAGATGGCTTGGCATCCCCCACAAGGACGACGGCATCCTTGCGCTCGACGAATATTAATCGCGGATGAGGTTATAAATCAACGTTTCCTTTATTGGGGTATTTAGGTACCTATCAAGGGATATGTCGTAGGCCTAGCAGCCGCAGAAAATTGTGCAAGAACTATTTACATGATGAAACGAATTGAATCGACCTTGTGACCTCCTGAGTGCGGAACGAGTTTGTAAGATGGAAGTCAAAGTACCGTGATCGCGCCACTAGCGGGGCGGGTGATAGTCGTAGAGTTCGGGACCGATGCCACTATGACGAGATAGTGCGACCAAAGTTGCTTATTCCGAAGGCAGGTACATAAGGCATCCATTGTACTCAGGTAGTATCTTGGTAGTAACTTGGTACCTGGCGAGATTTTGAGGGAATATTGAGATCGAATGAAAAGAAATAGGTATCATAAGGTGAAACTTTGCCGGAACCGGAACTCCCCGGGCCTTGCGGCCTATGATTTAAAACCGTTTATCCCTCCTCACCGCTGTAGACTGAATGTAAATCTTAATGTGAATGTCGAGGTTGCAAGGCATCGTGAATCTGAATATCGGCCTAGTATGGCAAATAAACGAGCGTGAGCTTTCAGAAATCTCAACAGCCCAATCACCAGCGGCAGTGGTGTGAGAACAACATGGCGGTCGATGAAAACCCGGTTTGGTCTCTACATCATCGTCACCACCACGCAAATACGAAAGAAAAGAAAAGAACGCAAAGAAAATTCATCAAATCCGGATCCAGATCGTTCACTTCACCAGTTGGCTTGCTCAATGAAGAGCTGAGTGACACGATGTAATTTATGTGAGTTATCCATAGGACGAGGGATAAGTTTGTTGACAGTCCAAGGCAATCCCCAAAACACATAGAGGCCGACGGTTGCGAAGAGCACTGCTCTGACAAACAGATCATACGACGTGCCTCTACTGGATGGGATTAGTCTCTCTACCATCCAGAATATACTCAACATCATCACTGCCTGCAGTGTTCCCTGTGTCACTATTTAAATCAGACATCTTGTTCTTCCTAACGAGCCATCTACCCCCTAGAAACTTACGAATGCACGGGTCCGAAGGCTTGCGCTGCTTCGATTCAAACGGTACCAATTTCGCATTGTTGTTGTCGATCGCACTCGTAGTGCAGCCACACGAAAGGCCTGGTATTCCCATTTGACGCTTGACATCTCGGGATACCTCGTCCCATTGTCGACGCTTGCTGCCAAAGCTCTCAAATGGACCAGTTACGAGCGTCTCAATTACGACTGTTTTCGGCTCGCTCTCATTAGCCTGCTGCTGAACATCTCGTGGTCCTTGGCTGTTCGGTTCCGACCCAAGTAACAGCTGATTCTCATGAGGAGGACATTGCTCACAAAGTCCATGTGCGTAGCCAATATCGCGGAAATACCAAATTTGGGTTCTGGGCAAGAACATGTTAACACTGAGCGTGTGGACAGGGGCGTCGCCGTATCGTTCATAATAGAATCCGCCAGCTCTGTCCAGATGGTTGAAATAAGCCTGGTGTTCCTCGCCACGGAAAAATCTTAGAGAACCGATTTCGAAGTTCGAGTAAAACTGGCAGTTGTTATATTCCCCATCACTCGAGGCATAGTTAACACCAGTAGCAGGGCGGAGGGTCTCGTCATGATCCTTGGGGTCGTGCAGCAACCAGTTGAAATCGGCGTTTGGGTGTATCAGCTCCCCGTTATCGTCGATAAACTCTTTTGTATGCTCCCAGAGGGAAGGGAAAGATCGAGCGTCATCGAGAATGGCCATGTTGAATCCGTATGACATGTTGTTCTCTTGCATGAATCGGAATACATCATACTTGATGTCACAATAAAATTGGACCTGCAGTAGCTCTGTTAGCTGCAAAACGATGATGAAAGAAATTCCGGATAACTTCATGTTCAGGACGATCGCAGAGAAGACTGAAGCTAACTTACTCCAGGTTCAACTCTCCAAAACCAGTCATAGTCAATCAGACGCTGCTCCATTGCAAAGAGACCAGCGTTCCAACGGCACATATGGTGATAGCTCTGAAGCCATGCTTTACCGACGCCAATGCTGCCCATGAATTGACGACCAACATCAAACCGGGTCTCGTCGATAAAGTCCGGAATTCCCCAATGTTCTTCGTTGATACGTTCGAAGTAGCACCGGGAATAAGTCGCCTTAGATACTGCTTCTTTGAATTCCTCGGTGAATTCTTCGTTGTTGAAGAAGACCCAATCGTACTGATGGGTTTCGCGCTTGTTGAACCGAGCCTCTATCTGAACGATGCTCGCAACCATGTCGTCAACTTCTTCGTTTCGTACCAAAGAGATGAAAGCAGCCTTTGGACGAGTGTCGATTAGTGTCTGTACCTGCTGGACAGATATATCTTCCAAATCCAGGATAGTGTTCTTGCGAAGCCAATCGACTGGGTGGGCAGCTTCGCCTGGAGTGGTGTAACCTGCCGGAGGAGGTGGCATAGGGGGGACATAGGCGTCGATCAGGGCTGGCTGCTGGCTGTCGGACATTCCCGAATCTTTAGTACTACAAAACCAACCTGCACTGAGGAGAGCTACGGTCAAGCCCAGAATGACGGCTCTTCGGAAGGAAATGGGCCTTTAATAGGGCGCAGTACTATTAACAGGCGGTTTGACATTAGTGAATATGGGTGAAACATACCTAACTCGACGCGGCACGAATCTCCACCAGGAGGCTTGGGTATTGTGATAAGACGGCTCTACCGCATCATCTGGGGGACCTGCTTGGATGAATTCATCCTCACGAGGCGTAAGATGAAGAGGGGAGATAAGGTCTTCGTTAGATGAGCGCGACCAGGACGGAACATGACCTTTACCACCAGTCGGTTGGGCACCAGCCCCGGCACTACGACTGCCAACGTTACGGGGATAGACTTTGGACATGTTGGATTCTATTTGTCCTCTATCATTTGCTATATTAGTGAAAGATTTATGGGGCTCAGGTCAACGAGCTTTACGTCGCAAGACTAGAAGGAGAGGGTGACGAATGATGTGATCGTGATTAAAAAAAACGTACCGGGGCACTTACAAAGACAGATGAGAACCTGACGAGGCAAAGACGCGAAATGGAAAACCGAATGAACAAGGAGTGCGAAAATTGCGATAGGATTGTGGACAAACCGTGAATGGTTTTATCGGGAAGACGCAATACGCTTAGGTGTGGTAGAAGTAAAAGTGGAAAAGAAACAGTGTAAAGTGTGGACGAAAGGCGTGTTCGAAAAGAGGAGTAGTGAAATAGACAGTGAAGTTGTTGACGGAAGGTTTTTTTTTACCGTGGAAGTGGGTGGTGGGTTTAGTGTTGTTTCATGGGGGAAAGATACTGTACCTGTGCTTCGCTTGATGAGATTGGAAGTCGTGGATTGTTTTCATAATGGGGCAAACAAATAAGCTTGGTCCCTTATCCATAGGTAGCCGCCTGGGAAACAGCCTGATAAAAGGAGAGGTCATACGCGACTTCCTACGGGATGCTACACCAAACCATATTTCGCCGGCCGTTATCATCCCGTCCTGCACCGACCACTCCGAATAATCCGGCCACTCAGAATCTGATCACGTACTGTACAATCATGTGACTCAGCAGACACCAGCACTAGGGGCCCTTATGGATTGAAGAAGCTATAGTACAGGTAGCTAAAGTAGGACGGGTATTACCGGTCAATTAGGGCAATATTGGACTGGTACCTACGTCTGAAGAATCCGGTATCTGAACGCCCCTTCCTATTCACAACCTAATAACTCCTCCCTTTAATAGTAGTAACATCTCATTTACGTATCAACCGTCATAGCGTCGCCACTTATGTCATCCTCCAGTGTAAGGTCGAGGATCCGTCCGTATTGTACAGTCAGGCGTTGTAGTTCCCTGAATTTTCCTAAACGACAGTTAGTATTTGATGAAGATGGGACGAGACATATAGCTTTGTTGCGACAAGGAATGCTTACCTAGAATCATCACCACTCCTTTTAGCAGCTCCTTTCGATCCCAACCACAGATAACGTCTCCTTTGCTGTACCATCCCGTACCCCGTGTCTCGCCTTCCCCTTTTTTGTCTTGTAGTACCCCACCCAGCAAACTGTTGAGAAGTTCTTCGACCTTCCCCCGGTGTCCTTCTGCTCCGATTCGTTTCGCGTACATGAATAGGTAAAGTCGGAATTCCTCTTTTGCTCCTAATTGCAGAGCACCGGCGATACGGTTTTCCAGATGGGCAATGCTAACGCTAGACTCGAAATTCTCGAACCCGTCCCTTGATAGTAGGGTCTTAATCAAGCGCTGTAAAGTGTATGCCCTGCCCTTCAACAAGAACTCGTTTGTCGTATGTCGCTCTAGGAATGGGATGATGCCAGATGAGACGGTGGCTTCTTCGCTTTGCCCATCTTTGGACGATACAGGCCCGACTGCCGTGGACTGCAGAGCGCCAACAGAGGAGTCGTTACTATTCCAGTATTGGCTACCCACGGCCCACCAGGATTCAGACAGTCGTTGCCAAGAGTACATGGTAGGAGAATAATAGTATCCGTCTCCGTTAGTAAGAGTGACGACGATGTGGCCGCTAGAGTTAAGGTGAGCAGAAGTGACACCGGGAGCTGGCATGGCACTATGCGTTTGGAGGGAGCTGATGGCGATCTCCAGTACGGGAGCGAGTGATACCGGGGGGTGAGGCGAAGAAAGCGTGTTGATATTCCAAACATGGCATATGCCAACCGCCGTAATGCAAAGCAGCCACCAATCTCGACACTCTAGAATGACAGGTTGAGATTCCAACACCATCGCATTTATCAACCGACGTCCAGCTGGTGTCCAAGTATACAAGCTACCATCCTCACATGCCGCAGCCCAGAATCTCTTACTACCGGTGACAAGGATGATAGCGCGAGGGAGGTAGTCCTGCCATAGTAAAGTTCCACGTTTCGTAGCTGTGATGTGTGACGGATCTCTGATCGACACTGGATTCTTCGCTTCTAGTATCGTATTTTCGGGCACTTTCGATGCTTCCTCCGGGCTGCTTTCTTCAAGTAGGACACCTCGTTCCAATGGACGAAGGATATGCGACCTCACCTTGGGGACCGCTAGGCGAACTTGGGAAATGGCAATAGAGGGGTTAAGTATCGCTGGCCTAAGATATTCGGGGGTTGGTACTAAACCGTGATTCGGGGGCTCAAAAGCCGCAGGCTCAAGGCCGTCAACGCCATTCCTCATTATAACTCTCGGTCCAGAAGCAGCCCGTTTATGGGGATGTTCTTCATCTTCCTCACCTTCAGACGGAATCGCTTTCCTCTTATTGCCTAGTAGCATAGCTGCTAAGCCACCTTCCGGTAGTCCGTCGTACGGTTTAGAAAGGTCTAATATCGTCTGCGGTGCGTCATTCTGTGCGGCTTTTGAGGAGCTAGATCCAACCAGTTGACTTTGAGGAAGTGAAGATTGACCGGTCCCAGACGATGAGATGAGCATTGGTGCGACTCTTTTCTTCCCATCCTTGGTAATCGTTACACGTGACTTCAATTCGTTTACCCGTTGGGCAGTTTTATCAGCAGACTCCTCTGCCGGGGCGGCCTGGTCGGCCTTTTCCTTTTCTAGTTGGGAATCGGCCTGTCCATTGGTTGAGGGTGGATTTGATGTCGATGTGGCGTTCTTGACCCCATTTGTTGCAGGAGGCGCATCTTTTGGAAGTGGGTGAAAGTCGCCCATAAGGGCTCCCATTCTCGATTCAGCACCTCTCCTCTCTCCCTCCTTGCTGTAATTTTCTAGCTGAAGCCCATCCACATCTTCAGCAATGCCCATGGCTTTCCGCGAAGCTCCATATTTGGAGAGAGCCTTGTCAGTCTCCTCGAGATTAGCTACCCATCCCAATTCTCCAGTCTCAAACTTGACTACAACAATACCGCCATCTAGGCTCGACGCGAATAAGATTTGTCCATCAGGGGTCCAAGCGAGGTCCGATATTGATTTCGCTGCAAGGTCCTGCAGTATAACTACGGGTCTCGAAGTGTTGGTATTCCAAATGCTCAGAGTCTTGTCCTGGCCAGCAGATGCTATCACTGTTACCAATGCTCCTCCAGAGTGGCCATTAGCCGCACCATTTTCCATCGGTTTTTTGGTGTGGAATAGTCGAGGGGAGAACATGCACACTTCGGTCGGACCCTCGTGACCAATCAAGTTAATCTCGCTATCCCATCTTGTTCGCTCGATTATAGCAACTGAGCTAACGGGCCCATTGACTGCATTGGCTGCTGCGATATGATTCCCGTCCGGTGACCAGGAGCATCGTCGGAAATACGTAGTTAAGGGGGATGATTTGAAGGGTGCGCTAATGGTAGTCTCGAGTTGGAAGTTATTCACCATATCGTGCTGGGTCGCATTAGGAGCGGGCGGGGTGAAACGGAAAATCTTGATAGATCGATCGTCACTTGCGGTAGCGAAGAATTTATTGGCAGGGTCGAAGGTGATTCCTTTCACATGGCTTTGGTGATTTCCCAGCACCTTCAGCTTCTCGAAGGTGTGTCCCGACCAGATAACGACCTTGGAATCTAGACCGACTGAAACAAGAATGGAGCCATCATAAGACCAAGCCAGATCTTGAACATCGTTGTCATGTCCTATTAGTCGTCTCGAAGTCTTCCAATTCTCGACAGGGGGTGGTTCGTTCGTTCCGAAGGGAGCAATGGTAGGAGGTCCACTCTCTAGTTGGTATATACATATAATTTTATCATCCGCCCCGGAGGCGAGATAGCGACCGTTAGGTGAGAATCGCACGGAATGTATAGTTCCAAGATGGTGGCTCATATGGCAGAGTTGCCTAGGTTTCTTGTAGGATGGATCGTCGGCATTGTAGATAGATTCTGTCGACCAAACTCGCACGTGTCCATCTAAGAAAAACATGAGCGCATGCAAAACTAGTTACCAGTGAGTATCATCTGAAACATACCTCCACCAGCAGTAGCGAGTCTTTTGCCATCGGGTGATATATGACAGCTGTAGACCTCAAAATCTTTTTGTTCGCCTTCAAAAATGGTCAGCTTTTCCTCTAAACGCCCTGGTACTTGAAGATGCAGAGACCATACCTTTATGGCTTAGCCACGATGGCTTAATGATGCGCATGGTGACTCGATGATGTATATTATAATGCGCATGTCGTCATGAGGTGAACGTCAATAAAACTAGTATTGGTAGCAATAGGAAATTGAGATGCGCGTGCTGTAAGAAGTTCAATTGATGATTACACTATGTTGGTTTACAAGTTTCCCTGGCGCGCGACGCGGCCGAGTCTGCATTCAATTTAAAGTTTATGTAATCATTTTAGCCTTAGGAGGGTCCACTCTTTAGATGCGTACAAGGTCACCCTGTCCTTGCCAGGATGTTACCGTCCTACATAAGCCCACTCCTAATTCTGCTTACTAAGGTAAACTAGCCTGATAATCAACTTATTCCAGTTATTACATTCCCTCGTTAACAGGATACTAACCTATCCTGCCTATCTTCATAGGTAGGTACCTGACCTAGGAAAGGTCACTTCTAATGATAGTCCAAGTCACCACGGCCCGAAGATAATAGTTATGATACGATTCTTAGGGAGAGCCAGTATAATCAGGTCCATTTATCAGAAATGCAAATGTTTTTCATCGATTCATTTCCTATAAAGCAAATGCGTCATCATCAGTGCTCGTAACTGAGCAACTACCTACTTCGGGCAAAAGACAAAGGAAAAAGGACGTTGAGGCATCCTGCCACGGCAAAAACAATCTAATGACTGCCGTACCATGGCATTCATCGCCTTCTGAAAAAGGGATTGTTCTCATGCGTGATTCCTATCCCCCCTAACTCCTCTCAAATGCCTAGTCCCCCCTTCCAACGCCCCGTAAAACCATTGTTCACATGCCGCATAGCTTGTGAAAACATTGGAAAAATGAGAAGGTCAGAGTTTCCTCCTGCCAGAGACGCGGTTCTAAACGCGGCGTACATCAAGGATTTCTGATCGGGAACGCATTTGACAATGTTGTGTAGTATTGTATTCGTGATTAATACCTGAGGTAGCGTATCCTGAAAGCCAAGAATGATGCTCATTGTAAATAGGCATATTCTAAGTTTCAGATACGTCGCATCATACCCTATCCATTAGATTGAATAGGTATCGCTCAAGCATATCCATTACTGCCATAGCGGGTCGGGTGACGTGTCGTTGTCGACTCATTGAAGTAAGGATGGTGGCAAGCTTGCTTGGCAGAGATGCGGCCAGCGGGATCGTAAACAAGCAGAGCCTCCAGAAGATCAAGGCCGTTCTCGTCAAGGTTCGAGCACAGGCTCTGCGAAGGATCACGGACCCATTTCGGGAAAGACGCCTTGAAGTCAGGATAAGATGTCACTCCAGGCCAGACGTCCTCAGTCGGTGTACCCAGAAGGCTATTGAAATGTAAGTAAGATTAGCAAGAATAGGCTAGGAGTATATCTTACCGGAATGTCTTGAAGATCTGATCGATCTCTGAGTCACCAGGGAACAAGGGCTTTCGGGTGCACATCTCGGCAAAGATGCATCCAACCGACCACATATCAACACCAGTGGAGTACTGTCGACCGCCGAGCAAGATCTCCGGAGCGCGGTACCAGAGAGTAACAACTTCGTGGGTGTAGGTGCGAAGAGGAACACCAAAAGCACGAGCCAAACCGAAATCAGCAAGCTTCAGATTGCCATCACGGTCGATCAACAAGTTCTGAGGCTTCAGATCTCGGTGAAGAATTCTGTGGCTGTGGCAATAACGAATTCCTTCGCAAAGTTGACTCATGAATCGACGAACCATACTCGTACCTAGTCCAAGACGTCCCAGCTCGGGGCCAGAACCCTCCGGAAGAGCCTTGCCGCGACCACCATCGCTGATAGGAAGTGCTTCCATGTATTTCTTCAAGTCGAGATCAAGGAACTCGAATACCAAGTAGAGCTTGTGGCCTTCCGCGTGAACAATGTTGAAGAGTCTGACGATATTGGGATCGCGCATCTCCTTGAGAAGAGAGATCTCGCGGATGGCAGTGCTAGGGACCCCTTCATCTTCCGACTCAAGACGGATCTTCTTCAATGCGACGATACGGCCACCGTGGGCTAGATCTCGGGCTTTGTAGACGACACCATAAGTACCTAAAAGTAGACATTGAATTAGTAATCGATCGATCGTCCAGTGCAGTCAAAGAAAAGGGTGAAAATGATTGAATCCATAGAAGACAAGCAGGTACGTATCAGACGACAGGAACAGGAAATGAGGGTAAAAGCGATGTGAGACGGGAGATGGGAGATGGGAGATAGGAATCCAACATACCTTCACCAATCTTCTCCAGCTTCTGATAATTCTCCATCTTGACTGAATTCTACCACTATAGAATTTGGCTGAAGGAGCGTAAGAAAGGGAATGGGGTTGGCGAGTTTGTTGTGTGGTTATTGGAAACTTCAGATGCAACAATAAAGTTGGACTTGGTTGCTATTTACTTGGTGTTGGCCCTTGGGCGGTGGGCAGCAGTTATCCGTTGACAGTTGGTTATCGGGGGGTAACGCCCAGAAGAAAACGAGGGGCAATAGTGGGATGGTGAATGAAGAAGAAAAGTTGACTGAATGACTGAGATGATCAAAACCCAGAACAGTTGACCGCGGTTGCAAAAATAGAGAACGGACAGATTTAATTCTGTGCGATCCCGAAGTTGATCAAAACTCCATTGAGATTGCAGGTAGTTTACGATTTCAAGATTGCTGCAAGAATCCGAAGAATTCGTTAGTGGCAGGTTGAAATTGGGACTTTACACTGCTGAGTGGTGGGATTGATTTCGGGTTGAGATTGTTTTCTCATCAATAAGGTAAACAGTAGAATTAACTTTTGGTACGCGCTGAGTTGTGGTTAGCAGGGTTTATCGCGTTTGTGGCTTAGAAAGGTACTTATTTCACTTAGCTTGGTACGACCTAAAAATACCTTAATACCAAGGTACATACATAGATCGAGCATGCAGGTACCCATCATGCTATCTAATCGCCGAAAAAGGTACTTACGTAACTAGTTATGCATCATATGATCATAATACTCGATTTGCACAAAATTTAACATACAAAATATTAACCAACCCAAGTATTATGAAACATCCATAGAAGAAGCATAGAGCATCGAACAAGAACCACATTACTCTTACAGGACAAAGTCTACAAGAAATAATCTCCACGAGCATGACGCTTGACCTCACCACTCTAGATGCTCATGCGCAACCGGATGATGAGCTTAAGGCCACTTGGAAAAGATACTCCAAGACTGACCATGCGGACTTCATCAACCACCCCGATATAGATGAATTAGATCCTACAAAAGATGTGGGCGAATTTCAGCTGGCAGGACATATCCCTAGAGAGAAGCTCATAAGCTCGTTTAAGCAACTAGAAGATGCGAATTGGGACGAAACCCGAATATCTCAAGATGCCCCCTTTTACTTTCACCCCTTACTCCCAGGTCGGTCTCTATTCAACCTCTTTAAAGACGTTTCTCATGATAGATCCTAGGTCTTCTCATATTCCCTTCTCTGATACCTCCGAGCACGCAAAAAGCACTTCTGTCTCGGATGATTCATAGGGATCTGAGCAACCCCACCCACCAGACTAACCTACATCTGCACTATGATCTTCCCTACCGAGAGGAAGAATATAAGGAGAATGATACAAGCCGATCATTCTTCTCTTATTCTCCAGAATCCCCCGCAAAATTCGTGCCGAAGGATCCAAATGTACACAAACCCTTATCCATCAAACAGGTACTTGAGCGACGATTATCTTGGGTAACACTCGGGGGCCAGTATGATTGGACCAATCGAGTATATCCTAACCAGCCTCCTCCCGGATTTCCCCCTGATATTGCCACTCTTCTTCAGACGCTTTTCCCTGATACCCTCGCTCAGGCTGCCATCGTCAACTTCTATACCCCGGGAGATACGATGATGATGCATCGAGATGTGAGCGAGGAATCGGATAAAGGCCTTGTTAGTCTCAGCATCGGATGCGACGCGTTGTTCATGATTGCGCCTAATAACTACAAAAACCATGCTTCTTCAGATAAAGAGGAAGGGGGTAAGTCAGAAAAGCCTTACCTTCTGCTCCGGTTACGATCTGGTGATGCTATCTACATGAGCCAGGAATCTCGCTATGCTTGGCATGGTGTACCGAAAGTTCTCAAGGGCACATGTCCTGATTTCCTGGCTGATTGGCCGGCAGAAGATGGCAAATTTGAGGAATGGAAGGGTTGGATGGGAAATAAACGCATCAACTTAAACGTCAGGCAGATGAAGGACTAAATCTACACTTTTAATGGGATTCACCTTATGCCACCCCACGCCTGCCAAACAATCTCTACGTGAATACTCAAAGAGTACCCCTTTCACATTTTAACCTTTTAGAAAGATGATGGGCGTATTAGCTAGGTATTTACAGCGTCGCTTTAGACTACCTACATTACCTTTCCTATGAACATATAGAAAGCCTACATATGGTCCAATATGCGTGTTCCGTTATTTATAAAGCAGATGTGCATCCCTCGCATCCCAACAACTAGAACATTAAGCCTTTACTTTACCATCCGCTCTCATCCGATCATACCTTAATACACTTTGCAACAAGACGTTCGCGCCAATAGCGCAGTCCTCGGGGCTAGTATACTCCTCCGGATTATGACTAACCCCATTCTTCGACGGGACAAAGATCATACTCGTCGGACACCGCCTACTCGTATATACGCTGTCGTGCCCAGCACCGCTCGTCATGTCCCTGACCAGATTACTACTACCAGTCACTTCCTCGGCGGAAGCACGCACCGAGGCGATGCAGTCCGGGTGGAATATCGTAGCAGGGGAGACGAAATCCGTCCGCCACTCCACGTTAAGCGGCTTTCCGGGCGTCGAGCCTGCGAGAAGTCCGCCGACGTCCTCGCCCGCAGCTAGTATTGCGAAATCTCTTTTTAAATCAGCTTCCGTAGCCTCGACGGTCGCGTCAGCCGGGGCGCGGATGTCGAGCGTAAAGCTGACGCGGCCTGGAATCGTATTCGTGCTACTTGGGCTTAACGTCAAGATACCCGTCGAAGCAAGGGCGGAATGTGCGGTTGCTACGCGATGCGAGTGTGCGATCAAGCGGGCCGCGAGCAGCATTGCGTCGGCGCGGCTTTGGAGGGGCGTGGTGCCTGTGTGCGCATCTAGGAAACCATCGTATCATCAGAATTGGCTCCTTCATTAGTTATTATCAAAAGGGAGACATTAAAAACAATACCTCGGCCGGTGACGTCGACAGTAAACCATTTATAAGCCTGAACCCCTTTTACGACTCCCACTTTTTGGTGCTCCGTTTCGAGGATGGGCCCTTGCTCGATGTGCAGCTCAAAGTGCGCCGCCATAGGCGAGCTCTTGTAGCTGGTTGGTATTGAGCCAAGGTATCCAATTCGTTCTAGCTCTGATTTCATCGTCGCTGTCCCGCCGCCAACCTCTTGAAGGTTATGGGCTCGTTCAAGTGGAATTTCCTCTGCCCATACACCCGACGACGACATGCTAATTGGGAAGCGGGCGCCTTCTTCACTATTACGTTCTGTTAATCAAGCATCAATGCAAAATCCGCAATACCCAACTAATTTGGGACGGGACTCACTTGGTCCAATTCACCACTCCAATCGGGAACTCAGTCTCCCAATTATGGTCTCGTAGCACGGTGAGCATTTCAATACCGGCCAAGATACCGAGTATACCATCGTACCGGCCACCGGTGGGCTGAGTATCAAGGTGAGATCCTGCGAACGTGGCCGGTCCTTCGCGTCGACCGGGGCGCACAGCGAAAATATTCCCCATGGTGTCAATAGTGACATTGCATCCTAGAGCCTTGGTTGTCTTGACGAACCAGTCCCGGACGTCCTTATCCGAGTCACCTAGCGCAAGTCGTGACATGCCCGTTTCTTCTTTTGCACTGAATTAGGTATCAGCGCGACGCTACTTAGGAGTATCGAGAATGCCGGAGCAAGTTTACCTTCCCCATCTCTCGCCCGGCCCAAAGACACAGGTGCCATGTAAAGTTTCCATCAGCCTATCCTGCCGCACCCTCAAAGCCTTAAAATCTTCGCTCTCCATAGCTTTTGCGCTCCGGGGACTGGCACTGAAACGTCGTATTGGACCGAGCGGGGACCTTGGTGATGGCTCTAAAGATAAGAGAAACGATAAGCTCTTTGGAGGACGACATTTCGTCGTTACCGTTAGGCGACTTATATAGTTATGTTTAACAAACGAACGGTGGATCACGGAAGCCATGATAAGCACACAAAACTAGAAGAATAGTGTATTATGACCCTGGGTATGTACTTGCAAGAATCTAGAGGATCATAGAGATGCATTGATAAGGTCGATGCGAGGTCGGCGAGAGTCACGTGTCACCCCTTAAACGCCCTCTAACTACGATACCATAACTGGTGATACTATTCGTCTTTTCTGTATCTAATCAATAAAACTACATGATAGCATAGATATGATAACACTTTTGAGAGGCTTCGGTCTCGTTATACATGGATAATACCAGAGGCGGAAAAGCTCTAGGTCGTTCCCGCTAATTTCCTTTAACGTAAATGCTTAAGTAGTGAGGCAGGGTTCCGTAGAAATCTGGAGATGATACAATATAAAGTCTGTGAGAAGCTCGAGTAGCGTAGTTCTGCTTATTAGCTAGTTATGTCTCGTCGTTGAGGATTTAACAAGGTTTCATGGAATAGAGGAAATGGTTGCTGCGCGTTGAGTCTAGGTGAAAGTTCTATAAAATAAGCGTCGACATTGAATGGAAGCGATCGCCTGCTTTGAGCCTCACTTCGGCTAGTTACCTAGTCATCGTAGACATCTGGGCTATCTTTCTGTTAAGGTATACCCTTATTTGGCTCACACATAATTCGAATCTAACCTCTATTGGTTGGCCGTGATATGTGGAACCATCTGGGGCTGAATTCCCCTGGCATGCATGGAGTTCGCGATTAGATTATCTTCAAAGTCATCTTTATGGGACCAAGTAAGCCACGATGGACTAAGAAGGACTGGAAGTCGTCTGCTCTAGGCAGTTCATACAACTACGTACTCAAGCATTCAGAGGCAAATTCTACTTGTCCGCGGTTTAAATCTGCAAAAGAAAGGACGCGTATCGTGGTACCGTGTCGGGTGCCAAATATTTTAGCGTCTCTGTCACGAAGTTAGTGCTAGCGACAACCGGCATCGGTGGGTACTGAAATCTCAATTATCGCAAATGTGCCGCTAATTTTTCCCATCAACGGTTAGCCGTTGCGTCGAACGTCCCTAGCGATCAACTTTCCGTGACCGAGGCGAATGGCGTCCTTGTGCTTTGCTTGGCAAATGCTGCGAATGTTCAGCTGTCAGGGGTATGGCGCTTCGTGACAAGGGTATAGAAATTCTTCTTCGAGGAGGAGAAGTCCTTCAAGACTAGCAAGGCGTGAATGATATAAAGTGTGCCCGCGTAGCTGCCCGCGATGATCGCAATGTTTGGTTTCTAGTTGGGATGCCTGACTATTCTGTCGTTTTCTCTAGTCTCGTTCGCCATTGCGCATATACTCTCTTTTGATATTCCTTGGCCACTTCACAAGTCTTCTTTCATCATCGGGGTTGGTCATGAGAAGGTAGCGGCAATGACTCGGTTATGGTTATTATCCGGTTGGGCGTGCCTGGGCGCGACGCTTGCGAGAGCAGAGGAAATCGTCTATGTTACTGATCTTTCCATTTTTACTGTATTAGTAAGTCAGTTTTGCTTGATGAAAATGGTAGACGAAGAGTCCAACACGGTTGATTCATTCTACCGACAATGTTTTCTGAAATGTCCCATACCAAGTAGAGGCCTTGAATGTGAGAAGGGCGAGGCGCCAAAAGAACTAGACGACGAGGCAATAACAGCATGTAAAGGTAGCGATATCGCGGGTCGCTTTCACTTCATGATTTAGCCTGGGCGATAAAGGGTTGCTTGGAAAGGATGCTGATTGTGGTAGGCACCATGCGCGGCCGCTGCCATCTCTGAGAACGTCCAGAGCCAGACAAACGATAATTGCCCCGAAGCAGTCACCGATCTCCAATCATGTGTCTGCACGAAAGATAACAACTTTGCTTCAATATCGTCAGGAATCTCGGAGTCGATTAGCTGGAGCTGTGGCTCGACAGCGTCGGAGGACCAGACGAGTGCGGCCAGCGTTTTCTCAGCCTATTGCAACCAGGCTTCGATTACGCCGTTTCCAACTCCTACGTACCCGGTCACACAATATATCACCGATTTTCCCGCATGGCAGCAACTTGCTCCTTGTGCCGCCTCAGGCCTATCCTACATCGTCCAGTGAGTCCATGATCTCTTGTTGGTTCCTAACCAATATATTGAAAATTTTCTGACTGCCTCGTAGGAGTTTGGTGAGCGTTGTGAGCATATCAAAACTTGATATATTGTCTAATACCAAGGGGTAGACATTTGACTTATGCAATGCGGAAGCTAGCCTCCTCGCTACTTGTGCGTGCGACAAGAACCAGAATTCCCTTCTCGTTAGCCAGGGTATTAACACCTCGGTGAAATACTCATGCTCATCGCACACGGCCGATGTCGATTCGGCCCAGGCTGTGTTCGCAGGCTACTGTGGTTTAGTAGATGGAACGTCATCTTTTCCAACGACCTCGGATCCCCCAGGAGATAGTAAGCTATGCTTTAACCGCTTTCTATAGGTTAATTAGCTAACATGGACGATAAGTGACGTACTATATCACCGCACTTCCTGAGTTTAGCTCGCTAGCCTCTTGCGCACAAGATGCGGTATCATATGCAGTTATGAGTGTAAGACCAATATCTCAGTATGAATATTCAACTGTTGACACTTATCTTCGAAGCAAACCTATGATCTCTGCCCTCCAGGCCCAGCAGCTTTGGCTTCATGTATTTGCATCAAGAGTCCCATGTCTGGTTATGTTAGTAACCAAGTGGGTTCGGATGTGACGTATTATTGCGATTCAACAGCAACCGAGGACGTCAGTTCTGCCCGCAAAGTTTTCGATATGTACTGTAGTGCTGCTAAAGGGTTAACAACACTTGCTGGGGTCACTGAGTCAGGTAAGCTAAGTGCTAAAATTAACTATTCCCCCTTTTAATAATTATCGTGGCAGTACAACAAACGAGTGCCGATGGGAATAGCGGGACATCTGGACCGAAAGAAACCGGAGCTACGAGTGCTGAAGGGCCGGTAGAGTCTGGTGGAACAACCACGAACTCAACCAGTAAATCGAATATTGGGACGATCATAGGAGCTGCTGTTGGCGCTGCAGCCGGTTCCGCAATGTTAGGGTTGATAGCCTTCTTTTTCTGGAGGAGATCGCGACATAATCGCAACCACCAACAAGCAGCGCCACTTAATTCCGCTGATGGATTTGCAGGAAAACCCGAGCTCGACGGCGCCGTACCTACATCTACATCCGCGACAAGCCCGAACTCCAATACATTGGACAGACACGCGGCATCGCTAGTTGACAATGTATCTCCGGTATCTGCAACAAGTACCCCGTACAAGCCAGAGCTTCAAGGCCACAATGACTATATTCCCCAATACTCGCAAGTACCCGAGTTACATGGTCAGAATCAGGACACATACAACTTACATGAGGCACATGGTCAGCCTAGATCGGAGCTCCCGGGTATGGGATGGCAATCAGGACCCGTGGCAGAATTCCACGAATTGGATGATAATCATCGAAAGCAATAGGCGTTGGAGGCTCGATAGAAATACTATTGATTAATATTCGAGATTCGAATTATCGTGCATGAAGAGCGGTGGCAGGGCTGATATATAATATCCATTACTAAATATGTTTTGAGAAAGAAATGTGGTTGACAGGAAGATGAAATTACGTAGAATACCATGATAGATAGGTACCTAGGTACGAATTAATGGCACTGATGGTCCAAGCTCCTGGAGCTGGCCATTTTAGGTTAGGCAGAAAATAATACACCGGGGTACCTGTGTAACAATGAACAGCAGGGAATTAATTGCTAGCCTCGTCGCGCCTTCCACCGAAAACAGTTTACTTTCAGTTCAATGTTGGCAGGTTCCTTTGTGAAGGAAATGAAAAACCGAATCTTAACATCTTCACATTTGGGTTCTTTCATCGCCACTAACACTCACTCACCTTCACAACTCTAATGATTGATTGATTCACTTAACGATCGATTAATCTTTTACTTCAATTATATCCACCTTAGTTCATTCCTTCATTTATTTCTTCAACAAGTTCTACTCCATTTTCATCTTTCTTTTCCCATCACGCCTTTGGTGATTTTTTCACACATTCCCTACGCGATCGCAACTCACCGACCACGACCCTTTCAACTACAAAGCCAGCGATAATAGTATCAACGCGAGAATAATACCACTAGTATACCTGATTCACTCACCTAATGGCCATACCTGGATCGGGTATTTGATACCATGGCAGCTGCGGAGGTCGATCTCGGCTACCTAGCTACCCATCTGGGTATGCCTGAGGTCAACCTGACAACCGTTGCCACAGATCCTACTGTCGAACTTGTTCAAGCAATTTTATCCGCTGTCGCCGCCAAAGGCCACGAATACGATGCGCTATTCACCCAGAAAATTCAGTTAGAAGTCGAACTTGAAACCTCTGTACGCAGCGCCGAAGCTCAGCGTGATGCTAGCAATGAAACTGCCAAAAAGGCACTTAAGGATGTCGAGGAGCTTCGCCAGAAGCTTAAGGATGAAGGTATGTATATTCATCTCTATATTCGCATGTCTATATTTACAAATACTCATATCGATGCGCAGAGACCACACGCCAGAAGCTAGAAAACGAGCTACAGTCCATCAAGTCCTCCAGTTCCACTTCCCAATCCGAGATTGACAAACTTCGAGCGCGTGTCGCATCCCTAGAGACTTCGAGCCGAGAATCGCTCGCGATCATCGATACCAAGAATTCTGCAAATGAGGCGCTCTCTCTAGAGCTGCAGGCTCAACATCAGAAAAATCTGAAATTAAGCCAGGAAGTCACGTCTTTGCAGCAATCCGTTCAGAATGCCAACCATACGGCGAGCAGCTCAAAATTCAGGGAGCAGTCACTGCAGCAACAATTGCAGCTGGCCCAAAGCAGCAGCGACTTCTTTGAAAACGAGCTTAAGAACAAGTCCGCTGAAGCCCTCAAGTACCGGAAAGAGAAGGGTGCGCGCATTGCTGAACTTCAGCGCCTCAACGACGACGCCACTTCCAACATCGAATCCCTTAAACGTACCGAACAGGCCCTTCGTCAGCGCCTCGATGAATCGCAGAAGAAGGTAGATGATGGCCTTACTAAAATCCAGCAGCTGCAAGAGGCTGCGGGTCGTCGTGAAGAAGATTACCGACAGGAGTGTGACGGTTTACGGCGACTTGTCGACTTGAAGGAGCAGCAGACGCTAGCTCACAAGAAGCGAGTTCAGGAAGTTGAGGCGAGAGAGGAGCAAGTTAAGCGAGAATGCGAGGATAGCATTCGCCGAATCAGTGAAGAACTTGCAAGGTCCAATTCAGACAAAGAAGAGCTCTCCCAAGCCGTCGAATCCCTCCGAGATGAAGTTGGCCGTCTAGAGGCTATGATTGCTGGAAGTGGAGGTAGCCCTGCACAGCCTGGTTCGGCACCCCAAACTCCAAGGCCTTTGAACGGATCTCTCTACCGATCAGGCTCGCCATTTGCAACACCGGGCTCTTCACGCAGAGCGTTCTCTACGACCCAGCTAATGGAAGATTTCTACAAGATCAAGGGACAACTGAACGCCGAAAAGCTCCGCAGCAGCAGTCTTGCAAAGGAGCTTGATGATGTTATTGACCAACTTGAAGCCAAGCGTCCCGAGATTGAAGATCTCCAGGCCGACAATGAACGACTCCAACAAGAAATGAAGACTATGTCCCATCTTTCGGACGAGAGCTTTAAAGAGCGTGATGTGGCTAAGAAGGCTGCACGCAGGGCTGAGGCAGCTGCGGCTGATGCTGAGAAGCGAAATACCCTTCTACAGTATGAAGTAAAGAGCCTCAGTGCCCAGATCCAGATGTTAACTTTCAATGTGCATTGTCTTGAAAAGGGCCTAGATCAGCTCACCTCCGATGAGCGAATAATTCTACAAAGGTTGGAGAGAGGCCAGATCAACGACCAAATTGGAGACGAGGAATTAAACGCTCATACCTCTATCCTTGAACGTCTTGTCGTTTTCAAGAATATCAAGGAACTTCAAGAGCGGAACGAACAGCTCCTCCAGGTTACCCACGAACTCGCCGAGAGAATGGAAAACGAAGAAGCAGTTGCGGCTAAGAGCCAGGCAATGGAGGATCACAAGGAACGTATCCGTTTGGAGCAGGAATTGGAAGTCTTCAGTGATACTCTTCGCGGTTTCCAAGTGAAGACGGAATCTATTACTAAGGAGCGAGATATGTTCCGACGCATAGTCGAGTCGAGAGCATCAGCTGAGGAAATGGCGTCGGCCTTAGGTCGATCTACACAAGACGGCGTTCTTGTCAGTATCGAACAAAACTCTACTGCGAATGACGACACTTCTGATTATACTACTCTACTCCGAGATCTCCAACAGAACTTCGACATCTACCGAAATGAGCAGACCGCAGATCGAAAGACTATGAAGGAACAGTTGGAGAAACTGTCTGCTGAAAGGAACTCGCTCCAGGCGGAAGTCTCCAAATTGCAAAGTCAGCTTTCACTCGCGTCAGAGCGCTATGAAATCCTCCAATCGAACCTTGCTGCCTTACAAAGCGAAAACAAGGAATTGCAAAAGAGGAACCAGACCATGTCCGAGTCTGCAGCTAAGCAGGACATTCGCACACAGCAAGTGGCCGAAGATCTAGTCGAAGCAAGAGGGTTGCTTGAGAGCATGCGTAGCGAGAATGCAAATCTCAAAGCCGAGAAAAAGCTGTGGAAAGACATCCAGGATCGATTAAGCCAGGATAACGAAAGCTTGATGCAAGAAAAGTCACGTTTGAACGGTCTTCTAGCCACACAGCAGAGTCTTCAAAATGAACGTGAACTAAGCGATTCTGAGACTAAACGACGCCTGCAATCCCAAATCGATAGCTTGGAAGCTGATCTCAACACTACTAAGCGCAAATTGACAGACGAGGTAGAGGAAGGGAAGAAAGCTCAACTCCGAAAGGAGTACGATGCTCAGCACTTCCAAAAGCGGATTGATGAACTCACATCGAATCTCGGTCAAATTCGCGAAGAGCTTGTTGCTACGAAGACTAGCCGGGATCACCTCCAGAGTAGAGCTGACGAACTTGCGATCCAGCTTCGAAGTGCAGAGGAACGCGCAGAAAGACTTCAACCAAGACCCACCCCAAGGCCGGGATCGATGATTCCTGCATCAGACCAAAATGATACGCAAGCTGACACGGATGAGCGTATCCAAGAGCTGATCCACGAGGTGGCGGATCTCAAACGCGACCTTGAGCTCACAAAGTCTCACCTTGAGAATGCTCAAATACAAGTCGAGCAATACAAGCAATTGAGCCAATCATCGGAGGAAGAACTGGAAAGAATAAACTCTACACAAGACCAATACCAGCAAGAGATGGACACAGTAATCTCTTCCAAAGATGCTACCATCAAGGAACTAGAGCAAAGAGTAGAAGATTTGTCCGCCGAATTGGCAAGATCTAACAGTGAATTGTCAAGTCTGCGCGACTCCCAGGCAGAGGTCGCCAAACGTTTCGAAGATGAAAAGGCTATCCTCGACGAAGAAATCAAGCGTCTGAAGGACGAGGAGGAACGATACACAGCTTCCTCGCAATTCCATCAACAAGATCTTCGTGCGCAAGCTGAGATAGCGGCTAACGCGCAACAAGCGTACGAAAGTGAGGTTATGAAACATGGCGAAACGGCGAAGTCGTTGTCTAATCTGCGCGGCGAATACAACGAGATAAAGACATCTGCAGCTACCTGGAAAGCTGAAGCAGAGTCGGCAAAGGCCACTCTGCTACAGAACGAAAGCTCTTGGGACGAAAGGAGACAGCGTTTCGAGCGCGAGATCTCCGAACTCCGTGCTCGCAGAGACGACGCCAACGCGCAAAACAAGCTACTCCACCAGCAACTAGACGACGTCACAAAACAAGTCTCGGCTTTGCAGCAGAGTCGAAATTCAACCGATGAGTCTCTAGACGCGATTGCCGCGCAACCTAGTAGTTCAGAGGCCGATAAATTCCGGGAATTAAGCAATTATCTTCGTCGCGAGAAAGATATCTTGGAGGTACAGTACGACCTCAAAGTCCAGGAAGCCAAACGATTGCAGCAACAACTCGAATATGCGCAGTCACAGCTTGATGAGGCTAGACTGAAACTTGAACAAGAACGTCGCTCGCAGGGTGATAGTGACCGAAGTTCGATAGCTCATAAGGATCTCATGGGCAAGCTCGAAGAGCTCAATCTCTTCCGAGAGAGCAGCGCCGCTCTACGGGCAGAGGCTCGTCAAGCACAGAGTCAATTGGCCGAGAAAACCGCCAGGATCTCAGAATTGGAGTCAGTAATTCAACCCCTAGAAGCTCAGATTGAGGAGCTTCAAAGTCAACAAGCTTTTAGAGAAGCGGAAATGAAGCAGCTTCACGAGGATCGAGATCGATGGCAAAAGCGAACGGAAGATATTCTTTCGAAACATGGCAGGACTGATCCAGCAGAGGTCGAAGAGCTTAAACAGATGGTTGCAAAGCTCGAGTCGGAGCGAAATACTCTGCAGGAAACGGAGGCATCTCTAAAGGATACGGTGCAAAAACTTGAACAGGACCTGAAGGAGAAAGAAGCTTCGTGGGCGACGTCAAGGGAGAAGCTAGTCAGTCAGGCGAAGGAACGATCTAGGACTCTCACCACCGCCAAAACTGAACTAACGACGGAACGGGACGAGCTACGGACGAAACTAAGCAAAGTTTCGGACCAACTCTCGACAACCCAGAAAGAATTGGATCTTTCTCAGAAAGCAAGGCTTAGCTTGGAGGAGCAGGTCAACAGCTTCAAACGCCAAGTTGATGCTCTTCAACTTGAGCATCAAAAGAATTCTAGTGCCCCTGCTCCGGTAGACCCGTCTAACACCCAGGCCCTTGCTACACTACAGAGTCAATTGGCAGATGTCCGCGCAGAGTTAGATAACGTCTCATCACAGAAGGCCGTCGTCGAAGGAGAACTCCAGAGTGCTCGTAATGAACTCAGCTCAGCAATTGCAGAGCGAGATCGGGCTATCGCAGATGCACAGGCTCCAGCGGCAAATGGCGACATAACAATGGAGAACGGTACGGGTACTTCAGAAAAGCCATTGCCAACACCATTATCCGACGACGAGCGCAAGGCACTTGAAGAGAAGATTTCAGAAGCTGCCGCAAAGGCCGCTGAATGGGAAGCGAGAGTAAAGGAGCTAGAAGAAAAACAAGACCAAATTGTTAAGTCCAGAAGTGACAAGATGAAAGAGACATTGAACAAGCGTTTATCTGATTACAAGACTCAGATGGAGGATGAAAGGGCCCAAATGAAACGAGATACTGAGAAGCTGGAGTCTGATTTCAACTTGCGCATGGAACAAGAGCGGAAGATTTGGGAGGCGGAGCATTCCAATGGACCGAAGCCACCTGCTACCCCTGCTCGACAACAACCTTCAGACACTCCCGCGGGGACTCCTACTACCCAAACAGCTGACTTGAATGGGCTGAATGATAAAGAGATTAGGGATCTCGTGTCCAACAACGCCACGATCAAGAGCATTATTCAGAATAACATTAAGAATAAACTCGCCATCGAGACGAAGAAAGTACGTGAAGAACAAGAGACATTAAAGGCAGAGTTGGAGCAGAAAGTCGTTCAGGCACGGGAGCAGGCTACGCAGCTAGCTACATCGAAGAGCAACCTTAAGCTCAACATGGCTGACAACAGAGCCCGAACGGCTAACGCCAAGTTAGCCGTTGTGGAAACGGCAGCGAAGGAAACACCACAGCGGCCTGTTGGGGAAGTATGGGAGATTGCGAAAGACGCAAAGCCGCCGCCACCACCTAAACCAGCCACTACAGAATCACCTGCTGCCTCGACGACAGGTAACGCTCTACCAGGTACGTTCTTTCACCATCTTGCTATTGAGGAAATGACATGTTACTAACAGTACTATAGCTCCCAATGCCCAACCTACAAGTACCAATACGACTACACAAGAAACGAAAGCCATTCCCACTAGTGGCATACCCAAGCTAGGGATGCCAAGTAATCTCCCGGCGGTAAACAGCCCTTTCTCGAATATCAAGCAAGAGCAATCACAGTCGGCACCTACAGGTCCCAACCCTTTCACCCAGAGTTTGCAGCAACCTGCGTCCCAACCGGGACCAAGCCCTGCGCAGCCATTTAGTCAGTCTACAACATCATCGCAGATTCCGACTAAGGCCACCAGCCTTCCAATGCCGACAGCAGGCACTCGTAAACCGGGTGGTCCTAACCAGACACGCGGTGGTGCTCGCGGCGGAGGCAATGCGAACCGTGGAGGTCGTGGAGGTGCACAAGGACGGGCCAGTCTCAATCCTTCGGCAGACAATTTCCAACCTGGAAACAAACGTCCTCGGGGCGACTCGGAAATAAGTAACAACGCGAAGAGGGTGCGGGGTGGCGGTCCGCACTAGAATCGCAACCGACGCTACTAGGCACTGGAGCCCTCAGACGAAAAAGTGTTGGGAAACCAACCAACATTTACGCTCATATATGTACATCACTGGCTATGGATCACATCTAATGCATGTCCCACATTATGAAGGGAGGGCTTTCATTGATTGCTATGTTATTTTGCTAGTTGGAATGGGGGGTTGGCCTGGTCAAAGTCGGAAAACAAAGGTGTTTGCATTACTGTAGCTTTAAATCGTAAGGCGCAATGAATGGTACACATCATCTCTTTTGTGCAAAACTCTCCTGGTCTCTTAGGATTACTCGTAGATGAGGTGTATGTTTTCTGTTTTATACGTAGCGTGAAAGACTTAATTCGTAGCTTGGTGACACAATGATTTGTCTTCATTTCCCCTTTTATTAAGTAAGCGGGTTCTCGACCATCATCACGTGTTTCCTTCAACAACACCACCCAGTGAGAATCAAGGTTCATAATGAATTAACGAAACACAATAATGAACTAGTGAAAGCAAACACCACGTTGAGATATCCTTCGCGCAAATCAAGAGCCATGTGGTCGTTTTGCCGGACAATATATCTAGGTGCGCTGATACAGTAGCTAGGCACGTCAAGGTATCCTATAGAGACTATACATCGGAACAGTGGGTTCTTCACGGCAACTCTATGGGGAGCCGTTGAAATGGCTTGGCTCAGCTGGGGTTAGAATAGTTGTGTAATATCCTCAGGCTCCAGATAGAAAATCTGCCGCTCGGCGTGTGCTATGTTTGTGATGGGTAGGTGCTTAGGATGTTTTTTTAGTTTTCTTTCTCTTCATCATCCACCGGCGCATCTAGTATCATTGAAGAAATAAGCAAATACAGGTTTTCAAGAGAATATAGCTAGTGTAAAGCTGAGTATGTGCCTAAGTAGATCTTAGATCAAGCAGATGTCTACGTGGTAGATTTCAGCATGCGAGTACATGGTATCTCCGAATTAATAGTTACTAAGGCACGGTAAAGAATAATGGAACCGTTTCATATTGGTCTCGAGAGGAACTAGAATAGAGTAGCTACCTAGACTCGTGATTGCCCGTCTCTCCAATCGCCTCCCTGTTTTCTCCTTGGATGCGCGGTCTTGATGGAGATCCGTCACGATGCGAAAATGTGTGTGCAAGTATTTTTTTTTCTTTTTTTGAATTTTCCATTCCATAAAGCAAGTTGAAATTTATGTCCTTCGAGACCCTAAATGACGTTAGTTAGAGATACGGAGACGTTTGGAAAGAGTTGCTACATACGGTTCCTATGGCCGTGTTCGTGAATGTATCGCCTTGTAATTCAAGGTTCAGAAGGCCCCCTAATCATCGTCATAGCAATTGATCTCTTTGTTGACATCTTCCGCGTGTATGTTGGCTTGATGCGATTTGAAGAGTATCTCCCGTCAATGGTGTTCGAGTCGGATCAATAAACTATCGAGCAGGCGAATAGACTTAATCGTGGAATCCGCAGGCAATTGCGATTATGTCTTCAACCGCGACGCCAATCTCGGACTAGAAGAAGGGATGGTTGTTAGTTATAATGTACTTGGATACTGAGAAAGAACTTGGTTTGTGGACGGTATTAAGTTAGGGGAATCCAGCTCCTTCTGATAACCGAAGTGCCGCCCGTTAACAGAAATTTGTATAATAACACTCACGTTGGGGTGAACGCCGTTTTCAGTCATCGCCTGGAGCTCGCGCAGGAAGCGGTGTCGAAGCTGCGCATATAGGGGAGGTTGAGGTCCAGGATAGTGCTTGGCGTGGAACTCCATAAGCACGATGACCTTCCAGTCGCCCACGACGACAGAGTGAATCCAATCGCCAAAGTAAAGTACCACTCTGGACGCAATGCCGAATCTTCCCACTGAAAGACAGTCCATGATGAATCGTTTCCATCGGTACTCACGCTATTTGGGACGAATAGTTAGTATAATGTACTAGTGAGGATATTGACGAAGGGAAGGGGTCATGAAGCCATCGATAAGAACAGATATATACTTACAAGAAACCACACCAGGGCATGATTGAGAGTCATCATGATGTCGCGGCCGATGAAGTTCCAGAACTGGATGTAGCTGACAAGACAGAAGAAAACGACAGAGGGCAGGCGAAAGAAGTTGTCTGTCATGTGATCAACCAGCTCAAGCAACATGTAGGACCAGATCAGAAGAAGCGTGTACTCGAGAACCGGGCCGATGCAGTAGATTGTCATGCACACCATCGCCATAGACACGACGTTGGTCACGCTGCGGCCGAGGTAGCGGTTGACGACGTGGAAAGCACCCCAGAACAAGGAGCGCCAGTTGACGAGCAGGGCAACCAAAGCCGGCACGCCGAGCGCGATGATGATGGTGGACATCATGTTGGATTGATTGATGATCGTAAGGTGTTTGTCTTGCTTACTTAGAGGTGTTTACCTGTAGGTTGCGGGAATAGAACGATGCGATGTGAATAGAAATGAGGGATCCAGATATAACCTGAAGCACAAAGTAAGACTAGAAAAAGCCTTAGCCGGTGCGTCAAGTTATGCGTGGTTGATAGGGTAGAGAAGATGTTGATGTCTTGCGAAGGAGAAAGGTGAGGTGAAGGAGTGAAGGGAAACGAAGGATGAAGAAGTTGTAATTTGAAAAATCTCAGGCCACCTAAGAGATGTTGTCTAGTATGGCTATACTAGTCAATGGAGTCAGGCAGGTAAACTCACCTAGTTGTCGCCTGTAATAGGACTGGAATCAGCTGGGAAGGGTGACGGGAAGGGGGCCGTCAGAATATATATGGCAACATACTTAGGTGACCACCAAGGTGAAAATAACTGTATGTATCAGTTGCCATTTGGCAAGAAGCATCGTGGATGTTTATGTCGAATAGTCTTATACGTTTGTCGTCGCTGATATCATATTGAGGACGGCTCATTTTACGCCAGTCCCTGGGCCTTTTATATCATGAAGGGGTAATCATGTTTGATACTGGCACGAATGCCTCATTTTGATAAGAATTCACTACTGAGAAGCAGGTAAAGATATTATCTTCTCCTTTGGTTATTATAATTGAACCGGATTCATGATTGTGGAGACTATATTGTTTAAATTTGTTCCTGGTTGGACTTGTTTTAGGAACACCATGCAACTTTAATGCAGCTTTAGACTTGACTCATTGAGCAGTCTGTTGTAAATGCCTAGCTTATGTGACTTTTGTTTACTATGGGTTAAGAATTACGAAGGATATGAATATAGAGGCGAATGGTGTGGAGAGGCACAAAGATTGGAAGGAAGAGCAAAGAGAAGTGGGTTAAAAAGCCGGGAAATGACTGTATGTGTCAGGGGCATAAGTGGAGACAGGGGCTAGCTAGCGGCTAGGCCGCAGATATATAAGGGAGGCTTCGCCTCCCCTAGATTTAGGAAGGGTTGCGCGATACTTTAGTCACCATTCTACCCATTTGCTACCTACTTGCTACCTCTCACGTTGACTTGCCGCCCCAACCTGACAGTATGTGAGTAGGTAACTTGAGCTACATTACTTCTGAGGCTATTTTTACATACTAAAGTTCCAATGGAAGTAAACTGGAGTCTGCCGGTCAGGGGCTTACACATAGACATAACCCCTATTCCAGAACTGCGAAAACACCTCCTTAAATATAGGCGGAACCCCTGGATATAATACTAAGTACTTACCAGTCTGTAAGTCTCTAAGATCCAATTAGAAGTGTCATATATGACACTAGGCAGACTTACATAAGTGATAGCTACATGAAGTCCTTTTACTAAGTTCATGTTGCGTACGCCTATTCAAAGGGTGGGTTTGGAATGCAAATTAATATGCTTCAGACAAACTTTACTAGTTCAATCCAGGTTAAGGCCGAGAAAATCTCTTCCAAAATCCATTCTTCTAAAGGAAATATGCATAAATAATAGAATCAAAGCCTCCAAACTTAATATAAGGTAGTAGGCAATATAGATGCCACTCAAATTAAAAAGGTGTCTTCATAAGCCCCTGATTTCCCCACGTGTCTCTCAATCTACCACTTGTCCTAACCCCTAAATCCTCGACTAATGCTCTTTAGCATTAGGAGGGTTGAGTCCTCCACTAAAGTATCTTCATTTGTATTTGTTGATTCCCGTCGTAAGGATCCGATGCCATTAATTGTATGCCTAGTGATAGAAGCCTTATTGTGGTGTAATGATCGATTTTGTATTTCTTAAGAATAACCTAAGTCATGAATGCGGTGCGAACTACCTAGCTAATATGGCATGGCCAGGTGGCTATCACCACAAGTGTTCCCTATCATTTAGTAGGTAGTGAGGATAAGTGCCGTGAACCACGATTGGAGGAGTGGAGTGGTTGACGATCGGATTGGATGCCCCAGAGTTGCTTGTGGTTGGTGTAGTCGACGTTTGTTGCTTCTCATATTCCTTAAGCGCCCAAGCCGAGAATTCCGCCATCATCTTGGTACCTTTTTCAAGCAATTCCAGCACCTCGCGTTGTTCCTGATCGCCGTCTTGTTCGCGGCCAGTGCTCGCGGTGTGGTTGAGCTGTTTTACGCGCTTGGCGATTCCCCCACGGGCATGATTCATTTGTATCCCTATCTTCTTGAGCAACGTTGGGTACGTATGACCCGTCCTTGAGGTGTTCATTTTGGCGAGTAATATTGTGTGGTGATTTGTAAGTCTGTTTCTACAAATGTTATGATGGTTCAGTGTTTGATCGAAAGAGACTTGGAAGAATATGGACTAGAAATTTAAGGGGGGCATTCACAATATAAATGCTATTCCGTATGATATTCAGAGGTCACTCTGAGGCCCTGTTTTTTAGGGTGATTGATAGTAGGCTTGCGAAAACTTTGACTTTATTTCCCCGGAAACCGAGGTGATCTAAACGCCTCTCAAGATATCAAAGTTTACTTCGAAAGTAAACAAACATTAATATCTCGTCGAGAAGCACTATCTACGGCCACCCTACTCTAACTCCGGAACGAACAGTCCCCCAGAACTTTCTCCTGGATAGAAGTCAAGGTTAGACTGATATCCTTGCACCTTGGCCCGAAAGTACTTCTCTTCCTCAACTAAGCCAAGTTCCAAGAGTAAATCGAACGCCGAGAACGTAGAGTCCTCCGGCATCAATTTCTTCAACAAGCCCTTGTATCGTCCAGCATCAGAGAGTCTAGCGAAGTCAACGATCGCAATACAGACTTTCGCCCAATGAATTATTTCACCAGGCTCTAGGCAGCCTGCCATCTGTCGGAACTCGATCGTCTGCGTGTTTCCTCCTACGTCGTCCTCATCCGGCAGAAATCTGGCGAATGAAACTGAACCCCGATAGTATCTGTAGGATATCAATAATTAGATGTTCAATCCTTGCCTGTCTGTATTCTGAACGGATTGGTATATATGGAACTCACCCCCAATCGTGCACTGGATCATCCATCATGCGCGCTAACTCCTTGAAGCTCTTTGTTGCCTAAACAGTGCGAATCTATTTCATATTTCGTAGTTAGAACCATTGATTTTCAAGCACCTAAGTCACTAGATTATTGGGGGAGAAATTTCATTAGTACGGACCTGAAGAGTTTGCTTCGCCGCGGGGATATCAGGAACGAATTCGCCCATTCGCTGTTCTAGGGACTCCTTCAATATGTTCTTCTTGTCTCGCGCAAACTCGGGTAGCCATCTGCCAAGCTCAGAGCAAAGAGAAATTAAACGACAGTGGGGGCTCTCGCGACGCGCAGGGTGATGAAGTCCCATCAACATATCGTCCGCCAGCAGAATTAGGGTCATCGCCTTTTTGATCGTGAGGAGGCTGAACGGTTCGTCTCCAAGGCCAACGTGGACATGGACTGAAGTTGTCTGATTGAGATGCACCCGTAGTTGCCGAATGGCGTGGCAAACCTTGGTGATCTTCTCGGTGTAGTCCTTAGGCTCGTCGGAGTTGAAGACCTCAGAGGTGATTTCTCGTCCCACCCAAGTGTGCTCATGGCGATCAACCTTCTGGAACTTTAGCGAATGGTCCTTAATCAGACGCCACATATCGTAACGAATGACATTGCTGGACGGTCGACGGAATTTGTCTTCCAGTTCAAGGCGGAAGGGAATGTCGCAAGCTCCCTCGATAACATCTAGAACGAGGATGTCAATGTCAGAGTAAGCTGGGTACTTAAACAAGGGGCGCCTGTCTTCAGGAAAAGGATCGATAAGACCACTTCTTAAGATGGGAACCATGAACTCCAATTCTATTCCAAAAGTCAAGGAGCCACTGCTGTCATCCGGAGATTCGATGATTTGATCGTACTTGGTAATTGGGTGAGGTATTGAAGGATCATCCTCCGGTGGAATGCGATGATAAGCCCAAGCCATGGTGGCAGTTAGATGGTGATATCAAATATCCCTCATGAATGGATATATGAGAGACTTGGTTCAGCAGGTGAAAGAGAGAGGAATGGGAATATATACCTTTGAGAAAGAAAGAAAAGACGGAGAATTAAAGAAATGGGTTAAATAAATCTGTTGTGATTCACAATTCGATCTCGAATTTCCAAATCAACCTTGAAATGAGCGATGAGAAACAAATTGGGACCGTACTGATGTGACTAATGTTGATTTAACTGAACCATGAGTGTTTAAGGGTCCAGGAAGGCACTGATTATCTTGGAAACATCCACGATGTATGATGTCGGCATGATATCGTCTTCAAGCGCCTGACTGGTCGCCACCTGTTCCATGCGACTCATAAAACTCATCCAACCACGATCTCCCTTTCCACGTACATGTCCTTTAGCATGCCACGCACTATCAGAGCTCTACCAGAACAAACTCATGAGGCCAGGCATGTCTTATAGAGGGGGCCTGCATTAGGACGTCGGTATACCTAGAATGGCAGAAAATATATAGTCACTAGGTAATTTATTGGAGACCCGGCAACAAACGGGCTCAGACTCGGAGTTAGGCTCGGCAACGGGGACGACGGTTGATAGCTGGACCGCTAGCAAAGCGAAGGTAGCTAGAAGGGTGCTTGAAAAGGAGAGCAGCATCTTTGGTTTGTAGCGCTCGAAGCAATATCAACAACTAATAAACAATCAGGTGGCAGAGAGCGTCGTGTCAAATACGGTGTTTGGTGGGAGATTGATCAAATATTATTGCAAGAAACTCCAAAGCGCCTTTATAATAGATCCGATTGAGCTGCTATCGTTTATTTTTCATCAAGCATTTTACACGGTTTTTCGCATTTAGCCACATTCTTGGCATGAACATGTAATGACCCGGCTGTAAGGTATTGACCATAATCCTTTGGTAGGGGAGTTTCTCCCATGGAATGTCCCATCGAGACATATTACTAGTATTTGACTTGGTAGCTGATATTAACTATTTTGAGACGAATGTTCTGGGCTTAACGAGGCATGGTAGGCCTCCTTCCATCGGCAATGTAAGGCTGCTCTTGCTAACTCTCTCGCCGCCATAATGTGGCATAAAGTCGAAAAGGAGTACCATCGTGGCGATGACTTGTATGGCTAGCAATTCGGCCATTCGCTTCCCGAGGCATGACCGCGAGCCACCATTGAACACCGGGAATTCAGCAGCACTCTTAGTGATTAGCTTCCCATCCTCAGTAAGCCACCTCTCGGGCCTAAAGGATTCAGCATCCTCTCCCCAGTTGATTTTCGATCGGTTCATAGCCCAAGTACACCAAAAGGTTATGGAATTTTCTGGGAGAAAAGTACCGTCCGGCAAGGTGGTTGCCTTCTCGCATTGCCTGATTTCGAAAGGGATTGGTGGGTATAGTCTTAACGCCTCGTAAAACGTTGCCATCGTATATGGTAATGATGTTGGGGTGAAAACGGTCGAGTTAACTGTCTCACGATCGCCACGATCGGACATTACAAAGGGCTCTTGGGCGTCCCCTAACGAAGCTCGTACTTCGTTTCGAATTTTCCCAGCGACGAATCTGTGCTGCATGAGCAGATACATACACCATGTTAGTGCCTGGGCAACGGTGTCTCTGCCAGCAGAAAGATAATTCAGGGCTGCGTCAGACACTAGTTTTCGATCGTCGCCAAAGAAGTTCAATAACGACTGTATTAGACTGCCTGATACTTCGTTGAGTCTGTCGGAAGCCGACTCCGTGCTAAAACAGGCCTCTCGGGTCTTCTTGTTTGTGTTGGCGGCATTATCCACTAGTTTATGGCCAAAGGTATGAATTGTATGAAGTGCTTTCCGGAACTGGAAGCCAGTAAAGAGCTCGGTGATAAACCACAGAGGGTTTTGAAAGCGCTCAGTCGTTACGCCTGATGCATAATCAAATGCAACGGTGAAATCATCATCGGCATGCATCTCCATATCATAGGCCATCTTTCCCATAAGTTGGCTTGTAATTTCATGGAACACGTGCTGCAGGTCTACGACACTTTCTGCGTGTGCCTGTGCTCGTAAATAATTGACAGCATGACCGAGATAACGTGGTAGGGCAACTTCTGTCAAGACACGCAGGTTGGAGGTGTTGAGGAAAGCAAGCCCGGCTTTCCTCTGAGTCTTCCATAAGTCGCCGTCAGCATTAATAATTCCATACCCGAACAAGTCCCAGGAGAGCCTCTTGAAAAGGTCACCTTTGGAAAACATGCCCTCACTTTTGAAGACATATTCCAAATTCTTGGGGTCGTTGATTACCACGCCTGGGGGTAATGAGGGGACATTGATCTGGAACGTCTCATTGCCAAACTGCCTCTCGCACTTAACGAACCACGAGAATAGCTTCTGGCGTGGCTGAAGAAATATAATGCCATTGCCAACAAGTGGTAATGTATTAGGCGGCTTTCTATGGCGACAGTAACCGTTAACCTGCAGCCGGATACTTAGAATGGAGAGACGTAGCAGGCTTACCTTAAAGGAACCCCATCTCGTCGGATGGTAGGGGCGCGTAAAACGAATTGATAGCAGAGAAGGGCGCTGAGAAGCCCAAGCCACACCAGCGCAGATCCTTCGAATAGCGCCATAGTGATTGTCGACAGCTATTCCTAATCCATATCTGACATTGTAGATAAAGAAGATGGAATATGTGTCCTATGAAGCTTTCAATGAAGTTGACCAAAGTTGGAGTTCGTCAAGTTGATGTCACAGCCAGCCACAGCCAGCCACAGCAAAAAGGTTAATGAAATGTTGCCTCTCATTGGCTGTTTAGGGGTATTTCACATGGTTGTTTCAGCCTTACAATTATGATGCACGGTTATGTAGGAGCCCCTATTTTTCTGCACGCAGGGACGTGGTCGATTCTGTGTTGAGTAACCTGATTGGTTCTTTTCTAGGTAGTTTCTAGGTAGTTCTTGATAGCTTGCAGCTTCCGAGCTCCCCTAGCTCCTACCCGCCTACCATACCTGGTACGTAGCTTTTGCCCCTGGAATTGTGGAATATGTCTGAGCTAAACTCGAAACTCAGCAAATGTCAATCACGAGGCAGTAGCGATGACGATAATGATTGTAAGGAAAATTCGCCTGTCTTAGCATATCTGGCTTTCTCTTTCCATTTCTTTCTTTTATATTGCCTTGAGTTGGCTTCAATTGTTGATTGATACCGATCTACAGGCGTACGAAGCTATCTACTTGCTACCCACCTACCCACCTACCCAGGTAGTTATCAGTGTGTTTTACAAGACCAGGCATTTCACAAAGTCAATTGCTCTGCAACAAGCCAGCTACTAGCAACAAATCCAATTGGTCGCACGTCGCACAATGGCTACACCATGGATTCCCCGACTGCATCTCTGGGAGATCGACGATCAGCCGTGGTAAGTAAACATAAGCCAAACTTATAATAACTCCGGAAGTCCGCTACGTCGAACATCCCCAATTGGCTGGCTCGTCGTACGAGCCGTCCCGGGACGTTGGGTCAACAAGATTTTTGGTGGCCCGAATCCCGAATCCAACAGTTGTTCCGGTGACGCTGCAGGTCCCGAGATCACTTACCCTACCTACATCGAGCCTTACATGCGAAAATGTCTCTCTGACGAGTAATACCTCTAGGTTCCCCTCCTTCCTCCGCAGCTACGTCCAGGTCGGCCTAACGCACGCCTGGACCACGCACCTCCCGCTGCTGCAACCCAGCAGCCCCGCCACCCTCGTGGCCGCGATCCTGCGGCGCGTGCTCGGCGCATCCGTGTCGCAGCACACTTACATCGACTTCTGCGCGGGCGCGGGAGGTCCCACGCCCTTCATCGAGCGAGCGCTGAACCAGCAGCTCTCCGACTCTACCTCCACCAATACCGCCACCACCAACACCACTACTTCTCCCACCGCGCCTAGTTACGCCGCCGTCGCCGACCCCAAAACCGCATCCGCCACCGCCGTAGACTTCGTGCTTACGGACTTGCACCCGAACGTCGAGTCCTGGGAGGCCGCGAGCCAGCAGAGCGAGCACCTGAGCTACATCGCACGTCCTGTCGACGCTTCCGCGGCGCCTGCCGAGCTTCTGGCCCAATACGGGAAGGAGACCAAGAACGGCAAGGGGATATTCCGGCTCTTCAACCTGGCGTTCCACCACTTCGACGACACGCTCGCGCGCGCGATCCTGAAAAACACGCTTGAGACCAGCGAGGGGTTCGGGTAAGCGCTCACCAATTCCAACCTACCTACCCATGACCGCACGAACTGGTGTGCGAAGTAATAAAACCCCTAGTACTAACATACCCCACCATCACAGTATCTTCGAGCTCCAAGAGCGCACCCTCTGCGGCTTCACCACCTGCATCCTCTTCGGCGTCTTCATCCTGCTGATCGCGCCCTTCCTATACTGGTGGTCCCCGCTGCGTCTCCTCTTCGTCTACCCCTTGCCCGTCGTCCCTTTCGTCCTCGTCTTCGACGGCCTCGTCTCCTCGCTGCGCACCCGCACCGCCGACGAGGTCGAGGCCCTGCTGCGCACCTGCGGCGCCGACTGCGACGGCTGGGAGGTCAGGAGCGGCCGCGAGCGCTTCCTCTGGCCTTGCGGATACTTGGGCTGGGTTATCTGCACTAAGAAGGCGACTGCGTTGACGTGAAGACTCAAGAGGGACGGCGTTGTCGGTTCTTGGAAGGAATTCGGGCCGCTGGGTAGGATAGGATAGGTTCAATTTCGGCACGAAAAGCCAGGATATCTAAGCATGACAAAATAACGCATTGGGCTTTCCTGCTTACATATACCAGCTCGGAGCATTTCCGCTGTAATTTATAATACAACGTGAGATCTTAGAAATAGCACCTGGAGACCTAGAAGGATCGTGCAGTAGACCCTAGATCTAGGCTGGCCAGTTGTATTCCTTGTTGTTGAGGTTACCTATATCGGTCATCAAGGTTATATTCTACACTAGTAGATTACATGGAATCAAATCATTGCAGCCAGGCTGCGAGTCACAAGCCTATAGAAAACTCTGTCTTTGCATTCTGAAGTGCATTGTATGTGAAAGCTGTAAACTATGTACGAATGGTATTCCTAATCATTTCCCCCGTAAATGTCATGACGATGCTCCTTGATAACCGTTAAACGCCCCATACACTTTCTTTACATAGACACATTCTCGTGAAGATAGATATAGATGAACGTGAACAAAATGTGCGATCGGTCCGGGTTCGGGCCGCCAAATCATCTCGTCAACCAACCAAGGTAGTCCACCACGATTAGTGTAACCATGCTACAATATGACGTTAGCGGCGCATGGTCGACATGTGGGTCCGATCCTCGGAAAGGGTTCAAGGGGTTCAACTTACGCGTGGGGGGCGATACGCACGTAATACGTGCCAAATCCACGGTAGAAACGCGTGAGGCCTTCCTGCCTCGCAACTTTGACAAAGCAGTCCGTCATGCTCTTGTACGGGAGCTTGCCGTCAGGGCCGCGCTGCTGCTTCTGTAACCTCGTTTTTACGAAATCGAAGGGCAAGCTGAGGAAAGAAGCGAAGAAACCGGCGATGGCGCTGGCCGTCAAGGTTTGAGATTGGGCTGACCAACTGGTTTTCGCTTTGAGTTGCGACTTGGCCTCAGAGAAAAACGCCAATTGACCTAGGTTGAGTGACATGGCTCGGACCACCGTTGGCGCAGCGCCCGCCCAGAGCGCGGTAACGCCTTCGGACTTAACAATCGATGTCAACGCATCGATAACAGATTTGTAGTTCTTCCTCTCAGCAACAGGTTTGAGACCGTCTGATTGCATTCGGATGAGGGCGAGATCGGCCGGATTTCCGATGAACGCTGCCACACCACCCGCCGCGAGACCAGCGCTCGCCCGCTCAACGAAGCCAACCTTAGTACCCTTCTCCTGAGCACGCGTCGCCAAGCCTTTCATAAAAGTATCGAAAAAGCCTAGTCTTGCTGTGGTGTAGACAGCTTGACGGAGTAGACCTGCCGATAGACCAGTGTATAAGTCAAGGGCCTTGCCTTGCGCAAGGATATCTCGTGTAACAGATAACGGAGTAGGTTTAGGTCCAGTGGCAACCCCCTCGCCCGCCAGTTGCAACCTGACTTTAATCATGTCCACGGGCTGGATAACGGTGGTGGCAACCATTCCAGAGACACCTCCGTTAATGAAGGGCAAGGCCGCCCGCATGATCGGGGTGTGCAGGAAGTCGTTACCTACGGCGGCAACGGTCTCCGAGCCTTGCTTGCCCATGGTGGACGACTTGGTTCGTGCGGCTTCCGCAGCTTGCTTCAGAGTGTTGGAGCTCATAATTCCAATCAAAAAGCAAGGCAACAAGGAGTCGAAGGAATCGTACGCTGACGCAAGGCCGGGTCCCGTTTAAACTCTAAGAGCAGGCGACAGAAGGAATGAAAAGCTAGCAGAAAGGATACATAGTTAGCAAGATGTCCGTAAGGGCAGTCTGGCGTGGGTTAAATATGGACAGACGGCCTGTAAGCTTATAACGAAAGGCCGGACTAGGTAGGGAACTCCATAGAAGGTCCGGTAAACCGCCATTGGCTAGTGTACTCAACATCCGCTAAACAGTACGCCCATGGCCGAGGTGGATAGACAACCGACGTATACTTCGGTTTCGTTAAACGGGTTTAAACGGTAATGTGGTTGAGGCTTTGATTATCTATAATACCATGCGTAGATGCAGATGTGGATCTCATCGGAAGAGATAGGGAGTGGGGGGCCAAGCAGATAGACCAGGTACAGCTGAGATGCTACCCTAGTAAAGGCCTAGCGAGGACGTTGGAATTGGATTCATGGATGTCGGATACCCGTTCCAGAGTGTAGAGGACCCACCAATAGGGTAGTGAGTTGGTAATAGCGTATAGTGGATAGCGGTGACCAAACGGTTGAGGAATGGCTGGCTGGATGTATATCGTGCGGTTGACAATAATAGATCAACGAAATTGGGGGTCACCAACTTATGCGACAATGTCTCAGTAGATCAACCGGACATGGGGTTCTGTTCTCCCCAACTAGCAAGCTAGACGGCAGCCCTCAGCCCTGGATCGATGTAAGCTCACCGAGACCGGCAGGATTGCAGGTTGAGCTCAACAAGCGGGAGCTTGTATATAGGGCGCTACGCCAGGGAAAAAGCAAGATGATGTCAGCAGATGGAATATTCCGCGGGAAATTAGACGCAAACAAATATCATATTTAAGGAAGGAAAACCAACGGAACAAATGGTGAAGTTTGCAAAATCAACCAGGACACGCGATCAATCCGGGCGGCTGGTCTGTATACAAGGGTTCGAGAGGTGTAAGGAGACGGGAAGAACAAAGCATCGACTCAGATAGAGAAGCCTTCGATCGTTCAAAGCAAAGAAATATTAACCTTTTCAACATTCAAAAGGGAAAAACCGGACAAGCAAACTACCTAGGCAATGCTAGCTATTCAGTTCCGGGAGTTAAGTGACAGTAGGTGACGGCGACGTGTGACCTCGGCTCGTGGATGGCAAAAAATAGGAGGTTGATTATGGATAATTGATCGTGGACAATTAACCAGGAAAATAAATCTGGGTAAGTTAGACTAGAAGAAGATGGGAAAGAGCAGTGAGTTTATGCCCTCACTTATGTAAAGAGATCAATAGCAAGAGCTGGTGCAAGAACGACTTAGTGCAAGGCGCGGCAACTACATGGCGAATAGATATCAATTGCCTCCTCTCTTCCTTCCTTGAGTAACCGAGTACTCATTGATGATTGGCTTCGAACACCCTCTAATACACCTGATACGTACATACAACTTGGACACATCCAGACTACCGAGAAGATCAAATGCGGGGTTGCGCATAGTTTCCATCATCTCGATATCGAATGGAAATTAAGATGGTGTTGCGTGCGATGGCAAGTATGTGATACACGCGTTCTCGACGTGTTGCTCAGTGCTTTCAGTGACTTATACCATTTGCATGTCTACATGTAAGTACATAAGTTCGTGTACTATATACGTTAGCTTTACTTTTAAGTGATTATCTGTTCTTCAAGTCAGTCCAATCTCCTTTAAACGTCACACTCACCTACTTTTCATAGAAGGGATTGAAAAGGATATTATATTTTAACCTACAGAAAATTGCATACGAGCAGCAAGGTAGCTAGAGTATATAGTACGCGAACTTATGTACGCACATGGATGGATGGATCTCGGCATTCAGTTGGAGATCTGCACTTGGTCCAGACTGTCCAGACTGTCTTCCCCGTTCAACCGGAACTTTCAAAACTGCGGTCTGATGATATCAGTTCTATCTGCGGAAGTCCGAGTGGAAAAGAGTAAAGGCTCGGAGGTTTGACTTATGTAACTTGATGTTATAGACTTCGGATGCATCTTAAACCTCCACTGAACTAGCTGGAAAAGAAAGCTCATCTTTCTTTCATGACCTTTATACTTAAGTCTTGTCTTTCTCTCTGGATGCCGTGATATCCTCGTTGCTAGTCCCGAATGCTGGCGCATTGCGGGGTAAAGTCCCTACATCTCTAAAGTGCCTAAGTGGAACCAGCAGGGCTAGCTGGATTACACTAGCCCAGCTGCTGCATAAGAGGTACCTACTGTATCGATAAGCACGTGCTATTCTTCTGTTGAAATTGCGAAGCTCCTAGTATGGTTTTATGAGAATCTATTGAATGCCCGTTGCCATTGTTGCAAGCTTCTGGCTTTGAAGCATCATTAACAAATGAATCCTGAGCACGCGAGAAGGAAGCTGGATGTTTGAGAAGGTAATTACCCACGTAAATATTATCAATTAGTACGGCCTTTTAGGTGACGTCAGGTCATTTGGAGATCTTTTTCGCCTTAAAAATGCATGAAATCTGATAGGCGCGTACATGTATAGGCAGGACCGATCCTATCCCAAAACGGGCGCCTGCATTTCTGACTTCTGATCTCCAACTTAAAACTCCAATGATTTTTCTTCGTCTTCTCTCCTCGAAGCAGCCAAGCTTCCATTTCACAACCGACAATTGCGCTCTAGTACGCCTGTGGTAACGAAAGCTGGATGAATCTCGCCAATTCAGTAGACCACTAACTGAGCAAATGTACCCAACTCAACTATCAGTATATGACCAAGTTCCAATGACAAGTTTTGCCCCTGGATAACGAAATCAATGGCAATGCGGTCCAAACAGATTATACATGGGCAAGTCCTAAGGCCATTCAATCTACATGTTTAATCCAATTGTTTTACTTTAGATCTTAGCCGTCATGATATCACACTCCTAGTTTCTCAGGGACACTGAGTTTTCGGAAACGGCCCGGATATCCAGATATCCACCGATCAGATGTGAAGGTGGACTATCGAAACAATCGAATGAACATACAAAGCTAGGCGGATTCCTTATTGGTTCATCTCCCCATTGGTGCGCATTCTCGACATGTAGCTATAAACGCGCAACGACAATAACAGGTTTAGGGCGTCTGTTTGAGCTAGAGCTCCAACTCTAGTTGCGCTTTTTCATATTTCCCTCTTCCCACCGGCGTAGGAGAGACCGTAATAAAACCGACCCATCATACGACAGTCAGCATATGGATATTGGCCCTTTTTTTCGATACCGGAAACATCCCCTGCGTTTCCGTATCTTGCTGTCGTGTCAAACGTCTTCTGGGTGGTCTTTTGTCTTTGGACATAGCTGCTACCTTCAGCATATCTAGCGGCCTAGCTTTACCCACACTCACCGGCGCGTCTTTACAGGATTATGACTGGTCGGGCCGACTTTCTCCCGCGTGTCCTGTAACGATACCAGTATGTACGATTACCTTATATACATACATAGACTCAGACAGAGTCCTTGCACGAAAGGATTCAATCTAATCGGAACTTCCCGGCCTTTCTTGGACCGAAGGCTTTGACCTTTAAGACGAGTGTACAAATCTACCTACTCATATCCTTAGAACACGTATTGACTTGCGTTGGTCATCTATACTGGCTACAATAAGCGACTGCAACTATATCAAGAAGTTTGTCGGGATGATATTCGGCCGTCACCATTTGTGTTCAAATAAATCCCTGGACGTCTCCAGTCACTTAGCATGCATTGAAACATGGGAACACCTATGCCGAGTCGGTGAACCTATATGTAACGAGCTGGCAATAGTTATCAGCGTGTGTTACGTTCAAATATCCATTAGGAACGTCGCTTCTTTTCCGGATTGGATGCGGGATAATTGGTCTCAACCCACAGATCCAGGGGTGATGCAGCCTTTCGATGACTAGACAGGTACTCTGTACCTATAGTAGATGAGCAGCTCGTGTTGACCTGTACGTTGCCGGCGTATTCTATTAGCTGACAACTTATAAGAGACGGCCTATTGTGGATACCTTGCGATTCAAAGCTACATCCTATCTTCCGGCTCTGTGGCTAAAGTGCCCCTGACCCACCTTGAGCCGTCCCCGTTTGCACCTCCTAGACACCTACACCACACCGACATATATCTCCGATACTTTTGTTGAATATTGTCAAGCCATCACCAAACTTTGATTCGAGGTATTGATCTATATAGAAACGATATATCTTCTAGAGACACTAGCTACAAGGATAACGTACCATCACATTTTATACCACGGGAGCTACATGTAGCAGGAGGCGCCTTTTATGAAGTCTGGATGGAGTATCGACAACAATAACAGCCTATTTTATAGAAGTCATGGGTCTAATGAACGGCCTATGGTTGCATAATCCACTCAAACCCGCAATTGGGCACCTAGCTAATCTTAGTAGACGACTGACCTCGGGTATTGCTTCATGTGACTACGGTCTTCGGCTCGGGCCACCGGACTAATTTCACTACCATGCCCGCTGAGGTGCCGACATCTAAGATTTAATTCAACGTTACCCGAAAGGACATTGTTCCTACTTTAGATGGTTCGGAACTATATCTGTATCTCGAAGCGAATGCTTAGGTAGGCTATTGGTCGAATATTTCGCCACCATGCTCAGCCGCATCATAGCCGCCATGTTCTAGCACAACTAAAACGTCGAAGGGAACGTCGTCAATCTTCCTCCGTCAGTCACGATGACGGTGCCATTATTATAGGCACCTGCTCTAGAGGCCAAGTAGAGGATAGTGCCTCCTAGATCCTTCTCGTCTCCAACGCGCTCCAGCGGTATCTGATCCTTCCCAAGACCTGCTCCTCTCGCGAGAAGTGGAGCGGACATCTCACTTGGGTAGACTATCTATGAATTAGCACATCGGCCACACCAAACATCATGTCATTCATCCTCAAACCCATGCGATAGAAAGAATCTCAAGTGTGATGAGTAAGGTTACTTACGACCGGGACATATGGCATTAGCTCTAATATTCCACTGCGGCAGCACCACACTTAGGTGCTTGGCAAGATGTAGGCAAGCAGCCTTGCTCTGGCCATACGCAAAGCCGCCGGTATTTAGCTTGTTGAGACCGGCGATACTGCTGGTAACAATTACATGGCTCATCTGCTCTACGTTGCCTTGCTTGTTGCCGGCATCGAGTAGTTTCAGGAACAACATGGTCGTGTACCACACAGCGCTCGTGTTGACGTTGAAAGTGCTGGTGTAATCCTCGATAGGCACAGACAGGTTGGCCTCGACGAACTCGTCGAGCGTGGTCTCCTTTTTGGGTCGAATGCCGTACGGCCCGCCAATGCCTGAGTTGCAGACTAACAGGTTGACGAAGCCGGCGTCCTGCTTGACTTGGTCGACTGCTGATTGCAGGGACTCCTTGGATGTCACATCTGCTTTTATGGGGATCACATTGGGACCAACTTCAGCTGCGGCTTTCTGCAAGACTTCCAGTCGTCTGCCTAGGATGTACACTTTAGAGGCGCCATTAGCCGCAAGTGCTCTGGCTATCATGAGCCCAATTCCTATGGTTCGTTATAATGTTAGTAAAGGTAAGGAATAAACTTTGTAATGTGTATAGTTATATTCACCTGTACCACCACCTGTGACGACAGCAACCAATCCCTTGACGTTAAAGAGGTTGTCCGCGCCAAGCGCAGCTAGTGTCGTTTGCGAGGTCGCCATTTCAATTATCTTAGTGATTCTAATATATGACTATAGGACTATATCATCAATAAGACTGAACAGGTCCAACCGCACCTAGGTTTATATATATAACTGATGTAGGCGTGTAACTAATGTCGCACTCAACTAACAGAATGAGTCAAGGAGTTATGGTGCCGTCCTTGCCTTCCGAGTTAGGTAGTAGATAACAATTTCAATCCTGGATGACAAAGTTGCTTGGGTAAGTCATAATGTAATCAAACCGGCTACCTTATACTACCATCCAATGAATGCTACTTAGTACCTATGATTGCATCAGCTAGACACCATTTTAGTAACATGCCCCTCAGTGGAGCCGAGGTTCGCGATATTCGGAGACCGGATCACTGAACGTTACTGCTAGCCTTTTATAGGCGTAATTGTAACATCTCGGGTTAACTATAAGCTACTTTCTCTCTGATCCCTCTAGGACTTGCATTTTCGTGGATAAAGGAATTATTTCTCCAAGAGTAGCAGGTATCGTGACACTAACGTAGCCTAGAACAATCATATAAGTTTAGCTGCACTAACATTCATAAGCATTATATCCTTATTTTTTCCGACTGAAAACCTAGATGATTCGCGTACTTGAGTGATGACGCCAGCACTTCTATAAAGTGCCTCCAGACATCGAAGGCGCATTGGAGATTGGTTGTATGATGACTAAACTAGGATGGTTGATGGACGGATATGCGCATATCAGCGAGTACTTGCATAGAAACCTCCCCCACTCATAGCGTATATAACGATATACCACAGTAACCATCATTCTCCAAAAATTTCTTTTGACATCAAAAGTTCGATTCCGTAGATTGGTCGACTTCCCCAGTGCAAACTAAGCGCGATAACCACAGACCGCCCAGCATGCCGAAACGGAAACGGAGCTACGAACCGAGCCTCCCGGAGAAGCTGACGCAATGGCACAAGGAGCTCGCGCGGGGGATGAAGACGGCCAAGGGCTTCGAGCGCCAGCGCCTGAGCAAGCGCATCCGCGAAGCCCAGGCCCAGGGCGCCCCCGACAAGGCGGCGAGGCTGGAGAGGGAGGTCGCCGTGCTGAAGGTGCGCATTAACAACTGCTTACCCTACATATATACTAGGGAAGGAATGCGGGGAAAAGCTAACGCGAGGCAATCCGCAGAGCCTCGACCTCCAACAAGCCGCACACGCGCACCTGTGCTCGTCGCTGCTGAAGATCAAGGGCGTGGCCGAGTCCCCCCGACTGCCCTCCGACCTAGTAAAGCCCGTGCCGAAGCCCGACGGCCTGTCCGAGGAGGAGAAGGCGGCGCTGCATAACGTGACGAGCGCGCTGTGCAATCGCAAGCAGATCCGCGATGTGATTGAGGAGGCTGTTATGGGCACGTGCATGGCGCTGAGGGTGCTGATGCCGGATAAGATGAAGAAGGGTGGAAAAGATAAGAAAGTTAAAAAGGAGGGGAGGAAGGAGAAGGAGGAGCAGGCTGATGAGAGGGATGATGATGATGTGAGGGCAGTTGGTCGTGAGGAAAATGAGAAAGAGGACGAAGAGGAGTCCGAATCTGGAGAAGAGGAGCCTGAGCCGGTGCTCTTGAAGAGGAAACGAGACGCCGTACCGGACGAAGAACAAGAGCTTAGCGGTGACGAGGAGAACGAAGGGGAGCACGAGGAACCGTTTGAGGGCTTCTCGGGCAGCGATGAGGAAGAACGGGTGTGGTCGCGGTACGACGCTTTTGTGGCGGGTTCCTCTAGCGACGAGCACGAGTCGGACGACGACGGCGCAGATGAAGGTGAAGTTGCGGCAGATAGCAAGACACGATTGGTTCGAAAAACAACGACCGCAGATGATATATCTATCTCATCAGCCGACTCTTTATCGGAAGACGAAGACGAAGACGAACATCCCGACGTTTCAGACAGCGAAAGCTCTGCAACCGCCTCTCCCCCCCCGTCCAAGAAATCCAAAACCGCGAGACCCGGCCCTGTGTCAGTTGGCGGCTCCGCGTTCCTGCCCTCGCTGATGGGCGGCTATATATCGGGCTCCGAGTCTGAAGCCTCTGATATCGACGTCGGCCCGCCGGCGCGGAAGAACCGGCGAGGTCAGCGGGCGCGCCAGGCCATCTGGGAGAAGAAGTACAAGGAGAAGGCGAAACACTTGCAGAAGCAGCAGGACAAGGGGCGGGATCAGGGCTGGGATATGAGGAGGGGCGCTGTGGGCGATGATGAGGGGTCGAATAAACCCTGGAAGAAGGGCATTCGTAACCCGTTCGAGAATAAGAACGTCCATCCCGAGCGCTTAAGGCAGATGCAGGGTGAAGGCGGAGACGGAGGCCGAAGCGGAGGTGGAAATAGACGAGCCGAGGAAAGGCGGCCTGTGGAGGATAAGCCGAAACCGAAGGTTCCTCCGAAGAGAGATGATACGGGGCCTTTACATCCTAGTTGGGCGGCGGCTAAGAAAGTTAAGGAGCAGAAGGTTGAATTTCAGGGACGTAAGGTCGTGTTTGATTAGAGCTTGATACCACGTTAGCATATCACGGAAACTACGAGACAGTGTTGTGAGAATTCATGGAATATGTTCTGCGTAAGCTAATTCTAAATGATATCTTGCATGCATGTAAAAAGCAGCCGCATTAATTGAACCCCCCTTTTCCTAAGCTAAAATAGCAAAATCTTTGGTAAACTCCTGAGCCATGTCCGTCGCCAACTCTTGTCAAACCTGAAACTCCCTAAAACTAATTCCGTCTTTTTTCCGGTTTTCTTCATTCTCATAATATCATGGGTCTCATGCTTCTAGATGTTCTAGCGGTTGTTTGAGCGAAATCCTAGCAACTCAAAAATCTCGATCAATCGATATGCCATATTATTCTTGTTTGTAGAGAGCCAATGTGTTGAAATGCGACCGATAGAAAGAGCATGATGCCTCAACTTTTGCGAATTTCCAGCTCAATGGCATAGATTGAGGAACATGCTGAATACTTTATCTTTGGCCATATGATGGCCATCTGTGCATCTTCATAGTCGCCCTGGTTTAAGGTTGACACCTTCTCAGCAGCCAGAACGCGTTATGCAGTATCAACGTTTAGCCTTGGCTGGCTTGTTCAGCTTTCGGCGCTTCGGTGCCGATCCGTCGTTGACGGTATTCTTCTTATTTCGTCGCTTAGGCGGAGGCCGGCGGGGAGGAATTGAAGCTTGAGCGGGAGGTTCGTCATCACTGTCAGGAGGCGGCGTCTCCTGCTTTATGTATCTGTCAGCGTCTGAATCGTAATCCCAATTTTCCGAGGCATCGCTATCGCTGTTCCTCTCGCTATCCTCTAGCATCGTGAGGTCAATGGGTTGATCTTTGGATTGACCACCAGTCAAGTCAATCTTGGTTGCTGCGTGCGGCGAGGGGGTCCGGACGAATAGTGACTCGCCATCGTCCTCGCCCATAGGGTCGGGGATGGTAGGGCCTGATGGGCCCGCGCTACTGGAACTGGGAGTTGGTAGTTGTCGATTTTCTTCCACATTCTCTCGCATGTTTACGTCTGCGTCTCCCAGAGAAACGTTTTCATCTACTTCCATCCTCTCAAAGGGGTCGATGGTTGAGTTGGAACGCGAGCTCACAAATAGGCCGCTCGATCTATCGTCATCATCGCTAGCGTCTTTGCTAGCTTCGCCGTCACGCCCCTGTAGATTCTCTCCAAGTTGTTGTGCGGGAGTGGCAGGTGGCGTAATAGGAGCACCAGCGGGCTCAGGAGGCACCACTTCGTCTTCGTTATCTACTAATGGTTGTTCGACGTCATTGTTGTCATCACTCTCGGCCTCCTCCGCCTCACTTTCGGACTCAGCTTCAATATCATCTTCATCGTCAGAGTCCCCATAACCATTAGCCCAATCTACATCTGGTGACTCGTCGTAGAAGGCTTGGATAATCTGCATATCTTTTTCGGACGGAATCCAATCTTGGAGACCTGTCAACGCGGATAGGTTCTGGAGTTCGCTCATAAGTGCTACGTTTCGGCGCTTCGGTCGAGTTACGGCCCTTTCTATGTCTTCGAGGAATGACGGGTCTAGAATGGACTGTCGGTGCCCAGGGCCATCACGCTCTTTGAAGCGAATCCAGTTCATGCCGCGGAGCTGATAGATATAATCCATTCCCTGGACTGTTCGCATTGATCGGAGTTTGCGCTTGTTGGCTTGCTTCTCGGTTTGCTCCATTAGCGCAGCAATTGGGTCGAATGGTACATCCGAAGGGCGGCAAGTCTCGACATGGTCATCGATATCATCATCATCATCGTTGACGAAAAGTTGCTCTTCATCATCATCGCGAACAAATAGCTGCTCTTCATCATCTTGAACAAGCAATTGCGCTAGATCATCGGGATTATTCCCCTTCCCCCGGACTTCGTACTTGCGCCTCATCCTATTATTTGCTGACTCCTGGATGTGGACCACGAGGGTTCGAAGACGTTTCGTCTTGAGGAACCAAGACAACCCAACCGAACGACGAGAGATTCGCGTTTCATGACGGCGCATTTTAGAACCATGCCACATCAATTCGACGTTCGTGAGTCTCTCAACTCGTTCCATGCCGATTCCGTTGCAGAATCGGTGCCATTCACCAAGTGAACTAAACGCGAACGTGTTGGCTCCGTAGAACGCGTGGACCCCGATAAAGAACCAACGTTTACTGACCAGTAATGGGTCTAATACTTCGTTCGGCTTTCTTGCCAGGGCGATCTGGCAGGGTTTCGACCCATAATGAAAGCCAGTTGGCAACTGGCCCTGGCCGTCAACGTCTTCCATAGGGAAGTCTTCTGGGAGGGGTGGGTTCCAGGGGTCTAGCCGCGACAAGCAGTGGACAAGACCATTTTTGACAAACACACGTGCAAAGATCTTCACCTGGATCTCGGCGGGGAGTTGCTCGAAGGGAAAAGTTGGCTGTTCCAGCATACGGCGAGAAACGGGCTGTATACTGAAGAAGATATCCGGCATTACGATAGTCAAGAATCGACGATCGAACAAATAATCTCCCGGGGCTCTACTGTACTTGCTTTGTGCTCGTTGGCGGCGGAGCAGAAGTGTCTCCTCGGGGACTTCTTGCCGTTCAAGAATCAAGTCGGGATGCAGGACGTTCATCTTCTGTGACATATTCTCCTGTTTGCAACTGTCACGCCAGATTGCGTTGTAGTACCCTCCCTCGCCGCGAAGGAACACCCTGAGCTTATGGCTCCACGGCTATAGATGAATGTTAGCCAATCGTGATCAATATATGAGTTGAAGAATATTTACCTCAGGAGGTTCACTGATTCCCTTAAGTCGGTCTCGTAATTCTTGGCACTCTCTCTCCACTTTCTTCCTCTCATGAGTGGTGTTCCATTTCAGAGATCTAATCATCTTGACCTTCTCTTGAATTTCCCTTCCGTAAGCCTTGATGACTTTCAGCTGATCCTCATACTTCTCTTTGAGGATGTTGTAATTACGACCCTCTGTCTGCTCGTTGTACTTGGTGAGGGTCAACATACCATCCATGAGTCTTGGAATATCAGGCGATACATCATCTAAGAAGTATTAGCCTCTGCTTTATCACATAATGAAACACTAACTTACTGAATTCCCGGAAATTATCATTGTGATTGCCACGTTCCTCGTCTGCATTGATAGTAGGTCTTTCCGTCACCTGCTCATGGATGACTTCGGTCAATTCCTCGATCATATCGACAACACCGAAGTTGTCTTCGGTGATGTCAGTGTCGCTGCCGCTGTCTGAAGGAGGCATTTTGGCTGTGCTTCCCGGTGAGTTGGTAACAAGTCAGGAAATATTGAAGGGAGCAGTCGACTAAGCCGAACGATTTCCACAGGTCTATGTTAGTTAGACACACAGGCAATTCGTAGAGAAGTTACCATGAAGGAGTAAGTGATAAAGTAAGTGAAGTAGAGGGAAGGTGTAATATTAAAGTTGGGTCAAGATCGTAGTATGATTGTGTGGAAGGCTCTTAAATATCAAGATTTAGAATATTGGTAAATTCGTGTTCTAGTTAATGCGGGATATTGAAGTGAAGGGTGTTGGATTGTAAGATAGGTTGAGAGGAGGATGAACTAAGGAGAAGGATTAGTAAAGGTATCGTGGATAGTAGTTTTAGGGAAGGACCTGCCAACTATGGCATCGAGAACGGGAATGCCTCTCAAGAGGTAAAGAGCTAGTTAAGGTAACAGCTCAGGGGAGAAATATGAGAATTGAGGAATGATGAAAGGGGTTTCGGCATAGATCACTCATAAAGCTGTGGATTATGAGCCTGAAGTAGATTAAATGTTGTGATTTGCAGTCATGAAGGTCTGTGAGCTGACCTTCAGTTAACTGAAGTCGTAATAAGATGATTGAATAGCTGCGTGAGTAGTAATTCAGAAGGGGGTAGATGGGTAGGTTATGTTAGACGTAAAGATTGAAGTAAACGACCAAACGCCCATGTGACCAGGTAACAAATAGTTGACGATAGCTTAAATCTCGAGATTTAGAAAGGGGCCTTTGAATTCATAGGGTGTGTTGGTTGTAGAAGGGAAGAAGAGATTGCATGGGAGGGCTGAAGGAGTAAATATTTAACGTGAGGATGCGATTTGGATCAAGGAAGTCGTGATAAATAACATACCTGGGTAAGAATCAGGGAATCGAAGGTGATAGTGGAAGGCTTGGTGATGGGTTAGAGATATGATAAATTAGGAAACAACGTACCAGAAATGTGGGGATTGACTTCCAGGAGTTACCGGGAATTATACTGAAGAGTGCTAAAGAGATGAGAATGGTAGATAGGTTAGTAGAAGACTCAGCTTATTAGAATTAAAGCGGCAAGGTGTCATGGGGACGACGATGAAGATTTCCTATTGTAGTGAGAATATGAGTTGACGGTCTAGGGATGTCTATGACAGGGGAAGCCATAGAATATTCCGTAGAATAACAGCCCCAGACCTACCATGTACATATCGTGATTGATGAGAGATGACATCGATACTAATTTGAAGTTCTTGATATTATATTCACAGCGCTCAGTTTCCATAAAGTAGGTAGGAGCGGCCTTCTAGTGTAGATACAGTATCAATGTGGCGACGACCTGGGGGTAGTATAGGGGCATAAATCATAACATCGAGGAAGGCGCATGCCTAGTATCTGTTCGCTATAGCGTATCTATCGTAGGCAATGTACAAGTCGCTAAACAGATAGGAGGCATCGTATGAATCCAAAACTAAGACGAAGAGGCCTATATTCCCTTCATCGATCGGAAGAAATCCTTTACGTAGATCGAGTTAGCGACTAGTGTACCGAAAAGTTAGGGAATGGAAATATTCTGAAATCTTACCATCATGCCTGTGAACACGACTAGGAGGATACCTCCACCAGGTCCAAGTCTTAGGACCTTGGGCAAGAAACCCTTGTATAGAGCACCGAAGCCTTCTTCCTTCATCACGGTCGCGCAAGCAGGCCAAGCCCAGTTGTACTTGGGCACTGTCCCGGCGATCTTGGGGCTGTTTTGGATGCGCGACTTGACCACATCCATTGGTGTGTTAATGATCGTACCGACAGTTCCGCCAACGGAGCCCGAGATGAGGCCGTTGAGAATCTCGCCTTGCTTGGATTCGGCTTTCGGTAGGAGCTCCTTAACCTGGAAAATACAGCCGAAGTAACCGGCATTCCAGAGTATGTGCCTCCACATAGTACTTTCGAGACCATTGTACATGGCTAGAATACCTTCATTCTTGATAGTCTTGGCAACGACATCAATCATGCCGTTGTATTTGCCGGCTGATGCCTTGTCCTGTAGCCGAATCTTGACCAATTCGAAAGGCACAACGACAAAGGATTCAGTAGCTCCAGCAGACGCACCAGTTAAGATGGAAAGCGACTGGTTCATCTTCTCGGCGCCGAAGGCTTTGCGATAGAACTTGCCCCACTCATCGTTGGCGGCGAACTTGGTGGCACGCTTTGGAGCTTCCATCAAAATGGGGGCGGTGATACCTCTGTATAATCTCGAGAACCTATGCTTTTGGATAAGCCGGAGGTTCCCTATTCTAGGAGGATATCATACCCTTCATTTCGAACTATCTTCTGGAAGCAGTCCAGCATACCATTGTAAGAATCTGCGCCAGTTCCCTTGCCCGTCTGTAGTTGTCTGCCACACCGTAAGCTGAGTCTACTACACTCAAGGTCGGACTGTTTCGCAGCTTACACTCGGGTTTTCACCACATCGAGAGGATACCTAGGCTATGTCAACTATGCGCACGCGACAGACCGAAGCGGGGTGTTGTACATGGTCAAAATCTAATAGAAATGTATCATTAGTATATACCCCCTGAGCAGAGGGTTTGGGATCATCGCTTACCTCCGAGATGCCAGCAACGGCACCTAAGATAGGCTGTTAGTCCATACTTGACGGTCGTCATCGCGACAGAGAGCTACGGAGCGACTGACCTGCGGCGAAGGTGTACACGAATGGTAATGGCTTGTCCTGCGACATCTTGGGCGACTTTTGACCTACACAAGATGGGGGTAGAGCCCTTTGTCAGATCTCAATTGAAGGTAGAATGAAATGTTCAAATGTTCGGCGACTACATACCTGCGGTTACTACCGGATACTAGATTTTGAAAAAGAAGTTCGAATTACCGAATTATAATTTGCGACGGAGGCGCATACATAGGGAATCACGCTAGCGTTCTCGTGCCCCACGAACTGCCCGCCGGATCGGAGTTATCTAGGCATGTTCCAGAAGCTCCACAACACGCAAAACGCAACCCGAGGTGCACAGGCCATTGTTAACCAATTCAGGTAATCCTTACCCATTAGAATTACGTACATGCACCTACTAAGCTCTTTAGAGAATTAACGTTTATAGATGTTTCTTTATAATTCATCTACATGTATGAGATGCAGGACATCTTATTTTTAGAACTATCAGGTATTAAGGGAATATAATTTGTTAGTTAGGTGACCTCTAGTTTAGCTGTATTCTACTGTTAGACCTTCAAAGCTCTTGCGATGTAACTTTAAAAACGTGGCGAAAAGTACAAGACATGAGATCTACCTAGGGGTTGGAGATAAGTACATCTGATTCTAGCAAGGAAAAGCGAACTTAAACCTCGGGTGTACCTGCTTACATCGACCTAGTATGGAAAAGAACCAATTACTTACTAGTGTTGCTTTTAAAAGTTATTTCATAACTCATTATAAACCACGATATTAATTTAGTAAATTACCGGAGTACCTAATTCGTGCTGGTTTTATATCTTTCATTACCTTGCTAAGGGCCTCAGTGGGTTTACCGTACGCAGGAGCTGGGTAGATACGAGTACTAAGTTAAGTATTGCTGAGAAGCATTATCCACGGCGAGTACCCAAAGTATGCTGATCCCTCGGCGTAAATTCCTATTCGCAGCCCTAACAGCCCAGCTGAGCCTGACCGCTAGGCAGCTCTTGCTTATTGTTGAATGCTTATTATACCTAATGCAACGAGGATTAGGGATGCAAACTACCAAACTGGGGAACCTCGTGGGGGCACGCATGGTAACTTCATAGCACGGAATGTCTTGCAGAAGCGCGAACGGTGGCTTGTACTATGTATATACTGTGCAGCTACGTATGATGTTTCTACCTATACCTAGGTACTCTAAGTGATTGAATTAGGGGTATGTTAAATTATATGAAAGGTATACACTTTTTCCTATTAATATCTAACTCGAAATGTATCTATATACAGGACTATTTGAATCTTCTATAAACCTGATTGCATCATAGCACATGCAGCAACTGCGATGCCCTGAGGATTTGCCATGCCCTTTCGGGATTAGATATGATTGGTCGAGATAGGCCACTCCGATGAACCGGCTTTAACTTAGCGTCGCGGGGCTAAGGGACGCACAAACTCCAGGTGGCAGCTATCTTCTCTATTCAACTACCGTCTATGACAACTTCTAGTAACCTTGAAACGCACCTATTCTTCCAGTAGAACTTACATTCATTCTGGACACAACCCACGTAGACGAATACCCGACCACTTTCGACGAATTATAATCCAACTGAAACTCGTAAGCGACCCATCCCGACAATTTCAGCATCTCGACAGACCGCCGACCCCTCGGTACCATATCCACAATCGAACCAATCCAACTCGCCAATTGCGACGTGTATTATCCATCTTCTATCTACGTATTATCCATCCAAAACGCGTCTTGGCGACGTCGTAGATCAGTCGAAGCGAAAGCAATCCCCGACCGACTTTTCCGTAGCGTTTCGTGACGATTCCCCTTAAAGATATAACTATCGCATATATTACCGTAATCGCGAGCCCTCAACTGTGCAACAAACGCATCGGGATCATTTCCCAGACCTTGTCAAGTCGAAGCGCTTCCAATAGCACCTTTAAACAGGCCGTGATCCCCCGAGACTCACAGCGAGGTGCAGTTTGAAGTGCTTTGAACGACGCCATATCATACACACATGAGTCATCTACTTTGGAAATATTACTGGGAAAATGACGTCGACAAATTTCGTCGGCTGCTGGCCCCGGTCAGCTATTCCCAGAATCCATCCAAGGGTCCAGCTACGACAGTAGGCAGTCCCGGCGCATTCGGGAGTTCTCCACGAGCCACTAAATCTCGTAAGGCCTCTGGTTTCGGTGCTGGCGTTGGCGCACCCAAGACTGCCGGCAACAGCCTTGGAAAGAGTGAGATTAATAGCCGTGACCATGCGGGGCTGACTATTCTTCTCCGGGCTGCATCATCTACCTCCTCGGACGCCGCCTCTTTCGTTGAGGCCCTTCTCGACCATCCTGCGATCGATATATATGTCCAAGATTATGAGAGCGGCTGGAATGCTTTGCATAGGGCACTCTATAATGGAAATATTTCTATCGCGCGACTACTCCTAGAGAAGGAGCGTAAGGACTTGACAGGCTCTCTCGGCGGTGCTACTGTGACTAGGGTAGCCCAGTTGATAAAGACGAAGGACCACGAAGGAAATAGCCCCTTTGATGTTTACAATGCGACCATCGCACTACGTACTCTCAAAGCCTCGGAGGATCGTGCAAGTTTGGAAGAGGATGAGTCAGACACAGACGAGGGTTCAAGTAATGACGACGCCAGGTTAGATGCGAGCTGGCCAGACCCAAGTAATATCTCGCTAACATAGTTCCCAGACACCACAGTAGATATCCTGGCCTTGGCGAAGAAGTGTTCACATTTGGAAGCAATAATAATCTTACCCTCGGCCTTGGTGATGAAGATGACCGACAGTTCCCCGAGCGCATCTATCTAAAGCGACCTGATCATTTGATTCAGCATTTCTACGATCAATATCTTGAGGAGAGGAAGCGTCGATTCAATACGGATGATTCTATGTCTCGTGATATGTCAGAGGTCCCCTCGTTAATCCAAAACCGCGCCTTAATAATCCAAGATGTCGTACTTTCCAAGCTGCATAGCGCTGTTCTTACCACCGACCCCATGTCTAACTTATACGTCTGTGGTATTGGACGTGGAGGTCGTTTGGGTCTCGGTGATGAGAATACCAGGTTCAATTTTATGCCTGTTCAAGGCGGTTTGTCTGATAGGAAGGTTGTCCAAATATCTCTTGGGCAGAATCACTCGATGGCCGTAACTAGTACAGGCGAACTTTGGACCTGGGGTTTGAATACGTATTCACAACTCGGGTTTGCCTTGCCCCCTCCTACAAAACCTGACGAGGAACCCATGAGTTCGATTCCTCGACAGGTATTTGGCCCGTTGAAGAAGGAATTCATACTTGGAGCTGCAGCTTCTGCCATCCACTCGGTGGCACATACAGGCTCTTCATTATTCTGTTGGGGTAAAAATGTAGGTCAACTCGCCTTAATGGATGCGGATTCAAGGTCTCTCGAGGTTCAGACTATACCCAGGAAGGTTGCCGCAACTCTTCTATCTAATCATTCTTCCATTGTCACAGTGTCGGCTATCGAGAAAGCGACATCTTGCCTATTTGAGGATCACACTGTCTGCGTCTTCACAAGCTACGGCTACAACATGATTAAATTCCCTACGTACGACCCTTTTACAAGCTCGCCGCTCCAACGCTCAGTGCAGCTTTCTACATCTTCGCGCTACGACTCTGGTCGTCGTGAAATACATCATATTACCTCTGGAGGAGAGACGATAGCGGCAGTGACAGGAAATGGCGACCTATTCACAATGATGGTCAGCCATAAATCCGATGGCAACCAGCCCGCTACATCTACAACCAACCCATCAAAGATCAAGGATGCTGTGACAACACCGCAATGTATCTGGAGCTCTAGAAAGGATGCTGTCAAATCCGTCACCGTTGGAGAAAACGGTTCTGTCATGCTCTCTACTCAGTCAGGGGCAGTTTGGCGGCGCGTCAAGCGAACGAAAGCTAAAGATACCAAGGCGCCCACGGCAGCAGACTCTAAGCGCAAAGACTTCAAATTTCAGCGAGTCCCATATATTACGGATATTGTCGCCGTCAGAAGCTCTGCGTTCGGTGCGTATGCCGCGATCCGAAAGGACTGCGACGTGACAAGGGAACAGATCGAGATCGACGAACCAACATTGTGGCAAGACATCGCCCCTCTATTTCCCTTCTTGGGATTCAAGGCCTCGAATCATAAGATAAGAGAGAATAAGGACACGTGGAAATTCCATGATCCTGAGGTGCTAAAGGGTCGAGTTGATACACTTGCATACGAGGTGTTAACATCGACTGATCTTGAAGAAGACCTTCAAACGCACCTTCAAAATTGGCGTTTCCAGCATCAGGATATCGACACAGTCATTCGTGCGGCCGCTTACCCGGAGCTAGAAATTCCTGTACACTCTTGGCTTTTGTCGGCCAGAAGTCCATTACTTCGAGCTGGGCTACAGCGATTCAGAGAAACCGGGAAGTACGACGCCGTGGACCTCCTTAACATCAGCGAATGCAATAACATCACAGTCGTGGAGCTTACTGGCAGCGTCGATCTAATCACCCTGATGAATATTGTCGTCTACATATACCGTGATAGGGTTATCCCAGCTTGGAACTTCACTCGGCAATCAAAACCCCTTGCATATAGATATCGCCAAATCCGCGCAGAGGTTATGAAAATAGCTACAAAGCTAGGAATGAACGCTTTGGAGGCCGCTGCCAGACTCCAGAGCTCACCACCACGCTCTATGAATATGGACTTCAAGAAAGCTATCGAAGACCCGGCCTTTTTTGAGGACGGTGACGCCGTGCTGGAATTAGATGGTGACGAGATCCCTATTCATAGTGCCATGCTTTGCCAGAGATGCCCATGGTTCAAGGGCCTGTTCAACGGCCGTTCCCGTGGATTCTGGTTGGAGAGTCGTCGTGCAGCACTGAAAGATTCTGACCGTATTAAGATTGATATGAAGCACATGGATCCAGAGTCGTTCCATTACGTGCTTCAGCACTTGTACGCGGACATTGGCGAAGAGCTCTTCGATGATGTAGTTGCAGAGAATGTCGATGAGTTCTCCGAGTTAGTCATGGATGTCCTGAGTATTGCGAACGAGCTCATGCTGGATCGTCTGTCTCAAATATGCCAGAAGGTTATTGGTCGTTTCGGTAAGTTGCCGTTGTGTTCACACTGCCTAGATGTGATGACTAACTTTACTAGTCACTACTCGAAATATTTCAAATTTGCTTAATGCTATCAGTCCATGTTCTGTGACCGAGTTTAAAGATAAGGGGTTGGAATATATCTGCCTCCAAATGGAGTCAATGCTTGAAAATCAGTAAGTCTATCTGGTGGACTATTGTACCAAGTGATTTTATGATTCCGGCCTCAGTATGCGTGGGTTTTCTGCTAGAGTTGCCATGATATCTCCAAGGCCCGCCATGACAAACTTTCTAGAAAGGTGAACTACCATACTAACGCATATAGTCTACTTGACGACCTGGACGAAGATCTTCTAGTAGAACTTGACGAAGTTGTCAGGGACAATCAGCTAGCTAGATGCCCCTTTGCGCGAAGCGGAAGGGCTGATCTACTACTCCATGAGCGTAACCCCCAACTAGCTTATGATATTAATGATGAAAGACAGAGACGAGTGAGAGAAATGGCTTTCAGGGTTTCCCAGAGGGAAGAAGAAAAGAAATTGTCGTCTTCGTTGAAGACACGTGTGGGAAGTTTGGACGAATCATTTGGTACTTCTTCAATGCCAGATCGATCTAGAAGAAAATCAAAGGCGGTTCAAAACGAGCCCTTCACTCCCGAGCTTCGACCCAAGGACTCGCATGCGGACCTAATCTTTGCTATGGACGAAGAAGAATCCCGTAGTGGCACAAGCCCCATTTCTCCGAGCCCCAAACCACTGCAATCCAGCGAACGAACCGATTTAGACCAATTATCTACACTTGCTGGCCCTTGGCGAGATTCTAAAGGGAAGGTTGTTAAAGACTCTGTCTCGCCAGTTATGACTCCCCCGACTTCTACATCACAATCGGACTTTGCTGCCACTAACTCACACATCAACCCTATCATAAAACGTGTTCCACCTGGAGGTAACCCATGGGGACCTTCAGCACTCCCAACATCACGTTTAGACCTTAGTGAGATACTGGCCGAGTCTCGACCCGTTCAATCAGCGCTTTCTGCAGGCTTAGCAGCCGAGAGGAAAGAGCTAGGCAGCAAGAATGCGTCGCAAAAGATATCTCAAAAGGAGAGGAAAAGGCAATTACAACAACAGCAAGCAGAACAAGCAGCTCGACAAGAGTCCCAGTCCCAACAATCACCATGGACGAAGGCCGGAGAGAAGAAGGAATCTCCTTGGCAAAAAGCTCCACTCGCTTCGAAGACGGCCTTAGCGGATACTTTTGATTCTCCAGCGGGTCCGTCAGCGAGTCTCCCCAAACCGAAAGCACTCCTTGCGCCGGAGGATTCTTCCGAGAATTCAATACCACGACGTACGGCGTCCCCAGATACCAGATTTTCGGGCCAGAGAACCAATAGTGGCACGCGAGCATCCACGTCTACTTCCCAGTCCAATCCGCAGCAACTAACCCCGCATTCGAAGTCTTACATCAAGCGAACACCCAAGCCAGAGCAAGAGATGGGTCTCGGTCTAGCTGACATCATTGGCGAGCAGCGGCGTGAGCAGGAAGTTGTACGCGAAGCAGTTGCTAAACGCAGTCTACAGGAGATTCAACAAGAGCAAGCCTTCCAGGAATGGTGGGATCAAGAGAGCCGACGCATGCAAGAAGAGGAAGCAAGGCGGACGGCGCGTGAAGAGGGTAAGGACAAGAAGAAAGATCACGGTGGCGGACGAAGGAGTAACCGCAATAACAAGTCGAAAGGAGGCGGTACTAATAATCGTGGCGGCGGGGCTCCTGGCAGTAGTAGCGCTACTACAGATGCAGGACCTAGTTCTAGTTCCAGAGGGCGAGGACGCGGGTATAGGGGAAGGGCGACATGATATACGAGACTACAGCTCGGACCAGCTTAAGTCGACGAGCGCGTCTCAAATCTCATGTGCGGAGTTTCGGCAACACAGCATCGGAGGCATTATGTATATATTCGTAGGGGTTTATTAGCTCTCGCACACTGCTTGCTTCTGTTGGCTCTGTACATATTTCGAACCGAAGAATCACGGCTCAATCCACTTTCGATGTTCAACTTTCAATTCGGTAAGCCCTGCATCATACGTAGGGTTTTCATCCAATTCTTAATGCATTATGTTTGTCGCAGCCAAGATATCAGTACCTGCCTGAATACATGATGAGCAACTAACCCCTTTTGTTAAATTGGGTGACTCATTAAGTACCATCCAATAACTCAGGGAACTTAGTCACCACCACCTGCACTACTAGAACACTCATACAACCTAACCCATTATATTTGCATTCGAATAACTTTCCTTCCACTATTTTCACAATGATGTAATTAGCTTTGATAAAAAAACTCCACACTTAGCGATTCGAATAATATACTTTCAAAACTTTGTATCACCTTTTTTTGCGAGTTACATTAGCTTAAAGTGGTTGAGTTCATGTTGTTTGTAAGGGCTGGGAGTCGTCCATGATATGATACCTCCCGATTAGCTTACCTAATCAAAGTATCTTCGAATAAAGTGCAACCTGAGTCAATCAATTGTTACCTACCTACTTGGTATAATCGTAGTTTCAATTGCACGTAAGCTGATCAATTTTTAAGAAAGTTATTCAGGTGCGAAGTCCAGAATTGTATAAACCTAAGGGTGCGCATAGGTAGTACTTTAATTTATATAGATATTCATACGGCAGAAGAAGTAGGCACACTAACGCTATGGCCTGTCAATAAGCTTTTCAGCCAATCAAAGGCCGCACGCTCGAACCTTAGCCACATTATTGTCGTGAAGGAAGGCGCCTCACAGTGAAAGGAGATAGGCTCGCCGAATGTTATATAATGCGTGGTCAAAACATGAATCACCTTGTTTGTTGTCTTTCGTTAGAATAGATTATTTCCGATTGTTTCATGGAATAATCGAATAGCTCTTTACAAGTAACCGAGCCATTTCGTTTCATCTATCGCATATAGTTTTCTTTTACAAGAAAGCTTGCCGAGTCCACCAGCCGCCTAATATTACATCTCACACTTTCAGACTCTTTTTAATAAGGAACGACAGATCTACTTCCTTCTGAAAAATATCAAGCCGTTCTTGATTCGCAGATCTGTTACCCAATACTATCATGGATTGTTCGAAGAATATCAAACACGAGAACCCCAGCTCTGGGGCTTTCGGTACCCTACCGTTCGAGATGGTTATGGAGATCATGTGCCACCTAAACATTAAAGGCCTACAGGCAATGATTCTATCATCCTCACATTTTTACAATATCTTCAAGAAGGTTGAAAAAATCATTCTTTACCATGTTCTAGCAAACGAACTCGGCCCTGACATCTTCCCCGTCGCAACGCTACATTACGCCTGCTCGGAAGCAAGCTTAATAACCGACGCGGCAAAGGCAGTTGGCAGGTCTCTTATCCCAAGACCAGCTCTCAAGCTTGATTACAACGACCAGGAGCTAGGATACGTCGATGTGAGGAGGTACCGGATTCCGAAGTACGCTTGTACTCCAGCCGCCGCCCGCAAGATTCTCTCGGTTTACAAGCAAATCGAGCGAACGATAGAGGACTACGAGAAATTCACACATAGGGTATTTACAAGCTGGGGTCGCAAAGATTATCGATACCCCGGTTTCACGGGTCCAGAGAGCCTCCAGATGCGGCTGGCCCTATACGCAGCTGGTTCGGCAAAGCTACTCTGTCCGGAAGAATACCAATTTGATGAGGACGAGGACGAGGAGTGGACGACAGTCTATTTTCATTGGGGTAACCCGGATTGGATTATCCTCGGTAAAGACCCCGAGAACGACCCCCCTTTTCAGATCGTCTCGGTCCCTGGGGTGGATGAGCTATTGTCAGGCTTCCGTCCCTTACCTTTGCCTCTAGGAGATAATCAATAGATGCCTGAGTCGAAAATATGTATGATGGGATGGTGTGAGGCGGTTAAGTTCTCGACTTGACAACGTTCATCCTTTGCTGACTGAGCGGCCTGGTTCTCATATCCCAAACTATTGCTGTTAATATGACCACGGATGGAGCACCACAGTTAAGAGGATACGCAGGTAGTTCCATTCACTTGGATTTTCAATGGAAAATTGTCCTTTATTATAAAACTCATGAATGTTGACTTTAGACTATTTGACGTATTCAATATTAGTCATGGGATAAATACACCATTCACATGAGGAGTAGGTACCAAGTTATTTGATATCACATTTCAATATTTCCGTATTAAGTAATAGATTTAAATGATATGCAAGCAACTACCTATTAACAATGGGAATCTAGTTTAATGTAAGTCACTCAAAATAGTCGTCTAAGAAATTATCTACCATCTCGGTTATTGCCTCCCTATATAAAGTTGAACAAACTGAATCGTTAATTCCAAGGTTTTATAAACTCTCCTTTCTGAAATGTTATTTCATCACCTTTTTTACAGTGTACAGTATTTAATAATCACTAATCACCTAGTATCTGAGGTGGTGTAGTATCGTGACCCACTGGGCGCGCTTATGTTAGCCTCAATAAAATCAGCTTCTTCGATCCAGTCTCTAAAGTTCCGGAGTACCCACCTGGGATATTCCACCGAAGTTGAGATATTCCGTGCTTCATTTCCCACTTCGAGAGCTGATTCCATATTGTCAAGCATCGCTAAAAACCTGTCTGCATCCGAAGTGCGAGGTCGGACTTGAACAGGTTCGACTTCATCCGAGCTTTCGGGTTGAGTCGCGTTGAACTTGATCAGCTGCTCTTCAGTTTTCGGCTCTTCGACCCTTTGGGTTGAACGTACGAAGCGAATCCAAGCGTCATCGTCATCCCAGACTTGACTCCCATCGAACAGTTGTTTTGCGGTGTTGATTTCAAAAAAATCGAACCAATACAGATCATCATACTCATTTTTGCTAGTTCCAATTATCTTTGAAAGATTACCGAAGCAACCAAGTCCCCAGTCGAAGCCAGGCTGTGAAAGCTTCATTGAAGGTTTGTACGGGAAGCCTAACTCTTCAACTACAGTGGTATCATTGATAGATAGGGGCTGTGGGATATGAGACCGGCGTCCTTGAAACTTGCGGATTTTTAGATCATCCATTACCGCTGCTGACCAACTTGCATTGTCAGTACTTACCTCTAGCAGAATATCCTTGCCATCGTGACTAACTGTTTTGATGTCGGGATTCTCCATTGTGACCTGATTTAAATGAATCGATAGATCGTGATGAGATATGCCTAGTTTTAAAGGAGAAGCTATAATCTTATTGAAAAAGGGATCTTTCTTTTTAAATATTGCTGTCTTATCTCATGGAACAATGTGCATTGTTCTGCCATGGTAAGAACCAATGATTCTTTGTTGTAGCCATAACGTAATTCTATTGCTGTTTCGTGGTAAGCTTGAAAGAACTGTTTCACACTCGCTATTAGAAACCATGAACACCTACCTGGCAGTCAATCGAGAAACAGAACCAAAGGTGGCGGGATGCTGTCTGAAAGTTACCTTGGGTCATGTTACCCCTGAATGTTCTCCACTTTAATCATGTCTGTGCTATCTCAGGGTTAGGGTTGGGGTTGAGGTTAGGGTTAGGGTATTACTTGCAAATTTATTTCAAAACTACTAAATCTTGTATTGTTATTTCAATCAGCCAGCACATACCATCACGAACTGATCTACCTACTTTTGTACTTAACTAAGTCAAACAACCTTTCTCTGGAGTTGTTGTGGGTGTCGACCCTACCTTCGATAGTCGCTGGGGCTTCGTATCGATGTGTGTATAATTCGGTCAGCTTAACAACCGCCTTACCCTTAATAAATGTTCCTTTGTATTCATTGTACCGACGGGCGCAGACTCCTATGTATGGGCCTTCGTACGGCTCCGGGAATGATTCGTCTAGATCACGAATACTTACAAACTCTTTGGGGAACTCCTTTCCTTCCAGTCCTCGGCCATTGTGGGTATAAATCGGCAAGCATTGAAGGTGCTCACCAAACACACGATAAACAATCATCTTGCGGAACTTGGAATTTAACGTACCGAATGGGGTTGCTGTTAAGTTGGGGTCGTCAGTTGGAACGTGCAACTCGTCCGCACTTACTGCCGTGTGAAGAGGGGCGCTGAAGATAACGCCGGGAAGATATGCATCTCGGGGCTGTTTAGCGTCAGTGGTTCGAAGTGTCGACGAATGCATGCCATACATAAAACCTTGGACCGTGTTCCAGCGTTTGAGCGCCTTCACACGCTCTTGGTTGAATTCCTTGGGGTCCATACGTCTGGTCCTGCCACGTGGTTCAGGGGGAGACACCCATTCATTCTTAGTAAGAAGATATCGGCTCTGTAGACTATAACGGTCAAGCTCATCTTGTAGCTCTACCGGGGACATACATGTGTCAGAAGATGTGGGTGTATCGACAGAAGGGCTTAGAGACGACCTAAGTCGCTCCTCTTTATCTCTTGCCCACGGTGTACTTTTCCGCCAATCTCTCTCTAGAAAGTCTGACATTGGCGGTTTGCTAGTAGTAGACATGGACCTATGTTTTTCGATACGCATACTTGGTTTAGCGGTGTCGTGCCTAATTGGTGTCCCAGGCCGACTTCGCGAACTTGAAGCAATCGAGTCCCTGCGCTTTCTGAAGATATTAACCCGGCTTTGGTGGTACGGATCGCTGTCAGCCATCCAGACATCTGGGTACGCGGTATGAGGTCTTACGGGATGAGGTCTAGCCGTACTCGGACGAGGGCCTGCCCTCGTCCTGGAAGGCGATCTAGGCCTAAGGTGGCTACGGTGTCTTTTATCAGCCATATTGCAAGCAATTTTAGTTTCAATTCGGTACTTCCGAGTTAACGAGGTCTACAATTGATCCGGCCAGCGATTTTGTCAATTGCGAGTAGGATATGGTTGGTAACAGCGTGTTACTTCAAATTTATATGATGAGCAGCATAGGTAAAGCCAATCGCTAGCTATGTTGCTTTATATATATTGAACGGTACCTCAATCAAATGGAGTATTGATCTACAATCTCATTGTTTCCATACATTATTCAGCAATAATTTAAATAGTTGCTTTGTTGAAGGCGTCTTTGAGAACACCCCCTTCAGCTGTGGTAGAACAAGCAAAACAGGGGTGCGTTTTGAGACACGTTATATCTCGCCGATATTCGAATTATTATTATGATAAATTACTTACCCACTCAACTTCTCTAGTTTCCCATTGTCAACTAAACAAAGGAAAGGCATGATGGTTTGTCACCCGACCTACGGATTTCCCAGCTTTAAGGACTTGATAACGTATTTCGATCTTGTCCAGTCAGTTTACAAATGGCTAGACAATGTGGAGGAGCCTTACATAGATAGAAGTAGATTATTTCCAATACCCGAGGAAAATATTCCCGAGGGCGCGAGCCTGGAAGGCGATTCGGATATTCTGCCGGTGGTTCCTCCAAGGAACCCGCTCAGGGGAATGAATATGGAAACCATAAAGAACTATAGATCACGTTTTCCGGCAAAAAATCAGCATTTCCTGAAGGGCCTTCCAATCACAATCATACTCAAGCCTATCTTCGGCCAGGCGAGTTAGAGGGTTGTAGCTAATTAGCATTAAACCGATATACACGTTTAAGAGTGTAATTTTATAAGACTTAATATTGCTATACGTATGACCTTTGCGTTGATCAATTTGGTAAGCGTGTGATGGCTAGAATTTAGTACTTATAGATGTAGCTTCAAATCGCCTTTACCTGCCTTTGGAACTTGGGGATTTCCTTTGTAAACTTGGCCGGATCATCTCTAGCTCCTTCTTTCCAGTATTCATATTCGATCCATGCGTTCTCAGGCATTTGCTCCTCCATGGCGGCCATCCAGTTTCCTAGATCTGGAGATAGGGGGATGACTCCTGTCTCCAAAACGTACTGATCCCATAGTTTGATCAACTCCTTTAACCTCTCGGGCTCTTGCTCGGCGAGATCATGTACCTCGCCGGGGTCCTTCACAAGATTGTATAATTGCCAACGCTCTGGGCCCTTGGGCTTGGGGATGAACACGATCTTCCAGTCGCCCTTTCTGCATGCAGCTCGTCCACACGTCTCCCATCCGTTGATGAAGTCCTTTTCGTGAATAGTTTCTGCTTTCTTTTGTAGGTATGGGACCATGGACTTTCCTCTCATTGACACGACTTCGCGGCCTCGATACGTGGGAGCAGGGTGGGAAACCCCTGCCATGTCGAGAATGGTAGGGGCGAGGTCCATCACCGTTGCAAATTGATGAGTTATGCTGCCAGCCTCATACTGTCCGTTGAAGCTCGCAGGCGGCTTCATCAAGTATGGAACGCGTACGCCACCCTCCGTCGTGTACGCTTTATACAACCTGCTAGGTGCAGTGGCTGCCTGTGCCCATCTTGGTCCATACCAGATAAACGAATCTCCGTTTCCGAGATTATCGATGTGGTTATTATAATATTTCGTCAAGTGTTGTAGCATTGTGCTTTGGACGATCGGGTAAGCTTCATAAGCAGCACCTTCGGCCCCATTGTCCGAGAGGAAGCAGACAAAGGTATTATCCAGTTCCCCAATTTCCTCTAGATAGTCGACGACCTTTCCGACGTTGGCGTCGATGCACTCAACCATTCCAGCGAAGCACTCCATTGCCCGGCAGGAATTAGCACGCTCCTCCTCGCTCATGTCTCCCCACTCTTTCACTTCTTCTGCCACAACCGGATGCGGCTCCACATCTTGCGGGACCATGCCGAGATCCTTGAGGCGCTGGAGTCGTTTTTGGCGTAGAGCATCAGGGCCATCATCGTACACACCGCGGTACTTCTTGATGTATTCCTGTGGTGCTTGCAGGGGCCAGTGAGGCGCGGTAAATGGCAGGTAGGCGAAGAATGGTCGCTCATCCTTCCCCTCCTTCCAGTCCTTTAGGTATTGTACCATCTTATCGCCGTATCCATTGGAAGAATACCACCCCTCAGGCAGTTTCTTGACGTACTCACCATCCTCGCTGTGAAGAGCGATGAAGCTCATCGTCATGAATTCGGGTATTTGGTCCATGCCTTCGAGTTGAGGCTCATATCCATAGTGATTGCTGCATGCCGGTAGATGGGCAAAGCTCTTCTCGAAACCCCTTGCTTTCGGACTCCGTTCTGGTGTTAGGCCCAAATGCCACTTTCCCGCCATAAGGGTGAGGTAACCAGCATCGCGGAGCAGTTCAGGCAAAGCCACAACTCGTTCGTTGAGATATCCCTCGTAACCAGGCATCCCACGCTGGACGGCGGTCGACATCGTCCCGTTCGGGTCATTCTGACCAGATATATTGGTCCATTCAATCAAGTTTCCTAAGCCGGCGATATGGTGGTCTGTGCCAGTCATGATCATAGCACGGGAGGGCGAACACGCAGCAGCGGCGTGGAAATCGGTGAACCGAATGCCACCTTTGGCGAGCTTGTCGATGTTGGGTGTATTTATCTCACCACCGAATGGGCCAACATCTGAGAATCCCAAGTCATCCGCAAGGGCAATAAGAAAGTTAGGTTTCTTTCCTGGTGCCATGATGTCGTCGCGAGTAGGGTCCCCGCGCGTATTGTTTTAGATAAAAAATCACGGTATACCTAAGGTCGTGTTTTGCCGTTGAAGGCTTGGCGACTCATTGGGTTAAGGGGGCTATGAGGTAAAAATAGAGTGAGATCTACTTGCGAATAGATTTGAGATGCCATAATTATATAAGGAAGTAGATAGTGTAAAGTTTCCGATGTCGTCGCTCTCCACTGCGATGTCGCAATGGCCAATAGACACAGTAAACCCTTAATAACTACTCACATAGATGACGACAATGGCCTGATCAGCAATAGCCCCTATCGTGGTGTAGATATTGTGGAGTTAGGGGATATGTATGAGAGATGCTCGGCTACTCGGTCTGTATTAGCTATTATTGGCTACCATTCACCGGTTGCCGCGTCAGAACCAGGACTAGGATTAGGGCTAGACTCCGCCCCGGATTCGCGTCATTAAACCCTGAAGCTTCCCCACAAGTGCCTGGGATCCTCGGTTGTCGCAAGCCTGGCCTTCTGTATGGCCAGCGGGAACGCCTAAAACGGTAATATTCTCAAATCCCTTAATCACGTCATCTCCAACGTTACAGTATGGCGTCGAGTTCTGACCATCTTTGAATCTTCAGCTAGATAAATTAGAATTGCCAACCGAGGCAGGAAGGCTTTTAGTTGTAGAACAATTTCAGTTTAAAAAACAAATATCCTTGGGGGATATCATGGAACAAACCCAACCCCTACTTCGACAGTCTAGCGAAGACGAACAATTCGTATTACCTACGGTAAATATGAAAGGGACAACTCTGGGAAAGATCCGAGCCTATTGGCTAGGCTCAGTGGTGTGTATGGGTGGGTTTCTATTTGGATACGACTCTGGAATGTGAGTATCACCTTGGGGTTACTTTATGCTTCAACACTCTATTATCATGCAATCTAGTCGCGTACCTTTGCTAAACTCATTACAGCGTTGGTTAGTAAATCCGTTCAACGGGGCCACCAGCTTTTTTTTATTAAAGATGTTTGATATTAATTAGGACATAACAATAGGCGGCGTCTTGACGTTGGCTTCTTTTCAGTCCGATTATCGCTATGGGAGCGCCGAGCAAACGCGTACCAACGCCCTTTCAGTGAGCCTTCAGCAACTGGGTGGCTTTATAGCATGCTTCTTAGCATGGCCTCTAACCGAGAGACTGGGCCGCAAGAAGTCGCTAATGATATCTTCGTTTATCTTCTGCATTGGCGCCATTATTCAGACGATAAACACTCACTCATTAGGAGCATTTTACTTTGCTAGAGTGGTCTCCGGACTTGGACTTGGCGCAGCGACTGTAATCGTGCCAATGTTCAATAGCGAGATGATGTCAAAAGAAATGCGAGGTCAAGTTGGATCGTTCTTCCAGTGGTTTTATACATTCGTAAGCAAAACCATGTCTAACTGCCACATGTAGGTACTAACTTTTGCAGGGTATTTTTGCGTCGTATTGGATAGACTATGGCGTTTCTCGAGGCATCAAGTCAACCGATTCGTCGCAATGGCAAATCCCGATCGGACTTCAGCTTGTACCTGCCGCATTTCTTGGTCTGGGAATGTTAACGGTTCCTGAAAGTACACGATGGCTTACGAAGAAGGGTAGACATGAGGAGGCTTGGAAAAGTCTTCGGTGGATCCGAGCAGATGACTCCCAAATGACCACTGACGAGATGGAGGAGATCCGATCAGGGGTTGCAGCAGATTCTAGAGCCACTGAGGGTTTTCATGTGCGAGGTAAGACTCCCCACCCGATATAAAAACTCTTTGGATTCTAACGTTCGATTAAAGAGCTTTTAGAAGGGGAGAATTTCAAAAGGATTTTTGCCGCGTTCGCCATCTTCACCGCGCAGCAAGCGACCGGTGCAACTGCTTTTGCTTATTTTGGACCGCAGTACTTCAGTCTTATTGTTAACAATTCTGAACAAAGTCTTCTCTTAACCGCTATATTTGGGGCGGTGAAGGTCGTAGCTTGCGGCGTCTTTGTATTATTCTTTGCAGAGCTTCTTTCTCGTCGACAAGTGCTCATTGGCGGCGCTGCCTTTATGGCTGCTTGCCAGATCACTACGGCAGCCGTCGTGAAATCTTTTCCCGCTAGTGAAGCAGGACACGCGATAAGACCCTCTGGCATTGCTACGGTTGCGCTTATTTATCTATTCGTCATCGCCTATAACTTCAGTTGGGGGCCAATGCCTTGGCCATATGTTTCAGAGTATGATCTGAGTAACCCCTGATTAAATGTTATATTTGCTAACATCTCGGAAAGGATTTTCCCCGCAAGGATCCGAGAGGTCGGTGTAGCAGTTGGTGTTGCTTCGCAATGGTTGTTCAACTTCGTCTTCACGTTGACAACCCCTTATATGATTTCTTCTATGGGATGGGGAACTTTCTTATTGTGGGGTAAGTAAAAGACACTCCAAAAAAGGGGGTAGGTGCTAATTCGCATAGGTATTTTTGATGCCGTTATCGCAGTTCTTGCATTTATCTATCTCAAGGAGACCAGGGGCTTATCACTCGAGGCTATTGCGCATCAACATTTCAACAATGGCAGTTCCCCAGACAATGCACCAAATAAGAACGTAGAGGTATTTTCAGAACATCGAGAAGGCTAGACAGCTCGGTTAACATAGGTGTTTTGAATCGGTTTATTGCCTACCGAGAATATCTAGAATTGTAAACTAGGACTTTACCCATCCATTTTATCCGGTAATATGGTCCGTCCAGTACTAGAGTAGGATTACGCGGGGTGGCTAGTTAAGTACATTCCAGCACCAATTCGACCGTTTAAGAAAGCGTGAAACCCTCACTTGATTGGGGTATACGGTGTTGATGTAAACGCTTAACAAGTTTTTTCATAATGGCACCTACGATGACAGCCGCAGTGGTGTGTCTCGTTGCTATGTTCGCCTCTTTCACAGTGGGAACTAAGTCGTATTCTCATAATTCGACATACTACAACCCCATACTGCCAGGTTTTCATCCAGATCCGAGCTGCATATTTGTAAAGGAATGGGACAACACTTTTTTCTGTGCATCTTCGAGCTTTAACGCTTTTCCTGGCATCCCCTTGCATGCGAGCAGGGATCTACAAAACTGGAAACTTATTGGTTTGAACCATTTTAATCAGGACTAAGCCGGAATAATGAATGCTAATTATCATAGGACATGTATTAAATCGCCGAGAGCAACTTCCTCGCCTCGCGGAAACTAATAGGTCAACGAGGTAGAGTGATGAGTAGGAGGCTTGTGAGCTAGAATTGACTTGTCATAGTGGTATCTGGGCGCCGACACTGAGATTTCACGACGAAACATTCTGGCTGGTGACGACGCTGGTCGATGATGACAGAACAGCGGATGATGCATCACGATGGGATAATGTATAGTTTGATCCATTGAACCTCTTTAACCAATCAGCTAATATGAGTGATAGGTGATATTTCAGTCAAATAACCCGTTTGATCCTTCTGCTTGGACCGAAGCAATACATTTCGATTTTGAAGGCTATGATACCTCGCCACTATGGGATCTTGACGGGAAGACATATATTGTCGGCGCGCATGCTTGGCAAGTTTTGTACGTAAATAAAGAATCAGCCAATTGTAATGGGGATACTAACCTTCCTAGTCCGGGTATCCTCTTAGCTGAAACCAACCTAGAGACTGGCGAAGCAGGCGAATGGGAAGTTATATGGAATGGTACTGGGGGGACTGTAAGTCGCTTTCTTAGAAAAGTTGGTAGCTTATCACCTAACCGCACTTCCAGGCTCCGGAAGGGCCCCATATATATCTTAAGGACGGGTGGTATTATTTACTAGCCGCTGAAGGTAAGGATGGACAATTCAACCGTATATAAAACCGACTACTGATTTCTGGTTCCTATCAAGGGGGTACGGGATTAGAGCATATGGTTACGATGGCAAGGTCTAACAGTATTCATGGACCTTACGAAGCTAATCCTGGAAATCCCGTCCTCACCAATGCCAATACAACCAACTATTGTAGGTAAAAGCACCACAACTCAGATCCACCCTTACTAATGTATCTAGTCCAAACTGTTGGCCATGCAGACCTGTTCCAAGATTCCACAAGTAACTGGTGAGATGCAGCCTTTTACCTACCTAAGTGCCTATACAACATAGGAAGCACGAGAGTTAATGATGATTCTAGGTGGGGTGTTGCACTCTCAACGAGGTCGGGTCCTGAGTACATAAACTACCCCATGGGAAGAGAGACTGTAATGGTGCCAGTCAGGTGGAGCGATGGTCAATTTCCGATTTGGACTCCCTTGAATGGTGAAATGAGCGGATGGGAATTGCCCCAAGAAACTGCAGTTGTTAAAGGGTCGGGGTAAGCTATTATCTACTATTTTCAGATCTATATATCCGTTGCTCACTCGTACAGGCCAATCATCACCGAAGGAGACGTTGTCAACTTTGAACCAGGATCATCACTTCCAGCGCATTTCACATATTGGCGGTTTCCAAACCCTGAATCGTATACAGTGTCCCCTCCAGATCATCCAAATACGCTGAGACTAAACCCGTCGAAGTTAAACCTCACAGCACTAAACGGTAACTATGCTGGTCCCGACGGTCAGACATTCGTTGGTCGACGCCAACAAGACACACTGTTCACGTATAGTGTCGACCTCGACTATGCTCCCACTTCTCGAGAAGAGGAGGCAGGGGTTTCAATCTTTCTAACACAGAATCACCACCTAGATCTAGGCGTCGTCCTACTTCCAGCCAACGAGAGTACTACATCACTCGCAGATGCAGGCTATCCAACGAATTCTTCAGAGCTGATCCCTCAACTAAGATTTCGCGGTATTTCCTATGTACCTGTGCCAGATGACATTACGTTTCCGATTCCCGAAGTCTGGTCCAATAAACCGCTGAGGTTGGAGATCAAGGCTCATAACATGACCCATTATTCCATGTCCGCAGGGCCTGCAGATGCGCTTTCAGAAATGCGGACCATTCTGGACGTATCGAATGCGCCCGTCAGCTGGGGATTTACAGGCAAGGCAACACAAGTCCTCTTGATATCGGTGGATTAATACTAATTTTAACTAGGTGTTATTCTCGGTGTTTACTGTACGAACAATGGCTATGAAGGAAACACGCCGGCGTATTTCTCCAAATGGAGATATATTCCGCAAGGGCAATTCAGGAATTGACTTCTCATAGCGATTAAGGACCAGTGATACCAATTCTACTTGTACCAAGATTTTCCATCTGCTAGCTACCTATATCCTAACCCAATCCATTGTCTACGGCGTATTTCCATATAAATTTCAAGTTGGATATTCGTCGCAAGATTCGTCACCATAAGTTAGGTGCTTATTTAGAACAAGATCCTTGAGTTGAATGAACTCGGAATCCTGTTTCCGAAAACGCTGTTGTGCTGGCATCAGCAGCCCAACCATAGCCTGTCATATCGACTAATGCATCATCGATGTTGGCATTCAATGGCTGCTGTGTATCATTCCATATAGTTGTTTCGAAAGAATCGAATATGACATCGTCAAACTGTGGAAGGGTATCGGAGTCCGATCCAATCCTCTCAATAAAAGCATAGGCAGCACCGCGACCGTTGCAGACGTCCAGAGGAGGATTTCCTGAGTCTACAGACTGGATCTTCCTGATGGTACTTTGCTTAGAGCTCCTATTTTCGATTGCGCTGCAAAATGTATTAGATAGTAGCACGAGTTCATTGCTAGTAACGACAGGTATTCTTACACAGCGGCGGTCGAGTTGGAGATAGCTTCTACTGTCATAGATACTTTGTCGCCTGGTTTCACTGTTTAATGGGTCAACATCAGATCAATTAGGACACATATGTCTTACTTCAGCATTCCGACTCACCTTGGATGTCCTGAAATTCTGCTTCCTTAGGAAACCACCTGACCCACGCTCTGGCTGTCGTTGTCCCGTCAGCCTTCAACTAAACCACCTATTAGTTATGTAGCTCTGGAAGGCTTAATGACTCTAGACTTGGAAAAGTGAGAAGACGTCTAACCTCGAGGGAAATACCACCTCGCGGGACCGCAAGCGTATTACTAGTCCAAGAATTGGGGCAGCCGTACCCCACGTATCCTACCCAGATGTCAAGAGAGTAATTATCGCCAATTTTCCCCCTGGCGGGAGGCAAATGTTCGGAACAGTCCATACGGCCGTAGCTGTCTTGAAGGTGAGGATATTCATATCGTCGTTTGATACGATAATTTCAGCTCCTGCATTTTTGTCACTATTTCCAAAGTCAGCAATGGGATTCTCCAGCTACCTAGGTTGTCTAAGACAATGAAATCAACATACTATCCCATATTCACTGCAAATGAGATATTGAGTATGCTAAGTACCAGTACAAAGATATGAATATTCAGGTGCTTCATGGTGAGGATTGAACGGTAATGGGTCAAGTTCTCTATGCGAATATATATCTCTTTGCTTCTGGTTGCGCAAGTTGATTGGTATTGCCCTGAAACGACGTAATAATGAAAGAATTATTGTGTCTTAGTCGATGGGTCTGCCAAATTGGGAAGTATGTCGCTGAATCTATGCACAAGTTTCACTCAAAGAGCGACGGTGTGCTTCCCATACTTATAGTAATCATCGTTATCAGAATGAGTACCTACCTAGAAACATACCTAAGGTAAACACTCCAACGTGAAGGCGCGATTGAGGTATCAGGAGAGATCGAGGAGTTTCAAGGTAATTAGAAAAGATAATTTCCTTGGCAATTATTTAATAATGAGATCCTAGGTGCTCTAATGCAAGGCTTAATTATGTGAATGATTAGCAGCAGGAAAATTAATTAAGAAATTTATAGGTACGTAGTACAGGCCATCTGCTCTAACGAGTTTTCATATAAAACAGGCCTTGACCAACCTATTCTCGACGAACCTGGATTAATTAATATACGAATACTCAATCCAATATTGGGATGGCTACGTTTGCCAGAAGATGATTGTCTATGTCTCAGGAACCTTTAATCTCCAGAGAGGAGGCAGGCTTTAGATTTTGAGCAATGATATCAGACATTGTGCCAGCTGATCGCAATGAGCCTCCCAATTCGCACGATTCTGGGATACTATAAGTTCATGTGGGATGTTTGATCGGGAACACCTAAGTACACTATTGAGCAGATTTCCGCGGTTAAATGAATTGTTGGCGAAATGTAGGTTTCCCAAGACGAATATCTGACCTCACGGTGCTCCTATCGTCAAAGTTAGGTATGAACGACAGTAGGAGGCTTCTAAAAATCACTGGGCGGTGCATGTACCTGGTAGATTGTATGTTAAGTTGAGGTATCAATTTGTTTGTATTAGCGCAAGTATAAGGGAGTAGCCAGAGGTTGGTTTCAAAACTGTTAACACAATGAATTCCTATAGGTACTAGAGAGGAATATGAAGTAGAAAGATGAGAGCCAGACGCTGTAGGCTTATACGAGGGACTTTTGGAGGCTTTCAATTGATGCCAAGTGCCTGGAATTAATGTGGTCGGTGTGGTGGTGATGGCGCTATTACAGCATCTACACGGTCAGTAGTTACCATAGCCATGCACTATCCGAGAGAACCACGCCAGCGGCAGCCAACCAATTTGAAAGATCTATGAGCTTACTGGGGCGCGGTAGTACTAAATGAGCGTGTTAATGTCCAAAAGGGCGTGATCTATCTAGAGCTAAACTAACTGACTTCACCCGACACGTATCGACGACGCATAGGATATCCAGAATAACCCCCTAGGCAAGAGCGGAGCTGGAGATCCACATAACAGGTGATGGTATCCAAGAAACTTATTAGAACAAGTAGTGCAGCCGTTTTATTCGTAGCCAAAAATCGGAACTATTGTGAGTCGGAGGTAGGGCTCTTTGTCTGGCTAAAATCTGAATCAATATAACCCAGTTCCTCCAGTCGATCATGCATGTTGTCCTTCCACTCTTCCGCCTCCGATTCAGGTGGCGTGACTAGGTAGTATGTGTCTAGAAAATATTTGTGGTCGAGGGAAAATTCCGTGCCCATACAGAGCGGACAGGCAAGCTCCACACCACAGCCCATGAAAACGTCAAACCTTTCGGTAACTCCTCCGGTGCATCCTGGACAGACGGTCCTCTCGCTGCGGCAAATCCGGCACCAACCGCCTTCAATCTTGCTGATAATATCGGGGACGTCAATACATTTATAGAGGCAGGAGGTTTTTGACCTGGCATCTAGGACAACATCGAAAGTATTTTGCGGACCGGAGAGCCGGGATAACCCAGGTGGTTTGTTTCTGAGACCCTTGGCTACAGATGGTGTTGCACAAGCTAGATAACGCTCGAAGTCCAGCACTTTCTGCCGGTCTGTGAGGCTATCTTGTAACTCCTCGTCTTCGGGATAGTCGAACTCGTGTAGATAACAGCGAAGAACCACTGTGTCAGGCGATGCCGATACAGTATTGACCTTTACCAGGCAGAACTCATCGTCTATATCCGAACGCGTGAACTCGAAGATGATGAACCATATCTCGTTAGGCAAGCTTATACCGCCCTTGCTCCGAATACTGGTGTTGTTGCGGGCAAAGAGCTGTCTCACATAGCGGGGACCTGCCCTGCTGATATTGAGCAGGAGCAGACTGTCTTTGGTGAAGACACCGCGGGAGACATCGGCCATTTCTACCGGCTTCATGTTTTTGGTCTCGACAAATCGGATCGATGTTATGATAAGGGAGTTATGTAACACACGTTACTAGTCATCGACGGATTTCGAGGATGATTGTAATCACTATACAGCAAAGCGGAGGTGCAAACAATGGCGGAAGATGCTTGTGTTGCTCATTTAGGTAACAGGTAACTTTGTAGAACATAATTCTAGGCAGTTTTCGTTTGTGAAAATAAGTCACACCTGAAACACTCCGCGGTTTTCCGGGGGTCACCTGATCCTTGTCCGATTCCCGTCTGTCCTACCTACGTGCCTAGGTGCAGTTGATTTGCATCAAAATAATCGGGATATTTATACCTGTGCGGTTCATCTATTTCAGATGTAACTTTCTTACCTTAACCGAAGTAATGGGTACTCAATATGAACTCCAGTCCTCATTTAAATATAAATAACGACTTCTTAACCCGTTAGTGTCGAGGAAGGCTTGCAGTTGTTTCCTACTGGACTTTCTAGTAACCTCTCTAATGACCCTATTAAGGCTCTAAAGGGAGTAATCATGAGGGGACAGCTTCTACGACAAAAAAGTAGCAGAGAGCACGAACAAATAGAAGACGGACTCAGGTCGGTATTCTAAGAATGCCTACTTAAATAGAAATCTCTCTAAATAGATGAGCCAATGTAGTCGCCGGTTTCAAGGTCCGAAGTAGAAGCAGCGGCTAGGCTCCGCAACTTTTCCCCACTAAAAGACCCATCATTACCCCAGATAAGTACCTAAGGTTAGCGGGTACCCCACCCAAAATTCCGGCTCAAGCTTGGGATTTTACTACCATACCGGGAACCCCCGCTATCGGACAATGATTTACCTTCCGCGAAAACCATAGCCCATTATCACTATAATGCTTTCATTTGACTATAATTGTCAAGTAAACAATCATTGGTAGGTGTAAACAATCATTGGTAGGTGTGAACAATCATTGGAAGGTTCAAACAATCATTGGAAGGTCAAAACATCTATTGGAAGGTCAAAACATCTATTGGAAGGTGTATTTAGGTGGGTCTCTTATTCCTCGTCCCCGTCCCTGCTATTATTAGCAGGGACGGGGACGAGGCCTACGAGTCTACAGATCTACAGTCCTACTGTTTTATTAGTCTACAGGTCTACAGGTCTACAGGTCTACAGGTTCACTGATCCAGTGGTCTACAGATCTACGGTCCTACAGGTCTACGCGTCTACGCGTTTACTGCACCCTACTGATCTCTACAGATCTACAGATCTACTGGCGTTAGTATCAGGGTGACCTAGTATATGAGGATTAGTAAAGAAATATAGACCTAATATACGAGTATTAGTAAAAATATCAAAGTATTGTGCGAGTGGATGGTGTATGTGTACGAGGTAGGCGTGTGTGTGTGTGTGTGTGGGAAGAAGGAAAAAATTCTTAAGTTTTTTGTGGTGATGTGTGTGAGAAGGGAAAAAAATAATCCTAAGTTTTTGCAAGTGTTGATTTTGGTGTTGTTACTGTTGTTGTTGTAGGTAGGAGGGGCTGAGAGGGAGTGGATGGGAGGGGCTGGAGGGAGCGGATGGGAGGGGGGCAGGTGAGAGGGGGCAGGTGATGCTGAAGATACTAGAACCTTAGAAATTTTGTTGAAGTTCGAAGGTTGTAAGGTGGTGGGTGGGTTGTAGGGGGACTGTAATCTATCGTCGGCCTTGTTGTCGCATAGACCACTTAACTGACAGCCCTGGAAGCAGCTGCCTTGCTAGCCTAGCAGCTACCTGCCAGCTGTAAAAGCAAGTAATGATTCTTATATTTCCAATGATTGTTTAGTTTCCAATGATTGTTCGAATTTCTTAGGGTGTATCAATGATTGTTTGACTTTTAAATGATTGTCAGGCTACGTATTTTCCCGCTATGGTACCTACCAAGATGAGATTATATAGATGAGCCATTCATTTTGAAACAAAACACTAGAATGAGCTCATTGCAAGAAACAAAACATGATCCTTTGGATCTAGATACCATATTCCCTAGGAAACCCTACCATAGTATCTAGTCTCAGTGCGCTTGGGTTGAATCTATCGGAATAAAAAACTTCATCCGCCTGAAGAGCCCAGCCTCGTTCTTCGGGCGGGACTTGAGAACGTTTCAAATTCTAGTACACATCTTCGTCAAATCAAGGTACCAGACACCATCAACCTTACCAACTTATTTTAGCCCAGGACGACACAGTTCGGTTCTAAGGCGTTGACAGTGGCAGCCATAGCCATCGGGAATGCCTTATATTCCGAACATAATGAGCATCGGGATAGCTAGGTAAATAAGTGCCTAGGTAACTAAAGCGTCTCCTCAACACAATATTTGAATAGGTTAAACGTTGCACCTAGAATCGTCACAACTTGAAGGAAATAGGGTAATAGTTTTAGGTAGGTAGTGAAAATTTATAATTTCATCAGAAAACTTTTCAAATGGACTCCTCTATCATAGCATCATTACTCTTGGACCACCCGTACCTAAACAACGCCCAATCCCTGACCTAGTGGACTTCTTCTCGCCTACCACCTATTACCTAGGTACTAAACATATAGACTTCGCCGCAGTATTATTAGATAGTTATTCCAAAACATAGCTCCGGTATTCCGGGACGAACTTCGGCATGACATCTTTAACCCTTTTTGGCGAATGGCAAGCAGATGATTGGCTCATTTAAGGCCAGGGTGGGCGAACCGACCGGGCTTTTGCGGATCTTAGTGGGGTGACCCCGGCCTCAGCGAAAGGGGCTATGGGAGGTACCTAGTAGGCAGTGCTCCGAGGTAAGCACCTATGGGCTACTTTTGGAGTCGTATAATGGCGAGTGCTTTCTTTAGGTAGCTTCCCCTATATTGGCGCATCCCAGCGCAGATCTCTCGAGACAATAATCTGGGGAAATTTGCACAACACCTCGTGAATCTCCTCGGAGCATGCCATCATCCACGGTATTTTATGATTCCATTTGGTAATGATTCTATTGCATGCTCCAACCGTCTCTTGAGCTTTCTCCAAAAATTCCAGCGCATTTATATATTCTTTTACAGTCTCCTGCTGATCATCGAGTTCGTCGACTTGAGAAATTTGCCTCGACCGCTCCAACGTTGCGTCCAAAGCCAGCGAAAGAATTGCTTCGATCTGCCATCTCCACAGCTTGCCCTTGGGTAGAAGATGTTTGAGATCAATTTTAATTGCTTCGATGTTATAAGTTATTAAGACTAGCTCATGTAGTATTGTTCTACCAAACTCAGCCAGTTGATAGGCCTCCATGGGCTTCATGTCAGATGGATGTCAGCTTACATTTCCTTATTAGATCAATAAGGACGTACATACCGTTCATTTTATCGAACGCTTCATTTTCTTTTGGTAGTCATTAGCTTTATTGCCCCTTATGTTGCTTTCAGGCTGTCAGTACTTTCGACTTTGTCCTCCTTTATCCCGAATTGATTTCTTAACAGGCTTCCCGCCTTTGTTGCGTTCGCCAACTAATTGATCATATTGGATTCTAAGTGGGCTTGAAAATTTCTATGGAGAACGCTACGATACCTGACGATTGAGCCCATAGGTTACAGTGACATTCGCATTTGTTCACCCTTTGAATCTGACTCAGGGCCAAAATGACCTTATCATCCTTGAATGGAAATGATAACCAAAACCATGAGGCAGTGGCCGAGTGCTCTAATGGGTTGGTCTTGTTTGGAGGTTTTACCTCATCCCAATACTTAGAAAGTCAGATGGTTCTCTCATGTTACAACTATCTTCGTCAATGTCTAGTGCACTTGGAGTCGTATTATTTGTAGCCTCCCTAGCCCCTGGCTATCGAATTGCTTTCTTGAAAGGATGAGCGTCTTTGACTTATTGAGCACAGCCACTCATCATTTTCGTAAATATCCAGCCCCGAACATTTTAGTATTAAGCACATATTACAGCATTAAGGATATTTACATATGTATATCCATTCGCTGTATTACATAATTTTTTTGTTTTATCATGCATTGTCCATGTTTCGGGTTAATATGTGGAACCATTGTTCCACAACATCGCGGAGCACTGCGCCGCTTCTCGGCACAGGTAGGAATGGGATTACTAACTAACTAATTGCAGCTTGATGAAGCGAGCTCCTGCAGATTTCAGAATTGACAGTCTTCCCGTGAAATTTCTTACCGCCCGCAACACCCGAAGGAGGAAGTCATCAGTTGAGTGCCGAGACCTCCAGGTAGTATTAGGTGCATAATGGCATATCAATACGTTTGATCCCATTTTAATTTAATTGGAATATGGCTTTTATTTAGTCTTAGCTGACCACAGGTAGGCAGCCATTGTTTCTTCCGCTACGCCCCAATAAGGGGGAGGCTAGGAACTTGAATGATCAACAAATTGCCTCTTTAGGGGTGGCATCTATACACAATTTCCTGCAATACTATATTTCTCCAGCCTTCTAAGATCCTCAGATCCTTCCTACCTAGTCAAAAGATACTCATGATTGGAGAGAGAAATCTGGGGACCTGGAATATAGATTGAGGAGACACTAGCGCTTAGAAAAATTCTATTCTTGTCGATACCTACGCCCCGTCTGAACGTCTACAGTGGACCAAGACATCGCATCTAAGGCGGTGACCTCATCGTCGTGTAACTATGTAGGTCTGCTGCAAAGTATAGTGGGCTAGACTAAGAGTTGCCATGTTGGGGTTGATTTTGCGACGACGGAATTGCAGCGAGGCAAGAGACGGCTCTAACTAAGTATAAATCCCATCGTCTTCCCAGTGGTTGAGAACGACAATTCTCTACTCAACAGACAACAACTCATCAACCAGTCCAAAACACTCACCACACTCAATCTCACTACTTCCAGCACAACCAAAGTTTTTTCAACTTCCAAATCCCAAACAAATCATCCAAAATGGTTCAACTCGCCACCTTCGCTATTGCCTTCACCGCAGTCCTCTCTGGATTCGCTTCTGCTAAGAGCTGCAAAAACGGTGGTGTCTACTGCGGAACGGCTCTCATCCAAAGAGGTAAGCATCAGCCAACGTTTAACCATAAAAGGGCTACGAGACTTGAAGCCTAAGCGCCTTTACTGGTTTCACTCAGTCCTTATGAGGGAGAATACTTAACTGACTGTTCCCCTTTTCCTACTGTACAGGTGATTACCACGATGACATCGTCACTCAGCTAGCCGCCCACAGTCAGCCCACCGATGAGACCCATGTCCAACAGTCTCTGTTCGGCTGTGGTAAGGGCGGTCAAATCACCTTCCGAGAGTACTGCAGCAAAGGCTGTGTCGGAGGTGACAAGAAGGACGACTACTGCTCCTAGATGGTCGCCTGCCAAGTTCCTACAATCTTCAGGGTCGCAACGCAATCAGAGAGCTAAAGCCTCTCATTCAGCGCAAGTTTCCTCTATCGCGAATTATATAGACAATGGGAGGTTAGCTGCGTGGCAATGTGTATTGTACATATTTGGGATGGTGGGGATGCATTTCGGTGTGCGGGAAAAACGTTCTATTCTTGCACTTTTCGTTAGAAACCACACTCGTTTACTTTTATCTTGAAAATAGAAAGGTTTTGATTTTCTGCAACTTGTTGAATCTCTCTATTTGGTTTGATAACTGTCTCTATGGAAACCCTTGGGTTGCCCTTATACTCATGAGAGGCATGTCACGGGGTAAAGTTCAATTATTAGTTACTTCAACTGAAATACCTCCAGGGCTACATATAGATGGTGTCTTTGAATCTCGTGAGTTACGCCACATATCTTTGAGATCTACCAATTAGGTAAGCACGATGTTATCTCTACACTGTAGTTGGGTAGGTAGGTTTGATAACCTTGTTACCTGTCTTGAGAACGTAAATGTAATTATTAGATAACGCCCATGAGGAAGGGCAGGTGAGTACGAGATGATATAAATGCTCGCATCAACTCTAGGAGATGAGAAACTTTGCGTGGGGGGTAGTAGCAATGGTGTATAAGCCAATGAAGACCCATGAAATTGGCATGAACGATGTTCGTATAATTGATTTGAGTAGCGATCATGCCCGCCCACTTAACTCTAAAAACGTAGGTGCCTACCTACCAGGTAAGCATCACTGATGCAGTTGAATGTTCAAACTTACTCAACTGATCAAGTAGGAAGGCGGCGGGCAGGTAAGTTAACGAGGTCTGTCTTGCAAGGTTTTGTCAAATTTATGTACAAGACCATAGGAATCCACCTGAGCAGTTTGAATTACAGGTAAGGACACCGGCTTACCTAAAGAAAACTTGCTCGTTCTAAGTTGTAGGAATCAATAAAACATAAACTTTCGTCCTAGTACAATCCTTGGATATCTTCTAGGCAAGCAGGTATGGTATTATTGAGTAGAGGGTAACTACAATCCAAGTCGGCCAAACCGTTGACTATATAACGCCCCAGAGTTCCAATGATTTGACATATCTTGGAACTTTTCATCTTTCTCTGCCATATCAACATATCTAGTGAAGCAAGGGATGAATACCTATTCACACTCTAATACACGGCTACTTTCCAGCCGCTAGTTTTGTCCCTTGGGTAACCTCAATCAGAGAATAGCCGACAACATGGTTCCGACTATGTTACCTACCTACCCATCCTTGCTTTTATTTTTTCTCTCTTTTTCCTAGGCTACCTACAACACATTCATTTGGATAATATTATTATTAACTTTTATTATCGTACACTATCATTAACAATGTTGTTCCATTAGGAGGGGAACACATTGTACTTATCCCTAATATCGTTACCAAATAGCGATATCCCAAGCATCGTTTCCGCTCCCGCAACCCCGGAACACAATCCTCCGGAAGCCAACACGACGGCCCTCACCCTTCCCCAACGGCGGAAAACGACAACAACGACAATAATACCCCCCTCCCCCCGGGGCTCTGACCCCTGCTACAAAATGGACGCATCGAAGAATGGAGAAACCACATGGGAAGAACTGTATAAGATCGGATAGTTTGAGATGGACTCACAGCGACCAATATTTTTCGAGAATGACTACATCGGTGAACATATCATCTAGCCACGCATACCAACTACCGACCACTGTGATATCACAGCCCTGAAGACGATTTCCCTGGCATTTGTCTTACTCCTACTCAAACCATTCACGTTAGCTTGAAGTATCTCCGAATGCCACCGACCCGAGACCGAACTTGTTGGCTAGTCCGGTGAAGGGTAAGTTAATCATGAACCACCATGTACTCCAATTTTTTTTATTAATTTCATGTCATTGATAGATGCCTTTCTTAGAGCTCCACCAGTCTCGGACCAAGCGGGGCAGAGGGTTCAAGATACTCCCGCGATACCTTCGCGGGACGCCGGGGAAATTGCCGCGGACCTAGAAAATGGGTGAGCTACTACTAATAGCTTGTATTCTTTGTTATAGTATTTCGACTAACAGATTTATTGAACAGTCCAGGAGAGGCACCTCGGCCGTATGGCTTCCTACAGGGACTGAAGGCAATCCTATCGGGGGATGGGGATTGGCAACAAAAGAGCGGTGCTTGGGGGTTTATAATTACATTTTAAGCGTTGTTTTCGGTTTTTTTAGCCTGATAGTATCCATTATCAGTGTGATACTTTCTTTTACTTTGAAACATTAATCATTCATATATCAAAGCGATCATGTCGGAGGTTTCGTTTGTCGGAGGGTTAGTGGCGAGGGGTTTAGCAGGGCCGGAGCTCTGCCTATGGGAACCCGTGGTATAACTGTTGATATATAGCCCCTGAGGACAAATGGCATCTCTTGTGTACCTATATGGTGTTCTCTAGGCGGAGTAGTTGAGAACGCTTCGCGCAACAACATCCCTGTTCACACACTCGTTAGTTCTTCCTCGTGAGCTATGACGGATTACTTTGACTTCAGGCTATCATGCTTTGAGCTCGATGAGCAGATGAAGAGATATCATGTTGGGATACTGTCCTATTGGCCATTGAGTAGCTGCCTTAGATTTTTGTGATAATATAATGATTCCTCCCCCTTTGAATGGTTTCTCTAGAAAGTCTAACAAGGTGAGTGGGTTATGTAACTCCCAAAGATAATAGAAATTCAAGATGGTTACGAAGTACCTCTATATCACCTTAAGTAGCAGTTGTGCCCGGCTCTTGGAATGTGATGTAGTCGGAAGCCCGCGCCTTATCTCAGACGTGTATATATACGAGTTATCTATAGAACTGCACATGTTTCTATGAATAATTGAGGCGACCTTCTAATCTAAAAACTATGATGCTCATAACCTACGTCTATTTCGATGCCGGCTAGAATAGGTGGCAAAATACATCTGAGAATTCACGAAAGTTCGATTACGGTTGACCGGAAGTGTCACGAGGCGGAACTAAGAAGCTAGGGAAGAACGACGTTGTTGCGCGAAGAGCTCTAACTAACCCCTTCCAGGGGATGCGGTATACATACATGAACCTTCCTTTGTCTACAGCCAAGGGCTAGCTGCCAACAGGGCGGCCTCGTACAAGCCGACTCCCGATACCTCTGACTGCTAGCTCTCGTGGAGGAAGCTTCTGACAGGAAGCATTAACTGTAGGTTTGAGTATTGCTGATACAACAGGCACGAGGTAAATTATGTGTAAAAGTCTGTACCGCCCATGCTCTTGGTTGCATTATGTTCTGGGTCTGGTCTATCCGGTCTTGTGAAGTTGTAATTCCCTTCCAGTCCTTAACCGGGGCCAACTGTCAGTTAAAGGGATAATTCCGGAGCATTACAAAAACGTTGCTCTCCCACCCCCCTCAACAAAATTATTCCAATATCCTAGGTCGGGGGTATAAAATGTAGAGTTTCGTACGACGCCTCCTCTTGTTTGGCGGAAAGGTATAACTATGTCCAACGAAGACAGATCTGGCCCCCAATGGCTGTGGGATGGTTGGACAAAGTCCTCGCCATCATAGCTCGAATCCGGTCTTTTGACCCAAAACCATTTGATATTCTCGGGAGAAGGGAATTGAAACCAATGTTCTTTATCAAACTTAGCCCAATGTTCTCTGGGGATTTTGAACGTCATTACTCCTTTCCACTTCGGGCTGTCTCCGGTGTCCTCCATGATTGCAGTGACTTTCCAGAGCTTCTTCTCTTCTTTTCTGTCTTGTCGCCATTCCAGAAATTCTTCATATTTCCACTTTATGTGCCCAAAGAGTCGATTCATTGTACGGTGCCATCGGGACATCGATATATCGTCTTCTTCACCGGTAACTCCATTGGTTACACCCTCGTTGATGTGCGCTGACGTAACAATTATACTCCCGATGACCTTTCTTCGTACGCGTCCGGTGTTTTTGCTAGGGAGCTTGGTATTCGCGTATTTTCTGCGAAAGTTTTTTACGAATGCATGTTTGAACCACTCTCTATTCCATCGCCTTTGCCATGGCTCCAAATTCTGGGGCTGATTTGTAGATGGTGCTGCGTTAGGTCCCGGGGAATAGGGTGGTGGTGGGTGTTCGATTTGTTCCATCTTGACTAGTATTGAAAAAAATCAATAGGATCATGCAACTTTCGCAAGTTGAGCTTGATAATTAAGTGACGAGATTGAAAGCTACATCAGGTCGAAGGAAATGGGTGGAGTTTTGTTCTAAATAAGTACCTACGAATGATTGCTGGGTACCGTATCTATGGTAACAGAGATGGCTTCATTTATATTGATAAAGTTTGTACCTAGTAAGAAGCTTGTAACCACAAGCCATGTTGACGAGCCGCATTTCGATACTTTCCCGAATAGCTTATCACACAATTTGGATGAACTTACCTACTATGCAGTAGAAGTTGAGTAACGACTATCACCAATGAACAGGTATTTAAATCATCCAAATTTCAATTTGGCAAGTCTCCTTACATGAAGTAGACATTTGAAGGTGGACCGAATCAAGGACAACGGACGTGGTTTAGGTTTGTTATGTAATAATTTATTCCACTTTCTTTTTTGCAGTGACGTCGGTGTAGGCAATTACATAATAACCACCGTGCGCCTGCGTGCAGCAATCACGTAGAAGTACATAGGTACCAGACCGAGATTTGGCTACATTTAGACTTATCTTAGCGTAATCCTCGTCTAGCCTTTGTCCAACCCGAAAGTTTCCCGCCATATTGATCACGTCGCCTTCAATTCAACTCTTTCCCCTTGGACGTATTAATTGACATCTCTCTTTACTTTAAACATTAACGCCTCTTTTTTCTCTATCCCGTTACTTATCGGATCAAACGTCGTTAGTATGGCTGATATCACCAGCCTCGAGGAAGACATTAAGCAATACCAAGAGCAGGTGCGCTGCCTTCCGTCGGTCGCTATCAATCGCTTTTCCCTATACTGACCTGTCCAACAGCTTGATGTCGTAAATCTCGGTTTAAAAGATGATCCCGGTAACGCAGAGCTTCTTGCTCTCAAGTCTGAGTTAGATGATGCGCTTGCGCTATTGAACGAGACCCTTGCTGAGCTAAAGCCGACCAAGGCACCGCCGAAGCCGAAAGCGCCATCGCCACCGCCAGTCCAGGAGAAATGGTCACGAGAGAATCACCCCGCGTTCAAGAAAGCCGCTGCCGTCGAAGAGAAGGAAGCCGACGCGGGTCCGGTGAATTACAAAGTCAACGATACCGTTATGGCCAAATGGGTCTCTGGGGATAAAGGATTCTACCCCGCGCGCATTACTTCCATCACCGGCTCGTCCACGGCTCCCATCTACGTCGTCAAGTTCAAGAGTTATGATACGACCGAACAACTACGCGCCAAGGATATCCGTCCTGTAGCACAGAAGCGAAAGGCCGATGGCACGCCGGTCGGCACCGCCAGTCCATTCTCGGCACCGTCTCAACCCGCAGCTCCTTCGACGTCCTCCAACCCTGGCGTCATCTCCGCTGCCGCTAGCATCAACCCCGAGTTAGCACAGAAGAACAGAGAGGAGGCATTGAAGAATGCCGGCGATGCGAAACCCAAGGCCAAGAAACTCAAGGCGACCAAAGAGCTTGAGGCTGGCAAGAGCAAGTGGCAGGAATTCAACACCAAGTCGAAGTTCGCCAAGTCGCACAAGACCAAGAAGGACAGCATGTTTCGCACTCCTGAAGGCGTTCACGGAAGAGGTCAGTCAGCCACGTCAAAGTTGCTAGTTGAACTACGAGCTAATCTGCTTTGCAGTTGGATTTACAGGTTCAGGGCAAGCTATGCGGAAGGATCCCACAAGAAGCCGCCACATCTATCAAACCAATGATGATTTGGACTAATACGAGCCACAGATGGTCAACGATGTGGAGGAAAGATGGAACTGACGTTTTATAATGAGGAGTTGGGGATGGGATTGGCGATTCATAGGCTTTGACCCCCTTTTGTCCTTATTTAGGTTCTATGGATGCTAACATAGCCCTTAAACTAGACACTCTCTTTAGTGCCTCGGTTCTTCTGATCGAGCTCTTGTGCCTCAATACACAAGTCTTTAGAATGGAGAGTTCCTTTTGCTATCCTTACGACCCCAAAATTATATCGTGGAATTGATTTGCTAAAGTCTCGCTGTGGACAGGAACCAAGTCGCCAACCAAAAAAATAGCTAGCGCGTTACATGCGACAAATGTTAATTGATATGGCATCAAGGACCATGCCGTGTTGCAGATAGACACCGTGTAAGTTAGGAACAAGCCATATCTGATTATCAACAACGTAGAGAGACGCAGTCTAGAGCGCTTCGTCGGCACATGACGCATACATTAACCCATCATACTAAATTTACAACCCTATCTTTGACCCTACTAGCTTCGCAATATCCATGAAAGCCTGTGATCTCTGACTATCGGGCTCAGAAGTGACAGTTGGTTTCCCTCTTTGGCCATCATCTCCAATATTTTGATGTAATGGGATATCACCAAGTAGATCTATAGAATAGTCCTTACAGATTTCCTGAACGCGTTCATTAGATCCGAATATTGCTGTATCGTGATGGCAGTGTGGACAATTAAAGAGGGACATATTCTGAACAAGGCCGAGCAAGGGTACATCGACCTTTTTAAACATATTAATTCCCTTCACCGCATCCTTCACTGCTAGAGTGTGCGGCGTGGTGACGATAACGGAACCTGGACATTGCCTTAGCATTTCTAAAGCGCCAATCTGCTAGAGCAGGAGATTACACTTACCATCAAGCACGATTTGTTGCGTGACACTGAGTTGTGTATCACCTGTGCCCGGCGGCAAATCCAGCACGAGAATGTCTAGACCGCCCCAGTCAACCTCATGGAGTAGCTGTTGTAAAGCCTTCATGACCATGAGACCGCGCCACACGACGGGAGCGTCCTCGCCGACTAGATATCCCATCGACATGGTCTTGACGCCATAATTCGACATCGGCAGGAGTTGGTTATCTACATTTCCAATAATTAATGACGTCCCTAATCATTGTAAAACACGGGACAACCTTATGAGACCGAAACTACGCACTCGATGATAACCGCGGCTCTCCACTCAAATCGAAGAGCGTCGGTATGGAAGGCCCGAAAATATCAGCATCGAGAATCCCGGAACGGTGGCCCATCCGAGCGAAGGCTAGAGACAGGTTCGCTGCTACGGTGCTCTTTCCCACGCCGCCTTTGGCCGAGGATACGGCAACTACCTTGGCGACGTCTTTGATCTTGCGCCGCTCCGGAAGGCCGCGCTGCATCCGCGGGATCGAGCCGGTCCGCGGCAGGCCCTAAGGTTTTGAGTGAGCATGTAAGTTTTGATTGGAGGGGAAGGACCGCGGCTTACAAGAGGGTTTTCATGGCTAAGGGAACGGAGGGTTTGGTGGAGAAGTCGGCGTTGGATTGTCGCCATTATACGAGGTAGGCTTCTCTATCCCGACGCTTTGAGTAGGTAGTGAATTAACTTTGAGCTATTTGAGGATAAGTAAACTTTATGGGTACTACACTGCTTAATGATGAGATGAAATACGCCGCCAATTTTTACATTATTCAGAAGGTTCAATAAATTATCTTATTGACAAAGGGTAAATTATTATCATGTCCTTGTGGGAGTGGTTACGTAATCAAAGGTTTAAGTAGAAACTTGCTCACGTTTTAGACGAGAGTTTAAACTTAAGAAATACAACATTATTTACTCCTACCAACATCCTCCAATTATTCACCTTGGCATTCGATATTCGTAGCTAACTCTAAGGTTCGCTGCAAGTGAGATCCTATTCGGCGTTCGGGGGACCCCTAGACCGGGGTAGACCCACTAATTGATACTGCCTACTTCCACCGCTAAAATTTTTTGAACTTTCTTCTCTCTAAGCGTGGGGCCGATTCAAATATCTTCAACTTACCAAATAAATAATTTATTGCCAACGACTCCTGCAATGTCAAAAGCAAAGGGGCGTGCGCAGCAATTTGCCGAATTGGTAGAGCGTCCAGTAAAGGGTATGGGTGTTAAAATTAAATCTAATATTGTCCTGCTGTTAAATACTAATGCTCGCTGTTCGAACGACAGATTTCGATCCGGAAGCAGAAGTACCACAGGAAGACGACGCCAGCGACAGCGAAGAGAGCGTAAATGAAAATGCGGGAACAGAGCACTATGTGTCCGTGGGGTACGATACCTTACATGAAGAATTGTAACTCGGTTGATGCATACTAAAAAATAAACAGCAAGAGCAAACTTCGTCGCAAAAATCCAGTATCCCTAGGACCCCAATACAGAGGTGCCCCCGTGAGTCGCGCGGCCCTAGAAGACGATGATGACGACGAGGGAAGCGATGTCATTAAATCTCCATCAGATTATAAAGATGCGCCTCAAGACATAGACGACGAGAGCGGATCGGAAGAATTCGATGACCCCGACGAGGCGGACCTCGAAGCCGACCAGGACGACGAAGATGTGGAAATTGATAGCGATAATGCCTTCAACGAGAGCGACGAAGAAAAGTTCAAGGCTTTTGTCTTCAGGGGAAGCTCGCAGTCTATTCCCCGGAAAGGCAAAAGAGTGACGAGACCTACTGCTGCTGACTACATGGTATCCGATGAAGACAACAGTGCTAGTGAAGGAGCAGAGCTTAACGAAGAGGAAGTCTCGGACGAAGACGAAGACATCTCCGACGACGAAAAAATCAATGGTTTTGTAGACGATGAAGCTGAAGAAGATGAAGATGAGGAAGACGACATCGATGAAGATGTGGATGATGCAAGTGGTACAGGGAGCGACGAGGACAGGTCGGACGAGGAAGAGGGCGATATAAGAAAGGCCCCGGTAGTCAACGGTGCGGACCGTACAACAATACAAGAGATGATGAATGCTGGTCAGCGCGCCGTAGCCAGCACCTTATCAACTGCTGCGCAAAAGGATGTCGCTAAAGGGAAAGCTGTTCAACGGCAACGAAAGGCTTTCGATGCGCTTCTCAACGTTCGCATTCGATTACAGAAATCTCTCGTCGCAGTGAACTCGTTCAACGCCGTTGAGGATCTAGGAGATCAATCGGAACCTTACGAAGCAGCTGAAGCGGCTGCGCTCAAATTATGGAATGCCATTGATGGTTTCCGCGCGAGTATTCAGTCTGATCCATCTGAGAAGACGGGGCAAAAACGCAAACGCGCTGCTGATATAGGTACATCAAGTCATGACATATGGCAAAATATGGAGGCTGTTGAACAGAGGGCGCTCGTTCGTCGCAGAGCCGTTCTAGAGAAATGGTCGAACAGCGCAAGAAATATAAGGATGGTGGATAGGTCATCTCGCAAATTCACCAACACGGTAGAGAAACCTCTCACTAAGAGACTGGACGAAGAGCTCGATATACCGGATCGACTCATCAAGCGGACACGGACCCCGCGTTCATGCGCGCCAGCTCAAGTTGCGCGAAAAGTCAATGAAGATCCTAACATCTATGACGATGCCGATTTCTACCAACTATTACTTAAGGAGCTCGTCGATCAGCGAACAGGAGACACGTCGGGAGCCCCAGGCGGTCCTGCGGCGACAATCCGGTTCGCCGCTGTCAAGGAGGCGAAGGCAAAGCGGCATGTAGATACTAAGGCAAGCAAAGGCCGAAAGATGCGCTTCAACGTCCACGATAAGCTTCAAAATTTTATGGCACCAGAAGATCGCCGAAGCTGGGAGCAGAGCGCTATCGACCGGTTCTTTGGAACCCTGTTCGGCCAGAAAATGGTGCTCAACGAAGACGAAGATGATAACAAAGAGGCTTCCGACGAAGAAATGGGCGGCGCAACGATTGTAGATGGAGGCATTCGACTATTTAGGGACTAATTAAGAAAATCATAATTTTCGCTGTCTAATATGTTTACAGCTAACTGGGTATCCGTTAAGACACCTTTGCTCGTGAGTGCCGCGAATAGAGAAATGATTTTCGAGATTTCGTATTCCTTTCACGAGAGCAAAAGATAAGAGGGCCGACGATGCACCGTGATCGACATGACACCCCCGTGTCCCAATACCACGAACTCTGGGCAAAATGGGGCACGGGTGAAATCATAAATGCCCTTCGCCGCATCTAAGATCGACCTTTTAAATTTAAGTTCCTCTCTCTCGCTCAGCGTCTTAACCTTACGATATATTCAACAACCCTCCGCCAAACGGGAGCTTCGTTTCCAGTTCGATCCAACTGTACTATGCATAGGCCATCTACGTTACCGTCGTTAGAGTTTATCTAAGAATTAGCTTACGAACCTCCTATGACGATAAGCGCGGAATGCTCCAACATCTAACGAAACTCACCTTATTTAGTTATGACCACAACGCCCACGCCGATATTATTGATGAGAATGGAACGATGATATATCATTCTTCACCTAACACAGCGGGAGACAAGCAAGTCTACGGATAACGATAATGATCCTAGCGACGAAAACTATTATTAGTTCAACAAGTGTTTCGGTTACAGTCTAGATCCCGTCGGCGAACCGGAGTTGGATCAGTTTACGCTTTACTTATTGTAGGGATCCGTGCCTAGTGGTCGTCCCAGGAAGGATTCTCACCATTGGATGGCTTACCCTACAAGCTCCATTCGATCTATGCACTGGAAATTACCAAAACTCGCATTGCGCAAGAAAAAGAAAAGCGTTGCACCGTCGATTTAGGGTTAATTCAAGCGCTGACATTGCTAGATCATTGCACGTGGAAAATCAAAATGGCCGGGGGCATTCCCAAGGAAACACAGGAATGCATCGTTACACCATCGGGCACTTCAACATCTCTTCGCGTCTTGGTCACAACTGTTACCGGTAGCAGTTGCAGAGTCTCGTCCGATGTCAACGGTATTGATTTCGGTGACAAGTGCAACCACCTCGCCCGGCCATCGTCAGTCATTCTCATCTTCGTTCCCATGGCGTGGCATCTATTCTCGGTACGCAAGCTCTCGCGTAGGCTCTACGACGCTTCAATGCTCGGTTAACCAACCCTGCCCCAAGTACCGGTACCGGTAAGGGTACGTTCGATACGTAATACACCATAGGTACCCCTATTTGCACGGAAACAATTGGCCTGTTCGATGACGCCGGTGTTTCACCGTCGAGATATTATCAATATATGACTTTGCAGACTTATGAAGTGTCCCGTCGTACGAAAGACAGCTGCTCATCAACCATAGGCCGGGATAAAGCTGGATGAACAGCGGAGAAAAAAAGGCATCGCGCTGAATCGGACGACAACCCCGGAGAATGTTACCGGGTCGCGTCGCGCAGGCCTACGATAAATGCATTGCATCACAGGCTAGAAGATAGAGAGCAAGTGTTCAATATCTCAGGTAAGAGTCCCGAGTTGACTTGAGGAAACTGATAAGATCGCGACCCGCGTTGAAGATACGTTACGTCGTCTACCGGTCCCTGACGATGACTAGCATAAACGTGCAGCTGTCACCTGCAAAGTGACCTAAACTAGTGAGTTGGAGTTCAGGATATGGACGTGGCCCGAATCAGCGTCGTCTTCCGAAAAAGCTTGATTCTACTATCTCGCTGTCTCCCATCACCCATCTCCCAGAATTCTTCGAGTCGGTCGGGCAACATTTTATCAAGTCCCTGACCGGCGCTTCCTCGGCCTCGACCAGTTTCCGCATTAAGACGGAAATGATAATTCTTTTTCGAGTTAAAGAATTCTGCGCCGCCTCTACATATGCAAATCCTCCAATCACACCCCGCGGAAACTAATTCATCTGAAGTTAGGACCCCTGTGGGAGCATCCACGCGGTCCGCCGCAGGTACAAGTTGGCCTTCAATCAATCAGGTGTTCTCCTGAGACCTAAGACATTTTGGAGTCGATCCACCAGAGCATCTAGATCGCACCGCATGTGAATCCTACCACGAGGGAACTTGGAATAGGAAAACTTCTGTAAAAAAAAATTCTCCTAAGGCAATCTGTCCATCGATGCATATGTTGTACCTACGTTAATTCGTAAATTAAAGTTGTTTATACCAAACAAATAGCCTCAGTATCGTCATCTGCCTGTTTTTTCTCCGTCAATCATATATACCCGTACCCTCGCTCAAGGCTGCAACTCAATCAACACCGACCACCATTCGGGTAGCCAAGATTGTATTTTTGAGACTCTTAGCCATGCGGGGCATCCGTCCGGGGGTGATCTGCGACGAATACCGATCTGGTGGCGTTCCCATCTGTGATTTGGGATTGTATATCGGACTTTTTAACCATCATTGGAATGTCGTTTCATCCGCCACCCAATCAGGTTCCTCCGCGTTACCAAGGTGGTTGTGCCGCCATGTTTCCTCGACTGTCTATTCGATCCCGTTACCCCCTTAATCATCCTTAAGGGTCACGCCCAAGCTACCAATAGCACCACGCGCCTACAACTTTAACCTCAACTCACTTATTAACAGGTTTTCTAAGTAAACACCTTTCTTTTTTCTCTTCGCAACCTGCTCGCAACTTGCAGCTGTGATCAACTTTGCCAGATCGCAAAACAGGGCCTTGGCTCCGGGGAATGTAACTAGACCGTGTAACTTGACCGTGCCCGGACAAGAGAGGTATGTAGAGGTATGTTACGCCTTGACCGGACAGCCGGTGCCTGTGCAATCTTACTTACTGCCCGACCACCACCATGTATGTGATTTCGTTCGCCCCATCCTCCCCAGAGAACTATACTCGTGGTCTAGACGCGCGTGGTTTCGCTCACAGCTCCCATCCGTGCACTGCTGATGGCACCTTGGACGCTCGGGACCCTGGTCACCTTCCCTTTCGAAGCTCACGAGAACCTCAGTTCCTGCTGTGGGCTGGACCAGCGCCGGACTGGTTCATTCCTAGGCTCGGCTTTCCTTTCGACTCCTCTATCTCTCTGCCTTCTCTCTCTATCTGCTGTCTCGCTTAACCCACCCCCCTGTCTGTTCCTTACCCGTCTGCCCATTTTATATAGTTCATTCTATATATAAAACGGTATATAAGATGGGTAATCCACCCTCGCCGAATTCACAGAAAAGGGACGATCTTCACCCTAAGTATTGGATATCCCCATTATACTACTATATCCATAGTCTATACAGCTGGTGCTGGTCTATGACTTACGCTCCTTTTTACCCCTTTCGGTTCTTCTTCTACAAGTGTACATATTCCCGCGGCGTCACCTCGTCGACGTCCGTACATACATCTGCATAGCCAGAGCTCGGACCTGTCCTTACAGTTCTCACATCATCATCAACGTCATCGTCATCATCGTTGTCGTTGTCGTTATCGTTATCGTTACCCACCCACCATCATCATCAGCAAACGAGAATGTTCGCCAAACTCCTAGCTTCCGCGCTAGCCGCAGCGGCGGCCGTGTCGGCCGAGCCGGCGCCGGGCTACAGCGGGTGGACGAACGTGTGGGCGGAGACGTTCGACGGCGCGGCGGGCGCGTCGGTCAACACGGGGAACTGGAACATCATCACGGGCCTGCAGGTCAACGACGAGGTGCAGACGTACACGACGTCGAACCAGAACCTGCAGCTGAGCGGCGGCGCGACCGTGCAGATCGTGCCGCGCAAGGACGCCAGCACGGGCGCCTGGACCTCCGCCCGCATCGAGAGCACGTACACCTTCGCCCCCGTCGCCGGCTCCCAGACCATGGCCGAGGCCATGATCCGCTTCGGCACCAACCCGCAGGCCAACAAGCAGGGCATCTGGCCCGCCTTCTGGATGCTGGGCGCTAGCATCCGCAGCGGCACCGCGTGGCCCGAGTGCGGCGAGATCGACGTCATGGAGACCGTCAACGGCATCTTGACGGGCCACGGGACCATCCACTGCGATGTGTACCCGAACGGCGCGTGCGATGAGCCGAATGGCATCGGGGGACCTGTTACCTTGCCCGACGACAGCTGGCATACGTGGCGCGCGGTGTGGGACCGCAGGGCGAGCGTCTGGACGGGCGAGACGCTGACTTGGTATTTGGATGGCAATCAGTTCTTCCAGGTGTCCGGGTCGACGGTCGGCAGCCAGAGCGTGTGGAATACGTTGGCGGCGGACCCGGTGTATTTTATCTTGAATGTGGCTGTTGGCGGTGATTGGGTAAGTTACACACTATTTATTTACTTTTTAACTTTCATTTTCGGTCCGTTTACTAGGAAAGAGAAATATATGGCTGACATTGTTGAATAGCCCGGTCCACCCAACGACTCCACCCTAGACGGCTACGGGAGCATGATGGAGGTCGCGTATGTCGCGCAGTACGTCGCCTCGTGATGAGTCTGTCTATCGTCACCACACCAACTATCACTATTACTACTCTCACCATCACTTTCACCACCACTATCGCTTAAACCTACCGAGATCGACGCATGGGAGGGAGTATCGCGTGTCGGAGTTTTTTTCATGAGAAATCTTTTCACGGTTTGGGAAACAGGTACCTTCTTGCATTTTGCATTTTGCATTCTTCGTCCTTCGCTGCTAAGCGCGAGCATGAGCATACCCCTATATCTGCTGCTTTGGTTTTTTTTTTGGAATTCTTGCACATAGTTACATCCGCCTTCGCTTCGCTTCACTGTATATACTTCTTAAGATGCAATCGTTGTATATATTCTACATACAGATACCAATACCATCTGATGAAACCAAAAATAGCTGGTTGCTCTTGCTGTGCTGGTGAGATGGAATGATGGTGGGAGTTTACGTGCTCCCTTTAGGTATGAAGTTGACTATTCCGAACGCTTCTGGAGACACTTCCTTGTCATTTACTGCGTCCATGAGTGATTCATACCTACGTAAACAGTGGAGAACTGGATTATCGTATGTGTATTGAAATGATGATAATAACGATGATAATAACGATGATAATAACGATGATAATAACGATGATAATAACGATGATAATGAACTCGTTGGCGTCCAAAAGGCTCTCTACCTATAGTATTTACATACATAGGGTCGAGGCTGTCGGCGCGTATCGTGATTTCTTGCCAGTGAACTGTAATCTTCTCCAAGGATTCACGTCCCAGGCTGTCCACTTCTAAACCTTCCTACTGCAATGCGTAACTACGCCTGTTGCGCCTACAAGTAGTTGTTGTAGGTATTGACTGATCCGGATCCTCTTATGGCTGAAAGCCCCCTCGTAGATCTGGATCTTGTGTGGCTTGAGAATCACTATGATACTGAACCTTTTCGTGTTTGCGAATCTCCCTGTGATGGTAGCTACTTCGAATAACCATCTATTGAAGGCTTGTGTCTCGTGTATGTGCTCGTATTATGTATCTGCCGCCTTCCTTATAGGCGTTGGTACGAGAATTTTGGTTAGGGCTAGTTATAAAGAGCGTTCAACATGAATGTTTGCAGAACGTCCAAGTGTGACAGCCATAAAGATATCATCGTAATGTGATAGGCGTGATGACGCTGACGATGATGACATCGTTTACTTCCACGAGACGTCTACTGTCTTAGGTACATCATGGAGACCAGAATGGGTAGATCCGCTCGCCTTTTCCCGGCGGGCTCAACGCCCGAGTTCTTAAGCTGTATAGGTAGACGTTCTGATTATTGATTCGCTGTGCCCACGCAAGCAATGTTCCCAATGTGAGGGGGGTATTTCCTGTCTTCATTGGAAAGGAACCGCAATCAAAAGTATTGCGAGCCCCTGAGGACCCCAGCGCTAACCCGGCTCTCCTCTATCATGTTGGGGAGCTTGCAACTGGGAGAACTATGGCTCCACTAGCCATTTTCCCCTCCTCCACGTTTTCCCCTACGCGGTTCAATTTATTCTTCTAAGATTCCTTCACTGTGTTTCGTGTCATTTGTCGAGAACTTATGCCATAGCCTCGTCTCGAAAACAAGCCATCGGCGTCTTGTGGTACATTCGAAAAAGGTCTGATTTTTCTCGCTTCACATAACCGGCATTGAGACTATGTGGAATGATAGCATATTCCACAGCTGACCGTGGTGAATTTAGGCCATGCTTGATGCTTGTATGAGCCGTATCTAATTTCCTTTATATATCAAGTGCTCCTTCTTTACAGGACGGAATCGACTCGACGCCCCCAGAGGTTTATAATGCGGTTGAGTTCATAACGAACTTCGGCGTTAAGCAATCGTCTAGGTAGTGTTAGGTTGGTCAACAACCTGTAAGTTGCTAGGAGGCGTCTAATGGTATCCCGCGCGAGTGTTTCTCACTTCCCAACCTAATTCGGTTCCACTGAACAGGATCCCTCCTTGTTATAGTAGTGTCTGATATCGGTGATAGTTCATTCTATCCCGAGGTAACTTGCGGCAAACTCGTCGGGACCGGCCATCCACTGTTGGCATTTTGTGTTCCCGACTTTTCTACGTTTCTCCCGTGTCTCGTCTATTTGGCCACTCTCTGGCTTTGCAACGGCCCTGGGGAATGAGCCATCACTCCATTCTTCTTTGATGGTGACATCCCCGTCGTAATCTTCTATATCTCGGAGACATGACTGGTCCCGATGAAGTCTCCTGTGTCCTTAAAACGAGCCCAGTCCACTAGATCCTCCTTCATCTTCTGTTTCAGAAGTCCGCACGTGGGCACTTCTTGGCAAAATTCATGTCCAAGTGACAATGGCTCAAGAATTTCACACTTCGGATGAATCCATAATTGCAAAATGCCATAGACGAGTGCCTGCCAGTGAGAGTTTGTGTGGTACAATCAAGTTCAGTTCATATACAAACGTTGATGAGAGTAAATCACCAATTTCTCGTTAACTGGCACCCTCTGAATGAAGAGCGTGGTGGAGAACTCGATTAACATTGGAAGATACCTCTCCTTTCGTAGCTGGACGCAGAGGCCCATCTGTTTGGGAGAATCACCCGTTGCTGGATAATAATGTATACAAATTTCGACGTTGGGTCAAAGACGGAGCAGAGCTACCAATTGTTGGGCTCGCGAAAGTAACTTTCTTGGTGAATTCTTGCGTCCATGTGATGATGCCGGAATTTCCTTCTTATTTCTTGCGATAATAATGCTGTCTTCCTGTCTTGCAGTGGCTTGATTTTTTGTTGGTAATACGGAATGTATTTGCGTAAGAACCCAATCATACCGATATAGGTTTCGAGATCTGCCAGTGTCGTCGGCATTTTCAGCTTTCGAATGGCAAAAGTCCTCTCGGCCGTGAGTATAATAACGTCTACAACGTGTGTGGTGGGTGTCGGACCGAAGCTGGTAAAGAAGCTTTGACGCGAAGAGTCGTTGACTTCTGGATGATCGACGACGTCTGGATAACCGACATCCAAACGAAGTCGGCTGGCGCGATGGCGTGACGTCTCGAACTGTGTCGCATTCGTACTGTCCAGTTTGGAAGTATCGATCTCCAGACCAGATTACTTGTCTTCGACGTACTTTTCCCAGTCGACCGCCATTGTGATGTCTAAACAGTCTGAATATGATGATCTGAAAGCCTATTAGACTTATTCCCTATTGAATAAAAAGACCACGCTTGTGGTAGACTTACTTTAGCTAATACTCTTTTGACGTTATACTTTTCTCGAAATCTTGCTCTAATTATCGCGCGCAAATCTGCGCCTCGTCCCAGATCGCGGACCTGGTGTTGCCGGATGTTCCAGACCACCAAAGTTCAAGTATATCATCACTATTTCACCGTAAATCCCCTCATGCTGGAGAGAGCTTCGTACGGCGAATGATGCCGTCTCGATGTGTCGCTCATAATATGTCTTGCATAATGCATAGAAATCCTCCTGATACATTACGATGTGTCCGGGCAGTCGCCATGAAAACGAACATACCCGTCCGGAAGGAAAACGCGACTGAGCGATGCAAAGAAAAAATAACATACTTTTGGGTCTTCAACCCTCTGTTCTCCTTCCATGGCTAATGGGCCTGCTATTCCCAGCCCCGCCGTGGATAGAAATGTGTCGTTACTACCATCGACGGTCTTTTTTTTTTTTTTTTTTTTTTTTTTTTGGAGTGATGACATTACCTGAGTACAGTCAGCACAAATCCTTGAAACGATACTGACTTGGATCCATAAATGGAACTTACGCACCAGAAAGGCGCTGCCAGCTGGTGGGTATTTAGATTTGGTTCCGTTGAATATCAATACCTAGGCAATGAGAGAACCTGCCATTTTCATGCTGTTGCAATAGTTGGGTCAGCATTAACACCAACCTCTCTCTGCGAGATGATAATAGGCGGAAAATATCAATGTAGAATAAGGTGGAGTAAGTAGGTATCTATACCGTTTGATGATTGTAGAAAATGTATTTTGAAGAGAAGAATGAGAAAATATATGGAGGAGAGTTGGATATAAATAGGCACTGTTTGTGTCAAGGGGTGGGCCCGTCGTTGAATACTCTGTCAGAGTGAGTGAGAGTAGTAGTGAGCTCGCCTTTGGGCCACTTATAGGGATAGGTAGTAAAAGACCTTGATTAACGCCTACCCTTTCTCCTAAAATAAAACTCTTTGGGGCCTTCGGCCCCTTATGTATACTTGTCCTAGGTATTATACAGGCTGCAGCTAAGTAGCTGTTATCTAGCCCCCTGCTCGTAGCCCCTGTCAGTTTGTAGGAAGCAGTTCAGAAACGTTTGATCAGGACCCGGCTGGTAACAATTCACAAGACCATGTCCCTGATGAGTCAATGGAAACTCTGATATCGTAACGAAAATCTAAGTACCGACCTACGTAGGGTCTACTGCTTGCAGTTGTAAATTCATCAAAGTTGACTCATGACCTAGCCTAGATTGCAACGATGCTTAACCAAGAAGACAAAAATTCAGGAAATATGCCTAGCTTTCAATAATATCAGGCGTCTCCGTACGTTATCGAATAGCAGTACCGTGTGATCCTGATTATGCCATAGTGGAAGTTTGGATAAAGAGGTTCAGTAAAGGGGGTTGGTGCCTTCCAGTGTCATGAATCAAAGGCCGTCAGTAGCAAACTTATCCATTATCACTCTTATGACTACCTAGGTACATGTATGGGTGAGTTTAAGTTCTCCGAAGCCAACTATTATTCGGTATCGAAACGATGTGTATCTGTTCATAGCCTGCTGGTGAGAAGCTCTGAATAATACCCTTTTTTAAATAGTATCTTAATTTGTCAATCATAGTTCAATTGTGTTGGTTTTGAATCAACCATTGACCAATAACTAGCCACGCGAAGACACTAGAATTCAAGATATGCGAACAGTATTGTTGAATTTAGTAGCCTCTCATGATGAAAATGCCGTCTTAAGTGTGTCAGCAAAATAACCTGTTAGGTACTAGCAGTAAAGTGACGTAGTTACGGCCTATTATTCCTTTTGCCCGAGGAGAAAGCAGGAATAATTATATTTTCATGGCAGATCGTGAGCTAGTTTCTACGCCCTTTTGCCTCCATCTGTCATCATGGACTTTTTGTGCATGAGCTTGCTTACCAATAAAGTATAATGTGGAATCCTGCATGCTGGAAAAGGTTAGAGCTTATTGCGGCTGCTGCGATAATGACAAATGTTGCATACATGCATTCACATCCGCGCTTGAATACCTGAAGCGGATATTGTCGCATACCTAGTACCTAAAGATATAGGTCGCGCCCGGAGCCGTCAATGTCCTGCTTCGGTCTTTGAAAGCGAGGCATCGGTCGATGTCGTTCTCGGTAGTCAGGAGATGAAATCTACGTTTCGGCAGACCCCCCGGAAGCCTCCCACCTTTAGCGTCGTTAAGGATCAACGCGGGGATGCAAATCATGAATTGCCAAGCCAAGCACAAGCCTCTATTCCTTCACGGTACGACCCGAACCGGAAGCTTCATCCAAAAGTAGCCCGGTTGCGCAACAGCGTCGGAGCTTCAGATTGATAATTAGAGTAAAGCTTGGCCTTGACTAGCAAGAACATTTCTCCATATGTCAGCCTTAATGCGTCAGCATGGACTGGAACTGCATTGGCATCCTGCGCGCCTTTTGATCTAGATGCCTTGTAGCCGCAATGGATTTGCAGATTGGGGAAATATCGCACGATATCCGAATAATTTGGAATCTCTTCAAATCCCGCGGGTATAACGATTACCGCAAGCTATAGCCCGAGGAGTTGTTGGTGAAATGGGTGAGTCAAGCCAAGAGCAAGATCTAAAACTTCCCTTGTCAGGCCGGGAAATGGTTACGATATAGGAAAATGAAGAGAGTCGAGGAGTGAATTATTGAATTGGAGAAAAAAGTATATATACGATGGACCTTTGACACCTTGATGGCACCTTCTATTCTACTCCTCACCAACAATAACATAACTCTTATATTCAACACCCCGCTACAACACTATCTACTACTTGCATATCTGCTATAAATTCAACTAACGAATTTACCCCTTTTACAATGGCTAAGCAAGGAAGTTGCTTCTGCGGCAAAGTCCGCATCTCTGTCGAAGGCGAGCCAATCGCAAAGGTTTGTTTCTTCTGAACTCATTTGCCTCGGTACTTCCTCCGAAGATATTGATATTCTAACTGATACTTAGGTCGTCTGCCATTGCCTCGACTGCCGCAAGATCACAGGCTCGGTTTTCAGCACCAACCTCATCACACCTACCTCTGGCTTCAAGGTTCTATCTGGCGAGCCTAAGACTATCTCCAAGGTTGGCGATTCTGGCAACGAAGTCACGTCGCACTTCTGCGGCGACTGTGGAAGTACTCTCTGGCGTGACGGGCCCAGCTTCGGCGAGAACAAGGTTGTCAAAGTCGGTGTCTTGGACGATTACGAGGCCCTCAACGAGGCTAAACCTGCCGGGGAGCTTTTTGTCAACCACAGAGTCAGTTGGGTCCCAGAGGTTCCTGGCGCCACTCAGAAGTCTGCCAAGTAAATACGGCGATATCAACGAGTTATGAATACAGGAAGGAAATGAGGGAAACGAGAGAAATAAGAAAAAGGCAAGAGTGTGTAGTAGTCGTTCGTTAGATTGAATACATACAAACGTGAATTCGAATATGAGCTAGGAACTACTTGAAGCTGGCTTTGCATGTAGTTATTTCGCAAGCCATGATAGTCTGTTTCGTGAAGAAAAAAAAAAAAAAAATAAAGTACGCAACTAACTTAGAATCTATTTCCCATATCAAGTACAGCTTGCAAATTGTCACTTTTCTCAGGAAAATGTTCTGCCAGAAGCGTGTGATAGGATTTAGTAAGCCGAATAGAGCTTATTCTGACGTTGGTTGTCGGACAACGGTAACGTGAACTCAATCCGATAGTGACTCTTCGGTGAGTTCGCCGTGTATCATTGGAACCAAAAGGGCTTAGTAACTCCTACCTATGTATTACCTACACAATAAATGCCTACTCCAGACTACAGTCACTTCTATCTATGATCTCGGCCGTTTCTACTAAATAGGTTTAGACATCTAAATACTCAATATTACTTCTGATTAGTTTATGCGCACTGTTGGAGTGCGGGTTAGGTGAGAGAAGACGGAGAGCTTCTAGCTACAGTATTCTTCAAGACTATCATGACTATCATCGGCGAATGAACCACTGATGGTGGGATTTGGTTGAAGTTGTGGCAGTACTCATGAACTACCTACGGCGTAGCTACTGATGCTGGATACCTCCCTAACTGGGCAAGTATTTGAAGATCGGAGCTTTACTTAGACGCGAAGCCATTCCGGTCATCCTCTCTAACGTAGCGTCTGGATCATTCCGGCTTGTACGTAAGATAGCATTGTAGCAATAGATGATAATGAAAGAGAATAATCCACTTCCTGGGATTGTCGTTTTTGAAGAGATAGGTAATTCGCGTCTCGCAAAAATTATAATTGATCTTGATTTTAAGGGAAGGGTTGTGACGATAGTTACACGTAACCTCTACCCCATTTTTATTACCTTGTGGAGATCACTCATTTACCTTGCGTCCAAGCTGCCAAGCTTTTTCCACTCCCCTGTTTGCACTAGTGGTCCAGATTCTCGAACTCGCTCTTTTGTTCTAGTGTAAAGCTTCCGGCATTCATAGTTTAACTCATCTCATTATTGACTTGGAAGAGTATTGCGTATCATCTATGGACCTACCCAGGTAAGTAATTTTAAGATGGTGAGTGTTCTTGTGCCGCGTTGCCGAATCTTGGTACTGCGCAGTTTGGGTTTAGAGGCGTAAAACCGTTCAAGGACCGAGTATCTAATTTCGTGAAAGAGGCAGTGAGGCTCATCGGCAATGGAAGCTGATTGCAGGCGATGTTGCATTTGGATATTCTAACTATTATGTATTAACCTCTGTCTCGGTAAACTGTTGGCGACCGAATCTGCGAATGCGCAGATGGTACAGAATTTTGATCTGCTGCGCTGTGCCGCGAGTTTGCCCCTATTTGTCGTCTGATCTCACGTCGAAGAATGAATGGCTGGCTGGCTGGCTGGGTTTCTTATCCCTTCTCTCCCTTCTTTTATGTTGGTCGTTTCGTTGAAGAGGCAGAGCACAGAGGGCGGGAAGGCGGCTGGACAACGAGGGGTAATGCGAATGTTTCACCTTGGCTGATCTTCAATTGACATCATAAAATCGGACAATCGTCTACTCCAGTATTTCTTGTACATATTTATATTTTATGGTAGTACAGCGCGCGCTGTACAATCGAATCTAATTGAGTCTAAGAGAGCTAAGCTTTTTTGATAGCGCGTTTGCTCCCAGTTGATTGGATGCAGGTACAACGTGGAGCGGATAAGTCGGAATCGCCAAGCCAATTGAATCTGGCCTAACGTCAACTAACGTCAACTGTGTGACATCCATGGGATCTTCTCAGGGTGGATCTTTCTAGATGTACACCCTCTCCTGCCCCCGAGCCCCTCACCTTTCATTTTAGTTGCCTCGCATGCGTTCGCATACATTGAGCATAGCCACTCTCTGCCACATAAGCTTCCTTCTGATACGGGAAATTGAACCTGTCGATAGTAAGCGCGATTCGATCAACTCAATTCGGGACCCAGAATTTTTGGCCCCCGTGTTGGAGGCTACTGCTTCGTATTTTAGTCAATCTGACCTATCAGGATCATTCGAACCGTGAAACTTCCCCAAATGCGTCCACGGGTAAATGTACGTACTCCGTAGTTTGACCCCGTAGATGGTTAGGAAAGTGCTAGCAACAGTACTTAGCAGTGGTTTTATTCGATTTATTCACCGTCCGGCCCTGGAACCATTTCCTGTTCCTAATCTTACGCCTCTTCTTTTCATCCACACCAGACTTGTTCCCCAATTTTGTGGGTTTTGTGGACCTTGAAACGAAAATCATTGGTTCGAGACGAAAGGATCTTGACTTGGTCTGACCTGACTTACCTCCTGGTACCTAGTACATAGTAGAACCAGACCAGCCAGGCCTGACTACGAAGTACCATCCACACCTCATTCTTTTGTTCCGTATTTTGCTTGCGTGTTCGCCATTACTTTTTTTACCCTTCCTCCTACCTCTGTCCCAATCCAGAACAAGAACATCTTTTTTTCTCATCCTATTTTTTTGTCCGTTTGTATCATCATCCCTCTCGTGCCTCATCACCCGACACTCACTCATTATCGTTCACCGACACATTCGTTAATTTGATTTCGGTGTTTATGTGAATTTTCCCAAGACGATTTCTAGATATATTTCTCGCGTCTTGTTGTCACAGATATCTTTCGCTTCCAATTCTATCGCAACTTCTTCCAACAACACATTGTTCCGACCGTCATAATGTGGTCGACTTCGGCTTTGCCGTCCCTCGCCTTGGGACTGGCTTCATTGTCCGGCGCGCTCGCAGCAAGCTACGATGATATCCCGGAGATCAAGGCTGTCGGCCAGCACTTTTTCTACTCCAACAACGGATCTCAATTGTAAGTTCAGAGTTCATCATAGCATCGTCCCGACCCGCCTCGTCCGTCACCGAACCTTGCAGACCGCGGAGCGCGGACTCTCATCCACATGTCCGCATGTCTTGGCAAACCCGAGCACTAACTCTTTTATCAACAGCTACATCAAGGGAGTTGCTTACCAAGAGAACTACAACCCCAATGGCACATCTACCAGCAACACTCAGTACACCGATCCTCTATCGGATGCTTCCAAGTGCTCGCGAGATATTCCTTACATGAAGCAGATCTTCACTAACGTCATTCGTGTCTACGCCATCGACCCTACCCAGAACCACGATGATTGTATGGAGCAGTTGGCTTCTAACGACATCTACGTCTTCGCCGATCTCAGCGAACCCGGTACTTCAATTGACAGCAACGATCCCGAGTGGAATGTTGGACTCTACACTCGTTACACTGCCGTTGTTGACGCCCTTAGCAAGTACAACAACGTCATTGGCTTCTTTGCTGGCAATGAAGTCGTGAGCGCTCAGAACCAGACTGCCGCCGCCGCTTTCGTCAAGGCTGCTGTTCGTGATACCAAGAGCTACATTAAGAGCATGAAATATCGTGATACCCTAGGTGTAGGTTACGCCACCGCTGATGTTCCCAGCCGAGACGAGCTTGCCCACTACTTCGCCTGTGAGCCTGTCGAAGGCAGCACTACCACCATTGATTTCTGGGGATACAACGTCTACTCGTGGTGCGGTGATAGCGACTACGTAACCTCGTCTTACGGCGAACGTGTCACATTCTTCGAGGATTACCCCGTTCCCGCCTTTTTCGCCGAGTATGGTTGCATCGAAGGTATTGACGGTGGCGCTACCCACAGACCGTTCACTGAAGTTGCTGTCCTCTACGGTAACATGACCTCTGTCTTCTCTGGCGGTATCGTATACGAGTACTTCTACTCCGAGAACATGTACGGTCTGGTTCAGGTTGACGGCAGTAGCGTTTCTCCTTACCCCGATTTCACCTCGCTCTCATCGCAGTTGGCCAAGGTTACTCCATCCATCACCCAATCGAGCGCCTACAAGCCCTCCAACAGCGCTCCGGCCTGCCCTACCATTGGTGGTACTACCTGGGCTGCCAAGGCTTCGCCTCTGCCTCCCGTAGTGAACCCTGAACTCTGCTCGTGCGAGGTTTCCGCTCTATCGTGCACTGTTGACTCTGACGATGAGGACTCGTACGGTAGCGTTTTCAACTACATCTGCGGTGCCAACGAAGACTTCTGCGAAGGAATCGCGCACAACGCCACTAGTGGTACCTACGGTGCTCTTGGAGGATGCTCTCCCAAGCAGCAGCTCGCCTGGGTTGCTAACCAGTACTACGAGGGTAACGGCAAGTCGGCCAGTGCTTGTGACTTCAGTGGATTGGCCAAGACTCAGAGCCCGACTACCTCAGCTGGTTGCGAAGCCTTGATCTCGGCTGCCGGCACCAACGGACAGGGAACTGTCGTCAGCCCGACTGGACAACAGGGCACCGCTGCCGCTAGCAGTTCTTCCAAGGGCGCCGCTGCTGGTACCATGGGCTCACCCGCTTTCTTCAACTACGGCAGCGCTTTCCTGGTTGCCTACATCGTCACCGCATTTGTTTCGGGTGTGGGTATGTTTGTCCTATAAGGAAAGGCTACGTTGGTGTGAAGTTTGGCAAATACGAAAAGGGGTTGGTAATGAGTTTGCATGTGGAATAGATTTTGCGTTTCTTTTACACACGTGGCATGGAATATGAGGCGATCATGGTCTACTTCGAGTCAAGGGATGGTGTGACCTGTTAAGATTCTATTCCTTTTCTTTTCGCGGGCGCGGGACGGATTTGGATGCGTTTTCTCTTAGCATGCGCTATGTTGCTTTAGGAAATGGCATAATAATATTGTGTGTAGTTGAGCCAATGCAAAACCGTCTAAAAAATTGCAAAACACTTTTTTTCCCCAGTCTTTGGATACTGTTCTATTGTGATTGTGAATGCCCTCGGTAAGTATCCGGTGAATCTAGTAATATATGGCCGGTGCTATATGCAGGTACGCTTCCTGCGCTTCCTGCACTAAGGTAACATTGAACATGGCACGTGGATCTGGTAACATGGGTTGCTGCATCCTGCGCAGCCTACTAAGGCCTGCTGTGACGCTTTTGTAACACTAGAAAGCCAAAACCAGCCTAACCCAGCTAATTTTGGAATTTTATTCAAAATGCTGGACCTATATTTATGGGCGGGGTTAGGAGGGCAAACAAGACTTGTTTCTTTCTCCCTTTCAACAAGAGATTTCGGTGCTATTTGCAGAGATATTCGATTCTTATCCAGGTTTTGGAGACGCACATTGTTGGCCTCTAGCCTCACACCCTCCGGAACTCCGGTTATCTCATCATGCGGAAGAGCACGTTCGGTACTCGAGGGCAATACGATCTCTCCACCCGCCAGTTCCCATGAGAGAGTGGCTCTGTTAGCGCTTAAGGCGCTAGACGCCACTGACTCACGATGCGCGAGCTTCCCTCTAGGTAATTTGTTCCCGCCGCGGAGAAATATGTTGCTGTGGCTTGCTTTAGCACTCAAGCGGCGCACGAGGACGGATGGTCTGTGGCTTGTTATGGCCTGGAAGGAGTACGGTACGGCAGGCAAGGTGGCGATGGGCGCGTTTCACGTCGGCCTGTAGGCGTGCGGACGGTGGCTCCGCATGCTAGATATTCGGTCGACTCCTACACGGGTGCGGGGCCCACGCTCTCGCGATGTCGATCTTGTTGTTCTAGTAGCTGAAGATATTCCTCGAACGGCGGGGTAGTGATGGAAGACAGCCCTATATGTATCCTCGTCCACCAACACCCCGGGTGGACGCCTTGGCCCAGTTACCCGTCAGGTTAAGTCGGTTCGAGTCTAGATTGAAAGACCATGCTGCGTGAGCAACTCGTTGAGAGTTGTTGCAATGAGAATCAGCTTTTCGGCTTGGTGCTTTAGTTGCATGGATCTTTCATGTCGAATACTGACCTCTCAGCTCTGAAATAGGGGCAGGAGTCCTAAGAGTATCATTTTTCAGGGGCCAAAATGGCTCGACGATTAAAAGTCAAGTTGGGCATTAAACTGATGACATGCCAGCTTTAATAAACTATTGGCCTTGCCTTTAGACGCCCACAACGATACTTAGCATTATCATACTCAGCTGTTTCACTAGTTCCGCCACAGGTTGTCTATCGCTTTATGAAGTATAGCCTGAGGCTTTCTAAGACATCTCAACCCATCGAGATAGGAGCTCGGCTGACTAGAGATTTATAGAGGTACCTAAGTAGTAACTACAGCTGAAAACAACAGACAGGGTTATAAGTCCATTTCTAATCCTAACCGGAAAGCGTCTTCAACCATCAATCCTCATACTCACGCATTTTGCTAAGTTCCGAATCAAGTTCAATCCACGATGGCTGAATATGTCAAAGACTACCAAATATTTCCACTCATGCATCAGAGTGGACATATCACTTTTACGGAATGGTGCTCACTCTTCACGCTGTGTCTAGCACCGCTCGTTGCTCATATCGCTGCCGGTTTCCCTCAACCATCATACTTAAGTGCCCGTCATCCAAAGTGGCATGAGCGTATCGCCCTTTATAATCCGACATCTATATTATGGAGATATGCAGTTATCGCGGATCGACGTATTAGGGCTAAGGCTTGGGATAGGAAAGATATGGCCGGTACCAACGCGCTCTTTTGGACATCACAAGGCTGGGACGGCTCAGAAGAGATGATTACCCTTAGTATGCCGCACTGCGTGCATCTACCTCCGTACAGTCGAATTAATTTCTACTCTGTCGAATTCCTTAAAACTGCAATCGTTACTTTGCAGGGCATTCAAGCTATCGTTGCCATTGGTCTGGCATTAGGGAATGGCAGTCATAGACATGACGGGTTTTTAACCTTCATGGGCGTCGACTTGATCTTTTTTCCTTTGGCATATACCGGCCTTGTCCGTCTGTTTTGCGCATTTTGGCTTACAGATGAATTCGCATATTCGATATCGCAAAACGGCTCGAACGGCTCAGAGCTCCGGGCTATCGCAACCAAAGTCGACGAGAGACGGATATCTTTAGATGGTCTCCTACACGAGGATTTATCAGCACCAGTAGTAAAGGAGGATAGGTTCCTGCCAACATCATACTGGGCAAGTAGAGTCTTTCGGGTCGTATTCCTACTTCCGACCCTGCTCCTCTTGGTAATGTGCTTAACGTTCATAATACCATTCGATGGTTCGGTGCGATTCACCATCACAGCACTTCTTGGTGCGCTATTTTATTTCCTATTCCTCTCAGCTACGTTAATCATCTGCGGCTATTATCTGGCGCGAGGACATACATCGACCACTCTCCCATGCCTTGCGTCTAGATGGTATGGAGCATACACCGGAATCCTCACGGGAATGGCTTTGGCCATCATTGTCGTATCTTGTATTGAAACGAGGCGCATGACATGTGGACGATGGACTAGTGCTCCCTATTCTCTCGGAGATTTCGACGCGTGTTGAAACAGTAGGAGGCCTGATGTTATCAGAATAGGCTTTCATCAACTCCCCGACTTTGGCCTGTCGACAACTATGTCGAGGGTCAACTCAGAGAACAGGACACTCGGAGACGGAGAATTCTGGGTGGGCAATTTCATAGGCACTTGTCTTGGTGCTGTCGGCTCAACACTTATAAAACAGGTCCCGACCGTAGAAGGGGTGGATTTGAAAGATCTCACAAAGGTCACTTCGATTAATGATCCACTGGAGAAATATCTGCGTAATTCCAAGGGTTAATAATTATCTAAGAACCAAAAGAAGAAAAATACCATTTACCGCATCCGAAAACTAATACTGAATATCAACGCCTTTCTCGGTGCAAATATGCTTCGGACTCTTGAAATCATTCATATTCGCCGCGTTGATGGACCGCTGCGTCTTGTCCCAGCCGTTGCTACAGATTGGCCCGCACCACACCGGTCGGGCGTCGCCGCCGTACTCCTCGAAGATATACTGCTCGTCGAGCCAGCTCTGGCCGAATCGCGCCGCTCACATCGCACACCAGGATCGTGAAGGTGCATTTTCTACGATGGGCTCTGGGAGCTGGGGTTCCTCCACCCGCCCTGCAGCGCCTCGTGCACGCGCTCGCCGGCTTTGTTCGCATCGTACGCGTACTTGGCGACAGTTATACGAATCCAAGGACGAGTTTAATCACATCCGACACGTTGACACCCGCATATTCGCCCCGGCCTAGCTTATCCGTGCCCGACGGCGTCACGACGTACCCCCATTACTTGTTCAACAAGAAGTCGCCGTTGCCCTCGTGCCAATAGTACAAGTACCACGCCCTTCCCGTCGCGGCAGATCCTGTAGTCCCTAGTAGGCCCCATGTCCCGATGCCCTGCCCGTCGTCCCCGCAGTTGCTGCCGCCCAGGATGAAGATCTTCTGCTGCCGCCACGGCTACGTTGACGGCGTTGCCGAGCAGGACCGCGTTCGTGACGTCGACCACGCCGTTCTTGTCCACGCCGCCGAAGGCGACGAAGGCCTTGCCTTGTAGGTACGATTTGATGTCCCCCATTTTGTCGTAGGTGGATCCGGACATCAGCTGGTTGTTGGCGGAGGTGAAGCTCTTCATGGATTCGATGACGACTTTGGAGAGCACGGCGCCGAGGTCCGCGTCTTTTTAGATCGTGTCGTCCTTGTTGGGGTCTGTTAACATGGAAGTTGTCTGGTTGTGGAAGCATGTAAGGTCTTCTAAGAGTAGTAGATATGACTCACGTTGATTGCAGCTGCAACGACCCGGTAGCTGACGCACCGCTTACCATGGTCGACATCGCCCCCCCCCAGTGGCGCCAACCAACGCCATCCCCTCGCCCAGCCCCGCGAACGAAGCGCCGATGCCGATGACAGTCGTCACGGCATTAAGCACCTCCCTAAGCGTCAAGACCGTCCTGTGGTTGTCCTTAGGCTGGTAGAACGTCCGGCTCCAGGACTTCCTTGCCCAGCGCCGCGGCGACGGCGCTGCACCTCGAAGGCCTAGGACAGGGCCGGCGACGTAAGGCGTGCAATCGGTTCACGGCCTCGAGGACGTAGTTACGTGTTCTGGATGTCGTCGTCGCCGCCACGGCTGTTGAGCACGCGATTGTCGCACGGGTCCAGGTGCGCACGAGCTGGCGGAGCCCGTCGTCGCGGCATGTCCCAGTCCGGGGTGCCGAGGGCCCAACTGCTCGAACACGGTGGCGAACCCGTTCGCGTTCGCTGAGATCTCCTGCCCCGTGTGTCCAGGTCTACGTGTCGAGCCACTGGTCCGTGCTGGCGCTCTGCTAGTCGCTGGCCTTCTGCCTGTAGAACTGGGACACGGCACCGCATCGCTTGAATATGTTCCGGGATGTAAGGGGGTTGGATGACTGCGAGGTTGGTAGGGCCGGTATGGCTTGTGAGAAGAGGAGGAGATTAAGGAGTGACTTGGCCATTTTGAATGGCTGTACCTAGGTAGGCAAGTGATCAGCGTTGGGGGCTTCGAACGGGGTTGATTTACGATAGCTCGAGACATGGTGATGGCGAGTAAACTTCTCTTATTACAAGTACGTTGAGGATATACGGTACTCTACTGTTCTCATGCCTTCATTTGGCGTATATGTTTCTCATTCCAGCCACATGTCGCGATGGCGACAGCGCTTTTTGCACCTTCACATATCCCCCGTAGCAGCTTTCCGTGGTGGCATCAAACTCTCCACAAGTCTACTTCGCCAAGCTTCCCGCTTAACGTAGGCTAGCACACGTTGGAATGGAATCTACTCGGGCCGTGCGGCTGCAAATCATCCTAGACAAGGCAGGAGGCCAGAGCCTCAAAAATAACTTGACATAGCCGCAATCCTGCGCTCCATGAATGACGTGCATTACCCCGGATCCCACCTTGGTCACTAAAATAGAGCGGGAGTTTGAATGCAACGTCGGCTTGGAATATTAAATCGCGATGACGCCGTTACCAGACGGCCAAGAGATTTAGGTTGCGGGTTGGGATTACTTTCGAGTCTCTGGGTGTTGTATAGTAGCGATCTAAAAGGCGGTCGAGGAGTATCTAGGTATAATTAGGAGCCCTTTAAGTTTGATACGAAGCCCTTTGTAGGGGCTTCGATATTTGAAGGGCTTGGTTAACTGTGGGTTATCGTATGTTTGCTAGGCTAGTCTTAACATGAAGATGCCAGAAGCCCATAGGTAGGTAGGTACCTTTGTGCGGCTTGGTGTCATGATTAGATCTAGCTTTGGTGTTTTATGGTCCGAACAAGAGAGCATCTAGTTGGCACTCTCACTCCCGACACTGCAAGGGGCGAGAGCCCACATCATGTCTTCCCCCGTGGGACGGCTGTGCTAGTGGCACCCACGCTAAGCGGGCAAAGTATACCTAATTACAGAGCAAACACCAGCAGGGAAAACAACCACCACGCGAGGGAAGTGACTCTCAGCGATTAGCGATTAAGCTGTGGGGCGACTGTAGCTACCGGTAGCCGTGTCTCTAGTACTATGTACGGCTCCCGCTAGCCGCCCGGCCTGCTCACTTTCACTATAGTGTGTTCTATTAACCATGGAGAACCACCCGGCGGTACATGATCCGCCGGCCTCCGCGACCGACGACCAAGATATCCTTGACAACATCGATGGCCGTATGCACGGCCCCATGAGCGGATTTATCAAAAAACACTTCGGCAGCTTACAATATGCCCACGAAGATGCTTTTTTGGAAATTCAGGTAGCTGGAAGAGTTGGTGGCCGCTATGCTGTTCCATCAACTGCCCCATCTCCCGACGATTTCCTACAATGGTTTTCCAACTATGTATCGCGGGAGCTTGATGGCGCTCGAGGCTCGTGGCATATATCTGGCGACAATGTAGCACCTGAGTACGAGAGTGATGACGATGGTGCACGCCTCCTCTTGACTATGCCCACTTTGCCGGCCTCTGGCGTACAGACGGGATGGGACCATGTTCAGGTCATTGGCCAGTTTTACCGCCGTGGTGGCGTTAGTTATCAGGATGGACTATTGCGTCTCTGTCGGTCCGCACACCAGGTCTTCGCCAGTCAGCCTACGCGGCTCTTCTTACATGGCTTCTACATACGCGGTTCACTGATTGAACTTTGGGTCTTCGATCGATCTGGCTTGTATTGTAGCGACCTATTCGATATGCAGAAAGATTTCATACAATTTCTCTCTATTATTCTCAGCTACCAGCGGATGACGGACCAGGAGTTGGGGAAAATCAATATCATTGAGACGGATGAGGGTAGCAGCTACGTTGTCCTTAATAATAAGGTGATGCCCTCTCTGGGAAAGCTTTATCTTGAAAATCGGCCAATTGCGTCTCGCGAAGGCCTCGTTGGCACCGGGACAACTTGCTACCGGGCTAGAGTGCTTAATTCAGATCGATGGAATTACGTCTTGAAGTTCAAATGGCGTTGGGCCAGGGACCGCCCGGAGGACGAGCTTCTAAAGCTAGCCAGAAAGAAATGCGTTTGGGGTGCCGTCTCCCTTGATTATTACGAGGAAGTTGAAAGTACAGCAAATTTGCGTCGAGGTCTCCGGTGGGGGACACATAGAAAATTCGCCAGGGTGCAGTCTCGCGAGCGAAATAGAAGTATCGAAGAACAACGACAGGAAGGTACTTGCAATACTGACGGACTTGTCGCATATACGGAAGAGACCGACAATTTCTTTCAAAATCGCATCCTTGCCTGCATCGTTACTTCTCCGGTCGGCAGACCTCTTCATACTTTTCAGTCTCTCTTGGAGTTGTTACAGGTGTTTCGTGATGCTATCAAGTGTCACCGATCACTTTATTATGACGGCAAGATTCTTCACCAAGATGTATCTCCAGGGAACATGATCATTCTGGATGACCAAGATGAAGGAAAGCCCCAAGGGATCCTGATAGACCTCGACTCCGCAATAGAGCTCGCCGAAGGATTAGAAACAGACCTTGGCGTCACCGGTACTAGACCATTCATGGCTATTGGCGTTCTGAAGAGTGAATGCCATACTTATCGTCACGACCTAGAGTCCTTCCTTTACGTTTTTCTCTGGATAATCATAACGAACCGCACGGAGAGTCCCCCAGAGACAAGCAAGCTTCGGCAATGGAGTAATGGCGACTGGGACGAAATAGCAGTACGCAAGTCCCATGACATGGATCAGAATGGATTTCAGGCCATTTTGGGGGAATTTACTCCAGAATTCCACTCCCTTAAGCCACTCGCCGAATGTCTACGTCAAATTCTATTTCCCCTGCGGGCTGGGGTAATTTGGACAGGGACCGACAGTTCGCCCGAAGCTACAGATAAGCTCTATGATGAAATGATCCGTGTGTTCGAAGAAGGCATTGCCTTCGAGGGTAGAAGACAGACGTAATAGAATGAGAAAGTTCGTTCTGTACCACCTCCAAGTATCGCTGTAAGCAGGACGGGGGGCATCAGAGTGACGATATGCCTGATTCAAAGACCAGGAAGAGGGAGTCCCGGAGAGCTGAAAAATTACTTTGGTTATCCTAGTTTGATGGATAGAAGCAGTGCAATTGTGAAGCGGTATCTTCCACTGACTCCTCCAATGCATCCGAATCCACTTTCATGTAGGTCATTGTCTCTAATACGCCTGATGCTATAATACTATTTCAGCCTGCTAGTAAATTCCGTGGTAGGAATGGTGTTGGCAAGTGCTGGGACTGGCTGCAAATCTGCGATCTTGAAGTCGAGCAATCGCCGCACCCAAAGGAGTAGAGCAGCACGTTGAGAGCACCAGGGGCGAGTACCGGCATTGATCAGGTGGATTTGTAGGACGCCTCTGGTCCTAAGGCGATCACGCAACCGACCAACGGAGGTGCTCAAACCGCATGGCTGATGCGCATCTAGGCAGCCATCTATTTATGATGCTAATCCAGCTTACCTTTTTCTAGCATCTCATGAACTCTTTCCTCCTTTTCCCTAGCTGTTGAGAAACATCTTGCCATCAAACGTGTTCGGAACCTGGTCGAGAGCTCCAATTTTTTTTTCACGCCGTCGGGGAGTTGAATCAGATATTCAAGGAGTAGTAATACGAAGTATCTGTTATTATTAGATTCGAAGGCTGGATATAAAGCGAGAGGAAACGAAAGGAGGATAAAAAGCAGGCCTGAAAAGTATGGGGTCGCGGGGTCAGCAGGGTCAAGAGACAAAATTGGGGCCCGTGCACAGGGTTCTCATTGGCGGGGCAAGGCGCTGACAAGAGCAAGGCCACCCACTAAAGAAACGGAAGCTCCGATGCTTTCTGACTATCAAGTTAACTCTATGAATTTATACCAATTCAGTTAGCCACCAGTAAAATAAAACCATAGTCGACACTGCCCAAGCCATCACCGACCCGAATTAGCGACAGCCCTCCCAACCGCCGCCGCCATGCAGGGCTTCAACATGGGGCGGTACGTCCCGCCCGACCTCGAAGGCACGACGAGCGGCAACGCGCTGCACAAGAAGCGGCCGCCGGGCATTTCGCAAGACGGGACGCAGACGGTGCGCTTCGAGATGCCCTTCGCGATATGGTGTCTGCACTGCGAGAACCCCAACCCTCCTCCTCACGCCGACTCCAGCTCCGACGCGGGGGGGAAGAAGAAAGGAGGAAAGCCGACGATCATAGGCCAGGGCGTACGCTTCAACGCGACGAAGCGCAAGGTCGGGAATTACCACAGCACGCCCATCTTCGCCTTCCGCATGCGGCACGCCGAGTGCGGCGGCTCCATCGAGATCCGGACCGACCCGAAGAACACGGCGTACGTCGTGGTCGAGGGGGCGCGGAAGCGGGATACGGGGGACTCCGACTTCCCCTTCCCCCTCTCCTCATCCCTATCATCAGTAGGCCCGATCCTCACAGACAAAGAAAAGGAAGCGCTCCGCTCCGACGCGTTCGCGAAACTAGAAAAGACGATCGCGGACCGAAAGGTGCTGGAAGACGCGCGGCAGCGCATCGAGGAGCTGGAGGACGAGAGCGCGCGCAAGTGGGAGGACCCGTACGAGCGTAATCGGCGACTAAGAGACGCGTTCCGGGTCGGCAGGAAGGAGCGCGAGAGGGACGCGTTGAAGACGGAGAGCTTGCGCGAGCGCATGGGCTTGGGCATCGAGTTGCTTGCCGCGAGCGAGGAGGACGCGAGGAGGGCTGCGCTGGTGGACTTCGGGCCCGCGGCGGCTGCCGGGGAGGGAGAGATGGGCCGGAAGGCGTTGGCGAAGCCGCTTTTTGATATTGGTGTAAAAGGTACGAAAGAAGAAGACGGGAAGAGCAAAAGCAAAAGCAAGAGTAAGAGTAAGAGGTTGAAGTCTGAAGTGGCCGCTGCGCAGATGCGGGAGAGTCTCGTGTCAGAAATCGTGGGCAACACGAGAGTGGCTCAGGATCCGTTTCTATCGCTTGATCGCGGTAATGGAGAAAGCGGCAAGGGCTCATCTAGATTTATGGGAATCAAGAGAAAAAGACTACAGTCGGAACCGGAGTCGGATCATGGGTTAGAAGGGTCTAACGAACCTGGGTCGGAAAAGGGGCGCCCGACTGACGTAGAAGAGGAGAAGATATCGTCATCAGCGGTGTTGGTTGATTACGACTCGGATTAAGGCAACATTGCATTAGACATGGCGTTTACGGGATTTACATTTGGTCATTACAAGATACCCAGGTTATATCATGAAGCACGACGTATGGTTGGGCAAGGGCAGATTCACAACATAGGTAGAATTGATCGTGTTGATGTAAATATGTCATTGACACCCTTCATCTACCATTAGAGCAACCGATGTAGGGCTCATTCTTGCGACTTGGCGTAAACCCTCCGAGGAGAGAATAGCACATCGCAAATATAAAACGAAGTCAATGCTAGCCGTTTGACGATGTGGGAATTCCAGTATCCGGCTCGATTCTTTATGCAAATTGCAAATTCCATGCAGCGACACCAAATGCCATCCGTAACCACCAGAAGAAAATCATATTACTCATTACTCCGTAATCCAAAGAACAGATTGTATGTATGCTATTAGTTGATTGGGGATGCGTGAAAGGCACAACTAATCCGACGTCGATGGGCTAGCTACCTATACGTCGTCCATTTGGCCTGCGGGTTCATCGTCTTCTCCGAAACTTGCAACCGAGGACATATCGTCGTCGTCTTCGCTCTCGGCTCCGGCCTCGTCGGCGGCATCCTTGCTGGCATACTTCTGAACGTACTCTGTTTCCAACTTTAGCCAACTCTTTCTCCTTATCCGTAACACACGGGGATAGACGTACCCTTGACCTTGGCATCGTAGCTCTTTGGCTCGCGCATCAAGAGCGCAGCTGCTTCTCCGTTGAGAGGATCGGCAGGGTTGGGGTATCTTAGGAGCTGTGGGAGGAAGACCTCGAAGATGTTGATCATGTCAAACATGGGGGACCATGTCTGGTTGATGACGTCTAAACAAACCGAACCGGACCTATTATAACAGTTTGCCTTCCTTAGCCCTGCCTTAAACTTATACCCAACCCCCGAATGTGGTGGTGATGTCGAGTTCCAGCCAACTTACAGCTCATCGATATTCGGGTGGAAGATACGGTTGACGAAGCCGATACTAGGTGACTTGTACGGGTATTGATCGGGAAGTTCGACGTGGACCTTCCAAATGCCATTCTCGAATGGTGCTAATGTTGGTTAGAGGCCGTAACGAACGAGAACGGTTTAATATTGATACTAACTCTCAGCGGGACCCTTGAATCGGACGTAGAATTCTTGCCTGGGAATGTGTGAGGACTCGTATAACGAACCATAGCTGACGAGCTACTTACACTGCGACGACTTAGCATGGTGCTGCGTTGAGCGATATGGGGTTAAGATGGTTACTAACTATTGTCATTGACTAGAGTCACCTCGTAGTCGGACATAAGCCTGGAACGATTAGTTACGGGGTCGGAATTTGTCGGCAGAAACCATCATACATCTTCATGACCTAGATTTTTAGCTAGTCAGCATCCCATAACCTATAACAGCGATTATTTGACATTGGGCAGACGTACATCTGTCTCGATCCTTCTGCGTGGGCTGCTCATCTTGCCTTGCACTTCTGCGAATGACTTGTTCCTTGGGTCCTTTTGCCTCTTACGTCTTGTTAATATGGATTCTCCGCCCGCTTCGTAATATTCTCTGGGCTGGTTCTTCTTGATACCAGTCCCAAAAGTGTTTTTCCTTGTCTAAATAGAACGATCTCGAAGGTTGGGTATTGGATACTTGGTGATAGTAAGAGCGGCGGGCGACTTGTTGGATGCGACGAGGGAAAGAGATATTGTCAGTATATGTTCGTAAAAGGAGGGGGTGGCGGCGATAGGTATTTGAGTAAAGATTAATTAGTGAACTGTGTTAAAAGCGTATTTGTAATGGGTGAGCTGACGTTGTGAAAATATTGAATGTTATCTTGTAAAAAGGAAGGAAAGTGGAGGAGGTCTAAGACGGTTTCCTGCGTGTCTTTGAGGTCTTTGATTCCCGCCTGCTCCCACCTGGGCAGTCTAAGTCACAAGACAAGAGCGATTATGGGCTATGGATACCCGAACAATGAGCAGGTATGACGCGATCTTCAAGGTTTTTGCCAGGGTGAGCCGCTATTAGCGCCATCCAGGTATCGCTAATAGGTCCCGAAGCCGGCAAAGCTTACCTGGTACTTTATCGATAGCCATGCAAAGGCCGCTAAAGAGCACTGTCTCGGGATGCGCTATGCATGGTCCAACTTAATCCATCTATTACAGTTAAGGTTGCGATCGATATATGGAAGCCACTACTCCCTATTACCTACTGTCCCTATCATCCGTGCCATCCCTTATGCATAATTCCCTATCATCAACTCATCATCTGCAACTCCATTCATCCTATCTACATACATCAACGCCTACTTATAGGCAGACAACACTGCAATACATGCAGTCGTTTCCATTCCCGCCGAATATCATCTGTTCGCTCCTACTGTAATACTTGGGCATCAGTTTACCTGCATCCGACACGGCTTCTTGGCCCGTGATTTGCACCTCCAATAGGAATTCCCCTCTCGATCCTCGAAACGTGTTTATATCATGCTCGAACTAATGAGCTCGCATGCTACCATTTGTCCAAGTCATCGCCTTGCATGAGTGGATATAGCTATGGTGCCGATATCTACCTAAGGCATATCTGCGGGTTTCCTCCAGATCGGACATGGCATCGAACCGGAATATGATATATCATGTCCCCTTTTCCCTGATTTCGCCAATGGGTGTCACTTTATGCTTCCCTTCACTGGCTGGTGTGAAATTTCAGAAGCCTTCGATGAGCTGAGTTTCTGTGTTTCATTACGACAGCGGTGGCTGATCGTTGTTACTATGACCGGTTAGCTAAACTTGTTCTCTCTTGAGTTATGAGACTGGAACAAGGGCGCAATTACCTTCCCAACGGCCTGCTGAGCATTTGGCGGTAATTCCAAGCCCGGGAGGTTCAACGGTGGTGGTGTCACGCTCTTGATCCCGCATGTTATTTCGATGCTCCGGAGAAGTCCGCCAACAGCCTTTTGTTCTGGAGTAAATACGGCTAGGTTGGCAAACGTGAGACAGTTCGGCTCGTTAAACAGACGTGCTTGACACCCGTCGTCCATATTTGCAACGAACGTCGCGCACTGCGCTATACCGGGCACGTTGTAGCATGTCGGTGTCGCATGTTGAGATCCGGGCTTGGGTAACTGGACGTTTGCCATCACCGTGCCGCGACAGTCTTTAGGTCCCGGTGGCCCCGAGAATAGCAATGCAGCTATAGGGACCACAGGTTCGGTTGGCTGTGCTTGGCTACTAGTCGTAGGGCTCTTCGGCGTTGTGACAATGTTCGGTATCGTCGTGCTATTCACTGTCCATGGTTCGTCTACATCAACTTGTGGAATGTGCGAAATTTGCGGTACCTCCGAGACTCGCGGAACGTCTGATACGGCAATATTTTCCACCATCGCATTTTCAGGTAGATTATCCGCGTCCTTCACCGTCGTTGCTCCATCTACTATGATAGGACGCATGGATTCGTCCTCAACCCGAATTCTTTGCCCTAACGCGCCCGTCATTTGCCATGCCGTCCCGATACTAAGCAATGTTAAGGTTGGTCGCCAACTAAGCTGCATTGTGGTGCACTTCGGTCATAAAGATAGAGAATGGAGAACAAAAAGCAGAATCTCCAAGATCTATTTGCGTCGCGACAAGTCTTTTTGGCTTGAGACGATGCCAAGGGGTGATGCGAGTGAGTGCATGTCCTCTTGGCGTTTCATGCCTCATCGATCTAATCCTTAAGAGAACAGGGGGCGCAACATCGATAAGATTCGCGATAATATGAAGAATCCAAGATTAAATCTCTATAAAAGGAAATAGTGCCAATCTACTATGTAGCTAACTCGGCCGCGAATTCCTCTTTTTGTTTCAACCCCAACTAGTGGGCTCACCACAGGATTAATGCCTCGTCAACTATATACAGTCGATAATTACGAGCGACCGCATCAATTAGGCACCGATACAGACAGTTGATATGTCGCACCGGGCTGGACGTTAGTGAAGCGTGCTTCCGGAAGAATCCGACCCTCGTACTTCGCTATGACTTCCTTCACGTCTGCTGAACGGTGGATATCTACCACGAATGTAGCACCGCGGAACAAACGCGTGACTTTGATAGTATTCCAGGTCGACGGTAACTGCGGCTGAATGCGTAACCCCTTCGCGTCGCCCCTTAGACCACATAATCCCTCAATAAAGGACCGGTACACCCAAGACACTGTTCCTGTATTGAATAGCTGACTGGACCGACCAGCCGTGCGTGGATATTGTTGATAGGCCCCACGGTAGTAATTGGGAATATATACGGGGAGTTGACCTCGTTGCACATAGTCTTCTTCTGAAGGGCCAGGGATCATCTTCCTCAGAACTTCGTATGCCCGGTCGTTCTCCCCTATCGAATACAAGCTGTGGATATAAAATGCGGCTGCGTGGTTATACACCGACCCATTTTCAGCAGAGCCTGGGTATTTTTGTGTCACACGGCCGACATCCTCTCGCATAGCACTGTAAGGAGGGGCGAACATCACGGTACCATAAGGCGTGCTCATCTGCGAGTCTATCTGAGGGAGTATTCGTGAGATCTGCTCGGTGCTGGTCGCTCCGCTTAGAATCGACCATGTCTGCGGATTCAGCCAGATACGGCCCTCTCGGTCTTTCTTAACGCCGAATATTACATTGTCATCCGTGATGCCTCGGGCAAACCAGTCGCCGTCCCACAGATGCGTGTTAGCAGCTTCATTAACCTCCTTGGCACCTGCACGGTATTGTGCTGCTAGGTCAGGTTTTCCCTCATGCTCGCAGACATCCGCCCACAACTTCAGCGCAAACGCGGTAGCAACCGTCTGCCATCCTGATACACCATTTCCTTTGTAGCCCACCATGTTAAGCGGATCGCACCAGTCTCCCTGCGCAATATAACTCAAACCTCGAGCATCCCGAGCCGAAATCAGCCAATCCATCGCTCGGCTAAAGCGTTCGAACACAGTATACGTATCGCCATGCATTCCCTTTACAGGTACCTTCAGGAGGTCATAATCACCCGTCTCGGAGAGGTAAGCCTCCAGTGTTACCGGTAGCCAAATGCAGTGATCGGTGTGTGGGATCTGGTTGATATACTTGAGTTCGGCACCTTCCGCTAACAAAATACCGTCTGGCATAGCACCATTCTTCTCCTGCTGTGACACTGCTATCAGAAAAGCCTTGCGTGCTACCTCGGGTTTAATGTACGACATTCCCATATTGTCCTGCAAATAATTGCGCGTCTGCGGATCTGTGGTCAGCCGGTTCACATCCCCGTGATAATAGCACTGGCGTGGTAGCCAGTTGTTGACGAAGTTGTCCACGTGCTTGTCCGGCGTTTCGATTTGCAGACACCCCTTTCCTTTACTGATGTATTCCGCGTATTCTTTCGCTGTCTGTGCGAACCCTTCCTTGCTGAGGTATTTATCTCGAACCGTGCGGATCTCAGCGTCATCAAAAGCAGGGCCAAAGAGGAAGCGGTACTCATGTTGCTCATCTGCTTCCAGTTCAGCTCGGTACTGTACCACAGCCACCGGTGTTTCGTAGCGGGCTTCGCTACGACTTAGCTCAGGCTGTGCCAGTGATGAAGGCGCGTGAAGGCCACCTTCGCCCTCAAAGGCCTCTTGCATGGCTTCCCACGAGATCGGCGTGGTTTCGGTAAGAAAGTACGATTTATCCTTCAGGAATTTGTTCTTCCAGTAGTCGGCAGCCTTCTGGTATGGTGTGATACTGCTGCTCACTATACCGCCAAGATCCGGTCGCCATTCTGCCTCCTGATTCATCCACGACATATAACCGAATGGGAAATAGGGGTACACGCTAACTTTACGCGGTCGCCCACTCAGATTAGTCACCTTAACAGACCACAGCTCAACCACATCGTGTGTTGGAATAACCAAGGTCAGCTCTACTCGAATACCAAGGTGCTCAACTGTCCAAGAGATGTCGCTTTTACCAACAGAAAACACGAACCGGTCAAGCGAAGCACGAACCGGTTCATAAGGTGCCGAGAAAAGTTGACCAGTCTCCTCGTCCTTGACATAAACGAAACGGCCCGGATGATGAGCGTAATAGTTCTGCTCGGGCTGCATGAAGGTTTTGGCCTCGAGATTCGGGGCGTGGGCGTATTTTGACGGCTCCGGTTGCATGAACTGTGCCGTCGCGTACCCGCGGCAAGTGACCTGTATCATCATCTTCTGGTTCCACAGGAAGCCACCGGCCTTCGGCAGAGCGGTAGGGCTCGCCAGCTCATAGCGGTCGCCGTCCTCTGTAGAGCTTAACATCGTGTAAGTATATTCCGGGCGCTCCTTTACTTTCAGCCGCAAACCAGACTTGGCTACTCCGTGCTTTCAATTAAAGGCTTCCCGCCACTTCAGTTCCCTCGAGTAACAATCCGGGACAATGCCTTATAAAGGGGAATGGACAATACATCGTAGAGCATGGACACCGCTACGCCGGTACACGGGGCTTGGCGGATGACCTGTTGCATGGAATTCGCCCGGGAGAATATACGGGTAAAACAAAAACGCCCGCTACGACGTGAGCGACGAACCAATACGTTGACTGGTATGCAATCAACTGATCCGCTGGGATCCCCCAAACGCGGATGGGGGTTGTTTTCTCAAACAAGTCGTTTGATTGCCGCAGATCCATTTTCGTTCGCTTCGATTTATGACGAGGTAATGCCGGCGATATATTTCCTCGATGCACCTCTGGGTCGTACAATATATGCAGACTCCAACAAGCCATCATTCGTAGTTACTCTGTGGCGGATTCGCGATGCCCCAATTCGTTCCTCCTGTTACGTAGGTGGGTAGACAGGCACTTAGTAAGAGCGGAGCTGAAATCGGGGAGGTGCATGCGAGGATTACGCTCGTGGGTTGGGTGTTCGTGGGGGAATTCTTTCCATCCGGGGGAGACTAAGCCCGTCGTTCCTACAACTTTGCCGAAAGGAGAATGGTAGGTTTGTAGTGTAAGGGTCTGATCCGGAGATGACAGCTTTCTAGAAAGATGATCTATTAATGACTTGGAGAATAGCATGACTAAGTTATGCAGGTAGGTATGTTCTGCGGTATACTAACTTGGCGTCAGATTTTAGTAGAAGATGAATAAACGATTAACTATATGCCACGATATTAACGAGTGGTCTCATTGTCGGTTCTTTCCTGCGCTGGAAAGGGATGCCTTGGAACAGGAAGAATAAATCTGGTAGCGAATGGATAGCATGTAAGAAATTTCTGCCTGAGAAAAAGCTCAAGTTTCTAGAGTATACTAGAAGATTAGGCCACTATAAACTAGACCATTGCTAAAGAAATTCATAGATAAAGTTAGGTTTACCCACTGTAGGCATGGATGAATTGATGATTTAGTTGTGCAGAAGTAGAGCAAGATCATGAACGAGGTTTAGGAGGGGATTGGGGGACTGACAATCAAGAAGCTACTGAGAGAATCTTTGCTAAGCAATTTAGGAGAAGTATGATTGAAGTTTCTGTCGAAAGGGGGTATACGCTATCCAAACAATCGCTCAAATGTCCCGTCACAATCTTGTCCCAATGAAAATCCAATATTAAAAAAATTTGCGTAAGAAATTTGCGATCTTCTCAACCTTACATCCTATGCAATCTGATGTGCATCGTCGCCGACTTAGTATAGTCCTACCGAGTTCGCGGCGTGTAGGAAGTGCTCTTAAACGATTCCCGAGTATCCGGCCATTGATCATACGCCCGACTCCTCTCCCGCCTTCCCCATGCTGATCTAGAATGGATCATGTTAGCTAGGTATCATCGATACTGGTGGCCGAAGGGGCCGTCAACACGTACATGAATGTCGACCACATGATTAGTGCTGGTGAGTGCCGGTAGGCCGTTCGCGAATGTTTTCTTGCTTGCCACTGCTGATGAATTGGGCAAATCGCATGGTGAAGCTAGGCGTGTATCGTCGACCACCGCAGCGCTTAGAGACAATGTACTCCTCTTGCATGGCAAAGATAGAGCAGATAGATACCTAGATAGTAAGAGAAGGCGTCGTTATTGTATTTGTATTGTTCGAGGTTCTTGCAAGCGAAGTCCAGACCTTCAAGGCTATCTGAGTAACAGCAGTCTACATGATGAGTGGCAAGTAAGGCCGCTTTCTTACATTTATACATCTTACTCAGGACCTTGTAGTTACCTAGAGCTGACGAACTATTTTCATCTCTCTTCTTCTTCCGGAATGCTATCCGGCGAAGGGGATGACGAAGATGTTCCCTTTTTTGGGGGCGGGCCCAGCCCAGCCCTACGCGGGATGGTAGGGCGGATGTGGATTGGGAGAGCTAGCTAGCTAAAACTATTGCTGACATATTGACCATGTTCGCGCGTTGCTTGGTACCTAGCGGGTTAGGCCAATGAGAAGACGTCGAATGCTAAGAATAGGGCGCCTTCGGTCGTCATTCCGCGGGCATTTCTTTTTTTTTCTGGAAAGCTGAACCGGTTTGTGTTTTGTGATGCGCATGCATGTTGCTTATCTCACGCGACACACGCGCAAGAGTCGGTGAGAAAGTGTCTACATATGTGTGTGCGTGTGCAGCTGTGCGACGGGTTGTCGTGGGATACGTGGGCTGAGCCGCGACGCAGTGGCTTGGAGTTATACCGCTTGTTCGACCTGTCTGTCGCGGATGCGTGCACTTTATAGTTGCGGTCTGCTTAAGACCGTACGGACGTGGCCGCAATCTCAGTGCTACGATTAGGTACGTCACTGCGCCCCCCCTACCGAGAAAACGTGCACTTCGGATCGCCGACCTAAGGAGTTCCATGCGGTTGGAAGATTATCAGGTTTTACCTAATTGCACTTCGCGATAATTGGCTAGATCGTCGATTATGTTTACAGGTAAGTAAGAATCACATGTAAGGGAATATCATGGAATTCATGTTCGAAGTTGCATCATAGTATGACAATATTCGTGGTTGATTATAGACTTACATTTCCAACAGCTGTACAATTCATATAATCGGGGACAAAATAGGGGTCATGCCCATGCTGTTGAGGGGATATAGGGGCGAATTATCGAAGAGGATCTGGATAGTCGAATGTAAAATCCATTTAATATAGTAACTTTTAGTATATAGTATAGCAATATTTATCGTCTACCATATCAAACGTTTACCGTGCTCGCGGGGTATGTCGACCCAATTTCTCCCCACTTCAAGTTGCTAAATGTCACCTCAGGATAAGGTTCGATTTGCCTGGCAATTGTAGGATTTCCTTCCGTCGCATTGCAAGGCCCAGCACCATCTTCAGCACCGTCAAGCCAGGACATATAACTGCTCTCGTCCCACCAGATACTAAAAGTCAGCACCATTCCACGCGTCAACGCATCGCCCATGCGCGCGTGGGCGCCTAGGTTCATGAATTGCGTCGCGCCGGTTGCGTTGCAGTAGGCGTCGTTCGTGAAGGCGACCTCCGGCACGCCCTCCTTCTTCACCACCTCGGCCTTGATCACCTTTTCGCCCTGCACGTACAGGCGGTGGATCTCCTTCAGCTTGCCGCTCTCGTCGGCGGGGAACTGCGTCACGACGGTGAACGGCTTGGTCGTGTCCACGGTGAAGTTCTCTCCCCTGCCGTAGTACTCGGGCTGGTTCAGTCGGTACGGATTCCACCCGCACCCGCTCTTGTCGCAGACGCCGTTGGCCTGGCACTCGTCGCCCGTGCAGAGGTACGGACCGGTCTGGTTGCACGGGTGCGGCGCGATCTGGTTCGCGCGCGAGTTGGCTTCCCAGATGTCCATCTCGTTGCAGCAAGCCCCGTAGCCGTCCACGTTGCCCTAATCGACGGTTAGGTAAGATCTCAGGTAGTTAAACTCAGCATTGGACTAAAGTCTTCATGGCTTACCTCGCCGTTGATAAAGGGGGTAACTATAAAAGTAAAATATTAGTAAAAATGAAAGATGATAAGTTATGGTCAGGTAGGTATTAAGTACCATAGCATTGTGCGTCACAATATCCCGTTCCCCAGGCAGCTCCGCCGGGGTTTAGCTCGCTTTGGCCTCCATCTGCCGCCATCTCGGAGAGGTATAGAGCACTGTTCAAGCCGCAGGGGAGATGGCTAGCCTCGACGTCGAATGCGATTTCATTGCCGGTGAGCTGAAGCATTTCGTACTTCTCCTTGGCCTCGTCGAGGAGATAGATACGAGGGGACACGACGTTGTCGCCGACAATCAGCTGCATGTTCAACGAGGATCCGTTCGTCTTGACTCCGATACTGGTGTAATTGCTTTGGCCCTCCACTAGAACAGCATGTGTCAATCATCATGGTTCATAAACGTTTAGTCTCGTAAGAGAGAGTTAGAAGTCGATATCACGTACTAACACAGTTTTCAGCACACGCCTCCTTAGTAGGGCAAGCGGTTTCATTCGGCTTGCTTCCCCAGTCACCACAACCGTAAGCATCGTCACTAACTTGATGAACCCAGTGAGCAGACGAATCGAGCACGAGGTAGTTAGTCGACTCCGTGCATCCGTCCGCCACACTACACCGGTAGGTTGTGATCTCGGGGTGGACATCGGGAGTGCTTCCGGGCTTCTGCGCAGCGGCAAGGCCCAGGAATGCCAGGCCGACGGCAAGCTTGGAAGCCATAGCTTTTGTCGTCTTTTAATTACTCCGCCAGGTAGACGTAATACAGCTTTCGCGAGTGTGACAAGCACGCAACACTATAACTGGAGCAACTCATCTTGAGATACATTATATATATATGCCGGCCTACATACCTACCTTCTCGCATTATCGTTTAGTTTTCCGTCAAATCCGGCATAATGGCGCAGATAGGAGAAAGAGTCCGTGTACCTGGCATGCCCAGATCGAACGTCATCCGCACGTCGACTTCTTCAATGCCTATTCTGACATATGGAACTTGAAGTGCCGACTTGGGCCCAGGCGATCTGGGGAAGGTGGCCCGGGATGCCGGCGGGCCAAGTTGTTGCACCATGGGAAATTGAGGCTAGTCTCCTGCAGAGAAGAGCCTGAATCGGCAGACACTATAGCTTTAGTACGACCCTGCGTATTTAAAAGTCGCGCCGCCATGGCTGATTAGGTACGGATCTTGCCGAGTCGCAAATTGATTGATGTATAAGTCAATATTTATGTTCCTGCATAGAGTCGAGTCTCTGATAAATCGCGCGCCCGTGCGATTCCTCGTAATGAAAGGGGTGAATACGAGATGATGGCAGCCCGGTTATCATGCCGACAGCTTGCGTTGAAATAGCGTTCTTCTGACGTTGTCATATAGAAAAGATGAGATAGTAATTACGAAGTGCCTATACTGATTATACTTACAATATTTACCATATCATACGACTACCTAGTTTACAAACTTAGGCTTCTCATCGTCGCTTTCTGCAAGTCAATATTCAACGCGACGCTACTAACTCGAGTATTCCAAGAGAATTACGGTGCGCGAAATGCTTGGCAGCGATAATTCTTCTTCCGGTACTTCATAGCTATCGTCGCAGTATTTTATTGATATTCTTGGTCAGTCGAGGAGAATTTTGTGGGCTAATGTTCAAGCCTGTCAATTCGGTACCAATATCTAGAGGCTCGATGGCTTCTTCGATATCCATAGATCGTTGCTGGTCCGTAGCTGAGGCGCCAGTGAGACGTTGCTAAAATAGCGGGCTCTAGGCAACAATAGGACAGGGCTGCCTTACTATCTCTGATCCTTAGTAGCCTCAAGTCACTAAAAAGTGCCTAAGAACAGGCAGATAGGGCAGACGGTTCTCCACATTAATTCATGCCTTATTTTGAGTCCTTCTTTGAAGGTATTTTGTCACGTAGGACACGTTAGTATGATGAACTTATCTCTCTTATTAAAAAGGTACACTGGATTTTCTGTTGACATAGAGATACGTTAATTCATTGTTATTTTATAAGACGACTTGAGTACCTATTATTCTCTCCCTTGCACGCCTGTGTGGGTCACCAACGATGGCGCCTCGGAAGGGTGCCCCCTCTAAAAAGGGGAGAGCTGTCACAACTGAGACTACAGGAGCGAAATCTAGCAGTGTTACAAAATCAAGTTCTCGAAAAACCACCGACATAGATGGTAACTCCCATCTTGTCATAAAGCGTCGTAGCGAGAATCATCGAGGTGATGGTGAACCCGATGCTACGCACCAGGAAAGACCCAGAAGACATGGAACTTTCCCAACACCAAGTCAGGCCCAGGTAGACACTCCGCACAGCACAATCACAGGGACTGCTTCATCAGCCACTTCGCCTATCAACGTTATACCGTCCAAAAGGTTGAAAGTATTTGTCTTTGGTGAAGGTGGCTTCGGCGAACTTGGTCTTGGAAATCAGAAATATAATGAGAAGAAGCCTATGAATGTGAAGCGCCCACGCCTTAATCATAACTTACTTCCTGATAAAGTTGGTATTGTCCAAGTCGCTTGTGGTGGCATGCACGTAGTTGCTCTGACTGCAGATAACAAGATCCTCACGTGGGGTGTCAACGATCTCAAGGCGTTAGGTCGCGAGGCAGTTTTTAAAGATCCTGGAACCGAAATGGATGATGATAATGATGACGATGATGAGTATAAGGGCCTTGACGTTAGTGAAAGCACTCCAGGCGAGGTCGACCTGAGTGCTTTGAGCCACGTCCCTCGGTTCGTCCAAGTCGCTGCCACTGACTCTGCATCATTTGCATTGAGTGAAACGGGAGAGGTATACGGATGGGGTGCATTCAAGGTTATTAAGAACAACAAATCATTTTTAATGTATTTCCTATGAAGCTAACCAAATTCTAGGGTTCTGATGGTGTTTTCGGTTTTACTCAAGACATCAAGATACAACCAATCCCTATACAAGTAGCAGGTCTCAAAGAAATTACGTCTTTAGCTGCTGGCGCGAACCATATGCTTGCCTTGGATAAGCATGGTAAGGTTTTCACCTGGGGATATGGCGGCGAATTCCAACTTGGTTGGAAACCAGCCTCAAGGCATACTAGTCCAAAGGCTACGCTAGATCCTCATGTCTGTGGGCGTTTTACGAAACAGAACTATGCCGTGAAGATTGCTGCAGGATCATATCACAGTTTTTACATTAATAATCACGGGAAGTTATGGTCCTGGGGTTTGAATAACTTCTCTCAGACGGGACATCCGGACCTCGCCGGCAAGGATAATGCGATAGTCACCACTGCCAAGGCTGTTCGGGCTCTTCGGGACTACAACATCGTTCACGTAGATGGAGGCGAACATCATTCCGTTGCGGTCAGTGCTGACGGCAAATTATTTGCCTGGGGCAGAATCGACGGACATCAGGTTGGCTTGCCGAAAGAAGCATTCACCGAAGAAAATACCATAATAGACAAGTACGGAAAGCCGCGGATCCTCATCGAACCTACAATCATACCAAGTAAGTCTATCCAGGTCAGGTCACCTTCATGTTTACTAACGATTTCCACAGATTTGACTGCTGCCTTTGCTGCTGTTGGTACCGATACCACCATTGTTGTCACGCCTAATGGCAAAGCATATAGCTGGGGTTTTTCAATAAGTTACCAAACTGGACAAGGCACAAAGGATGATATCGAAACCCCAACTCTCATTGACAATTCTGCTATACGCGGTGAAAATATCGTGTGGGCGGGCTTAGGAGGGCAATACTCTATGTTAGCTTCAATAGAAGAAGAATAGGCAGCCCGAATATTCACCTTGAGCCCATAATAAATGATTAACTATGCAATTTGGACATTCAAATTGGTTCCTGAAATTTTGATACAGGCCCCAAGATTTATCCTTATTATTAACGTTGTCTTGAAGGCCATTCTTTGTGTGAATAGCTTCCATGAAAGGGCCACGAAACAAGTCAACAAACGGCCTTGTTAGATTCCTTTACTATGCAATCTGTTCATGATCAAAAGTTTTGTTCCTTTTATCCCAGGGGCTTATTTATAAAATTTTACCTAATTAGAGTTTGAATCACTGCTTACTAATGAGACTACCCCTTTTTACCCCTTTTTACTTTAATCTGACCTATCATGAATTTCAGAATACCACATCTAAGAGTAGGTTTTACGCTACTCTCGCATTTAGCTGCTGCTCACGTCATCCTCGAGACTCCTAAGCCCTTTCGTTTTGTTCAATATGGACCGAGTAATCCAATTTCACCAACGGGCTCGGACTTTCCTTGTAAAATACCAGCTGGCAAAACATTTGAACTTGACGGCATGCCAACAGTTATGGCCATAGGAGATGAACAGACAACTACGTTTTCTGGCAACGCGGTACACGGGGGAGGCTCTTGTCAACTAAGCCTGGCAGGTCCGGTCCACAACGGTTCTTGGGCAGATTACCCCTTAAGGAATTCCAACTGGAAAGTAATCCATTCAATTGAAGGTGGGTGTCCAGCGCGCAACCAAAAAGGAAACATTGATGGCCCAAATCCGAATAAGTACTCATTCAAGATACCGGAAGGGATCGAGCCTGGAGACTACATATTTTCATGGACTGTAAGTACCAACCCAGCTATTTCCTACCTTATTCACATTCCCTTTATCCTCTGCAACCTCATCCTCCCCCTTTTCCCAAAATCCCTTTCGAACTCTACCTAGATCATCCCACTTTCGGGATTTGATACCCTATCCCCATCCCAGATGATCTCAGACTATAGACCATAATGCTAACTTAAATATGAAAGTGGCTAGCTCGAATCGGCGGGGAACCGGAATACTACCAAAATTGCGCCCCGGTAACTGTAACCCCCTCCAAGATCAAACGCAAGACTAAATCAGAGCGTCGAGCATATCTTGCTAGGAGGACGGAGTTTCCCGAGCTCTTCATGGCCAACATGGGAGAAGTCTCAGGAGGTTGTACAACTGAAGATGCTTTGAGAGAACAGCTTGCTATTGCGTTCCCCGATCCGGGTCTCTCAGTTGACCACCCAGAAGGGACCGCGAATTTGTTTAAGCAGCAATGCGATGGGAACCCGCGGGCGAGAAAGGGTCAGGGCGAAAATTTTGAGGCTAAACCGACCTCTACGCTAACGGAAGGATCATCGCCCGTCTTCTCTTCTACTTCAGCCTCCGTTACTTCAGCTTCTTCGACAACCTCGTCATCGTCCGCTAAGGTAATATCGACCCTCACATCTGATCCAGTAGTAATTACTACCTCGCCTTTTGAAACATGTATCGAGGGCCATCTTACTTGTCTTGAAGACAGCACTCATTTTGCAATATGTACTGGTGGGCAGCTAACGGCTCCCCAGCCTGTACCGGCTGGATTCAAGTGTAGGGCTGGGTCTAGTATCGGACTTGACACTTACCCAGCATAACGTTCTTTTCCTTGTCCATAGAATAGTTAAGGTTGCTCTCACATTCCAAGACTACCGAACAAGTTTCGTTGTTGGAGTGCTGTTACATCGTAACCAACCCGTAATTATGCTAAGAGTTATGAACTTCCCTGCCTTAGAACCACCTTTCAAAGTAATTATTTGTTAAACATGAACTGATCTTTTAGAATTATCGGTTACTAAGCTTCGTGATAGTCATATTCTATGCAGGTTTTGTTTCTCCGCAACGTCGTATGCAGCTTGGTTATTTCTCTGGTTTAATATGACAGGTTCCGGGATGACCTCCAATGAAACATGATAGTAATAATCCGGGGAAACAGGTTACTCTGTTCAGATCCTCGGGTTGCCCTATGACACCGAATACACCGAAAGCAGTTGAGCAGGGCATGCGATATATCGACCTCCTAAATCCGAGACAGTAAAGGAAATACAGGGACGTTTGGAAGAAGTGTAGTATCTCCGCCGGGGGTCTACAACCCCTTGTACAAAACTTAGTACCGTACGCCTTAAATAATATGATAACAATATGCTAGGCATAGGCTACGTCACTCTATGGTAAATACAAAACTAGCCTTTTGCAGATCCGACTAGAAGAATTCGGCTTTCGGTCTGGGGAATTCGTAACTTGTGACCTCGATGCCTGTCAGATATAAACGCAGGGCGGAAGCCAAGGTCAGACGCGGGAGCTAGGGATCACTAGCAAGCATTAAAGTGCTGACATAGTGGGACTTGGTGTTGATTTTGAAATGCCATATAACTACCGTGGGTAGGTATTGTAAGCGCTACTTACCGCGTAATTTCATCTGGGTATTGGACACGCGTTACATACTAGGAAACGTCTACACTAGGCATTCTGCATGTTATGCACTGATGTAGGTGCATAAGTCTCAAAGAGAGATACTCGATCGGATCATCGAGCACAGAGCGCTAAGATTTCCGTGAACGGCCCGGAGTGATGGATCAGCAGTTTACCATGAAGTTCCTACTTTTTTCTTCACTATATTGGCAATAGACATGCTGGGAAACGCTGGCTCGGGACTGCTCAGGCTCAGGTAATCTGGTCAATGATCACCCGTAACCGTGTCCCCGAACCCCTAGCGAGCCCCCGTTATCCTACCCACAGGCCGACGGGGCTAGAACTTTGTAGACCTCACCATAGGCCCACATCGGGCTACAAATAAGCAGGGCTACGAAAGAAAACCATGTCATTGGTGGATAGTGCCGAACGCGAATGAATGAACGGGTTGCCCTCTTAACTGGCGCCGATCGTTATTGCGAGGTGGTTCCAAGGTTGTGATTGACGACCAGGTTCTTCGGACACCCACATCCATGGTAACATAAAGTTGATAGTGAGGCATGCATTGTTCGTGAAGCAGAATCGACGATGCCATCGGTTTGATGCCGGAAACCATCCGAAAGTTGAAACTCGCTTGGATCACGATATGGTCGCTATCTTACTTGCCGTATTGGTAAAAAAAAATGATTGATCACGGCCCCACGATAGTGGTCAACGCAACAATAACCAGGACCCTAGAATGGGGGTCATCACCGCGTACATAGTACACGACAGCTGGAATCGTGAGGGTGATGACCAAACTCCGCCCTTCCGCCCTCACAAGTGGTGTTGATTCCTGAGTAAACATGTTGATAAGTGCTACTGTTAACAACCGCGCCAAGCGAGTCATTGAAGAGGCATTAAAACTATCGCATACCTACGCAAGCGCCGCATTCGAATTCCACTAAGTGGAAGCAAGTCTCCCGCACTATCGCCATCACTCACACGGAACCGATAGGGCTAATGACCTAGCTGGTTAGCGTACAGTTATCACAAGATGTTGTTTCTACACTATGCCCGACTTTTAGGAGGGTTATTGTCACAGGTTAAGAAAAAAAAAAAAAGATTTCCGAATTGGGACTAGTAAGATTACTGAGGTAAACAAGAAAAAATTAAGGGTATTATTATATTATAACCATTAATAATTATATAATAATTATAAAAAAAAAATAAAAAAAAATAATTATAATATAATATAATAAAATATAATTATAAAAAACATAAATAATTATAAATAAATATTAAAATTTTATATAATTTATAATATATAATATAAACTTTAATTAATTATTTTTTTTTAATAATATTATTTTACGTTAATTATTTTATTATAATATAACTTTAATTATTTTATTTTATTTTAATTAAATAATGTAATTTAATTAAATTAATATTTAAAAAAAAATTATTTTTAAATATTTAATAAAATATTTAATTTTATTTAAATTATATTTAAATAATATAATTATTAATAATATTTTTTTATTTATAATATCGTAATAAAATTATAACCGGTATATAATTTTATTTAATTTTATTATAATAATAATAATTATTTTAAAAAAATGTAATTAACGTTTTTAATATTAAAATTAATATTAAAATTAATATTTAAAATTTTTAAATTATTTTTTTTTAAAAAATTAAATAATTATATAAATAAAAAAAATTAATTTTTTAAAAAAAAACGTAAACTTTTATAATAATTTTATTAATAATTAACTTTTTTTTTATTAAATAAATTATATTTATTAAAAAATTATATAAAATAAAAAATATTTATATTATTTATTATATTTATATAATTAAAATTTTTTAAAATATATAATTTAATAATATTTAAAAATTTTATTTCGCTATTTTTTAAAAAACTTTAATAATTTTTATTTAATTTAAAAAATTTTATATTAAAATTTATATTATTTATTTTTAATATTTATAACGATATAAATAATAATAAATTTTTTTAATTTATTTTTAAAAATTATTAAAATATTATTTATAAACTTATATTCCGAATTAATAAATTAAAACGTAATTATATATTTTTTTATAAAAAATTTTAAAATATATTAAATAATATAATAAATATATTTTAAATTATTAATAAATAATTTTAATTTTTAAAATTATTAAAAAAAAAACTTTAATATATAAAATTAATATTATAAAATATTAAATAATTAAATAATAAAATTAAAATATAAAACGAATAAAATATTAAGTTATTAATTTTATTATAACGTAAATAAATTAATATAAAAAATAATAAAAACTTAAAAATATATAATAATATATACGAATATAAAAATAATAATAATAAATACGGGTATAAATTAATAAATAAAAAAAAATATAAAAATTTAAATAAAAAAAAAATAAATAAAAATTACGTTTTTAAAAAACAATATAAAAATTATATTTAATTAAACTTTATTTAATAATAATTTAATTTAAAATCTTAAATTTAAAGTTATAAATAAAATTTTTATTAATTATTAAATTATTTTTTTATTAAATTTTACGAACGTATTAAAACTTTTTATTTTAACGTTAAATATATTTTATAATTATTTATGTACGTTTTTATTAAAAAATTTAAATAATAAAATATAAATGTTTTAAACGAACGATATTTTAAGTTATTTATTTTTTATAATAAAATTTAAAAATATTAATATTAATTATATTAATATAATATAAATAATTATAAATTAATGTATTTTAAATTATATTATTAATTTTTATATAATTAATAAATTTAATAATATTTTAAAAAATTTAAGTTAATTTTTTATTATTATTATAATATTTAATATTATAATAAATAAGTTTAAAATAAAGTTTTTTATATTTTAATGAAAAAAAAATAATAAAAGTTATAAATTTATTATTTATTTAATTAAAAATTTTTATTTCCGGAAAAAATAAAATTATTTAAAATTTTATATAAATATATTAAACATTTTTAAATAAATAATAATAAAAAAATCACTATTTATAAAATTTATTATAAAAAAATACTCACAATATATATTATATAAATTATTCGTTAATAAATTACCGCGCCGGATATAATTTTTATAAAGTTTATTTTAATATATTTTAATTATTATTTTAAATAATTAAAAATAAAAACCTCGTAAATAAAGTTATAAAAAACATAAAAAAAAATAATTATATAATTTATAAATAAATATAATTTTTATAATAATTTATAAGTTATATAATTTAATTATTAAATTCATTATTTAATATTTTAATATATACGTTTATTTTTTATTCTTTTTTATTTAATAAAATAAATGAAAATTTTTAATTATAAATTATAATTTTAATTATTTAATATTATTTATTAATTTATATTATCGTATAATTTTATATATATCGCTTTTATTTTAAAAAAAACGAATTAATATTTTTATTATTTTTATTTTTATTATTATTAATATTAAACATATTATTAATTTTAAAATTAATTAATATAAGTTTTATTAACGTTTAAAATGCCGTAATACGTATTTAAAATACGCTTAAACTTACCGAAGATATTTAATTTTTTACCGATAATTTTAATTTTTTTTATAACGTTATTTTTTTTTTAATCGGTGGTAATGGTTTTTTTAAAATTCCTTAAATTTTTTAAATTATTAAATAATAAAAATTATTTTTAATAATAACCATATAAATAAAAAAACATTCGAATAAAATTTCCGGCTTATATTTAATTTTAATAATTAAAAACTTTTTAAGTTTTTTAATGATTTTATTTAAATAATAAATATATTTATTATTAATAAAAATTAATTTATTATTTTTAATTATTTAAATATATTATTTCTTAATAAATTTATTAAATAAAAAATATATATAAAAAATATATATTTTTTTATAAAATAAATTATTTTTATTTTAATTATTAAATAAATTAAAATAAAATTAAAATTTTATAAATATATTATAATTTCTTAATTTTTTTATTTAATTTTTATTTAAAAAAAATATAATAAAATTAAAATATAAATAAATTTTACCTTGAAACGAATAATTAATTTATTACTTTTATATAATATTATTTACATTATTAAATAATTATACATTTATTAATTTATTATATATATTATTAAAGATTAATTTAAATATAAATGGGAATAATTA